GGTATAATAGTTTCAATTTTTATTTATTACTCATATAAAAAGCAATATTAAAAGATTACTTATGTAAAACCTGTATTAGAGGAAGGTCATTTGAATAAATACATGCCTGCTTAAAAAATGTTATAAGAATATTTATCGAAGGAATGCTCGATTTGTTTGTTGCAATTTGAGAAAAAAGAAAAATTTAGAATAACTCCTTGTAATCATATATTTCATGATTAATGCTTATAAGATTGGACAAAGAAAAATAGTTAATGTCCATTATGTAGATAAGGATTGAAAGAAGAAGATATTTAACAATTTTTTACTAAGATTCATAGTAACAATAATGAATCTTAAAGAGGTATAAATAAAAAGCCCTCTGTTTAATTTATTGCATTAACAAACTCTGAATACACTTATTAGAATGGAAACAAATCTGACAATTCTCCATCAAATAATTTCTGCATGAGCAATTCTGGGAGGTAAATGAGCATCTAGATTATTCGTGATGAGATATTGGAATGAACTCACTTTATTGGTATATTAATATTTAATTAAATAATTAATATATGTTAATTTTATTGTTAATATCAAATATAAAGTGTGAGTCTCTTCTGTACTCCAATAATTATAATTCAGAAATTAACTGTATGAATATTACATTAAATGAAAGGAACTCTTATTAAATACAGGTATGAACATCAATAAAATCATAAAAGTTACATATTCTTCAATTCCCGATAGATTAAAGATACTCATTGTTATTGAATATATCATACATTAAAAACAACACAATATATTAAGCAATTGACTCTTAAGCATTTTATTCTAAATAGACATACTAGAACATATATATTAATGAAATCAACAAAATAACAATAAATGTCTAGTATAAATAGATATGCAATTACCATGATTTAAATGTAAATAGTTTTAATTACTCACTTTACATCATAGAAAAACCAAAACCTAAGAACTAATGCAAATTTCCTTATTTTTCTTTGAATTGTGATTAAGAAATAGCATAAGAATAAATTTCTACGCTTAATTTAACAGTTCCAAAATAAAGTTGGGCATATTTATATTACATACTTGATTATAATGATTACACAGTAAGAATTTAAATAAGCCTAAGTTTTATTTGGAGAACGATGAATCTGATATCGGAATATCTTTTATACTTGCAGGTATCCCTTAATAAACTGAATTGCCTTCATTTGATTCTTACTTTAGTATAATTCCATAGCTTTATTAATACAAAGTGGATTTGAAGAGATAAGAAAAAACGATAAATTATATAATAGTGATTGGAATATATAACTTTAATATATCATAAGAAGCTAAATTAAAAATGTATTTAGAAGAAATAAAAAATGATTAGGATGATTTACCAATATGGGCAATTTTAGTAATTATAGGAATTCTTTTATTGGCTATTTTAATAATATCATCAATATATATTCAAATGAGGAGATAATTTAAAGTTTTATCTACTGATATTCCAGCATTAAATAGAGAAATATTAGATTAATATATGCCTGCGAAAAAATCTATACCTGAATTAATCAATGAGGAATGCTGTGTATGTCTTAATGCATATCAATAAGATGATTTAATAAGAGAGTCCATATGTCATCATATATTCCATGATTTATGTTTATCTGAGTGGTAAACAATCTTATAAATTGAAGGACTAAAAAAAATACAAGTTGTCCTGTGTGTAGATAAGAATTTTCAGAAATTGAAATCAAAAGGCTATTGACACTAAAATTTACCGAAGGAAGTCCATTTAATAATCATAAATAAAAAGCTCCATTTATATTAAAATATTCTAGTCTAAGAATAATAAAATCTCCTAAAGAAATTCCAAGAAATTACACAGAAGATGATACCATTTAATAATTTAAATAAGGAGAAATATCATAATAAGAAAATTCTGTCTAACCTTTTTAAATCTAATGAGTAATATTTAAGATGATCAGATAATCAATATTTTATTCAAATTATTAATTTTATAATTTATAAATATAATTAAATTATGTGCTAAATATTCTCGGCAAATATAAATTAATCAAAGTTTATAAAAATAACTTTGGCAATTTATACTTATAACTCACACATGACTTTAGTTGTATTCGGAATTCAAATTAAATATGTAGGAATTTCAATAAAGGAAAGAATAATTAGTAAGAGAAATTAAATTAATAAAATAGAATATGAAATATAATCAAAATTTAAAAACTTTAATTGAAACGAAAAAATTTGTTGGGCTTCATAATTCTATTTGAATTTTTGAAATTTAAACTTTGAAAAAACCTAATAGAGTAACAAATTAATTAACAAATTTGAGAAACACTGTAATTAAATGAAAGATAATTTTAAATGTTGGACGAATACTTTGCAAATATTAATCATAAAAATAATTTTATTCTCTTGGGACAAAAGCAAAATATTTTTAGCTAATAGTTGTGTAAAAGAATTTAATTGACTTCATCAGCATATCTTAAATAAAAATATTTTGATGAATAAAATTTTAATAAAATGATTATTTTAATAAGAAAGGAAGTTTAAACCCTCATAAATTTTATTTAAATTTTCTAAAATTGAATTAAGCTTTTAATAAGAAATTTTATTTATTTGCAACCAATGTAATATATATTCGGCTTTGAGAAGAAAATTTAACAAATTAAAAATTTCTCCCAGATATTTAAGAAAGAATGCTTTAAAAATAAATAGAGTGAACACCTAATAGTTTAAATAAAAATTAAATTAGATAGATTACTTAAAAATTAGAATCTAGGATTAATTTTATGAATAGTTATGAATTATTTCAAATTATAACGATTTAAAATAGAATAAAGTTAAATATACCATTTATCTTTTAAAAATAAGATTAAAAGACATAAAAAGTTAACAATTAATGTAAATTGATAGACAATTTATAAAGATATAAGTTTAACTTCTAATATTTTTTGGATGTATAATTTATTAAATTATTATAACCTATTTCTCAATTGAAAGATTTTTAAAGAGGTTAAATGTAAACTGAATAATTTGGATCATAAGGATGATATTAAATTTATCGATTAATTAATTCATTAATATTCTTCACAGGCTTCTATTTATTAATAAATATCTTAATTTTTATTAGCTATCTAACAAGCCCATTTTACAATATTTCTTTCTATTTATTCATGAGCTTTTGAATCAAATTTACCATCTACTGTCACCCATGGAACATAGGTTAATTTAGGGTCTAAGTTTAATGTCTTTTCTCCATTTGACCATAATAATTTAATTCCTTCTGTTCCTTTTGCACACTCTAAAACACCTTCCCATAAATCCGGTAAACATTACATAATTTCATTTTCAAAATCTTCTTATCGTCTTTTTCTAGTTTTTTGAATACATGTTAAAAAGCTTAGCTATTCTTATTATGAAGAATTTAATGCATCAAAACCACATGCTTAAATTTTATTTCCAAAACACTCTAAATCACCATGTTAACATTGAAATACTATTCTACCATCATTTTATAAAACTTAGGTAGCTTTCCCATATGGAATTAGGGTTATTTCTACTAATTCTTCAAATTAAGGAATTTATAATGCCTTTAATAAAGAAGACTAAATAAATCTTGTTGTGTCAGGACATAGGGATTCAACTAAAATTCATCATGATTTTCATACTATAAGCAGAAACTCTAAGCTTTTCACATTAACTTATCTAAAGCAAAACGAATATTAGAATAACTAAAGTTTTCATAGTTTAAAACGTATTCCTATTTTTTATGATAATATAATTTATTAGTAATTATTGTTTTATTGATAAATAGATAAAAAAGATTATTCCTGCTTAATGGTATTTAACATTCATTATTCCAAAATATAATTGTTCTTATTCATATATCATAATAAAGAATTATATAAATGATTATATTTTTAATATAGTTTCATACATTTAACTTTTATGAGTTTTTAATTAGCAGATTTATTTCAATTTAAAAATTTATTGGTGATTCTGCTATACTAAAGATTCATATATATCCCTTTTCAAAAATATAAAAGATGAACTTATTAATTTTCAATTTATTTGTATATAATATATAGAACAAGAATATTTGAATTTTCAAACTTTGATTAGAAAAGAGTTAAAAAATATAAAAAATGAAAGATATATTTAATAAAACAAATTAGATACAACTTGCTTCATAATTCATTTTATATTAGATCCTCTTATGAAATATTAATAACTTATCCATAGGCTATAGAGTGATTGCTTCGTAGAATAAATTATTAATTTTCATTAACTAATTCATAAGCTTCATCCACAAACTAAATTTTAACCAAAGCACAATCTCCACTTTTGAGAAATTATTTATCTCCATGAATTTTTGATAAAGTTACTTATTGTGTAATATTTCCAAGCTCTAAGATTGGTTTAAAACCTATTGTAACTGTAGTTGGACTTGGAAGTATGCTTATATTAGCCCAAAAAGCCTTAACATAAGGGATATTGATTTTAGGATCAGCAATAATTTTAATTTTTGAAAAGTCAATACTTGTTTATGTAATTGGTTGTAATATGAGACAAATTAATTCACCAGATTTTGCTTAAGTGACAGAAGATCTGACATTTTACATTGAAGCTACTTTTGCACATTATATTTGTTTATTATCATCAACTCCAACAGATACAATTTAATCTAGTTTGACAGTTCCTGATTTTATTAATCCAAAGGGTATTTCACCAATATTTTTAACATTGCATACATAAAATACATCCATCATAAATGGTTAATCTTACGATCTTAATTCTGAAATATTTTGATCCTAATTTTTAAAATGAAATAAAAATTCTAATAGTGGTTCTGTTCCATTTCTATCAATACAATTAACTTCAAATAATGGACATATCATTCCTCTTTAATTGTCATTTCTTTGAAGTCTTGCATTCATTAAATTAGCACATATTTTTCCATCATTTGCTATAACTAACTTTCTATATACGAAACTATTGCTAATTTAATTATGTATTTTATTTATTATATTATCTTTATCTTCTCTAGTTTAAAGTAAATCACATTTTGTTAACACTATAATAAAAGGTATTTTAAATAATTAACAAATCAATAAACATTCTACAGTAATTCTAGATATACCTTCATCAGCTGCTATAACAATTATTATCAGATTAAAAAAACATTTACTAATAGTTGAAATGGAATGCTTAAAATATTTAGTATCTCCACATAAATCAACTAGATATAAAAAAGAGTTTGATTATTAAAAAACCTCACTTTAATATTTACTTTTATTTTTTGGTTGCTCATTTGATAAAACTTATTTGCCTTATTAATCAAATCCAATTAATTCAAAAACTGCAGATTCTGTTTATCCACCTTTTTAAACTTCATGAGAATAATTAACCATTAAATCTCTGATTGATCCCCTTCCATTATCACACATCCCTTTTGTTAAAACTCCCAATAATGTTGTTTTACCACATTTTGTACTTCCTGCCAAAGCAATTCTTGTAAATTACTTTTATAAATGTTCATCAATTGATTACATTTCTATTAATTATAATATAATTTTTCATTATTAATTCATTTATTAATATTTAAATTTTATTCCTTTATTTTAACAGACGATCAATATTAGACTATTTTTTTTTAAACAAATTAAATTTTATTTGAAGTTTTAGATTTAAGTTCAATCTTTCAAACATTTTTTTCTTTTTAATTTTAAGATCAAAAAATAAACTAATTAATTTATTTTTAATTTATAAGATATACCATACTAATCTTTATATATATCTAACATTTATCAAGATATTTTAAGACAAGCATAAAAATCATAATAACTCTATCACTAGTCTAAAAAATTCAATTATTTGTCAACAAATATCATTATTATAGATTTTCATTAAATTTTTTTTTTACATAACTTATTTTATTCTTCTTACTGGTGTTTGAACTTTTCGTAAATGTTCATTAGAAAAAAGTTTGTGTTATTGTTTGAGTAATTATTTTGCAATTTTCCATAAATCTCTTTCTTTAGGAATAAAGTTCTTATTTGGTAATTTATTGCCATAAATTAAAACTGATTCTGCTGATTGACTATTTAATAATGGTCTTTAAAGGGTAGTTATACTTATCATATTTTCACTTTCAATTTCTTATATTGTATTAAATGGAATTGATGACATGATAACTGATTCTAATTTCTTAGTATTTCCTTTTGTTTTAATAAATTAATTTACCATATATATATTCAAGATACTCTTGTCTTTCTATTATTTTATGATTCTAAATTTCATTTTATTTAATATTTAAAATTCCAAATTAACATTCTTCAAGCTATTCATCATCATCTGAGTTATCTACTAATTTATTAGGTTAAGAAGAGACATTTAAAATAATTTTTTATTCTTGTTTAGTAAATTATTCAAATTCATTCAATTAATAACAATCTAAACCATTTATATTCTTAAATGTAAATAATGGTTCTTATTATTATTGATATTCTATATGATATTGAATAATATACCAGTTTCAATATTATTCTTACTAAATGCTCTTAAAAACATCTTACCTAAACTTGAAGGTCTATTTGATAGTGTTTTTCTATTTTGTATTTGTTTTCTTATAGAGATTGTCATTCTTGGTTATAAATGCTGAATTTATTTTTTCAATAATTATTCAAAAGCTTCAAACTATTTCAATCTGAAAATAATTGAAAATTCTCCATTTAATCTTACTCTAAATTTGAATAATTATTCATTTAATTAAAAGTAGATATCTTTATCAAGATCTTTCATTAACATTAAATATTATCTTTCAAAGAAATGCTCAACATCAATTTCATTTTTTGATAACAAATATTTTTCTGTCTTCACCCATGCTATTAAGTTTTCATCCTATTTCTTTTCATATTCATTTAATAACTCACACATAAATACACCATCCAAATCTATTGGTTAAAATGTAATTTAACTAATTGTAGAAATAATTATTTAATACCTATCTTCGAAATTCAACAATTTTCTTAAGCTTACCTTAAATTCACTCACAGCAGTGTATTTGATAATTTAGGCTAGTTGAGTATTCATTTTATTTTTATATTTTATTTTACATTTCTTTCCTTATTATGAATTATTCTAATTTACTAAATATTTTCAAAAAATCATCATAATATAATGATTCACTATAATTCTCAAATTTAAACAAAAATAAATTACAAACCCAAAACAAATTCAACTATTACAACAGAAGCGAATTTAAAATAGTTAAATTTCAGATCAAGTCAAAATCAGAAAACACTAATTCATTAAGAGAAAATTTAAATAGAGATTTTATATCTATATTTAAGATAGAAATCTATTATTTAGAAAACACATCTTAAGGAGTCCACTATTAATCACTATGTTTAAAAAAATGCACTCCATAAAAAATCAAGAAACCTTACTTGAAAAAATAATAAACATAAAATCTTTAATCTAATTTACCATAATCACATTATAGAGATCATGTACTACCTTAATATAAGGATTATTTGTTACAAAAAAAATATTTAAACATTTTACCTAAAATTATTAATACTTAGTTTATTGAAAATATCTAAATTTTTGAAATTAAGTCCATATATTTGTAATAAACAACTAGACAATTAAATATTAAAAATTAATTTGCTTTTAAATGAAGAATTCTGATGCAGATATCTATTTTTGTTATCTATAATTCTCAAACTAAGGATAAGTTACATAATAGAAATTTACTATTTATGATTCATACTTAACAATATAAGTATAAATAAATTGTTATCTTACAAGATTGATGAGATAGATGAATTAAAAGTTGATTATTGTTAACAAAATGTCATTTTTGAGTGGAAATTTGAGTATTACATAAATTATATCATAGGAGTGGCAATTCTGGAGAAGTAATTGTTATTACTGAAAATTATTCATTGAATTACCAAGGACCAAAACAAATAATATTAAGTCTAAAAGAACACCTTGATGGAAGGGTATTTTATGGAAATTTCATGTCTCATTACAATGAAATTTAAACTATTAAAAAAACTAAACAAGGAGATGTAATATCTTATTTTATATTTAGATTGTAAAATGTTAAAGCAAACACTTAAACATAGAAGTTATTGCAAAAAAATTAAGTTATACTCATAATTTAGAGCAACATTCAAAAGTATGTTTATATTTAATCAAGAAACTTATTCTGAATGAATTAAAAATATGTCATTACTTAAGTTAATTCAACTAAGAGTCTATTTTAAATTTAAGGGAGTTTTATTAAGAAAAGGAATATATTATTTTGATATTTGATTTTTGTGAAGGAGGAACACTATATTCTTACATGGCTTTAAAGAATTTTAATCCTTCATTCCTTGATATAAGAAAAGTGATGAAGAAACTTTTAGTGGCAATAAAGTTTCTTCATAAACACAACATTATGCATAGAGATATTAAAATGGATAATATTATGTTATTAGAAAATAACAATCCGAATTCCTTATAAATTATTGATTTTGGATTCTCCACATTTATTGATGATTAACCATATATAATTGAAAGATGTGGAACACCTGGATATATAGCTCCAGAGCTCTACTCTGAAATTCCATATGATGAACTTATTGATATTTATAGTCTTGCTTAAATTTTTTTTACATTATTGACTGGAAGGAAATTCGCATTTGATTCTCATTCAGTTAAGAAATTTACTTAACTTAACTTACAATAATAAAATATCATTAGAGAGTCAACTAAGAACGAAACGATTGTTGATTTATTTAGGAAAATGACCACTACTCCAGAAAAAAGGTACAATGCCTTATAATGTCTTAATCATTAATATTTTGAAAAGACATCTAATATTAAACAATAGTAATTAATTAATTAATGATTAGGTTAAGTTGTCTGAAATTTCCCTTGTTAAAGACTCCATTTTAATCAGTTAGATTAAAAGAACAATAAAATTCTTAGGTCTGTTAAGAAAGATTCATCAATCAAAAATGATATTTGTTTATACTAAATTTCTAACATTAAATGTCTATAATTAACTCTAATATACTTATTTACAAATTTGCATCTATTATCTCATAAAAGTCTTACTTTATAAAAATAACGAGATAATAATAAAATTAAGTAAATAAAAAATAATTAAATGATTTTTGTGATCATCTATAATTAAAGATAGACTATTTAGGATTGTAAAAAAAGACTATAATTTTTTAAAACTAACATTTTTTATTAATCTGATTTAAAAAAGTGAATAAATTCCAATTTTCCTAAGAACTTAAAATACTTTTTATAATTTTATTCAATCAGGCGTCTAAATTATCATGGTTGTATTAAGAAAGCCATGCAATTTTTTAATCATAAATAAAATAATTTATATTTAATACTAACGAATGAATTTTTGTTTTCTTATGTATGAAAAATTATAAAATATATTATGGGAATAATTAAGAAATACTTTTTTTCATTAGCACTTTAATTTCTTGCAACAATTCAGATTGAAGCAATTGTAGTTTTTAGTTTATTTGTCTGTCTTTAAATAAAACTAATTTATTTTTGATTAAATTGTAAAAATTCAGTTTTAACTCATAAAAAATTATTGGATGTTTATTTTTTATTATTTTATGAAGTCAAGGTTCCTTGGGTAACTTGGGTTAATAATACTTGTTTAAATTAAATGAAAAACAATAATCTTCTTTTTTTTTGAATTCTGATTTTTAAATTTAAAAAATACTCACAGAAAAATTTATCATTTTTTTAATCATGATAATGCTATATATCTTTGATATCTTTCCTTTCTAACAATTATACCAAAACTAAATAAAAATTAAATTTTTTTCAGTCTAAATATTGAATGAAAAAATTATTATGGAACTTAATTAAACAAAAATAATAATAGCACTAATGTAAGTACTTATTGATTATTTTTTAAAATACTATGCTTACTTCACATATGCTGAAGATATTATTCTTTATTTTCTGTAAGAATTATCAGAATAAAAGCAATAAATGGAATAATAAAAATTAAGTAAATTGCAAAGAATATGAGTTAAAATAAAGAAAGATTTCGAAGGAAAAATAATGATACAAAATATTAAAATAAAACTTGAACCCGTCTCGCGATGAAAAAGTAATTTTAACTATAAATTTTAAAACCTCACCTCAAACCCCTTTTGGGGAAAGAATGGTTTTTTAATTATGCAATAGATTCAAACATATTCTGTTATCATTAAAAAAGGTTCAATAAATTCTAAATTGTTAAATAGATGCATAAAAAATCTTTTAGAAAAAATATAAAATAATATGGCAATATCGTTTTCAATAAAAAATTTCTATTCAGAAGAGAGGCCAATAAGCTAATTTAAATTTGTAATGGATATTAATCTTTAGAAATAAATGTATTGTTTTTTTTATTTTGATATCCAGTGCTGAATTAAAAGCCTCTAATACTGATCTTATTAAAAAAAAAAGAATTTAATCAAATTTGGTAAATAAACTCCTTAAGTGAATATAATTAAGTAAATTAATATTACCATTAATTTTTTAAACTAGGATGCTGCATAGTTTAGTAAATATACCTCAGGATAAAAGAAAATCCTAAGACCTTATTCTGGAGTCAATAAATTTTTTATAAAATATGATAGATTATAAAATAAGATATAAGAAGATAATACAAAAAAAGTAAGTTAGCGAGAATCAAGAAAGTAAATAAGTATTGGATAGTTTTACTTAATGTAATCTAAAATATTTAATTAAACTGGCAAAATTTGAATTTTTGCATCTAGTTTGTTAATTATATAATATCCAGCAAAATAAAATAATAAATAAAACCCAAATAATCAACAGACAGAGTCAATTTCAAATAAGTTACATCAAACTCAAAATTTCTTAGTCTTTTAAAATAATTTCTATTTTTTTTTCAAAGAATTCTTAGACACTATTAATTTTTTTTACACTATAAATAAAAAATATATATCTAATAAATAGAGATATTAATATTTCAACATTAAATTTATGAAACAAAGAAATTAATAAGCTTATCTCAATTCTGAAGTTAATCTACAAACTAATGAAAGGAAAAAGCCAAATACTCCTTTTACTCAATATGGAGATTTGTTTTATTAAAATCCTTCAAACTTTATGGAAATGTATTTTTTTAAGTATATACATAGTACAAAACCATCAGAATAATTTGAAACATAATTATGGTTGAAGAGTAATTAGCAAATAAAAAATAATTCATCTAGTAATTTGATTCATAATTTGGTAACTTAAACTCAATTAATATAAACAACTATAAATATATTTCATGAGAAATATGATATTTTGAAAATTCTAAAAGAAAACTAATAATGTCAAGTAAGTTTTTTTTTAAAAATATTAGATTGTGCAATGTAGAAATATTATCACTTAAGAATATGTTGTAGCAAAAATATGTATATTACATAATTTTAAGTTTGGGGTCGATAGTGAAATAAAAGTTTGCTAGACTTTATAATATTATCCCCATTCAAAATTAATGAAGCTGTTAGAAATGTTTACTGACAAAGATACTCATATCTTTATATATGAGTATATGGAAGGTGGTACTCTATTTGAATACATGCAGCATAAGTAACTCAAATTAGATGAATCAGAAATTAGGATTATATTTAAACAACTATTAAAAGCTTTAAATCATTTAGATTCTCTTAATATAATTCATAGGGATTTAAAGCTTGATAATATTATGTTTAAAGTAAGAGGAGATATTAAATCATTAAAACTAATTGATTATGGTTTTTCAACATTATTATCAGATGTCTAAGGTTTAGAATCAAGATGTGGAACTCCTGGGTATGTCGCCCCAGAAATCTATGAAAAATCACATGCTTATAATTAATTATGTGACATTTATAGTCTAGGAGCTATTATACACATTTTAGCAACTGGAAAACGTATATATTCCTCAAAATTTACATCAAAAGAAATATGCGAATTGAATAAACAAAATAAATATTAGATTAGTATTAATAAGAAATGTACTTTATTATATGATATAATTACTTAAATGCTATAAAATGTAAGCAATAGACCCTCAGCTTAAAAATGCTTATTTCATCCTTACTTCATTAAATTGTCAGAATTAAATAATTCTGAATAAATCAATTAACAGTAAAAATATATTTTAACTTTTAGAATTTATAAGCTTTAATTTCCTCAATTTAAGAATCCTTTTTAATCTTTCTAATGAATGTAAATTAAACAATTTATATATGTATATTTATTTAATCTATATATTAATAATATAACAAAAAATAGTAATCAGATAAATTTCGAGTTTCTGATATCAAAATAATTATAATTAATGGTTTATTAAATTTATTATGGTTATTATTTTGTAGATTCAATGACACTAGAAGTTTTTTTATGTTATTATTATTGATAATTCTAAACTTAACAACATTTTTATAGTAATTTCTATACTTAAGCTACACTACTATTAATATTATCTAAATAAGATAATTAATTTACTTTGTGGTATAAATTTGGGTTTTGAAACTTCAGTCTTTTATCTTTAATAAGGACTTGTTGGATTAATATTAATAGGTGATTTTTCAAATGATTTACTTCTTTAAGCTTAAGTAATCATAATAGGATCTTTAGGTCTTAACATTTCCTTTTACTAAGAGAAATTCTAAGCTGTAGTATAATTTGATAACTATTATACTTGAACTGGCCTAACATAACTAACTGAAGTTGATGGTTTATTCTCATTTTTATTTTAAGTACTGAAACTTGCATTAGCTATTCGTCGTTCATATGGTTCTCCATGAAAAGAATAAGATTTTGTTACATTAGTTATAACATTTTCAGTTTTTTTTTTCATTTCTGGACTTTTATTATAATCATTATGTGGTCTATTTACAATATTAGTATGTGTTTTTCTTAATCCTTAATTATAACCTTAATTTTAATTGGAAGTGAATTTTTATTGTTGAATACAATTTTAATTAATATTTTATGGATTAGATGGCATAGTAGGTTTCATTGAAGGAGAATAATCAGATTTCTTTTAAGTTGAATATACATTCATTCCTTCAGGTTTATAAAAAGAATCTAATTTCTTAGGTTTTTCTACAGGTTAAGATACTTATTGTTTTTAAACATTTTATTTTTGTTTAGAATCAAAATTATTCATATAAGTTGAAAAACTTTATGGAGTAGACAAATATTGTTTTGGTATATCTTTATCAAATATATTCTATTCTATTTCTTATAATATCTATTCACAATTTAAAGTTATTTTATCTCTATAATCCTTGATAGTAAGTTTCTTATTTTCATTAAATGGTATTCTAATAATAGACTTTAATGTTTTTTCATCTTCTGTATTTGCAAATTCTTTCATCAATTAATGTTTTAATGCTTCATCAATAGTCATTCTTTTTTAAGGATTCCAATTAAGACATTAACGAATAAAATCAATAAATTCTGGAGCTGCATTTGGAAAGAATCCTGCAAAACTTTTTCTTTTTTGCATAGAAATTCCATCTAAAACCTATTAAGCTAAAGGTGCATTAATTAATTCTAAATCTTCTTATCTAGGTCTTCCAATTAATTCAATTATTTTTTCTATTTAATTTAAAGTTGATGCTCCTGAAAATATTGCTTTGCCCAATAACATTTCTCCTAATATACATCCAACACTCCACATATCTACAGATTTTGTATAATGATGTGATCCTAACAATATCTCTGGAGCCCTATACCATCTTGTTGCTACATATTCAGTCATTATTGGCATTTCTAATCATTTTATCAAAAATAATAAATACCATATTAATTTTCAGATTATGCAACACTACGAGCTAAACCAAAATCAGCTACTTTTATTTTACAATCAGAATCTATCAATAAATTTGAAGGTTTTAAATCTCTATGAATTAATTCTCCAGAATGAATATATTTTAAACATTTTAACAACTAATACATTATATATTGCATATGTAAAGAACTTAATAAACCTGCTCTTATTACTTTGTGTAAATCAGTCTCCATATACTCAAATACCATATACAAATCTTTCTAGTTTTCTGCTTGAATTACTTTTAATAATCTAACAATATTTTCATGCTCTGTTAATTATTATAAAAAACAAACTTCTCTGAATGTTCGTTAAGCATCTGTTTAATTCTAAAAAGCATCAAATACCTATCATTTATTTTTATTGTCCTTACCTTTTTTAATGCCACTTATTACTTTGTTTATTTATCAATTGCTTTCCAAACTATTCCATAAGCTCCTTTACCTTTAAAATCCTATATATCATAAAGTTTGAGGATATGTTCTTCTATTTGACTATGTTGGTCATTTTAGTTAGACATTTATTTATATTTTTTATTTTTATTTTTTATGATTTTCCAAACAGTAATGATTTTTAATTAAACTTTGTTAACATAAAATACTTTATAACTTATATCCCTTATTTTGACTTAAATTTTGAAATATTCTTAATTGATGATAATAATATATGTTTCAATAATGATTTCAAAAGTTAATTTATTTAAGGACTAGAATTTGTGTTTAAGCTAAAAAATAATATAATATAGTTATAATTTAAGTATTGAAAATTAAATGAAACACAAAAAATATACAAATTTGATTAAGATAAAATGAAACAATAAAAATAATATAGAGATTTAATAATGCATACTAAAAGTGAGAGTCTACAACGATTCTTATGATTTATTTATGTTCAATAAAACAGATGAATTAAACAATATAATATTATATTAAGAATGATTTTAATTTTAGAAGAATGTGATAATCATTTTTTATCTTGCATTCGATATTCAACTCTTGCTGCAATGTCTCTAATTATAGCAATAATCTCTATAAGATGGTCTTTTCATTATTACAAAGCGAATGGATCAATAAAATATGAAATAGCTCCAATGATTTGCTGTTGTTTATAAGCAATTGTTCATTTAGTACAATATACCATTTATAATTCAAATCGAATGATAATTTCAGCAAGTATATTGTAATTAATAACATTTATACTTGTTTCACAAAGCTTAGCTAATTTGAGATATCGATTCAAATATGCTGATGACTGTAATTATTCAATTTTATCTATATAGTGGAAAAAAGAAAAAACAGATATCTAAGATTATTAATTGGGAAAGGAGCTTTCTATTTTGTAATATTTTCATTGTAATTTTTCTTTTTCTTCAAAATTGATGATTCTTCTTGCAATAAGTATGAATACCATTAATAAAATAGTTATTTTTATTACAGTCTCGATTTATTAGAGGTGCAAATACTAATCATTACAATATTCACTTAAATACATGGATAATCACTAATCTACTATATAAGAAGGAAAGAAGAATCACAAAATTAGAATCAAGAATAATACTTTAAATTCCTTGACAACTCATCAATGTTAAAAAATACATTAACAATGAAATTAAAATAGATTAAATTAGTTATATTGGCATAAACTATCACAATGATAACATTCATTGTACTTATAATTCTTATGTATAATACAAACAAAGAGTTATTTTGTTTTTAAAAAATCAACGNTTATTTATATTTTTTATTTTTATTTTTTATGATTTTCCAAACAGTAATGATTTTTAATTAAACTTTGTTAACATAAAATACTTTATAACTTATATCCCTTATTTTGACTTAAATTTTGAAATATTCTTAATTGATGATAATAATATATGTTTCAATAATGATTTCAAAAGTTAATTTATTTAAGGACTAGAATTTGTGTTTAAGCTAAAAAATAATATAATATAGTTATAATTTAAGTATTGAAAATTAAATGAAACACAAAAAATATACAAATTTGATTAAGATAAAATGAAACAATAAAAATAATATAGAGATTTAATAATGCATACTAAAAGTGAGAGTCTACAACGATTCTTATGATTTATTTATGTTCAATAAAACAGATGAATTAAACAATATAATATTATATTAAGAATGATTTTAATTTTAGAAGAATGTGATAATCATTTTTTATCTTGCATTCGATATTCAACTCTTGCTGCAATGTCTCTAATTATAGCAATAATCTCTATAAGATGGTCTTTTCATTATTACAAAGCGAATGGATCAATAAAATATGAAATAGCTCCAATGATTTGCTGTTGTTTATAAGCAATTGTTCATTTAGTACAATATACCATTTATAATTCAAATCGAATGATAATTTCAGCAAGTATATTGTAATTAATAACATTTATACTTGTTTCACAAAGCTTAGCTAATTTGAGATATCGATTCAAATATGCTGATGACTGTAATTATTCAATTTTATCTATATAGTGGAAAAAAGAAAAAACAGATATCTAAGATTATTAATTGGGAAAGGAGCTTTCTATTTTGTAATATTTTCATTGTAATTTTTCTTTTTCTTCAAAATTGATGATTCTTCTTGCAATAAGTATGAATACCATTAATAAAATAGTTATTTTTATTACAGTCTCGATTTATTAGAGGTGCAAATACTAATCATTACAATATTCACTTAAATACATGGATAATCACTAATCTACTATATAAGAAGGAAAGAAGAATCACAAAATTAGAATCAAGAATAATACTTTAAATTCCTTGACAACTCATCAATGTTAAAAAATACATTAACAATGAAATTAAAATAGATTAAATTAGTTATATTGGCATAAACTATCACAATGATAACATTCATTGTACTTATAATTCTTATGTATAATACAAACAAAGAGTTATTTTGTTTTTAAAAAATCAACGAATAACAATATTCTGTTTTTTAAATAAGCATATAAATATTTTTTACAGGGGTGCAACAATTTCCTTGTTTATATATTCCTTATGCATTTTATTATGCTGAAAAAACAAGATCTATATCTAAAACAACCATTATAGATTTTAACATTTAATAAGATAGATCAACAGCAGAACAACAAAATTCTAGAAGTAGAAAGAATAGTTCTTTTGAAGATACTTTTGTTAATATGATTCATAGTATATAATAAAATGATTGATTTTGCATGTTCTAATCAGTTCTTTAGTACTTTTTCAATGTCAATTATCATTTCTTTAGGAGAAACATCTGGACAATAATAATTAATAACATATCCATTTTCATCAAGCAAAAATTTTGCAAAATTCCATGGAACATACTTTATTTTATTTTTGTTATTTATCCTTAATTCACTATTATAACGCAGATATTTATAAATGTCATGTGTTCTAATCCCATTTACTTCTATTTTCCTATTATTTATGATTCATTTAAATACTAGAATAATGGAAAATGAGCTCCATATTTTTAAGTAACATAATTTTTTATTTCTGGTTCTGGTTTGCTTTCTTATTTCTAAAATTAATTGCATGGAAAACCTAGAATTTCTAAACCTTAATCTCTATAAATTTCATTATATTATACTTGTATAATTTATACATATCAACTAATTCTACATAATTTTATGTAGTTAAACGACAAGAACATGCAACATTTACACAAATGTAAGCTTTTTTCCCTTTAAATTTTGACAATTAAACAAGATTGCCATCAATATCATTAATTTCGAAATCGAAAAATTATTTATTAGGTGCTTCAATCTAATCTATTTCTTTTTTAGCTGAACAAATGCCCATGATATCTTATATTTTTGTAAAATTTATATTTTATAAAATATTAATTAATAATAAAATAATAATTGATTATTCAATTAAAGTTTCCTATTAGTTTCTGAGAATCATATAAGAAGACTACTAAATTCTATGTAGATAAAAGACTAATTTTCAATAATTTTAAATATTGTATATTTCAAAGAGTCTAAAATTTGTCAAAACTATTATGTAATTTTATGATCATCTTATAATGAACCTTAATCTCAAGCATTAATAAAATTAATATATTTTTAATAACTTTGATTTACTTGATTTCTTAAATTAAATAGAATGCCTTTTCAAACAGAGTGTTAGATAAATATTTTTAGTTCAACAATTTGCTTTCACTGAGTATATCTTAATAAAACTTTAATAGATTCCACTAAAGACATAAAATTTGTTTTCTCTTTGAATTAAGCAAAACATACTTAATTATCCACAATCTATTTCATTCCAAATAAACAAGAAGTTTTGGAATCCTTTAAATTTTGAGTATACTTTTCTTCTCTTATATTAATAAAATATTTGTCTAAAAATATTCTTTTTTCTGAAATTTTTTAATCAATAATTTTAGAAGAACCGAAGATTTGTTTGTTAAAAGAATTATTTCTTTAATAGATATGTTTAATTATAAAGAAAATACCATTTTAAAGACTAAGAAATAGTTAAAATTAGGTGAAGGATCAAATAAAAATTTATAAAAGTAAAATTTTAAGTATTTATCTGAATGATGGTGATATAATATATATTCATTTTTTCATAACTTTGCTTGAGATGAAATATTTAATAAACTTCTAAATTAAGGATCTAATATTTAAGTTAAAGGAAATTTTTTATTGTTAATTTTTATATTATATTTTTTACTAAAATGGGATAGATTAACAATAGTACTATTCTAAAATAAGAAGCAATAAATTTAGCTTAGAAAAATTACAAACGTAGAGTTATTAATGATGCTTATGAAATAAATTAATGTTTGCTAATATCATCTGTGATTGATTAAATATCATATGATTTAAGTAGTGTAAGTTATAAAGTATCAAGTATGACTGTAAATCCCTTAACATATGATCCTATTAGCTTTGAATTATTAATGAAGGAGGATTAAATGCAAATGTAATCAAAGATAATGTATAAATATGAAGTAGAGAGACCTTAATCGAAATAAAGAAAATATAAAACTGTAACAACTTAAACAGATTTCACATCAAATAAGGAAATCTTTTAATATTCATCTGATAGAAAATAGTATCGTAATAATCATAGTTTTGGGTCTGATATTATTTATAAATATCAGATTGATGATAATGGTAAATAATAAATTGATGAGAAACCAAATAATAGGTATTAAGAATAATAATAAGATAATTTATTTCAAAAGGAAAAAAAGTAAAATATCACAAAATACTAGCAACCGAATTCTTTGGAGAGAACAAATATTTTTAAATTAGAGTATGAAAAAACAGAAAATTTTTCTAATGACCAGACAGAAAATGCAAGTATTTTATCAATCAGTTAGAATTTTGCAAATTTAAAAAATCACCCTTTTCAAAATGATGAAAGATCATATATTTAAAATGAAAGATATTGGTCTTCAAGTCATTCATCTACATTTATAGATATTCCAACAAATGTTGGACCTAGATCATAAACATAAAAAAATTTATCATAGAATCATTAATAATTATAAAATAATGTCGATTAAAAAGTATATTAAAAAACACAAAATTTTTAAGATGGAAATTAGCGTTTGACTTATTAATAATCTTTTGGATAATTGAAAACTTAAGCTCTATAATAGTAATAATAAATATATTAATAGTAAAAAAATAAATAGTCTCTAAACTATGATTAAATGAATTTATAATAATAATAATCTCAATAATAATATTATTAACAATAATAAAAATAATTGTACTAATAATAATAATAATAGTAATAATAATAATAATAATTACTATTATAATAACAAAATTAAGAAAAATTATCTTATAATAATTAAAATAATAGAAAAAATATTTAAAATCAAGGATTTGATTATCCAATTTTAAACAATGTTTAGACTGAATAAAGTCCTTATTAAGGTTATACTTAGATTCATTCAAATAAAAAAAAAAGTTAATAATCTAATTAATTTGGAAATGCTCCTATAAATAATTTATCTTAATAGTAAAAATAGAGAAATCCTTATCAATAAAATTAATAATACTAACAATCACCTAAATAATTTGAATAATAATAAAGAGGATTACCTTAAGCCTCTATATAGTAGTCAATTTAATCTAGTTAGGGATAATAAAAAGAATCTATGCGTTAATAGTTTGACAGATTACTTAGAGAAAGTAAAAATTCAAAGGATTATTGGAAATCAATTAAACCTAAAAATACTAAAAATCCAAATGAACAAGAATTTAATTAATAGGGAGAATATTAAAATCAAAAATAAAATAGCCCTGATTATTATTAAAAATTGAAGCAAAATCATTTAAAATAAAGTTAATCTCCAATTTCTCTTTAAAAATAATAATAATAAAGTCCATCTATAAAAAAAGTTCAATAAATTTAAGAAAAAAAATTCGAACTTACAAATGCAATGAACATTTCTCCAGAAAAATAAATATAAACACTTTAAGATGCCAGATAAAATTAATAATAATTGAGAATCTAGAATAAGCAATCAAATGATTTACATTTAGAAGAACTAAATTATAAAATACAGGATATTCAAAAATAGAATTTAAAATTAGATGATAAAAGTTAAAAACTACTTGGTTAAATAAAATAGGATGTATCTAATTTGCAAACAGCAATAACTTAAAATATATCTCCATCAGAAAGAGGATTAAGAAAAAAAGAAACAATAAAAAATGGAATAAACTTAGATGATTTATTAGAATATGAACAAAGTTCAATAAACTTAGATGAATTAGCTAGTTACAGAGGTAGTTAAGAATACAAAATATAAGAAGATTAAAATAATTATCAAAATTTTTGAATTGTCATAAATATTTTAAAATCTTAATTATTACAGTGAATGCAAACAACTTTCATTAATCCATACTATAATCAACAAATTATTTAGTTTGTTGTCTTTAAATTGTCTTTCTTCTATATAATGATATTTTCATTTAATCTTCTCTTTCTTTATAATGTGATTGATATATAGAGAGTAGAGGATTATTTTCAAAATACACAGTATCAAATTATCTAAGTTCAATATCTAAATTTAGATCTTCTATTTCTGATTTAGATCTTCCAATTTATATAAATAATAAACCAATACTATATAAGATCATACAAGTTATTGATAGTTAACCTGGTAAGGATTCCTAAAAAAATAATTGTTTAATATACATACTTGTCCTAATAAGAAAGAGAAAATGCTTCCAAAAAGTGGTTAAAAAAAGTTTGCTGAATTATATGTTAATGGATCAACAAATAATTGTACATATGATTATAATTAATTCATTAAAACTCCAGTAAATAAAGCATTACAGAATATTTGGATAAAGAGTATAGGCTCTAAAAATTCAAAGAAATTGTGCTTGTTATCAAAAGTTAATGTCATAATTATTAAAATTACAGTACTTAATGCCCTAATTATTGCAAATAATGTAAATGTTGGACAACAAGATGTTATCTTAGAGTAATATTTTGCACTAAATCTATTTAGAATTATTACTAATATAAAGTAGAAACACCACCACCAAATAGTGCTGTTAAATCTCCATAGATTATTTTATCTAAAATAGAAACATCTTATTTAGAATAAAATGTGTAACTATGATTTGTAAAAATAACTATTAACAAAACTAAAGCAACTCCAAATCCTAAATATTCTAGAATATGGCAATTTTATTTAGTTACTATCTTAATTCCACAATAAAATAATAAAGAACTATTATAAAACATAAGTGCATATGAAACATGAGTATGTGTCACAGATATAGACAACGATACTGCAAAAATCTAATATTTACAGATAATTTAAATACTGCTTATGTTACTGATGCCATCAGCAAGTTAAATGTTTAACCTTTGAAAGAAATGAAATAATTTTTGTTGTTTTTTAATTCATAAATACTAATTGGTATATATATTAATGCAGTAAATCCTTATCTCCAAGCTGCTCTTATTATAGAACTTTTATGTATTGTTAAATATAATGGACCTCTTAAAGATGATAAAATTAGCTGCAATAATAAAATGCCATATATTTTATATAAAAATGTTTAGTCCCTATTTGTTAAATGCCTTTTAATTACTAATGTTTATAAGTTTATTCTAACTCTTCCACTTCTCTTGCTATTGCTGAAGAAATTATAGGTTAAGGATTAATATCTTTTTTTTTTGCTTCATTTTGTAATTTATTTTGATTTTAAACTTATTGATTATTTACATCTTCAATCATGCTTAACATAGAAGAGGCTTTTTGTATTGAAACTGAATGAAATGACTTTTCATTATTCTCATTATTTTTCATTAATTTTATAATAATGATTAATTATATAACTAATTTTATAATAATATTAAATTAATTCATATACTATCAATCCATTTTTATACCAGTTTCATGCGATTATTTCTGTTTTATTAAAATTTATTGACTAAAAATTTACTTCCTCATTTTTCGAAGATTAAATCTAAATAGAAATTAGTCAAAAAAATGTTATAAAAAGAACTTAAAGTTAGATGCTTTGAAAATATAAAGAAAATCCTTATAGTAAACAGAATTTTAATAATTATATCCATGATCAACTAAATAGATAATTGAAAAATCATTTTATATTCCTTAAAAATAATTTAGGGAATCAGTTATTAAAATAGATAGAAGAAATTAATAAATAATAAGTTGATAAAAATGAAGAAATTAAATAAGCCAAACAAATTAAATCTTACATTCATTCACCTTAAAGANAATAAAGAACTATTATAAAACATAAGTGCATATGAAACATGAGTATGTGTCACAGATATAGACAACGATACTGCAAAAATCTAATATTTACAGATAATTTAAATACTGCTTATGTTACTGATGCCATCAGCAAGTTAAATGTTTAACCTTTGAAAGAAATGAAATAATTTTTGTTGTTTTTTAATTCATAAATACTAATTGGTATATATATTAATGCAGTAAATCCTTATCTCCAAGCTGCTCTTATTATAGAACTTTTATGTATTGTTAAATATAATGGACCTCTTAAAGATGATAAAATTAGCTGCAATAATAAAATGCCATATATTTTATATAAAAATGTTTAGTCCCTATTTGTTAAATGCCTTTTAATTACTAATGTTTATAAGTTTATTCTAACTCTTCCACTTCTCTTGCTATTGCTGAAGAAATTATAGGTTAAGGATTAATATCTTTTTTTTTTGCTTCATTTTGTAATTTATTTTGATTTTAAACTTATTGATTATTTACATCTTCAATCATGCTTAACATAGAAGAGGCTTTTTGTATTGAAACTGAATGAAATGACTTTTCATTATTCTCATTATTTTTCATTAATTTTATAATAATGATTAATTATATAACTAATTTTATAATAATATTAAATTAATTCATATACTATCAATCCATTTTTATACCAGTTTCATGCGATTATTTCTGTTTTATTAAAATTTATTGACTAAAAATTTACTTCCTCATTTTTCGAAGATTAAATCTATAGTTTCTATTTATCAAATTAATTATAAATAGAAATTAGTCAAAAAAATGTTATAAAAAGAACTTAAAGTTAGATGCTTTGAAAATATAAAGAAAATCCTTATAGTAAACAGAATTTTAATAATTATATCCATGATCAACTAAATAGATAATTGAAAAATCATTTTATATTCCTTAAAAATAATTTAGGGAATCAGTTATTAAAATAGATAGAAGAAATTAATAAATAATAAGTTGATAAAAATGAAGAAATTAAATAAGCCAAACAAATTAAATCTTACATTCATTCACCTTAAAGATAATAATCAATTGAAAAGAAGTAGTTTTAGAAATAAATTAAAATGAAATTTAAATTGCCACTTTTAAGAACTTCTCTGATAATCATTCCTCGCTTATTAATTTTCTAAAATTAAATATAAATTATATAATTTAATTTTATCAAATTATTTTGATACTTTACATATTTCAAAATCTTAATTAAAATATATCAAATAATTTTTAATCATATATTTTTACAAATTTGTAATTAAGATTTAACTATTTATAAAAAAATTGGAATAATCTATATTTCGATTTATTCAAAAATAAAATATTAAATTGGAATACGTAATTAGAACATATTTTAATTCCGTAATCTCTATCAAAAAACGGAATATTTAATATTTATTTTTATTTTCAAGATCCATTCATTATATTATAATCTTAATGCTATAATAATTTTTGTTATTTGAATTTCAATTTTCATGAATTAGCCAACTTATTTTTCAGTTGTTAAAAGAATCAAATGATAAATATAATTTTTATATTCCTATATAGTAATAGTTTATCTTATCGAACTTTATTGAAATAAAGAAGAAAGATAATCTATAGTTTACTAAATAAATTATTGATAAATAATTTAAATTCTATGTTCAAAATATAATAATTGTTTGAAGAGAATGGGATTCCTTTTGAAACAAAATTGGACCCAAGAAATTACCGAAAAATTCTGGATAAATAATTCACATAACTAATATAATAATAAGAAAAAGAACAAGTAATATATAAAAATATAATTGATTAGATTAATTTAGAAGATGTTCTTCAAGAATAAATATAGTTAAAATAATAATTGGCTGAATTGATAAGAAAAGTACATTAAAGTGGGAAACCAAGAAAAAAGAATGCAAATAAAATAAAATAAAGAAAATATGAAATAAAGACATTTGAAGCGTAAATTGAATAAATAAATGAATAATTAAGAGAGAGATAACATTATAAACAGGCTACATAAGAGGAAGTTGAATTATTAGGTAGTAAAATAGCTGAAATAAAAGAAGAAGCAAGTATAAAATTTATTCAAATATTTGTAAAGATGAAAGTAGAGAAGAATTATAAAGAGCAACTGCCACAGTTTAAGAATTATCGTAATCATATTAAAAACTTGTTAATTAAAGTAATTAAATAAGAAATATATATTTGAATTTGTAATAGGAGATTAAAACAAGTTAGCAAAAACAAAACTAATTGCAAGCTGCTAGTTTACATTATGAATAAGAATTTGAAAAATTATGTAAGGAATAATAAAGGCTTGATCCTAAGTTATTATAAAAATAATAAAAACTAGAGGAATTAGAATAACTCAAAAATAAATTAGAGATGGAATTGTCTTAAAAAAATAATGAATTATAATAGTCTAGAATATAATTAAAAGAATTTGAAGATGAATTTAATAAAACAAAAAGCTATGATAAATTAATAAAATCAGAAGTGAAAGCATAAGAATCATTATAAATGGAGAGGAAGTTACTTTTAGATGAATTTTAGAGAATTTGTTCAATTAGTGGAATAGATTAATTAGCTTAATAATCTGATGAAGGAATTATGAATGAATTAGATTAAAAAATTTAATAAAATTAAGACACAATTGAATCTTAAGAAAAAATGCTTGATGGATTATAGAGTGAAATAAAGTAAGATAGCATTCTCTAATATTTAGTGTACTTATGGAAAAAGAGGAAACCTTTACTATTAGAAGAAATGAACTTCTAAATAGATATCGTGGATTAGAAAAATAAATGGATGATTTGGCTAAAAAGTATGCATAGTTTGATAAATGATTATAATTACATCTAAATTAGCAAAATTTATGAATATATAAATATCTTATAAATATAATATGATATAAATATAATAATATGAATTATTAATATGAGTATTTTTAATATTAATGAGTTTTATTTAATAATTTAATTATCATTTGATGATTTCCTAATAGGAGGTTGAATTAATAAATAAATATATAATTGAATCAACTGGGACATTAGAAAATATGCAGAAGATGTTTATAAAAAAATTTGAATCAGAGCCAAATCCATATCCTTACATTTATTAGGGATTGTGTGATAATGTAAGAATTTGTACAAATCTAGATATTTACAAAAGGATAAAGATTATTGAGTATCTATTTACTTTATAATTCTGAATTAAGACCATGTTTATAAGATATTTACATCTTTACATAGAATGATTTTGAGAGAAAATTTATTTAAGATCCTCAAATTGTATAATGATTTCATTAAGACATTTAAGATAGTATGCTGGCATTACAATTAAGACCCTGCTTGAAGAATAAGATAAATTTTAATCCAATGAAAAAACAAGTTTAAAAGATTAACCTTATAATTAAACTTCTTAAAATAAAATTAGGAATTGTGTTTCTATTAATAATAATAATCCCCCTTAGTAAAAATTCATATAATTCTAGAAAAACAAAATACATGATTTTATAATAAAATGGATATGAAATTGATTATTTTAGACCCATTCCAATAATTATTTAAAATAGATTTGATTGGATAGATATACATGAAGTATCTGATACTATATGGGATTATTCATTATCAATAAATTCAGATAAATTGAGTCAAATAAAAGAAATCATGTCAAAAGCTCATATTGAATAAATCACAGAATAAGAATTTTAAGTATAAAAAAAATTTATTATAGTAATTTTAAGAATATTTAAAGAAAGACAATTACAATTTATTAAAAAATAATGGTCTAGCAAATTTTAATCTAAGTGAATTAATTGAAAAAAACTTAAACTTAGCATTTTTTTTGTTTACTAGATATTTTCCAAACCCAGAATTTCTAGAGTAAATTTATAATTATATTCTGAGTTTAATGGATATTTTAGTCTAAATTGATGTAACACCAAATGGTTTAGAAATCATGTGCATGATCGTTTAATAATTTCATATTCCTTAGGAGTATTTAAATTATTATATTAATTACTGCATACAATTTTGTTAGAACATTAAAGTTATATGATTTATAAATTTATAGGAAAAAGGTTAACAAGTAAGAATGATTAAATATCTGACCATTTTCTTAAAGCATTTAATAAATAAAAAAATGTATAAAACCTCAGATTTAGTAACAGAAGTAAATAATTATAATTATTATTTAGCTGTAAGCATTTTCAATCGAATTTTCAAATATAGGAGAAACTTCAAGTTTATTCAAATTAATAAAGAGTGAATAATCATGATAAAGTAAATTAATGATATTTGCTTAAAAATAAAAAAAAAACTAAATAAATATATTATTTCTTAAAATAAAAATAGATTTATTTAATAATTACTTAAATTCTTCTCTATAAATAATTAGTTTTCCATAAAGTTATAAGTCAAAATAATTTTGAAAATATTTATTAAACATTTAGTTCTATTTTGAATTAATTTAATTAAATTATATATAACAGTTAAAATAAAATGAGCTACTCATAAGAGTTCTCACCATTGTCAATAAAGGAGGAAATGTTTTTTAAAAATGAAACTGAATCAATATCATTAGAGTAATAGTTATAAATTGCAAATGAAAAAGTTAATTAACTAATGCAGTATTGGTAATAATTAAGGTATTTTTTACATAAGTATCTGAGTGAAGAACTAGAGCATTTGCATTATAAATATATTGAAGCTTAATAAGAAAATGAAATTCTAAGTAGCTAAGTTAGATAAGATCCTGATGAAATGAAATTTGTTAATTGTGTTCTCGATATGGTTAGAGTTTGTCACCCTTCTGATAAATAAATAAGCTTAAAATATGCTTGGAAATGGTTAAAATATGTTGTTGATGATTATATTGAATTAAGGAAGCGTAACAAAAGCACAAATTCTTAGTGTGAAGTCTTCAAGAATCCTAAAAAAGATTCAATAGTAGTAGGAGATTTATTAAGAAAAAATTGTTAAGTAGCCGAGAGTTAATATTTAAAGCATTCTAAATGCCACAATTGATAGTTATATCGATATATATTATAATAAAAGTTTTTGGTGAAAAGAATTAATATCAATTTGACATAAAATTACATACAGTTTCCTAGGTAATCTTTTTGTGATGTTAATCTATATTTATTCATTTAAAAAACGAGACATTAATATATTTGATATATATACTTTAATTTGATCAATATAGTCTTGAATTTTAAAAAAACATTTTTATCAAATATAAATTAAATCAAGAGAATTAAAATTATATTCTAGATAGCTAAATTTATTTATTTTTCAACATTTAATACAATTTTTATCATTTTAATTAACTTTTATTTGCAGAATTATAATTGATATTAATCATTAACTATATTCTATCAAAAAATAGCAATATAAAATAATCATTGTATAAATAGATAAAATTCTATATTTTAGAATTATAAAAGAAATTATTTAGAAATTTTATTAAAATCAATAATGAATCTTAAAATAGAATGCTAAGGACTTGAATTCAATTTTGAGGAGGTTTATTCATTAGAAGAATTAAAATTAAGACTATAATCAACTGAACCATCATTTATTTTAGAATCATTATCTTATTAAGATGAAGAAGAGGATATCATTACTTTGGCTAATGAGAATGATTTTAGTTGTTTATCCACTAACACTTAATTCACTATTTAAGCTTAAGGAAAATATGATTAAGAATGGGCTTAAAAAGAATTCAAAAGAAATCTAAGATTAATTAAAAGAATAGCTTAAAAGATCAAACAACTAAAAGAAAAACAAAAGAATAACTTAATTAAAGTATTATTTATATATATCTATTGAGGAGAGAATATTATTAAGAAAAGTTAACAAAAATCTTATAACAATAGAAACAGACCTTAGAAATCGATAAAGAAATCAATACTATTAGATAGTAAATTGAATTCTAAAAAAAAATTAATATTGTAAATAATAAATTATAGGCTAAATCAATAATATATGATGAAATGATGAAATTTAACATTTGCGATTATATTAATAAATAAGAAGCATAGATAACTTATAACGAAGAAAATTTACAAAAATTCAAGAGAAAAATCGATTTATTCGAACAAAATTTATGTGAGTAGTTTTTTAAGTCTTATAAATCTATGAGATTGAATAAATTTATAGAAATCAAAGAAAAGTAAATAAGTGGTAAAGAAAAACTGTTAGAGTTATCTAAACAATTACATGAATTGGAATAAAGAAAAAAAAAATAATTATTTTAACTAAATTTAAAAGAAACCTATTTCACATAAAAATTGAGAGCTGCTAAATGTTTATTAGAAAGATTGTGATCATTTTAAATTAAATAAAATAATCAGTTAATTTATAATTATTATTTTCTTTATTTTAAATAGAAGCTGAGGAAAAATATTTATTTTAAATATTATTTTAAAGATATTTTTTGAATTGAAGATCTTAGTAAAAATAGTGTTTTAAAGAACATTTAAATTTTTAAATCCAACTTTTAGAATTGGGAAATAAAATCTTGCATAATTATATTTAAAATAAAAAATACTAAATTTAAATTATAAATTTATTATTAGAATATTTACTTATATATTCTATTCTCAAGAAACTAAAGTTATTAATAAAAATTACAGATTTGACTTTATAAAAGCTGTGTCATTTTGTCAACTATAATGATTTTTTCTTTTTATATCATGTAATTAAATAATTCTTATAAAATATATTCCTTAATATGGTGATGAAAATCTTAATTTTAATGTTTAATAAGTAATTATAATAATTTAATGCCATGGCGTGGCGAATATTTATCTTTTAGAGTATTTGAAAATCCAGCTTACATATATAATAAAAGTGATCATCAATACTTTGTAAGTGGAAAGGTAGAAGGTTTAAGAAAGATTCATATTCAGAATCAAATATCTAATTTAGAGGCTCTTAAAAAGAAGGATTTAAGAAAACAAACATAAAGAAAAAGTAAATTGTATTTTCAAAGAATCTTTAAGAATTTAAAAAAAATTAAATTCTGTTTAATTATACAATAAGTATAAATTAATAATTATTAATACAGAATGAAGAATTTTTATTCTTTCTTTGTCAAGGATAAAAAAAATACGATCTGTTTGTTAAAACGAAAAAAAAAAACAGAAGTTGAAAGAGTTTATAAATCAATGGCCAGTGCGTATTAAAAAGAAGTATTTTTTTTCTTTTAATTTTATTTAATACTTTGTAAAATTTTATAATTTGATTATGTTTTGTTTCTTGGATAGATAATCAACTAAATTAAAATAAAAGAATCATATATTTTATATAATAGATGATGATTCACTCTTGCTTTGTTTATTTTTATTTATTGACTTTTCCATACTTTTTATTAATAAAAGAATTATATGATTTGTCACTTCCCATAATTGTATCCCAATATGTGAAGAAACTACCATAATTACCATCATTATGAGAATGATGATAATTATGTGATTCAGCACTACTAGAGAATGGTAATAATCTAAATGGACTCCAAGAAAATTCATAACCACTATGACCATCTATAGTTTCTCCGATTCTCAACAATAACCATAGTTATAAAGTAGCAATATGCATCCTAGAACCTAATATTTTAGATCCTATAAAAACTGGAATAACATCGCCAAATATATATTCAATAGGATGGGCATATATAGCAGCATATGAGACACTAGTATAAAATTCATGATGTTTTTTATGAATTTTGGAATAAAGCTTTGGAGAATGTAAAGTTCTATGTGACCAATAAAAACATGTATCTTCAATTAACATTGAAAATACAATTTACCAAATCATTTCAAATATAGTTGGAAATGAATCTAAATCAGTCCTTAATAAAGGACTTAAATAACAGTCTAAGATACACATTAGAACTCCCAAAATCATATTTAAAGATGTACTTTTCCAAACCTCTACTCTTTTTTTTTTCCAAGCTACTGGGTTTTCATCCCATGGCCATGGATTCTTTATATTTTTATATTAATACCTATCTTGTTCTATACCTTTCAAAAAATGGTGATTTGGCTTTATAAATAATATACATCACAAAGTTCCCCAAAGAGAAACCAATAATATGTGTGGATAATAACATAATCATTTATATATAATGAGCTACATATAATTTTATATAACTATTACGTTTAAAGTTTTGAAGGGAGGATAAAAACCAATATGATATTTATTATGGGTATACGCAAAACCCTATCACTGTCAACGATAAAGCAAATATTAAACCATAACCTTAATTTTATAAATCATTTATACCTTTTCTTTGATATCTGCTTTCTTCTCTTAGAATTATTCCATCATTTGTATCTGCAGAACTGATGGAAGAATCACTTAAATAATCCATTTTTTAATTTAATATGAATATTTCTGAAAATGATATGTATTAGTTAATACTAGCAATTAACAAACGATCAATGTTTAAAACTCAATTTGACATTGAGTTTATTCACACTAAATTATAAGACTAACCATTTTTTAGGAATATGCATCGACAGATTGGAGATACTTAATACTATAAAATCTTAAAAGAACTTCAATATGAATGTCATCTACCATATGAGCCATAGGTTTAGATAGGAAATTAAAGCACTAAACTTTATTTTATACTTGTTGGTAAATTTCTAATCCTCACTCGAAATCACTTATCATAAATTTAATTGCCATCTGAAATGTAATCTAATTTAGTATATCAAGTTAAAAGAAAATAGATGTATAATACTCTTAACTCCATCCATTAGGTTATTTATATCCAGGTTAATATTTTGGAGAATAAGTTATGCTGTTTGATTAATCTCATACATAAACTGTTTTACCTTTAGAAAAATCACATCTAATTGTCTTAAAAAGAGAGACATATAGAAGAATTATTGGTATATTATTGTTTGCTATTTAAATTAGAATAAGAAACTAAAAAATAAGAATCAGAACGATTTGCTAACTTATGCTAAATTCCACTCTTTTAGAAATGGAGTGCTAAAACTATTAGATAATTAATTTCTGAAATTTAAGAATTAAATTTTACTCCTAATTAAATTATTTATCAATAAGGAGATCCTGTAGATTCTGTTTATGTTATAATAGATGGATAAATTTAATTATATAGGACATACAATAGAAACTCATTACCTTTAATTATTGTGGGATCTAAAGAATGCTTTGGAGAAGATGAAATACTAACATAATTTCGATCTCATTCAGCTAAATCATTAACCAGCGTTAAACTTTATAGAATATTAAAAAATAAATTTTTAGATAATATCCCTTAAGATTATACAAGTAAATATTTCAAAAAAGATTCACATCATAAATTGAGTATTTATTAAAATGAAGATTAATTTAGAATATATAGATCAGAATCTTTAAAGAATATAAATTCACCTGCTAAAATAATGTAAAGAATTTTGACAAGAAATAAGGAAAAGAATAAAACACACTAATCTATTTCTTTCTAAAAAATAAATGAACTAATTAAGAAAGATTTTAGATAATCTAATACTCCTACAACTATTCTTCAAAAATCTAATAGTGTACATGAGCATACTCGAATTCATGCAAATGGAAAATTCGATAAAACAAACTATTTACTTAGAAATATTAAAATGAGATCTACTAGCTTAAGCGTATGGAAAAAACCTAAATGACAGCATGAGCTATTTCTGTTTTTCTAATATTTTCCTTATTTTAAAAATATATTAAATTAATTCTTATTTCAAAATCAATATCTATAAACTAATTAATTCATTGTCTTACTCTATAATAGGACAGTAAATCTTCTAAAATTAATATTATTTTTCAAATTTAAATATAAGATTAAAACTGATTCTTATGGTAATGCTTGTTACAGTAATTGTAAAACAATGAATACTTTTTTATAAATCAATTGATCAATAATCATTAAATTAAAATTTAACAAGAAAAAGCATCCTTTAATTTTTGTAAGAGCAATCAAATTAGAAAAATAAATACAGATTCTTGATATCATCATATAATAATAGCAAAAACATAATATAGTATCAAATAAAAGTAGTTCTTATCAGAACTTTCATCTCTAGAATTTCATTTAAAAAGTAAAAAGCATAATATTTAGAAAAGAATCTCTAAATTAAATGTGTTTACGAAGTAATAATTACTATAAATATTTGTTACAATCTATGCTTTATTTTTTCATCCTTTTTTATCAAAGATCCTTAATAATATATAAAGTCTATAAAAAATTATTGAAACTAATTTGCAAAATTAATTGAAAATTTTTATAATCAAAAGCTTATCTATCAAGAAGCATATTTATTTTTACGTAAAGAAAGAATAGCGAAAATTGGATACTTTTTAAGACTCTCATAATCAATAACATTTGTAAAATATATTAATTTAAAGATAAATGAATTCTAAATAAATGATTTTAATTTAAAAAGGAATCTTCCTAATAAGTTTTATTATTAAAATAAATTCTACAATCGAAGAATTTATAATAAATATAATTTAGGTTCGAAATTCGAATGGAACTATTGAAGCAATTAATTTATATGGAAATAATAAAAACTCAATCTTATTCGGCATTATGGGTAATTAAAAAAAAAAGGAAAGGTTTATATTAAAATAATTAAAAAATGCATAAATTTTAAAATATATCCATTTGAATGAATTTGATTATAAATTTTATGATTAAATTCGATTTTATCCGATTTATAATTTAATTGTTAAGAAACTTTATTTGTTTAACTTTTATTGTAAATTGAACTTATAAAATACTTAATAATTATTTATAAGTCATTAGTATAAGATGTTCTTATTAATTTATAATTATATTCGTAATCAATATTCATTTTTCATGTACTAGGCAGCTTCTAATTTATTTTCTAATATAAATTATATATTTCAGATATAAATTAATTTTATTTAGTTATTTCATCTTTATTATCATTAATTTGACCTATGATTGCATCATTTTATAATTTGATTTAATCAATTTCTTCATTTTTTTATTTATTCAAGCTCATTAAATTTTTTATTTCTAGATTTAAATTCTCTATCATTTATTGTTTTCTAATAAGTATTTCTTAGCTTTATTATTAAGTTTATTTAACAGAATCTTTTAATAAATTCAATTAAGTTTACAATTCTTATTAACTTAATTTATACTCTGAACAACATAAAAATTCATTTTTAAGTTCAGTAGTAAGGGCTGTTTTAATAATCATCATTTATTATTGTTAATGTTCAGCTAAAGAATTTAAGTTTTTCATCACCAATTATAATTATTTTTGTACTTCTTGATTTGTAGTATTTTCGCTTATTTCTTGTTTTTCATTTTTTATTTATAATTGATGTGTAATTTTTTTTTCTCTATTTTATTCTTAATCAATTTTATTGAAAAATGACTCTAGTTATAGAATTTTTGTTTATTATGAATTCACCTAAATTAATAAATCAGAATTCCATTTCTTTGTTTATTCTTGAAGTTGTAAGTATTATTAATTTGTATTTTAAATGAGTTATTCTAATTATTTGATTTATGAATTTAATGCTGAATTCAATTTTTGATCCAACTGAGGTTCTTATATAAATGCTTTATTTTAGAATTTTTAAGGACTTCCACCATTAGTTTATCGAGGTTTATTCGATATGTTACTTATTTAATTTTTTTATTATTATTAAGTAGTAAATGAAGAATTGATTGATATGTTGAGGGATTGATCATTAGAAGAAAACTAATTGAAAATGAATTATTTAACTGCTCTAGCTTTTTTAGTTTCTTATGCAACAATTTTTCCTAATAGATCTTAATTTGAACTACTCTTTTCAATAGGTGCTTAATATAATGCAACACTCGGATCTTATGTTAAGATAGGACTATTTAATTCCTTAATAAATTAATCTGTTTCTTGCTATTTTAATTTTAATGTTATATTTTAAACTAACTATTCAATAGTTTCTTTTAAGTTTGATTCTGCTTAAAAGCTCTTTATAGGTATAATAAATTACATTCTTGATTTAAATTTCAGTTGTTTATTTCCATGAATTATTATTTGTGATAGACTCATCTAATAATAGAGATTTTTCTTGAGATTTCATTGCTTACTTTTATGAAGCAAGAATTGGTGATTAATTTCTATTTTTAAGTGCTCCTGTCTAAAATATTGATTATTTGGTTGGAGATGATGGTTTTTAAGTTGTATTCTTTTATTGATTATTACTCATGAAAATAAAATAATTTTAATAAATATCACATTCTTGTCTACATTGACAAATTTTCTAATATTTTAGGATCAATTTTAACATCATATTTACAATTTTTACCAGCACAATCTAAAATTTCCATATAAAATCCTGCAATTAAGCCTTCTTCATCAGTAGAAACCATATCATACAATAATTGCATAACAAAATATAAATCAACCTAAAATTATTTAAATAAATCTTCTGAAAAATAAGTTCTTCTTACTTTTTGTAATAATACTTTCAAAACATATTTTACAACAGTTATAAGCAAACTATTCCTGTCATTAATATTTGTTTCTAAAATCTTACACTTTCTTACCATAACGATTTCCATTTAAATATTAAAATTACTTTGTTAAATAATAGATAATTTCTTAACTAGACCTCTTTTTGTATCTGGAAATAGTAGACCAAGTGCTTCAATGAAAATTTTGGCTTCATTTAATAACATTTTTTGAGTTATTTGTTATTAGTACACAATATTTTCTTAATTTAGATATTAGAATATGATGCTTATCCAATGTTCACTCTAAGCCTATGCAAATAACATTAAATTCTTTTAGGTTGATCCATTAATATATGTTTTAAGTTTATTTAATTCTTAATCGGAGGGTGATCGAACTAGAAACTTAAATTATATATTTACTTTTATATCCTTAGAAAACTTAATTAACAAGTTCAAATAATTTATTACTTAAAGTTTTGGAGTACAATTATAAGAATTAGTTTGAGAACAAGTAATAATATGTTGAATCATTAGTGTTCAATAATGGTAATACTTGTTAGATAATATAACTATCATTAAATAATTAATTTAATTATTCTTGAGAGATGGAAATGGATCTAAAGGCAAATATTTTACCTATAAATTTAACAAATTCAATTAATGAAGCTTAGATTAAATTCAAATAAGTCTCTTATTCTCTAAGATAACTTTATTATTAAGAAAATACAAAAGCTTTAAGATCTAATAACCTTATAGTGGTGAAAGCAATTAATTTTTATTTGATTACAGTAATGAGATTCATAATTTCTCTTTTAATTTCATCTGTAGATTATAAACGTTATAAATCATTTTTAGCAAATACAAGTAATTCTAAAAATTAAACCCTTAAATGACTAAAGGATGTAAAAACCTATCCTCTACAGATATTTTCAACGTTTTCTGTAAATTTATCTATAATTTCAGTTCTTAATTATTATCTAATTGAATTATTTTCAAATAATGATTAAAGTTCAGTTTATAATTTAACAAAGACTTCATTAACTTAAACATTATTAATTTTTTTTTGACTCATTTTATCAGTAACTCCTTAGAAAACTCCATGAATAATTTCTTTAATACATTGAGTTGATAATAATTCTAAAGATTTATCTCTTAAAGTTCCTCTTATTTCAATAAGCAAAAAAGAGACCTCAACTTTTAATTCTTTGAATATAATTTAACATAATTAATTAATTAACCATAGAATTGATCCTTAAATAGCTGAATCAGAATTAACTATTTCTTTTTCTTTCATTTATTTATATTCTTCTAATTCTTCTACTGTATAATCATATCTTTTATCTTCTAAATAATCCATCAAATTAACAACTTCTGAAGATTTTGTGATAGCTGCTTTATCTATTAATTCTTTAGCTACAGTTAAATATCTCTCTTTTATTATTTTTTAATAATGTCTTAGAACAGCTTCTTCATCATCCATTATTTATATCAATTTTTTGACTGCTGATCTAGCCTCTTAAGTAGATATTGAAACTTTAGATTCAGAATACAACTATAAAAGTGGGTTCTATTATTTGAATTCTATTAAAGAACTCCAAAGAATTTATCTAGTATTATCTAATTTTTAATTTGTTTCTTTGTAAATTGGTTAAATAAGTGGCTCATTTTTATATTAATCCAATGTTGAATAACATTATTTATAATATTAGGCAGTCTCATTAAAATATTCATCATAATTCTTTCCTTTACTAATTTTATATTGGTCTAATTCTTTTTGTATAATATGAGGAAAATTGCAAACAGAATTAAGTCTACTCAAATCTTTATTTACAGTATCTAATTTGATTATTTCTTCTCTTTTAATCGATAATTAAGAATCTATTCTTCTAGATAATTAGGCAATCCTACTCATAGATTGTGCCAAAGTCTCAACTTTTTAATCTATTTAAGTAATATCAGTTTTCATCTTTTTAACAGTGTCAATTGATGATATGAATTTGCTATATCTAATTTGTTCTAGTACCTATAATTTTCAAAAACTAATGATTATATATCTTAATCATATTCTTTGATTTCTGATTACAATTAATTGTGTCTTTATATTAAATCTTAAACACTATGATTTTTTAAGAATTCTCCAACATATTTTTAACAATCAAATTTAGATGAATCAATATCAAGTTAATCCATATTATTTTTAATAATAAAGTAATCAATAAATATATTCAAATAATAATATAATTTAAACTCTTCATAAATTAACCTCAATTCCAGTACAATTATGTATGAATTATCCTGTTAAAGTCTGTATAGTTCTCGAATGAGAAACACAAACAAAAGGTTCTTCAAATTGAAGGTATTTCTTGCATTCATTTACTCTTTTAGTATTTTCTTCAAAGGTTTCAACTTCAATAGGATGTTATTTCATGTATTCTAAAACCTTCTCAATACAAGCTTAACTTCCATATTCAGTCTCATGAATATATTATTTGAGAAGGTTTGCTCTATTTTAATTATAAATAAATTCAAGAGACCACATATTTGGATGCTATTAAATAATTTGGTTCGATAATAATCTTTTATAATCAATGAATGAATATTCATTCATAGTTTCTTATAATCTCACACCAAAATCACATGCTGAAAGAAACATTTCACGCAAGTAAGGTTCAATAACAAATTTTGGTTTATTAGAATGATCTTAAAAGAGTAAAACAGCAGTTTCTACAGCTCTTTTTAGTGGACTTACAACAACTGTTTCAATTCTAAGATCTTCAAATTTAGTTGGATCACACTATGTAAGTTTAATAATTGATTTCAGTAAATACTTATTCTCTTCCAAATTTAGTTAAAGGAGCATCACATAATTTTGATGAATATTTCACATTTTAATCTTCTTCTTCTAACTTTACTTCAATATCTGAATTCTTTGCAATTCTTTAAGCTAAATTATATTCAGATTCTGCATGTCTTATAAATAATACTTTCTTTTCCATTATTATAATTTAAATAATTATTAAATTCTTATCCTATTTTTACTTTTTGTTAAAGCTTTTCAATTTTTCAAAAGTTTCTTCAAAATAATTGAATTGATATAAAAATGAATAAATATATCATAATAACTAATTACGTATACCTATTCAATTTAATTTATCATTATTTTCTATATGGATTAATAATCTGATCAAAGTACTCAAGATAAAGAATCGATTTAAGACTTGGAATAATCTTAAACAACTTCAAATGTCCTTTAATAATAACCAATTAAAGAAATAGAATATCCAGAAGTCTAAATATGTATTTCAATAGAAGATGCTATAATGAAAGATGCAGGATTTGGATAAAAATTTACAGTTTATTTAATTAAAGGATCAGACAATCAAGGATCATTTGAAGTCTAGAGAAGATATAACGATTTTTTTGAATTAAGAGAATTATTAGTCAAGAAATGGCCAGGGTGTTATATTCCACCAATTCCTGAAAAAGCATTAGCAAGTGGCAATGACATAGAAACTGTTTAAATAAGAAGGCGACTTATGGAAGTCTTTTTGATGGCAATTACATAATTACCATACATTTATTATTCTGAAGATTTCTAGTAATTGTTTTTGAGATCTAATTCACAAGATATTGCAAAAGTAAATATCATCTAAATTAATGTAGATTTATCAACAGTAAAAAGCAATAACAACATCAGATATTATTGATAGATTAAAGATAGCTTATCCAAAACTTGACGTTAGAGATTAATCAAATAGTGAATATATGTTAGCTATCAGTACCTTTTCAGGTTAATTAAGAAAATCATAAGCCATTTTGAAAACATATATTGATTAGGCTAATATAGTTGCGCAAACTAGAAGGATATTATAAGATGAAAAATGTATAGTTTTATTATTCAATTTTAGTGAACTTATTTAATGGATCTTTACCATTTTATGAAAAAGTTATTCTTAATGAATATGTTTGTGGTAAAGAATAATTATTAGTATTATCTAACCCATCCTAATAAGAAGATTATAAAAAATTACTCGAAGATATTGTAAAATTTTCAATATTAATTTTTAGAAAGAAACAAATAAGAAAAATAATAGCATCAATTCATTAACTGATTTATTTAGATATGAATTAAAAGATGCTGAATGTATGTAATAAACTTTAGCTTACAGAGATCAAATCATTATTATTAGAGCAAGATAGGAATAAAAAATGAGAGAAGATTAAGCTGAATTAGCAAAAATGGCAGCAAAATAATAAACTTTAACTACTATCACTAATTCTACAGTCAATAAATCCAAGGATGCTTCATAAATTAAAATAGAATAAAGAATTTCAGAAGTAAATTCTTCATTATAATTAGGGATAACAAGAAATTGATAAACTCTTTTAATTATATAATATTATTACAGCTATTATTGCTACCTAAGAAATTGAAAAATATAGAAAAGCTAGAGTTAATCATTATCATAAGTTTTTGAACGCTATTCAACAATCTGAAACTAAATTATATTAAATCGAAAATTAATTTTTGGATAAAGTTATACAAGAGGCTTAAAAATAGTAAAAATAATCTTAGTAAGAATAATAATAATTAAATGAATAAAAATAATAATTTTCATAATAATAAAAATCATAAAAATTACCAGATCAAGAATGATCAAAATGATTTATATCATATAAATATTTTTAAATTAAATGATCTTCTTCATCATCAATCTTTATTATTATTATATAAAATATTTAAAACTTTAATCTTATATATCATCATAAAGCTACTAATATTTTTATTTTAGTAAATAATCTTAATTAATCAATTTTTTTAAGATTTTTTTGAATTTTACGAACCTAATGACTTTTAACTAGATCTTTATGATTCTTAACTCTTTTTTTTTTAAATTTAGCTATTTCTCTTAAATTAAGGTGATGTACCATCATCTTAATTATTATTTTACTACTACTGATTAAATTGGGGTTGATATTATTGTGGAGGTTATGGGGGAGAAAAAGGTAACATAGGAGTTGTATATTATGGAAAATTTGGATTTACAAATTATCTATATGGATTACTAAATTCAAGATCAATGTTAGCCTAAACTTCCTCATCTATAAAATATATTATATTGATACCTATGGACTCTTTCTTTTACATTCTTAAGTTAGGATATACTTATTCTAATGCTTCATGATTTTAAATGCTGGGTACTTTCATTCCCAATTAAATTGCTTTTGGAAATACAAGTTTCTTTAATTCTTACTCTTTTATTCGTTAGATTCCAAAGTTTAATTATCTATTGAGTTTATATAAATAATCCTATTCAGCTTTTTTTTATCTTGCTATTACTGTTTTTTTTTCTAATTCTTCAAGTTCCTGTTCCATTTATTGTTTTCTTTTATCCATTCTCCAATTAAAATCTTCAGTCAATTATGCTATTAATTCATTTTATTTTGCTAATAAATCTACTAACATTTCCTCTTCTTATCTCTATTTTAATCTTTACATTATAGCTCCTGCTCCTAAATTTACCATTTAATATGTCATGTTGTTTTAATTTGAAATCATCATTGGTTGTGATTATGAATATAGGACAGGTGGACTCTCAAATTGTGATTATTAAACCTAAAATTGTGGTTGATACATAATTTCTCTAAATTATTTTCTTAAGATAAAATAAATTATATATTAATCAATTAATCAAGTTAAAAATTTAAGTCTCATTAATGTTATAGATATTAAATTAAAGTGAAGAACTTATTTAAAACTCTGTTTTATAATTGATTAAAATAAGAATTGTAGATAATCTTGATATCTTTTGAAATTAATTACAGAAATACTAATTTATCTAATTTTTATAAAATTTGAGATTCAATTTAATCATTGAAATATGCATCCATTATTATTATTAAATAAAAACATTTTTTTCAAAAAATTGAAAGACAAAGAATTAAAAAAAGGAATACAAAGTATTTTAGTTAGTTTAATCTTTAGAATGAATTTTGAAATAATATAAAAGTAGAAATGATTGATTAGAATTAATATAAGAATAATGAAAATACAATAGATAAATTAAAATGATAAGGAAGATTATAAAAAAATAATAATAATTATATTTAATCAGATAGCGACGTTGAAACTGACATCAATGCTGTTTCAGATGGTTGATCCATAGTAAATCTCATCATATTAAATATTAAACTAAAATACATATATTATGATATAAATAATAATGATATTAATTTTATGGGTTGTTTCATAATAAACCATTTTATTATAACAATTATTAATATCTCAATATTTTAGCATCCTTTTATTTCATGAGTTCATCCATACGATGCAGTTTTTATTCTAGCACCTAAGTTTGCATATAATAATGATATGATAACCTCGATAGTTTCGCGTAATTCAAAAATTTATTAGTCTTTTTGCCATTCATTAGCCATTAATGGAGGTGGTGCTATTTGACTATCTGTTTATTGAGGTTGTTTTTCAGCAGAATTTGTATTATTTTCTAAATAGTATTCTAATTTGGCTTAAACAAATTTTAAAACTCTCTCAATAGCTTCAGATTAACATGAAATAACACTTTCAATTTATTCTCTATAATAAATTTTCAAATTTATACTTTGAGAGAGTAAAGCCAATTCTTTTGAATACTTTTGTGTTTAATGTATCCCAATTATACTTTTTCTATTTAACAGAATTGGCTTGACTGTAATTATGCATCTGATCAAATTCAAATCATTAATACATCAACCAATTTAGGTAGAAAATAATGCATTATTTCAGCCATTAATATACCATCAGCGAAATCTCTGGCTATATTCTTTTTTGGTCTGGTTAAGGGTATTTAATCAACCCATGTATATATTTCATTCAATTCTTCTTCTTTTAGTGGTTAAAGCATTATTAATTATTTTATACAATTATATAATATAGTATAATGAATATGAAAAGATTTTATTTTTTGATAATTTATTACGTAATGATAAATCATTTGATATTATGTCTAAATTTCATTAAACTATAAACTCTCTGATATCATCAACATCAATGGGATGTCTCTAATAGGTTTTAGGATTTCCCATCAATTCTAATTGATTCTCACTTATTGGTTGATAAAAGTTAATAACTCTATCAACTCCATTATAATGAGGTAAAATAACATCAAGAAACATGAATAGTTCTGAATCATGACTCTAAATGATATAAATGATAGAATACATTTGAAAATTTGTGTAAATTACACTTATTAGGAGTTGTGTAACAATTATCACCTTCTTTAAGTTATAATTTAGGATATTGTATAGCCTTTAAAATTCTAGAATCTCCTTTATTTTTTCTAAATTCAATTTGTTGATGATGATCAATTGGATCAATATCCCATGATTCTCTTTCACCAATTCCATTCATTACATGACTTAAAACAAACATATTTGGATGATCATGTAAAGGCATTTTAACTCCTGATTTTAAAGCAAACATTGCAATAGTAAAACGATGTTCTGGTTCTAAATGTATAGGTAACATAGATATATCCCCAATAGGTTTAAATTCTTTTTTGATATATTCTTGTAATTGTTTCGTTTTAACAGCTTCAAATGTTGCTTCTGTTATAGCACGATTATCAAAGGTATCTAAGTAACTTGGACCCAATTTTTAGAATTAGGTATACACTTTAACAACTTCCTTCAATAATTTATGCATGAACTAATTTCTATTTAGATTTAAATATTTATCAAATGTTCCAAATAAAGATTGATTAAAAATATGAAAAAAATTAATTATATTTTTAACAGCAAAATAATACAACAATTCAATGAGCTATTTTGAAAAGCATAAAAGAAACTCTTCTCCAATATTACGTACAACTAGTGAAGATAGAATTAAACAAAATTCATTGAAAGAAACTAATATATCATATTTAGAGTAGTAAATACAAAAAGTATGGAATCATGTTTAATTAGGTTTAATTATAATTAACTAAGAAATACGAAGAAAGAATCAAATTTGTTGAAGAAACTCTCTCACAACATGAAGATAAATTCGATAATTTCATTAAATTAATTAAATTACTTTAACACTTTGCTACAACCTAAGAATAAGAAAATTAAAATATTAAAAATCATATTAATTTATCTATGGAATAGTTATATCATGAAGAATTAAATTATTTAAAACAATAAAATCTAAATATTTAATTATAACTAGAAGATATTCAGAAAATTTATGAAAAAGAACAACCTTAAATTTAAGAATTGGAAACTATTATTAATAAAAAAATTGATATAATTATGGATGAAGTTAGAAACAGTGCTTTAAAAACAGATTATGAAAAAATAGAATAAAAATTATTAAAATTAGAATAAAACTTTAAGTAAGAATATCATTAAAAAAGTAATGATTCAGACAAAATATTAAATAATAGTTTAATGTATCAAAATTAATTAAATGATCTAAAAATAGTCTTAGATAGTGTAATAAAAGATTAGGAATAAACAAAAAATTATATTAAATATATAGAACTTGATTTGAACTAAAATAAATAAAAAGAAAAAATAAATTAAATTAGATCTTCAGTTAGGAAGGAATCCTAACCTACAGAAAGTGATATTATGTTTATTAGACCAATTAGAGATTAGAAAGAAAATATTAAAAATAATGAAAACAAAAGAAATAAAAGTAAATCAAGTCAAAGTAGAAGTTAATCAAGGAATGCTAGATTAGAGACAATAAAAAAAAAAAAATAAGAAAGTGTTAAAGAACTAATTAAAAAACATAAATAACAACCAATTAAACTGTATTGATTTATAAATATATATATTTGTTAATTATTACTAAGGGGAATTTTATATATAGAATGTTTATTGATCAAAAATACTTTATTTAGTATATGTAAATAAATTCAATAAATTTTATATATTGGCTACTTAAATTGTAACTTATCCTTTAAAATCCTATCAATTTTTAAGACCAATTTTCAATATCTATAATCCCATTTGAAAATTCGATGTTTAGATTAGGAGTATGATTAACAATAAGATATATCTCTATTTTTACTTGGTCTATTTCCATTCTTTGGATTTGCATTTAATTTATGTAAGCCTATGTTTTAAGTATTTTCGAAAAATATTTTTATCCATTAAAGAGAGAATTTTGACCATGTATCGGAGGATTTGATTATTAGATAAAGATACCAATTAACTATATGGGACTAAAATNATAATTTCATTAAATTAATTAAATTACTTTAACACTTTGCTACAACCTAAGAATAAGAAAATTAAAATATTAAAAATCATATTAATTTATCTATGGAATAGTTATATCATGAAGAATTAAATTATTTAAAACAATAAAATCTAAATATTTAATTATAACTAGAAGATATTCAGAAAATTTATGAAAAAGAACAACCTTAAATTTAAGAATTGGAAACTATTATTAATAAAAAAATTGATATAATTATGGATGAAGTTAGAAACAGTGCTTTAAAAACAGATTATGAAAAAATAGAATAAAAATTATTAAAATTAGAATAAAACTTTAAGTAAGAATATCATTAAAAAAGTAATGATTCAGACAAAATATTAAATAATAGTTTAATGTATCAAAATTAATTAAATGATCTAAAAATAGTCTTAGATAGTGTAATAAAAGATTAGGAATAAACAAAAAATTATATTAAATATATAGAACTTGATTTGAACTAAAATAAATAAAAAGAAAAAATAAATTAAATTAGATCTTCAGTTAGGAAGGAATCCTAACCTACAGAAAGTGATATTATGTTTATTAGACCAATTAGAGATTAGAAAGAAAATATTAAAAATAATGAAAACAAAAGAAATAAAAGTAAATCAAGTCAAAGTAGAAGTTAATCAAGGAATGCTAGATTAGAGACAATAAAAAAAAAAAAATAAGAAAGTGTTAAAGAACTAATTAAAAAACATAAATAACAACCAATTAAACTGTATTGATTTATAAATATATATATTTGTTAATTATTACTAAGGGGAATTTTATATATAGAATGTTTATTGATCAAAAATACTTTATTTAGTATATGTAAATAAATTCAATAAATTTTATATATTGGCTACTTAAATTGTAACTTATCCTTTAAAATCCTATCAATTTTTAAGACCAATTTTCAATATCTATAATCCCATTTGAAAATTCGATGTTTAGATTAGGAGTATGATTAACAATAAGATATATCTCTATTTTTACTTGGTCTATTTCCATTCTTTGGATTTGCATTTAATTTATGTAAGCCTATGTTTTAAGTATTTTCGAAAAATATTTTTATCCATTAAAGAGAGAATTTTGACCATGTATCGGAGGATTTGATTATTAGATAAAGATACCAATTAACTATATGGGACTAAAATAAGCTAAAGTTTATTATATTAAGTAAATACTATTGTTATTATTGACAATTATTTTTAAGGTTATTTTTTGTCCAAAAATTTTAAATCAGTAGAATTTAATGACTATCAAATATTATTAATCACAATTTTTAATAATAAGAAGACAACTTAAAAATTAATTTTATTTTTTTGTCTATATATATTCAAATAATATAGAGTATATTTATAAAATGAAGAGTTTTAAGATAGAATAAAGAAAAAGAAGGTAACATAGTATTTGATTAATAAGTAATAAATTATTTGAATTAAATTTTGAAATGTAATTTTGATTAATGAGGATATTTTTTTATTTTAAAAATACTGTGATATATATATATTATAAAATAACTAAAATAAAATGAAGAATTAATGATATACAACATATGCAACGTATATTAAATTTTTTTATTAAATAATCATCTTGTATAGCGACTGAGAGGTATGGGATAAGTGTAAAAATACAATAAATTTCTAAATATGCCAGAAAGGGTATAAATAGGATGATTTAAAATTCTATGTTTACTATAAAATTAATCTTCTGATTTAGCCTATTTTGCAGTTTTACCCTATGATAAATAGATTAAAATTATACAATTGAAATATAATAGCAATTAAGAGCGTTAACAGGGAGAAGAAAACAAAAGCATGTAATCATAATAATAGTTACTAATATGGTTATAAATGGATTCTCATAATATCTATAATCTTGATATTCATCATTAATATTAATGAGAATAGCTGAATAAACTATAGGAAGAATGAACATAACCATCAAAATTATGACATTCAGATAAGTTTATTGTGTGCAACAACCACAAAGAAAATATAATCCATATATGACTATAATAGGAATACTAGCTTATTAAAACATTAAAATCCAAAGTTCATACATATCTATATATTATTGAGATACTTGTTATTATAGATATATATATACAATTTAAGCAACATTAAGATAGAATAAGAATAATTGAAAGCAAAGAGGATTATAAAAATAATAAAAATGCTCTCCAATTTCGGAACCCTATACAAGTGCCAACCCAAAAACAATGATGATCAAAACCATCAACACAGTGATTACAGTGTTTGCCTAATCAAATATAAATAATACAATGTGAAGCTTTTGAAGGTCTCATAATTTTACAAGTTGAACAATATCTGACTGTATAAATATTAGGTAAATCAACATTTTCAGATTAATTTTATAATTCTGTCATTTGTACAATCTAATGCTATTAATTACTTAATATTTATTATTCAGAACAATTTTATTCAACTTTTTCAACTTCTTATTGCTATTATAATTTAGGATCAGGTAAATCTCCTCTTATTAAAATACCAGGTTCTAAATATAATAATTTCTAATTTCAACCTGTCATTGTAACATTAAAAAGTGTTATAATTGGAAATATACAACAAATCAAAATTGTTATCGCAAAATAATTATATTGATAATCTAATGCTGCACGAAATATAAAAATTAAGTACAAAAGTATAAGAGCAACTATCAAACTTAAAGTTCCTATAATATTTAATAAGTCTTTCTAATATAATAGAAATAATTAATTTAACTTTTGCCCCAAATATTATTGTGCCTTTACATATAGTAAAAGCTTCAAATGATTTTTTAGTATCCATAGTTTCATTATCTTCATAAAATTATTGTATATTATTCATAAAATATATAAAATTTAATTTATGAGAAAGCTTAAATTTCATGAGAAAAAACTATGAAGAAGAGTAGATTTATATAATTGGAAGAAAGAAAAAGTAACAGACAAGTTGAAATAATAAAAGAATATAATTTATTTAAAAGAAAGTTTATGATAAAAATAATAGAATGTGTGGTCACATTACTTCTATGATTTCTAAAATTAAATTATTATCAGCTCAAGATCAATTGAGACTGAAATTAACAGAATAATTATTGGAGAAATTTATACTATATGTGAATTCTAACAATATATACAATTGCGAATAATTATAATTATCTCAATATCTATGTATATAAGTACTTGTAAGTAGATCTTAAGAAGATCATATCATTATAGACAAATATATCTAAAATCTAATAAACTATATATTATATAGGTTGATTTAAAATTTATAATTTATTTTATATTGTTATATAGATAATTTAATATGTGATTCTTATATTTTAATGCAAAACTTTAATCATTCTAATTTTTCTTTATTGGATAATCTTTGTTAAATTGCATAACTAAATATTGTTGAAAGTCCAACACCAACACTTTTTAATAAATTAAAAGTAATTACAACACCATATAATTTAAATGGATTATTTCGTTTATCATAAGCAAGTTATCTTTGATTATTATCTAATTCTTCAATTATCAATTCAATATAATCTTTAACAGTATCCACATCAATTCCAATCTAATCTCGTATGATACTAACAAATATTTTATGGACATCATTTATGGGTTAGATATTATTTTAAAAGTATTATTCTCTCATTCTTAATATATCTTAATATATCGATTTTACATCATCCAATAATGTTTCAAAACTGTCAAAGTATTCATTAAGTGATGCACCTAGAAATAAATAATATGCAGTAAATCCAATTAAAATTAAAGCCATTTCACCCAGTAAGATTAATTAAAACATGTCAATCTGAATTAGGTCTAAAATTAAACCTAAAGAGATAAATATCAAAACTATATTAGCTACAAAAATCAATGAGTAAAATCCTTATACTCTTAGATTATAAGTTTATCCATAATCAAATGATAAAGATCTAATAATAGACCATGCTTGTAAAGTTAATGGATTATTAAAGTTGATGGTAGGGATAAGTTTTCGAGCAGTTGGATATATTACTTTTTTTGCTGATAACATATAGAGACATTGATCAAGTAAAAAGAATTTTCTTCTAAAATCATAGATTCCTATGGCTAAGAAAATGACTGAACCAAAAAAGGCTTATAATGAAGTTAAAAAGTTAATTATCAATCTTATTATATCTTACCAATCCGGTATATTTTCCATAAAATGTTATAATCTAATGAAAATAGGAGAAATACCATAAAATAAAGAGAAGAAAATCATATATTTATAAAAAGATGATGAAGAATTAGTCTTTTGATAGTAGTTAACCAAGTAACCGAAAATGTGAAATCCATTATAATATAAATTTTCAATAATAGGATCAGTTTATTTCATTTATTGTTTCATTGCCCATTCAACATAAAAACATATATTCGTGGTTTTTATAGCTTCAGATGTTTTTTTATTTGGATCTAATAGAAAGTCAAATTTATATAAAGAAAATTCTTATTCATGTCTTCTTAAAGCTCTATATTACTCTAAAAATAGAACTTTAGATGATTATTCAAACCAATCTTAAAACATTAGATCAAAATTAAACATTTCTTCAGGAAGTTCTTCAGTTTTATATAATTTAATTCTAGCAGTACTTAATGTAGCATATTTAGCTGCAATAACAACTGAACGAGTAGAGATAGCAAACCACATAAAAATGATTTCTGTCATAGTAATAACACTCTTATCTTGTATAAAATACATTAAACCACCTAAAGCTGATCCAATCCATAACAGAGTTTACATATAAAATGATGCTGAAGGCTTAATAAATCTCATATTTTTTAATAAAATAATTCCTGGATATTTAAATAAAAATAAAACAACAAAAGGTCCAAAAAATATAAAAAATAGCAAGTGATAAAAGAGAAATTCAAAGAATACGTCCCAATGCCATTCTGCTTTGTATCTTTATAGTTCTTCATTATTAACTTCATCAAATGTAATTTATTTTGATAATTATTTTTAAGGATTGTACTCTTTTAAAGGAGCAGCATCTAACTAATAGATTGCCAAAGTTTTAACAGGTGTATTTACAGTAAGCAATTATCTTATTTATTATGCTCTTCTAACAGATTTTATAAATTTCCCTTCTTCAGTTGTATTCTAAATTGGAGTGTCTGCATCAATCTATTTGATTGATTAACTTGAACGACTTTGCATTTTATAAAATATTATAATTAAACATTTATATTAATATAATTTAGGAGTAAATTTTTATATCATTTTGTAAGACACCCTATGTCTACATTTTACATTCTTTGTTACACTGCAAATCCAACCAAAGTAAAAACTCCAACTACTAAACTTTATAAAAAGTTTAAAGTTATTCTAATTCCATAGATTTTAAAAGGATTATGCCTTTCATCATAGTTTAATTATCTTATTGCATCATCAATCTCTTCTATTATAAGATTGATATATTAAGTTATAGTTTCAATTGAATTAGTCTAACTCTTTAATAAATTTACAAATTTTTTATGAATAGCATTTGTTATTTCTAAATTTAGAATAAAATATTGTTCTTTTTTTCTAAGCATATCTACATACATATTTCTAACATCTTCTAGTAAAATATCAAATCTTTCATAATATTCATTCAGTCTAGCTCCATGCCATAAATAATATCCGATAAACCCAGTTAAAATTAATAACATCTCTGACAATATTGTAGTTTAAAAGAAATCTATGTGAATAAAATTTAATAATACTCCTATTCCAAATAAAAATAAAAATATCCACCCTATAAAAATCAATGAATAAAACCCTTGAATTCTGAAATCATAAGTTCTTCCATAATCAAAAGCCATTCCTCTCAACATTGACCATGCCTAAAAAGTTATTGGATTATTAAAATTGATTGTTGGTAAGAGTTTCCTTCCTGAAGAATACTTTTACTCCTTTATATTGAGCATATAACAACATTAATCCAAAATATAAAACTTTCTTTGTAGATCATAAAGACCAATCTACAAAAATACAAAAGATCCAAAGAATCCTTAAAATGTTGTCAGAACATTTATGATTATTCTCAAAATATCAATCACCCCAACATCAACTTCATAAAAGTATTATACTCTTAATAAACAGGGAGTTAAAGATAATATTAAAGATTATATTACTACATATTTTGAAAATCCTCCAGGAGTGTGTACTTTTTAGTAAGCATTAACCAAAAAACCAAATATAAAAAAACAATTAAAAGTGTTGTCTATAATTGGTGCAATTAAAGATTCTTCTTACTATTCTAACCATTCTCTATAAAATCCTACATCAACTTAAATCAAATTTTTGACAGTCTTTGGATGAGGTTAACATAAAAAATCGATTTTATAAAAATCAGGATCCAATTCTCTTCTTTTTAAAAACCTCAATTGTTCTAGAAACAAAACTTTTGGTGTTTGAAGTCTCCAATCCCACATCATTAAATCAAAAGTAAACATTTCTTCACTTAAAACTTCTTATTTATATAATTTGATTCTTTCCTCACTTAATGTTGCATATTTGGCTGCTATCACAACTGCTCTTATTAATAGAGCAAATTAAGTGAAAACTACTTCAGTCAAAGTTACAATATTTTTTTAATCAAACATATACCAATAGCCTCCTGCCAAAGATCCTAACCATAAAAGTAGTTAAAAGTAGAATTAAGGATGATGTTTTAAAAATCTCATATTTATCATCAAAGGCATACCTGGCCATTTCCAAAAAAATAAAACCATGAATGGTCCAAAAAGATTATAAAACATCTAGACTATAAATATGAGTTATTACTATATGATAAAATAGGAATTCAAAGAAAAACTTCCAATGCCATTCTGTTTCGTATCTATTCATCTCCTCTGAGGCCACTTTCAAGAATGTAGCCGAACGCTTCAAAGTATCTTTATAAAAATGTTCTCTTAATGGAAGTTCTGCTTCGTCTATATCTTTTGCTGGTGTATCTACCCTTGTTTCAGATTGAATCAAATTAAAGCTCTTGAGTTATAATACTTTTGAATATGCTTATCTATGTTTCTCATTCCTTTCCAATGAATTTATGTTCCCATTATCCCCAAGACTGGTTTTAACTTAAGTAATACATATATTATTCATCATAACAAGAATTTCTTAAAAATTATTTTAAATACAAGAAAAATTTGGAATAAAGTTCAACTTAAAATTATGCTCTCAATTAAATTTTAATTCAGATAATCAACGAAATTTAATCATCAGTAATTAAATGATTACATAGATATTTAGAATAATATGAAAATCAGTACTATAATGCTATAATTTTAAAAAATTAAATTAACATTATAAATTTCTATGAATTTATTCTAATCCTTATCTTGCCTAAATTCATTTTCAAATATTATAAACCTAATTTACTTATTTTGTTGAAAAAAATGTTATTTTAAAAAATATGTAGAATCCAATTTAATCATTTGAGCTTGGATAATTTGCCATTTCCATATATTATCATTTAAACGAAATTTGACTATAGATATTAATAATTAAAGAATTAAATATTAGTCTTATGACTTTTTTTTTAATAATATAAATTGATTATGCTTTATATATTATTCAATATATATCACTAAATATCTGTACCATACAATAATCTATGAGCTCTTTGAATAATTGTATCCTGTTATTATAATCTAATTAAATACTTTCTTAGCTTCATATGGGTATTCTTTGCTTGGAATTTCCAGAATTGTAGGTAAGATGGCATCATATGAATTAATAATATGTCTAAGGTAATTTTCAGCAACAAATTAAGTGACAAGGATGACTGCTATATTAGGATGCTTCAAGAAATTCTAAAAAGTAGCCTCAATCAATTTTGGGTCGGTTTCGATTAATAATGATTTTACATACTTGAATCAACTACCAAAAAGTTTGTTTCTCCTTTTATATTTTTTTCACCAATGCCTGTTAATAGAAATCCTGTAACTGTGTCCTTAAATTCTTCATAATATTAAATACTTCATCACCAATAATTGAAACGAGTGATGTGCCTTCAGATTTCTTAAAGGTTTTCTTTGACATTAAATTTAATATTTATTTATTATGAAAAAGATTGATTATTTATATATTATTAAATAATCTTCATTAATCTAATTAAGATTTAGATGGCTTTTTAGATCCTATGTGAACAAAAGAAACCCTTTTAGATTTGTTTTTTTAGTTAGTATATTAATTAGAAAGTTCTATTTGATCATCAACAGGTTAGAACTCATTACTTTATGACATTTAATCTAATTCTGGATCTGTATTTAACAATGCAAATTCATCACTATTAGATTGAATTTAATTATTAACTTATAGAGACTCTACTTCTTATTTAAATTCATATTATCCAATTTTGGATTGGAATCCATAATCACTATCTTAGTCGAATTTCCAAATTTCTAGATAATCCTTAGAAGGCTCAATACATTTTTCACATTCCCTGATGATTGTACTTTGGTTTAGTTAACCATCAAAATTAGTAGCACTCTTTTAATCGAGTTTTCGTATATGATCAACAGCTATATCTTTTTATTGATTTGTTGTATCAAACTTGTTAATTTCTTCAATTTCTTTAATATCATCTAAAGCATATTTTACAGGTTTTTCATTTTTAATCATTTAGGCAATTTATTGATTTCCATATTACTCTGTTAATTTTTCTAATTAAGTAATTTGATCTTCTTCGTCATCACATTAATCTTTAATAATATTTTGATTTATAATATCGAAGTTTTCTAATAGTTTTGCAACTTTTGAAGCATCTTTTAAAGGAACCTTATGATTATTAGGATTATGATTTCCTCCTTTATTTGGGGATCCACCCTCATTATTTCCACCATTATTATTTCCATTTTTATCATTAATAGTGATTTCTTATTTAAAATGCCTACCTTCTTACTTTCTTTTATTAATAATATCTAAGATTGAAGTTTTTTCTTCATTCAACTCTTTAATTTCAGAAGATGTAAGTTCAAAGAATGATTTAACGTTAGAATCAAAACCTAATCCAACTCTACCTACTTCTCCATCATATCTATTTTTCTTAATTTCAAATACTCTATATCTAGGTCTGTTTTAGATTATAAAGACATTATCAGCTTCTTAAGTGGCTTTTGCTGAACCAAAAATAGATGCAATAGTTAGATCTTCATTTTCATCGACTTTTCTAGGATGAATGACCAAAGTTAGATGAATATCATTATTAGTAGTTAATTTTCTAAATTTCTCTATAATTTCATCTTAAAAATCAAATTTTCTATTTCCTCCAACTTATGTTCCCATCATAAATTGCAAATTATCTAAACAAACATGAGTAACATTATACTCATATATTGCATATTCAATTGTGTCAATAATTTAGTCTAAATCAGTTGAACCATAAAAATTCATATAATACTAATATATAAATAGACTATAATACAATTGGTATTTCATTTTCAAATTTTTGAATAGCAATATCAATAAATTCTTTTTATTTAATTAAATCTGTTTTATATGCTTATAATAATTAATGCTCAGCCAATCTATCAGTTTTAATTTCAAAACTACCCCAAAGTGTAGTAATTCCTTCCTTACAAAAATCTAAAGATAGCTGAGATAAAAATGTTGTTTTACCACTACCAGTAGGTCCAGTTAGAATAGTGAATTCTAATTTAATAATTAAAATATACCACCAGTTCTCAATCCTTTAGTAGTATTGTTATAGGTTGAGAATGTCTTAGATTAAGTTCCTTTAGATAATTCAAAGTTTAAAATTCTATTTTTAGTTAATTATTTAAAATCAGTAAATTAAGTGATATTCTTTTTTAGTAAACATTTGGATTGATCAATATAAGTCATAACTTTATCTGAATAGTATCTTAAACAATCATTAGCATCTTTAGGATAATCATGAGAATCAATTAAAGAAGGTTAAACTACTCTAGTTCTTGCATTACCAAGTTTACGAGCAATCTTTTAAGAATTGATTCTACCTGGATTATCATCATCTACCCATATGATAATATCATTCAATTTCTCAAATTAGTCTAACCTAATTTAATAATACTATCTAATACCATTCTATAAGATATGCAGGAATATGATTAATTCCATATGGTAATGATATAGCAGGAATATTAGTCATTTAATAAGCAGCCATAGCATCAAATTCTCCTTCTGTTAATATAACTTGAGTAGAATCTTATTTAAGCAAATGCAATCCAAATATTCCTTTAGCAGCATTCATTGGTTCAATCTTTTAAATATGTTTTAAGTCCTTCCCTGCTGCTCTAACTTTACAACTTACCAATTCATATTAAAAATTATCAAATTAATTATCTAGTTGTTATCTAATATTCTATTTAGTATCTTCACTCACAATTTATTCACTTAAAACTTCATCTTTTTTTTATCGCAATGCTTTCTACATTAATCTATTCTTTTCATGCTAATTTCTGTATCTAAACATTGGAAAATAAATCAAAGGAGCCTTTATATAAGATCCTTATTAATGATCATATATTTCAGTTATATCAATTCCAATCAAATATTATTTTAACACATCATCCCTAATTCCTCTTTAATTCTGACTAGTGAATAATAAACATATTTTACATTTTCCCAATCATCTCCTATCAAATACTCATAAACTATTTTTGGCTCCTATAATTTTAATCTCTCATAATATTTGTGATATTCAAATATATTCAGTTTCTATATTGGCTTCTATTAATTCTGCTGATTTTATTACTATAAATTATTCAAGGTCCCATTCATAAAGTTCTTGAAATCAAACCATGACCCTTTTGCCTAACAACTAGCTCTAAAACAATTATATGATCCACTATTATGAACATTTTTATTATTATTACTTTTCTAAGTTTATTCCCATAACAAACTAATTTGATGGATTCTCTATATTATTTTTTGGACAAAATGGACAATATCTTACTTAAGCATACTTTCCCTATATTTTATGTTCCATCTTTTTATCCTCCAAGTATTAAACAATTGAATACGATGAAACTTTAAAGTGTTTTGAAGTATAAGTAGGATGGATCTTAATGTCATCTAAAAAAATACCAAATTCTCTTCTTTCTCTTTGAAAAATTTATTGTAATTATCATCAAAATGATAAACAATTTTTTATTAAAGAGATTTGAACATTCGATTTTTTATTACAGATTAAGCTATTCTAACTACACGTCTCATTTGATGATCGTAAATTAAATTAAAAATTAATTTAGGTTCAATATTTTATTATAAATCATTTCTAATCTAAATGATTGATTAATTTTATTTCTTATTCATCATTCTGTATATTATCTTATTTTAATAAAAATGTCCAAGCATATCATTGAAATTACAAACAACACAAATTTAAGAATTTTGCTACTTTTTCTTGATTAAGAATTTCCTTTAATGTCAGTTCTTTTTTTATAAAAAAAAACATGATAATACTTTAAATTGTTAAATTAATTATATTTAGAAATATTATTTATTAACTTAATACTTTTAAATATAGTTTAAGAGGTTCATATTAAAGTATTATATCTATTTTAATTTACAGTGAAATCAGCATTATGAATTTCTTCATAAAAATGTTGGGTAATCTATATAAAAAAGACGCAAAATGTATAAAGAAAAATTAAATAATAATAAATGTTTCAGTGATTTTGTAATCTCGATATATTTTAATCATATAAAAATCATTCTCATTCGTTCTGATTTTCATCATCAGAATGAGTTTTATGTTTATTAAAATAGTGTCTTATGATTTGTTTTGTTCTTGGAAAAGGCTTTTCTATTTTTACAATTTATCTTCTCTTATGATTTCTTCTCAAACGAGGATTAAAAGGATTGAATTTTTGATGGTGTGATCTAGTTGTATAATAATAGTACCTGCATTAACTTGGGGTTCGAGTGCCAATAATCTAACTCATTCTTTTGAACAATGGCTATCCTTTCCTTTGTGTATCTCCTGATCCTTTTACCCTAAGTAAGAATTAGACATATTATTAATGTTCCTCTTGGCTCCAATGACCTTATTTTACATTCGTATTATTGCTGATATCTTATTATTTCAAAGGATTTATCGTAAGCTCAAGATACTCCTGGTTTAAAGTGCCTGAATTCTCTGATTTCATTTAATACTTGCAATTTGAATCTTAAAATAAATAATTCAAGAAGAACTTAATATCAATAAAGATAAATAAAATTTTACTATATTTTACATTATTCAAGAGTATCTTCAGGATTCTAATCTCACTGAACAAAATTAATAATTGGTAGATAAGATCATCCATTATAAAAATAAGATACTTTTTTTATTATGAAAATAAAAAAAATTCATTAGCATTTTTTAATATATACAACCTTTCTATTAAATTTTCACATTAATACACTATGTTAACTATTCAACTTATTAGATATTAAATATGTGCCTTTTTTAAATTTCATTACACAACATATTAGATTTTAATCTAAACAAATGATCCCTCCTCAATCTATGAGAAAATACTATAGAGCAAATTGAGAATACTCATAACAATTTAACTAGAGTAATTAATATTTATGTAAAAATATTTTAATAAAAAATCAAAAAGTCCCTTTTTAAATGATAAATCACCTAAAATTGGATATTCAACCAAGGATCAATCAATTAATAATGAAAATATAAACAGAGAATAAACAATAGAAAAATTAATATTATAATTAGATTATATAAGAAAAAAAAATGAGTAAGAAAAAAGGGAAATGATTGATACTTTTAATCTATAAATGTAAACTAAAATTAAACAACACTAAATATTGGAAACTGAGTATTAACAAAAAAATTAATTATTAGAATAATTATTATTTTAGGAATAATCAAAAACAATCCATCTAACCAGAATATTGTAAGAAAAATAAAAAGGGAATCCTATTTCAGATAAAGATTAATTTCGAAACAAATATCAATCTTCAGAATCATCATAAGATTCTCAAAGTAATAATACCAAAGTTCAAACTAAATAAACATCAAAAGATATTTCAGTTAAACAGCTCCTAGAAATAATTAATAATATTTAATCAAATATTGTTCGACATTCTAAAATAAAAAGGCTTAATATAAATTGGATTGATTATGAAATTCTAGAAACTGATTTACAGAAACAAAAAGATTTATCTAAATCTTTAGCTAAAATTAATTAAATCTTTGATAAATTCTTTAGTATTATTAATGATAATTCTGCTCCATAACTTTCCCCTTATAGAGTTGGGAACATTCCTAACTCATTCTAAACTATTGATACAAAGATTACGCCAAATTAATTATAAGGGAAAGCTAAATTATAAAATATTGGTACATAAACAATCAATACTATAACTAAAACTCATAAAATTGTGTAAACTGACTTAAATAACATATTTTCTGAATAAATACAATCAAATGAGACTATAGCTACAGAATAAATTGAAAAGAATTAAATTAAATAAGAAAAAATAGCAGATATACATATAAAATAGAAAGAAATATTATAAAACAATTAATATTCTTCAAATTCAAAATTAATTTAATCTTAAAATTAAGCTTAACAAACTAAGCTTGTAGAGCCTTAATTATAAATTTGCAAAATTTTTTAGATGAGTATTAAAAACTAAATAGATTAAAAAAAGCAAAAGTAAATTTCTACAGAGATTTAAACAGATCCTATTCACAGAGAATCAATTAATAAATAAATAGAATTAATAAAGCATCATTCAAAAATTACTGAAAAAGATGAAGAATATGAAGAAGAATAAAATGATGAAACAAAAAAACAGAGTATTAATTAAGATGAAGAATCTGAAAATGAAAATGATAGCGAATCAATTTTTGATTGCAATAATCCAGCTTATGATTCTGTAATTGAGCAAAATTAAGAATTACTTGATTTAAGAAGAGAATGTTAGGAGAAAAATGATAAAATTATAAATTTGGAAATTACTGTTTAACAACTTCTAAAATAATAAGGATTATTTTAATTCGACAATTTAATAACAAGTGAATAACATTGTTTATAGGAATTATTATCAAATAAATGGTTAATAAAATTGAAAGATTATGAAGCATAATAAAAATAGACTATTGGTATTTTAAGTTAAGATTCAAATTTTATAAAAAATACCTTAAAAGCAATTTTTGAAGATGAATTAGAGATAAATCTTGGGATAAATTAATTTGCAATTTAGTACTACAATGATGATTTTTTGGAAAACTTTTAGTTAGACATTATGATAAAATAAATATAATTTACTGACAAAATTATTGCAAATTCAAGAATTAGTTTTGAGAAATAACAATTTTAAAAGTTTTGGATTGATTTTATGATTACTCATTGTAGTGTATTTGTTTATCTGTGCAAAAATTGTAATGAGGATGACTTAAAGATAATTGATTATTTAAGAGAAAATAATAAAAAGATCATAATATTAACATTTAAAGATTTAGAGATAGAGAATTTTAACATTTATAATAATTTTAAATAAAATATAGATTATCAAATAATTTAGATTTAAGAAAACAAGAATATATTATCATCAGTTTGGAAAGAAGTACTCTAAAGTGATTGGGAATGGGTGAATGTTGAAGATTCATTATTGGTATAATTGCAATCTCATATATAAAATATAATTGGAAATGAAGATTGCATTTAATTGTAGATTAATGAAGATGGAATCTTTGAAATATCTGTAATTAATGATGAATTAAATTATGATTCTCTATTATTGTTTCCATACATCAAAAGCAAGTAACAATAGGAGAACCAGATTTAGTTATGTCTGGAGCTATAGAATTTGGGTCAGATTTAGGAAGTAAAATGTATAGATACATAAGTATTAATTGTAATTGACTAATACATATTACTAGAATATATGGATACAAAAATAAGACTGCATTCAATCGATGACAATAAAATACTTTTATCTATAATAAAATGAAATTAATATTTGCTATGATATATAATAATATAAATATATTTATGAAATCACTGGTGTAAGTATTCTTTTAATTTAGAATCATAATGTCTTTAAGCGTTATTATATATTTATTGATATTATTATTTTTCTTCCTTAGTTCTCTGTTCATCATGAATAATTTATTTAATAATTTCACTTGCACTTTAATTATCTCCCTACTTGGCTTTTTCTTAGCCTTATTTAAGTATATTTATGATGTCCTTAAAATAATGAAAATTAAATACTTATTAACCTGGAAAGATGTGTTCCATATTAGTAAGAATCATGATTAAAATTTATTAGGTGAGTTCAGCTTATATTTGTGCTTAGTTTTATTATTTGATTTGTTGCTGCATAAGCCTGTTATAAAAACATTATATACTGCTACATATATTGATTCTGGAAATAAGGATTAATTTAATTAAGTTCTTATTCGCCATGAGCAAAGGTACATGTAACTCCATTTTTGCATAAACCAGTTTGAGGATTGAAGTGCTTGCATAATTATGCTAAGGGAAAATGAATGTAAAATAATACTCTTATAATTTGCAATCATAGGATTAACTGTTTAAACTTTAATAGGAATAGAACCTTGTTGATTTTGATGAATGTTGAAATCAGAATTAGGCTAAAATCCATTAGCATTAGCTCTAAGTTCTTATCTGCCATGAGCAAATTGACATCTTGCTCCTAGAGCACAATTACCATTAGTAACTAAGATTGATAATATGTTTTACTAAAATGTCTACAGAGTTAAGTTTTATACTTTTAGTTGGGAAATTGAGCTTGATTAACTTACATAATTATATTATTATATGAAAGTAAAATATAAATTAAATGTATGAAATGATAGTGTAAATAATATTGAATAGAAGCAAATAAAATCTATGAAGGAAGAAGATTAGAGAAATGAGATTTAAAAATTAGAAAAGGATTTATTATAAAATATAGTGATGGATTTGAATGAGAAGATGAATGATTAGGAATGAGATAAAAGTAGAGAATGTATGAAAAAAAGAAAATATATAATTGAGTATTAAATTTGAAAAGAGATTTAAAAATTTTTTAAAGATTTTTTATATATAAAATGTCACACAGAAAGTTTGAGGCACCAAGACATGGAAATCTTGGATTTACTCCAAGAAAGAGAACAAAGCATCACAGAGGAAGAATCCGAGCATTCCCAAAAGACAATGTTAAGGCTCCAGTTCATTTGACAGCTTTTGCAGGATTCAAGGCTGGTATGACCCACATTTTGAGAACTGTTGAAAGACCAGGATCAAAGTTGAATGGTAAGGAAGTAGTTGAAGCTGTTACAATTGTTGAAACTCCACCATTGGCTGTTGTAGGTATAGTAGGATATATCGAAACACCAAGAGGATTAAGAGCATTGACAACAGTATGGAGTACAAAGATTGCTAAAGATACTTTAAGAAGATTCTATAAGAATTGGATGAATTCAAAGAAGAAGGCTTTCACCAATTATAATAAAGCTAATGCTGAACCAAAGAATTTAGAAACTTAATTAAAAAGAATCGTAAAGTAATATTATAAATTATATTATTTAGATATTGTTAAGTAGTCAGAGTAATAGTGCATACTTAAATGAGTAAATTGAATTTGAGATAAAAGAAGAATCATGTCTTTGAAGTACAAGTGAATGGAGGAACCACAGAATAAAAAGTTAATTATGCTAAAGGATTATTAGAAAAGGAAGTCAAAGTTGATTAGGTTTTCAAATAAAATGAATAAATTGATGTTATTGGTGTAACTAAAGGTAAGGGAGTAGCAGGTGTCATTAAAAGATTTGGTGTTAAACATTTATAAAAGAAAACACATAGAGGATGGAGAAGAGTTGGTTGTATCGGAGGATGGCATCCAGCTAATGTTAGATACAGTGTTGCAAGAACTGGTCAATTAGGTTATCATCATAGAACTGAAATGAATAAAAAGATCTATAGAATTGGTGCTGCTGGTGATAAAAACACTGCATCCACTGAAGCTGATTTAACATCCAAAGCTATTACTCCTTTAGGTGGTTTCCCTCATTATGGTGAAATCAGAAATGATTTCCTCATGCTTAAAGGTGGTATTGTTGGACCCAAGAAAAGAATCGTCTTATTAAGAAAGTCTCTTGTACCATAAACAAGCAGAAAATCTTTGGAAGAAATCACTCTTAAATTTGTTGATACTTCATCCAAAATTGGACATGGTATCTATATTAACTTATTTCTTTAGGACGTTTCTAAACACAAGAAGAAAAAGCCAAGTTCTATTATACCAGAACTCAAAGAAAATTAAAGTAACAGTAATAATAACAATGATGTATAATTACCCTCATTAAGAACATTATAAATAATACAATTCATATATTATTATTATTATACATTCCTTTTTATTATACTTATCTCATTAATCAGAACCTCAATTTTTAAAACAAGAATCTTGATTATGCTTTCTTATCTGCTAAACTTCCTGCTGGTAATGTTCTATATTTCTCTGCTAAGTATTTTCTTAAATTCTTTCTTAAATCTTTTCTCTTTTCAACATTTTTTAATTCTGATTCTTTTACTCTTTCTATTCTATCTCTTACTTCTTTCAATGTTGATTCTTCCAATCTATATCTAATAAAATTATATAACTATTTCTAACCTTGTTGGCATTATATGGTTTAGATTTAATTGCTTTATGAAAACCTTTAAAGTTGTTCGCTTTCTAATTTATTTCTATCCCATTCTCTTTGTTACCTTTCTAGGATATCTTTAAATTCCAACCACCAAACCATTTGGGAATTTGCAATCCTAAATCATTTTATTTTATATACTTTTGTTGTCTCCTCATTTGCCTTTATTAATATAGCTTTTTTCCCTGCTTGTCTACCTGCCAACATTACTACTAAACGTCCTGGTTTTAAGCTTAAATTTACTCTAATTCTTACAATTTTCCCATTTTAAAACACTAAATAAATCTTTTAATTATTTAATATCAAATTTCCACTTGTTAAACTTTCTCATTCATTTTTCTTCTCTTCTTGGTTTTCTAATCCATGTTCTTCTAAAATAATATTCACCTTTTTTAAATAAACTCATTCTTTTAATAAATTTATTCCCTTTTTAATTTATTTCATCAACCTTTCCTAAAATCTAAATCAAATATTTTATGATTTTCTCACCATAATCAAAAAAATTTTTAATTTTCTCATTTCAATTAAATTAAAAAAAATAAGAAACTCATCACATTATTAGAATAAATTTCAATTATTTTATAAATTCTAATTAAAGAAAAAATATTTTAAGTGAAAAATATTTCTTTTAAGATTATCAGTCAATGACACATTTAGATTATCTCAACCAAAAAACTCTTATTTCAAACATTAAATAAATTTAATTTTGCCTGTTTTTTTATACCTCAATAAAAAAAAATAATTGTTAATTACTCGTTTGAATTTACAATGTCAATGATTAAATTGAATTTTTATTTATCTTCAAATAATATTTTGTTAAAATAAAACAACCAAATTTTTAACAAATCGATATTATTAGTTTAATAAATAAACAAAAATTTACTATTTTAATATATTATCCTAAAAATGCATTTTTTAACTATAACTTTAAATGTTATCACTCATCAACTTTGCAAAAGAATTCAACATTTCTTTCTTACTCTTTTCTACGCAACAAAATAAAATAAGTGCTAATGATATATTTCCATCACTTGATTTTTTTGGAAAAAAAACTTTTTGTATCAATTTATTTTAATCATTACTCATTTCAAATACCTTTTTCAACAGAATTGTAATCTTTTTTTGCTTTATATTCAACATGTTATAATATTTATATAATAATTATTAACATTTCTTTCATTAGTACATTTGATTAAATGAAAATAAATGAAAGAATATCATTCACTCAATTCTAAATAAGGTTTTATTGAAACAAATCACTTTGATCGGTAATGTATAATAATAGCTTTAATTTTATTTCATTAAATGCTAGCCAATCAATAAAGATACTTCCCTTTTTTATTTTTGATTAACTTTACCATAAATTGCCTTGCTACATTAATTGGTCTAAAAAGCTAATATAAAATTTCTTTTTTAATTTGCCTAAAATAATATTTGGTTAGCTTGGTTTAAAACTTTGAGTTTAATTAAAAAAATTTTCAAAATATAAAACAAATCGTTTTTGAATATAGTTTAGATTTCTCATTTGTTTGCTTCTCAAGAAATTCAATAATTAGTTCTTTTTCAATAATGAAACTGGCTCTCAAATACTATATTTTTTAAAAATAAATTCATTTTAATTGTTATTATCTATGTTTTATTAATTTTTACATTTTTCTTTTATTAAAACATCCTCTCCTTTTCGAAATTTCTTTAATTTTCATTTAATTTAAATATTGTAAGTTTTAATGCTTTCCCTTTACTTCATTCATTTATATCTCCTTTTTGCTTATTTTCGCTTAAAATATTAATCTTCAATTTAGATCAATTACCTTTGTATTGATATTATTGAATTTTTGGAATAATATATGCTTAATTAAACCTCTGAAGTGAATATCATCAATTTTAAAAGGCCTTTTCACTAGTAATAGGGCGGATTTAAGTAAAACGACTCTTTTACCTTGAAACCTATCAGCCAATAATATTAAAATTTATCCAAAAGTAATTTTCTTAAATTTTGAAGGTCTAGAAGGCCAATTGATTTATGTTATTTTTCATATATCTTTTTTTTTAAAAATTTGAAATTTGTCATCATGAGTTTTATATAATCAATTGATCCAATACCCCTCTTTTTTGGTTGAAATCAATTAATTTATATTTTAAAGGTATTTTATATTCTTAGAAAACAAAATGGGAAAAAAAATCATTATTCTTTAAATAAAAAAATCGTTGAAGATAAAAATGTAAATTTTTCATAATTTTATTTATAAGGATTTGACAAAATAATAAATATATAGATTAATTATCAATGTAAATTAAGAGTAGATCATACAAAGATAATAAATTCTGAGCTCTTAAGTATTCATTCTTTTATGTTTTCAGATTATTTTATCGTTTTGTTCTGTTATTTAAGTTTTTTTTCAGTCATATGCTAAATTTTAAATATTGATGCACGAGGAATAGATATTTTTTAGTTTGATTTATAGTAAAACATATACTAAAATAAAAAAGTGACATTTACTTAAGACAGCTATACTTATTCTAAAGTTTTGTTTCTGTTATCAGTCAAATTTGGACAAGTATTTGAACCAGTAATCATATGGTCATCATTAATATTATTCATTACTTAAAGATCTTCAAAATCATCAAAGTGTCCTTCATCATCGTTAGAGAGTGGACTGATACTTTATTTTGAATAATATGAATGAACACCTTGAAGTTTTCTTGGTGGTGTATTTTGCAAAAGGATTGGAGTGAGTTTGTATTTATTAATCTCTTAGATAGGTTTTTCAGGAGATAATTCTTCACTAAAATGTATTTAACAAGAATTACTTATATTCATCCAAATTTGATTATTGCATTATTGAATAATATTTAATCATTTTCTTTTCTTGTGATTTTTAAAAATACCAAAATATATCAATAAAATTTAAAATATCTAAGTATAACCTTTAACAAAAAAAAAATAATCATAATATTGAAAATTAAAAATCTTAGTAAATTCAAGGGAGGAAATTCAGAAATGTACTTTAGATTCATACTTTTTATGAATTTTTTCAAATAACTTCTTCGCTCCATTATTGCTTGGAGATACATCTTCATCAATCTGTTTTAAAGAACAATTTTCTACCAAGTTTTTTTTCCCTTTTTGAATATAATTATTATGGAGAATATAAAATTAAAAACTACTTTAATCTTTATCCAAAAGAAATCTAACTGATTTTTCTTTCTTAATACATTATAAACTTTTAGAATGCCTAATAACTAAAATCGGTTTCCTTCTTTTTAATTTCATTGAATAATTATTATCATTCTTTCTTATTATAGAATCATCTTATCTTAAAGTTGATTTTGAATTAGCCTAAACTTATTTACGATCTTATTGATCTGATTGTAATTTTAAAGTTTAAATTTCTCTAGGAGTATCTGGAGGATTAATTGGACTTATTTTACAGAGAATGGTAAAAGTGCTTAATTAAGGAATTTATGAATCTGATTTGTACTATTTGATATTTGGCATTTGATAAATAAGTGCCTTTTAAGCTTAAGATTCATCATGTATTCTTTAATTTTAATAAATTTTACTGTGAAATAAATAAACAATCATCTTCTATCTACTAGGATAATTTTTTATGAAATTTATTGGTCATTAATATTATATTAATAATAAAGATTAGGTTTTTATATAAATGGTTAAAAAAATATTAAATTTTTCATAAGAAAAATTGCTAGATTCAAAATAAAATGGAGATAACAATTTCTACACTTTCTTAAATAAATAAATTTATAAATTTCTTTATTCAAATTTATTAAGACAAATCTTTTGTTCTTAAATTATATATTATTAATATTTACTAAACTAATAGAAATAATTTTTTAAATTTTCAAGATTTCATTAAAAGATATATACCTAGTTTTTAGATTTTTGTAGCTTTTTCTTTAACATATTAAATTTTATTCATGTCCATTTAATAATTGTTAATTTCGATTTTTTATGTGACATTTTTTGTTTATTTTCTTTTGAAATTTCTAGCAATAAGTCCTTTAGAGAATTATTTATCATCTTATCTTAAATCTTATAAAGGATAGTCGAGATTGCATTGATAAATCTTTTTATCAAATTCAGATTAAAATGATTTAAGAAATTTGAGAAGTTCAGTTTCATTTACAAATTCACATCTTCTCTTCAATTGATTTTCTATTTCAACTGGATCAAAATTACAAACCAACTTACTCTATTTTTTAAAAGGAGAACCTTCCTCTTCTTCTTCTTTATCTCCATTTAGATTTAATTTTGGTTGATTGTTATAGTGTTAATCTTAAAATTTTAAATGAATAATTTTTTATGCCTCTTAATCTTTTTATTTTAATTTTAATTTATGATCACATAAATAATCCATTTCATAATAACAACTATTTACTATATTGTATCTAAAATCAATTTTTTCTTCGTAATTTTTTTATATATTTTAAATTTAATCTTATCTTTCATTGTCTAAAGAATAAATATTAATTTACATAATGAAACTTAATATTATACATCTTAATCATGTTGATGACACAATTCTCCAATAAGAGACTCAATGATTTATTTTTTTTATGGAAGAGGCATATCCTCAGGAATTTTATATTATTCCATCAATTCTCTTTCTAATTTCATTCTGTCAATTTATTTTTAGTATTCAATTTGTTTTTGTTTTTCTCTCTCTAATTATTCAACTTTTCTTGGCTAAATATAAATAAGATAAATATATATTACATCCATAGGAGAAACTTAAGCTGAAGATTTTCTCCTTTATAGTTAAATTTAGATTGGAGGTGGCTATAATTTTTATTAAAGTTTTTTAGGTTTTAATCTACTTGGTCTTTCAGGTTCTTATGAAGATTCATTTGTGTATTCTTTTTCATAATAACTGTCTTCTGATTTTTATTTTTAAATAGAAATCTTGGTTTGAGAATATTCGTTTGATAATTGAGGTCTTTTATGTTAATTTGTTTATTTCTTTTTCTTTTAAACTTAATTAGTATTAACAGTACCATTATTACTATGTTATACAGATCCCATAGGTGTATTAGGAGTATTAGATTTTGCTACACTTCTAGAAGAAGATTATGGAATATATGAATTATCACCAATTTTAAGATGTACTCTATCTTGAGTTGAATATAAGATTGCTTAATGTTATTTCATAGATCCATCCAAAGATTCTTCTTCTATAATATTTTCTTGATTATCACATCTACTCACTTAAATATTAATTTAATTATTATTTTCATTCTCATAGTTATTTAATGAAGATGAACTTCCAGTTTATTCTAGATTATTAATTGTATATTAATATCTATCTTCTTCTAGTTTTTCAAATCTGTTATCACTTTTAAATATCCTCTCTTATGAATATCTTCTATTTTTTTCTTCTTCTTATTAATCAAATTCTATTTCATTTCCTTAAACATTGTGAGATTTCATACGTTTTGATCCTCTTTTAAATGATACAGTCAACTAATTTTTATGTTATTTTTAATCAGTTTCTGAATTATTACTAACTGAATTTCTTTAATCTGTTTTATCTTTATGGGCTGAAGTTAAAGTTCTTGAAGATTAAGGAGGCATTAATGAATTTATATCATATTAATCTAAGGTATGTCTCTTAGATTAAAAAGAATGCTCACTTATATTCAAAGGATTTGTATCTGGTCTATATGTATTTGCTTATCTCATTTCTTTTTAATGTGATTATTAAGGAGAATTTGTTATAATCATATCTTCTATCATATCTGTTTTTAAAAATTAAGGACTTTCTTATTATCTTTCATCCAAATTTCCTCTAGTATCTCTTTATTAATTATTTTGCTAACAAAAACTTGTCTCTTATGTTATTTGTTATTGTTGCTAAATTTTATTTTAATCAATTATTTATTATTATTTTTCAGCTAAAGAATTATACTGTTTATGCTGCACTTTTTTCTATTATTTCATATCTTATTATGATTATTATTATTTATGAGTACCTTTTTATGTTTTAATAATAATCTACTATGTATCTGTCTTATTAATATTCTTCTATTATTAATTAATCTCATTTTACTTTTAATTTGGTAATAATCCGTATGGTATTTTTTATTGTGAAACTGGAGTCAAAGTTTTTCTTTAACTGTTTTCTGTTTAACTTATTAAATATGCTTATTAAGGATAATTTGCTTTGATTGACTTTAATAAGACATCTGATTATTTCCTTGATGTTAAAGGCTATTATTAATTATTTAATTAATTAAATGTTGCAGATTTATTTTACACTTATCCATTTGATATTTCAGAGGTAAAGTTTGTATTAAATCCAAACTTTAATCTTTCACTTGGAATCAAACAGGATTGTTATGATTCCATTTTTATTTAAGATTATGATTAATCTGAATGTTCTTATGTCAATAAATTATAATTTTATTTTTCATTCCTTGCTGTTGATAAATTATCTTATTTCAACAATTGATCTTAAGTATTATCATGGCTTGTTTATATTGTCTTAAATCCTTTTATTTCATTTTTATCTTAAGTAATCTAAGACAATCTATAATTTCTCTTGCTTCTTTCTGTTTTTGTTGCTTCATCTGTAATTTACTAATCCTAAATTTCCTTATCACTGAATTCATTTGTATAATGTTCTTTTAAATTACTATCTTTATGTAACAGTAGAGCACCACTTTTATTAGAAATATTAAAAGACCCTCTATAACCTAATTGTCTTGTTGATGATATTGTTTTTATCTCATAACTTACTTCTTATATCTTTTGTTAAGATTGCTTATGTTTAGCCAAATTTACTTAAATTGCTGCATATATCTTGTTGAATACAGGTTAAACTTTTGCTTTCTTTTTGTATTTCTAAGCCATCAAATCAATGAATTGGGCTTGATCAATAAATGATATCAATCCAATTTTTCCTGATTACACTTTTTCAACAATGCTTGCAAGAAACATGTCTTCTCTCTAATTCTACCGATTATCTCCAAATTATAGATTAAATGATTTCATAATAATTTTAATAATAATTGATTTGAATATTTTATTCCTTAAACTTTAATAGCGAATACATAATTCTTTTGTAAACACCTACTTTTGATAAAATAATATATAAAAACCCTAAATAAATTTAAATGAATTAAAGATAAAGTGAAATATTTATCAAATTTATATTAGCTTTTAATAAATTTATATTGAAGTTAATTTTAAATAAATGAAAATAATACGAATAGATTGGAATAATTTAAAAAAAAAAATTTATTATCCATCAATCTAAATTCCGTTTAAACACTATAATACTTCAATTTTGTGCACTTTTACCAATCTGATTTCTAATTAGCCCTTGTTAAATTTACTTGAAAATTTTTTGCTATGATCAAAATAATTTTATAAGAGATATCATTATAAAAATTAATTAATAAATTATTTTTGCACATAAACTACATTATGAATTAACTTAGCATTTCAATTTGAATATTTCTTAATAAATTATAGGAAAATTTTATAATATATACATTTAACTATATTATTATTTCTCTTTATTGAACTAATAATATATCCAAACCAGTTTTAAAAATATTGAATAAACTTTAATTTCTTTAAAATACTTCCATTATGTTTCTCAATTAACCTTCATTCATTTTAATTGATACTAGAGTTTAGTTTCTTTCTATAAATAATTATTAAAAAGCAATAAAAAATGATATCAGGCATCATGAATATAAATTAAAAAAAAATCAAAATTTTGTGGAAGTTTATCTAATTTTTCTTCTTTAGTAAAGGTCATTTGAAGATAAATTAAGTTTCGGAACAGTATTTAACAAAAATATTCTTTTCTAAACAAATTAGGAAGTAAAGAATTTTTTCTTTAAACTATTATCGATCACAAAAATTTTAGACTTATTGGATCCTTGATATTCTTCACTAATGATCTAAATTCTTATCGTTTTTGCTTTTTAATTTGAACAACCCATATCTGATTATTTTTATTTATATTATCAATGATTTAATATGAATATTATCGAGTTAAATGATAAAGAGTATTTTAAATCAATTAAGTGAAAGTAATAATGAGCCAGTAATTTATCGGTCTATTTGATTTGCATATCAAATGTGAAAAATATATTAATTAAGTGGAGATTTATATCTATATATGTACTAAGATGATAAATTTATAAATTATGATGAAAAATCATAAAGATAATGGTTTAATGATATTCATAAAAAAATTATAAAAATAATCATAATGGCTTCTTTAAGATTATTTTTTGTTATTTTTTTTCTTCTTTGCGAGACGAAGGGATTTCAGAAATAACTTCAGGAAATACTTTACTCAAATTCTCTTGGGATGATTCCAAAGAATTTTATTATTGAACAACCAATCCTTAATAATGAGAACTTGGTCTTTTGAGTAATTTGATATCATCTTTCCCATCTCTATCTGGACTATTCACATCTCTATGTTAATCCATAGAGTTGCTTTATTTCATATCTAAATCTTTCTCCGATATATCTTAAGAACCTGAAGTGGATTTTTTTCTTCTGTATATTAACAATGGTGCATTTTTATCTTTTCGTTTTCTTTTAATACCTTCTCTAGTTTCATATCTAAGAATGGCCCAATAATTAATAACTTTTTCTTTCATTTCCTTTTTATTAATTAAAAGTTTTTTAAGGCAGGGGTATTAGAATTCAATATTAGGAAATTTGAGTTTAAATTTAGTTCTTACAACATCTAATTTATCATCAAATTAATTAATGTATCCTTCAAGTAGATGATAAAGAATTAAAATAATTAGAAGAGTATTAATAATAATAATGATTAAGAACATGATATATTGTAAATAATCTAAATTCTCATTTTAACTAGCATAAATTAGAACTCCTAAACATAAAGAGCATGAGCAAACTGCAGTTGACATTTAGTCTATGAAATTAAGTTTTTTTTGTTTATAAGGAATAAATGCAAATGAGAAGGCTCCATAAATGAAAACAAGAAGAAATATAATTAATCCTTTAATAACAATTTTGTTTTCATAGTATGTTAGAGAAATAATTACAAGTTCTTTTTCAAAGATTTTAACAAATTCCCAAAGATATGCTTAATTAGTGTATTCATGATAGAAGAATCCCCATCGTTTTCTAATTTCCATAGTTTCTAATTAATGTTTATTTCTTCTAATAAGATACATAAATGTTAATGGTAATATGATACTCCACAGTAAAAGATTGGGTCCAATAAATATATAGATAAAATATTAATGCATATCAGTATAATATTGATAACTAACATTGCTTTAGACCCATTCAATTCCACTAACAGTTCTTGAACTTAATAATGATATGAATCCTCCAACTAATGTAGGTTATAAATATATGAACATATAAATGAAGGTAGTATAAATGATTCCAATTTTAAAGGGAGCAATTCTCATAAGCACTCCTGTAAAATATCCAAAAAAGAAAATGATCATATAAAAAAGCGGCATTAACAGAGCCCAAGCCATTCTGAAATACAATAAATCAATAGTAGCTAAAGTAACTAAGAAACAATCTAAGGAATATGCCATAGATTATGTAGGATTTCCTAAGACTTCCATAGAAGAAACAAAAGCAGTAGGTATAGATATTCTAAATGTAGTTAAGGAAGCAATGATTTATAAATAATTATTTAATTGTTTCATAATGATGGATGCATTATCTAATAATTAAATAGAAAATATACTTGATTAAATGTTAATTCTAGCTCCAATAGATTAAAGAACCTATTAATGAACTAGATTCTCTATGAATTAATAATTGCCTTTCACCGACATAATCATGGTGAGAAGAGTGAAAATGGAAATACCAATAATTATAAGAATATTTGATTCAATAGTGTCTGAACAAGCTCCACAAGTATATTTTTTACTAACAGAATATTAAGGTCCTCTAATTCCATAGATATCACATTATTCACATAAAGCACCAATATGACCATCATAACAGGAAATATCTCCTGGAACCCAACCACCTAAACAATTCGTTGGTAGATTATAACATTCTTCAATATTATCATTTTTAGCAAAAGGTCTCCAATATTATTCTCTCAATTTAATTCTTACTGCAGTAATCTCCTCCATTTATATCGAATTCATGCCTTTACATTATACACTCTTCTCTACAACAGAATAAGAATTTGTTTAACTACATGAGATACATTTCTAATCTACATATGCTTCTCCTATTTAACAAGGAATTGTTCTCACATTCAAATATAGAGCATAATTTTTATTATAATTAAGTACATTATATGGAGCATTTTAATTATAGATTGGAATCTTAATGGAAGTGCATTAAACTAATAAATTAATATCAATAATTTACATTTTAGTTGTAAGTATAGATTCTCTTACAAGTATGGATCAAAATATATTTATAAGTTATCAAAATTAAAAGAGTTACTGGATGAATCAAATTAAAACACTGATTAAGATGTGAAATTCATTAAAAACTATTTAGTGTAATCTAAATTTAATTCATCCATTAATCGACCTGAGACTGTACAAGTTTCAGTAGATGATATTGATTTAATGATATTTTAATCCTTATCTAAATTGAAAATCCTGAAAATCCAATTGTAAGGTATTTATTCTTATGTTTCTTCATAATAATATTTATATTATGACATTTATTATCCAGATGGAAGTAATAAATAATTACTTTCTAAGTTTGGTATTTTTGATGATTAAATATTTACTACATCAATAATTTACAGATTTTAATTATCAATAACATTATCATTATTTAAGTCTCCATCAATATCTTAGAATGTTGATATCCTCATCAAAATTCCTTTTTACATCATTAAACTTAACTTTTCTGGTATCTACTCTATTTAAGTATTGCTATTATGGTGAATGTAGATTTATGATTTATCCAAATTATTTAGATTATTATTCATCATATATACTGCACTACCTAATTAAGCATCATTATTAATATAATTGTTATTATATTAATCTAATATATTCTAAATATCTGAATTGTATACAAATGCAATCCCTCCACCTATCAATGTTGCTCTATTATCCATAAATTAACTATCCGTTATTTATATACTCAATCCAATTATTGTTAGACCAGCACCTATCTCAGCAGTGTTACTCTAAAATAGACTCTGTTATAATCTAATGTTGTATTGTAAAGTTGAATTTGAACTCTACAAAATTCTATTATTATAGGTGATATTGAATTAAGGAATCGATAGAGTGGTTATAACCAAACAACCAAAATAACCTATTACATTATTTTAACAATTCAATCCAATGATGTTCGTCGAATTATATGCATTACTATCATAGTTATTTATTAAAATCAGACCTTCCTTACATCTACTACAATAAGTATTTTTTATAGTCACAGATATCATATTAATAACATTTGTTGATTTTACTTTACTTAATTTTATAAAGTTTGGATTATTAACAATTTAATATGTCTATTCCAAATTTGTCAAATAACATAAACTAAAGTCCTTTTATTTTATTACATTTTCCAACAAAATTATATTACTTGAAGAATAAAATGATTTAATCTCTCGAACTGTATTTAATTTTATTTCATCCAATTAATACTTATCTGAATCTGATAATGAATCATAATATTCATACAATGAACTATTATCTAATTTAGTTTAAGATATTTATCTATAATCATATATATCCTAGTAAAACTATCTTAACTCTTCTTACTCTACACAAGTTTAAATTTTTGGTAGTTCAAAAATTGAAGATATCGATTGACATTAGCTATTAAATTTAAAGAGAAATTATTCTTATGTCAATACTATTTATTCAGTTATATTGTTAATTAATATATTCTACAATTCTACTGATGATTATTTTGTGTAATGGGTAATATCTATTAAAGATTAAGTAAATATTGTAATATCTTTTATTATCAAATCTTACAAAATAACTAAAAACATATTAGTAAGTTCCATCAAACCTTGAATCTATATATTGATAAATTAACTTGATTATATTTCCAAAATACCATAATTCTATCTAATCAAACTTACTCCAGAAACAATTTATAGCTCTTCTTCAAAACTGATATCCACTAATTATTTTAAAAATCCTTCAAAATTATTATTTATTATATTTGTATTTCTAATACTCAAAGTAGGCAAAACCAACGATGACAAAGAAAATTAAATATCTATGAAAGAACTCTATAATGATGAACATTCTATAAATTGACTACCATTGATGGATATTTACTATTCATACATAGATGTTTAAACATAAATACATCCTCCAGCTACTCTAGCTTAACTGTGATTCATAGTAACATTGTTCAAACTAATATCATAATTGGACTTCTGTAAGTTAAGATACAATGCTCCACCATTTGCTTAATCTATATATTCCAATGATGTAGTAAGATTTGTAAATTCAGTATTATTAATAACAATGGATACTAGATCTTAACCTAAAAAATAAATTGCTGTTCCCATTAAAGATTTGGAATTCAAAAATTTAATTTAGTCTATTTCTAATTTTTTACATTGAATATATAAATTTGAACCTTCAGATTCTATATTAAATTGTCCTAAGAATTGAGAATAATTATCAACTTGATATTCCTCTAATCTATCTAGCCAATTAGATTCCATAATATTTGTATAATTGAACAAGCATTAAATTAATTTTAAGGATTAACATTTGATAATATTGATACCATATTATGATTATGAAGCTCTATTATTTTAAGCAACTAAATTTTTAATATATACAAAACTATTAGGACTAAGAATTGTAAAACATGTTGATATTTCTAAAGTAATTGATTCAACCAATTAATGTAGATGATTACCTATCAATTAAACAGTATCAATAAGAATAGTTTAAATTTAATCAGATTCAATAATGATACTTCCAATATTAGTAACTGGATCTGATATTGCAATCGATGTATTAAATATGTTGATATTTTTTAAAATAATCACCTCATTTTTATAACCTGAATAAAAGTTCTCTGGATTGTTAATTACATTTGAACTGATGAAATTACTAGTTTACTTCATTAATGATTCATAAGATTAAATATAAATGAATCCATTATCAATTCCTAGAAGTCCTTTAAGTGAAGCATCGCTGATCTTTACTCCATACAAAAAATCTTAAACATCCAAACAATATCCATTATAACCACCAAAAGATTCTTTTTAATAAGAACAACTAGTATTGCTTGGAAGTTTATTATTAAATGGGTATTGTATAATTGTATTATTTTCAATCTTTGTACGAGGACTAGTGTCTTTCTTGCCAATTATATTATTTGAGAAATCACATAAAAATTTTGTCACTTCTAAAGAAGCTATCTCTTAAAAGGATAGCACTGATATTGATAATTAAGTGTCAATTACAATATTAATTAAAATCACTCTACTCATTTCTGTTGCTCTAATAATAGCAGAAGATACTGATTATCTTTAGACTAATGATAATTCTACATAATTATTATATATCTTCAAATTCTTTATTATTAAATTACTATGTATTTCCTTTTTATTATATGGAGTTTATAATAACATAAAACAATTAATATTGTAGCAAGTATTTTCCACAAATTTTACATTTTATATTTCATATGGACTATTTTTTATCTAATCATAAAATGATGATGAATCTGGAACTTAATCTGCAGTTGTAAAAATTAAAGAATCGTTAGTAAAAACATTCATATAAATAAATACATTTTTAATCTAGTAGGTATTACTTATAAATAACTCACTATCATTAAATCTATTTCCAATTATATCTAATTAATTGATAGATAATTAATAAAAATAACTCGATTTTATTATACTTGATTATTGATAAAAATGAGTCTATTTGATCTTTAATTAATTAATAAAAAAGGTAGAAACAAATATTTAATACTCTTGTTGATTTATAAACAAAGAGGAACTATTGAATATACAATCTGAAATGACTAAATTCTCAATATTTATTGTGCTATAAGGTGTAAGTGGAAATATTGTATTATTTATAAATTAATTGTTCTAAAAATATAGATTTGTGAACTCAAACTTGTAGTTGTTAATTTTCTCCTAATTTATATTAATTTAATCATTATATAATAAATTTTAGATGTAAACATCCTTTAATTCTAAATAATTTAAGTTTTCTAAATTAAGAGTAAATATTTATGAATTATACTATTTATTTGACAAATATCCAAGTTTACAAAATTCTATTTATAGATAGGTTGAAGAAATGGTATTAGTAATAATCAATCCAAAATTATTCTATAGATTAGAATAAATATTAATATTTTTGATCATAATAAAAGGGAAATCCTATAAATAGAAATTGTCAGTAAGTTCAAATGTAATTGGCAAATCATGTGCACTTTAGATGATTACTTAAAATTTGGTGAGAGCATAAACATTTTTATGGAATTAAGTTATCAAAGATGTGGATTTTTTAAAAGTACATTTGTAATCATTAGAATTAGTAAATAATATGTTGAGTGTCAATTCTTCTAGGGGTCCTTAATTCATGGTTTAATATAATTGAAAAGTTTCTAAATCTGAAAATTCAATAAGAGCAATATCAGTTACATCAATATAATAGTAATCATTTAAACTATAATGATACAATTTTTGATTATCAGTCAAAGTAGAATAAATAGAATTATATTAATCGTCATCACAATAAACATGAAGTGTAATTTGAGCAGTATGTCTACATCTTTTAGTATTTGTTGAAGCTACTTAGGAATAGAGACATAAAATAGGGAGATTCAAATAGGAATTATATGAAATGCTTTAAAGATTAGACATAGTCATAGTTTAAATTTTATAACATAATCTACCATATTGTAGCAAGTTGGAATTATCTGGATTGAAATATAAGTTAGTGATTTCATAAGATTCTCTTTCTCTACAGGCTAAACAATTTAAGGGACATTCAATGCATTCAGATTTATCTTTAACTAAAGATCTATCATTAAATGTATCATAGCATTCTCCACAGAAAGCATAAGTTGATTTAAAGACACAACTATTAATAGAATCATCACTCACAATTTGATTCTCTACTTAACAATTACTACTGCAACCTAAACATTCATTACCATATAATTGATATCCAAAGTTGCATTATGTACATTAAATATTAATAGGAATATCATTTAAGAAAGTCTCTTTTAATGAATTACTAATTGGTTGCATTTTTAATAAATAATCTGTGAAATTATATGTCTAAGAATATTGCCAACATTAGTAACAATTATTAGGACAAGCATCACAAAACCCAGTAAATATATTTGGATAATATCCATTGCTACATTATATACATTAATAAAGTGTTTGAGCAGCTTTAGTGAATATTTAGCCAGATCCATCTGTATATTATGATTAATCTAAACTCTTATAAGAAAAACAATTTTTGCAATAAGCGATATAAGAAGTACATGAATTAGAACAAGTTTTACTGAATTAATCAAGTATAACATTTTATAAGCATTGTCTGCATTTTGCTGGTCCATCCATGTATTTCCTATCACATCTATCTGGACTTGGAATTGAAGGTACACAATTCTATTTATCTGCACTAACAGTATAACCACTGATGCATTTAAAACAATATAAATTAGATACAACATCATTATTTTTACTAGGTTCAAAATCATAATCCATAGTTGTTACATCACCCCTAATATTATAATAACATAAATCACATTTTGGAATTTGACATGTAACACAGTCTATTCCATTATGACTTACAAAACTATTAGTAGAACATTATCTACATCTTTTAATGTATTAATTTTATTTGCTCTTATCTTCTATTTTTATCATAATTCTTGATGGATATTGATATTGAACATCAGAAAAATACGTTACATATTCACATCTTTTACATTCATTACCACATTCCTCACATTTTTATTAATCCAAAGATGCTACCAATCCCTCTTTACATTTAGTACATATTGTCTACAATTACAACACAAAACAATTTAAACAACTATCCTAACATTTTTAGCATAAACCATTCTTAATCATATATCCATCATTACATTAGGAACATTAACCATTTGAACATCTTAAACAATCTGGTGGACAACTAATACACAATTGATTTTTATATTCATATGTTTATAAACATTCAATCCCAATTATACCATTATCTTCAGCATATGGTGAACTTATACTATTACAATTTATACTTGTCCCAGGAATGCAAAATCTTTTACAACCTGAACAAATATAAGTTTGGTATAAATATTAAACCTATACTATTCTCTAATACATTTACATTTCTTATTATTGAATCCTTATTCACTCCGTTTGAAGTTGAAGGACCTATAAAATATAATTCGCTATATTCTTTCACTCTACGAACAAAAGTTCCTTTCATGTAATCTCCACTTTCAATTGAGTATTCATATGAACAAGTTCTATTACTCCACCAAGTATATGGATGCTCAACACAATCCATACAATATAATGTAAAGCTATCGATCACCTTTTAATAAGGACTACATACATATCCCATCTTACCATAGCACACATGTATTTTCGAATTGTAGGAAGTACCCATATTCACATTTTATTTAATAGTTCTCACAATCAAATTATCCTAATGGGCATAATTCCTAACAAACTCCATTTTTAGATGTTTTACATCCCATTTCTATTTGTTATCTATATTAAATGTGATTTTCCTTACAAGATTATCTGATTTCTTGTACTTGACACAAGCAAAATTATGGTAATAGTAAAAAGAAGTAACATAAATATTTATTTTTTAAATTATTTGTTTATGAATTTTTTTATGTTTAATAATACTAAATCATTTCTGTAACTAATTAAATATAATCACTTTTCATCAATCTTCAAAAAATATTCTTAAACTTTTTTTGAATTTTAGCAGAATAATATTCAGTTTTTCTATCTAATACAATAAACTAATCTTATATTTCCTTTCGACTTTTAGCTATAACCAATTTCCTTTCAGTCCATTAAATTCAAATAATAAAATAATTTACTTTAATTAAATGCTTTTTTATGTTTCTCCTAATTATTAACCATTTTAATCTAAAGAGCATTATTTAGAAGATTAAAATCATCTAAATTATAAAACCAAATGAAAATTTGTTAATTGAAAAAATTCTTTTTTTTAATTTCTATCATATAATTTATCTTTATCTTTATATACTTAGATTATATTTTATAAACTCAATTTGTAAAAAAAGATAAAAAACTTTATTAAAAAATATTTTTAAGTTATATCTAAAAACCAATAACAGACTTAAATTCAATTCTATGTTAATTGCTCTACAAAGACTTATAATAAACTTTTTAGATCCTCTGTTATTTAACTCACCAATTTTATCAAAGTCTCATTAGTCTTAGAAATAACATACTATAATCTTCCCTCTTCGTTATCATTCTTTTATATTTCTTATCTAAAAATAAGTACAGATAATATACTTATTTGATATTTTTTCCTCTCTTAATCTTTTCTTTTCAGCAAACCATTTGTAAATTTGCTTCTATATTTGCTCATAACTATAAGTTAAACTATTTAATTGAAATTCTATTTAGGTAACTTAGTTCATTACTAAATTTTAATGTTTTGTATCTAATTATATTTAAACAGTTACAATTAGATTAAAATAACTTCTAAGTTTCTTAAACAAATTTAATATTCTCTTCAGAAATGATAGATGTTGGTTATAACTAATTACTAGAACTAAATTTTTCAATAGGCTCATAAAATTATATTAAGCATTATTTGAATTTACTTAATTCTAACTTTTTATTTTCAAGGTTTTTATAATGTTATTAAACTTATCTATATTCTTCCTAAAATTTGGCTTCTATTTCTTTTTCTCCTTTGAAATAGTCAAGAACATCCGATAATGATTTTCCAACAATCATTTCCTTTAATTTCTATTTTCTTGTAAATTCATCAGGATCTGGTAAAAATGTCTCATCATCCTAATTGTCACCTTTATTATATCTAAGTTCTTTCAAGATTTCATCAAATTTCTTATTTTAGGTTAAAAAATATCTAAAAATTTAATCTTCTTTATATTTAGTTAGATAGTTTAAAAATAGTTATAATTATTCTTACCTTTAAGAAATAAATTATTGATTTTCCACAACCATATTCATTATACTTGCAATTACACCTTCCCTTTCTGGTAAACTAGGGATAATATCTCCAAGTTTAGATTTAGTAAAATATTATTAAAGCATAATAAAATCTGTATATCTTCTATTAACTTAGTTTTTTGTATATGTTCCTTAAAATTAATCACTACGGATTTCTGAACAAACTGTATATGCGTAATAAGTTTGAGAAAATGGTCCATCTTTAAGAGATTAGTAACCTGAAATCCATACATATATATCTTTTGTTTCATCTCTCTTGATAAATTCTTCTTCATCATCTCCAATTTCAATTATGTCTGGTTTAATTTCTTAAATCTGTTTAGTTATTGGTTTTTCACCTTCATTCTCTTCATTAAACTATTAATTAATGAAAGGTTCCCCAAATATTTTAGGATCACCAAATATTTTAGGATCACCAAATATTTTAGGATCCCCAAATGTTTATGGAATACCAAATGTATCCGAAGAATAGTTACATTATCTATCAATTTAATATTAATCAATTTGATTTTATTCTCTTTAATCAAATTATTGATTCTCTTTTGTATTATTATTTTATATAATTTATTAATCTATTTTATCTTTTTCTTTTAGATTATTTTTCTATGATTTTTAATCAATTTTTTCATCATTTAACTCTATTTCATTACTTTACTCTATTAAAACAACTTTTTCTATTGAATTATTCTCTAATATTTTTATTTCTTCTGTTTTTTTATCAATTTATTTATTTGGATTTTCCTTTATTTATGATAAAATTTAGCTTCTTGGTTCTTTGACTAAATTTTCTAAATTTTTTAAAGCAATCATTGATTTTTCTATCATTGATTTTTCTAACAAATCTTCAGGTGAAGGAGGCTAAAATGATTTCTTTAAGTTCTGTTTACTATTGACTCTGAGTGGAAATTGTAATTTAATTGTATTTATATTACAAGTTTCAATATCCACTTTATTTTGCAAACATTAAATATACCTAAGGGTTGTAAAGAATCCTTCTCTATTTAACTCATCTGAGTTTTATTGAGAGAATACTTTTTTTAAAATTGAATTAGCTTATGCATCTGTAATAGAAAATTAGCCCATTATTATTTTTTTAGTTTTCTTAAAATCAAGAGCAACTTTTGCGTTCATCACTTTGTCATATTTCTCTTAATAAGAACGTAATTCATTTTAAGTTAATTCAAACTACATATAATATATATAAATAATAATTTATTTATTTATTACGACATTGTTATATTCTAAATGTATAGATTTAATATTAATTCTATTATTATGGAATAATAATATAATTTTAGGAGTTGATAAATATTAGTATCATCAATAAATAAATATTTCTTTGAGTAAAATATTATTACTTCAAAATTATAATGAAATTAAATAAATAATCAATATAAAGTACAAGATATATTTGTAAAAATTTACCTAACACTAAACGTATAATAAATCAGTTAATTTTTAAAACTTATAGAACATTAAAACATTGTTCAGAAGTAAACTAATTTGTTGCATAAAATATTTTATCATCAAAATGTCAATTAATTTTAAAGTTGATTTAAAAATCATTCTAAATAATATAATAATTATAATTTATTGTAAAAAATTAAATCTTCACAGAATCTCAGATATATTATGATTTATAAAACGGATCAATAATAATGTTTTAAAAAAAAAATTATATTATTTATTTATATAAATTTTTAAATATTATTTTTATTGCAGTTAACAACAATGTCGAATTCTCTAAAATAATCTGACCTTTTAGCTTCTCTCAATCACAAAGGTATTAATCCATTACCAAAATACGATGACATCCGAATTGGTCCTCCAATAATTCATACCAATTCTAAATAAATAAAAGAGAAGCCTTATTTTTAGTAACAAGATAAAAAGTTAAGTCAATCTTAAGTTTAAAAATAAAAAGGATAGCAAGAATTAGCGATTGTTTAGCATATTAGAATCATTTTCATGTTTTATGTATAATTTGGCAATAAAACTAACATTTAATATTTAAAATCAAGTAAATTTATTAAAGCTATGGCTGATGCAGAGATAATCAATGATGGTAAATATATTATAAAAAATATTAGAAATAACTAGTAAAGATCTTGATATTTTATATTTCTAAACTACAAAAAATACAGAAACTCTAACTTTAGACTAATTCAAAGATTTACTTGTAAAAATAGCAACAAAACTATATAAAACTCCTGAATAATCAAAATCTTTTTTATAGCTCTATAAGAATCATTTGTCGATTCTTTATGAAAAAATAAATGAATAAACAGATTTTGGTTAAGATTTAAAAAGAATAGAGACATGTAGGAGTTTAATTGATGAATAGTTTTTGGAAATTATATCTTAGGTATCAGGATTATTGTCAAAAATACATGCCTTTATATTTTAAGATTAAAGCTAAAAGATTTCTTAAGTTTAGAGTTAGTACATGCATTTTTTACAATAATTTGAAATTATTCCCCTTATAATTACACAGACAAAAGGTCAAATGATATTTTTTGATTTATTTCATAGGGACTCAGATTTAAATTTAAAGAATGATGGAAAGTTTTTATTTAATTTTTCAAAGTTTGTTGAAAGTTTATTAATCATTTCATTTCATTAAGTATAAGAAGAAAATTAAAATGAATTGGAATTGTTTTTTTAGTTATTAGAGAAATTGGAGAATTCTTAAGGATTTTAGAGCTTTTCTAAAAAGAATAATTAAACAAAGAATGAATAAACATAATTAGTGATGGCATTGAGTAGAGTAAATTCTGCCAAATAGAGTAGAGTTTCAACTGTTTATTAGTCTTAATAATAATAATAAAAATAAAACTCTAATTTAAAATAATCATATTAAATGAATGATGAAAGTAAATAAATATAAAGTTCATAAATACCTTATGAAAAAGAGATTAGAAATTTATTTGAATATTATTCATAAATAGGAGAACCTTTAAATTTGGTAAATTTAAAAAGTATAAAATATAAAAAACTTTTATAAAATTGTGGTATAATTGGATCTATGATATCTTAAGTTGATGCTGATATGTTTTACATTTAATCAACACCAAAAAGGAAGTTAGATTCAACTAAAAGTCCAAAATTCAAGGTTAATAAATTATATGATAATGATAATTAAAATGGTAAAATGGATTTTACAAACTTTTTTTACTCTTTGCAGTTAATAGCTGAAAAATTTTATGATAATGATATTGTAGGTATGATTGAATAACATTTAATACCTCATGAAACATAATTAAGAATTGAAAAACAAGAGTTTATTTTGTAAATTTTAATGACAATTTTAGATGATCCTAAAATAGTATAGAATTATAATTATTTTTAGATAAAATTATATGAAATTATGCAGGAACATTTTGAACCTTACTACAACCATTATACAAAAGATTTAATGACTATATCAGGGTTTATGAAATTTTGTTAAGATTTTGAATTAGCAAATTCAATGGTATCAAAAGGATAACTCATGCACGTTTTTAAAGCAATAGCTTCTTTAAATAATTGTGAAACTATTGACAGACGTTAATTTGTTGAAGCCATAAGCGTAATAGCAATTTTAATTTACAACAATATTAACGATAATGAATAAAAAGTAAAAGAAATTCTCATTTATAGATTATCTATTTATTAGAAAGAATTACTTAAAGTGATGGAGCTATAAAAGTATCTAAGCAATTAGGAATAATGAAAAATCCATAAAATACAAATTTAATTTAGTTGTTTCGCTATTAATCTTATAAAGATATAACAATTAAAGAAGAGGTTAACTTTAATAAAATAATAAACTAAATACAAGATGAACATTGATCTATTTATGTTCATATTAATATTAATTATAGTTAAATCATATTCAATAATAATAACCATCATTATCCCCATTTTATGATTTATCTTTTGCAGCAGAGGACTAAAAACTTTTGGAAAAACTAGAGGAACCTTAATTATTTTTGAAAGAATCTTCAGATTCATCTTCATAATTTTGATAGCTTATTTCATTAATTTCCCTAATATCATCCATATCAATTTCACTCTGCTAATCAAAAGCTCTTCTCCAATCAGGCATTTCATGTTGAATATTAGAGCTTTATTTAATCTATTATTGCTATTAAATTTAAGAATTATTTTTTTGAACAGGATTATGGCCAAATTATTAAGCAGCTATTAATTGCATTTCCTAAAATAAATCAGCTTCTTCTGCTTTTTATGAATCCAATATATTAGACCTACATTTAGCAACATGATCGGCCATTCTGGATTTAAGAATGATGTGTAAACAATTATATGGACAAGTATCATATTTATAACCTAAATTAAATGATTTAAATACCTTTCTCTCTCTTATCTTTACATCCTTTAGTTATATGAAACCATAATTTACTAAAAGGCATTTAATGTTTCTTATTATATGGACATATCACTTCAAAGTCATGTCTAAAGTCTCCTTTTTTAAAGCTCATTTAATAAGAAGATTATTTTTATAATATAATAATTATATTGTTATTTTCATTATTTTAATGATCCCAAAGCACAACACATCCCACAACATCCACAACAAAATAAAATTGATATAATTATTAGATATATTACTGTGAATGTTCTAAGCTCACCACAAGGCTCTTACAAGTAAAGACCATACTTTTATCTTAATAATTGAATAATTACTGCAAATAAAATTATAAAAACAACCCCAACAATTCCAGATAATAGCTGTATGCAATCAATACCTGAATTGCAACCTTCATCTTTAATCAATTTTGATGTCACCCATATTAATCTATAAAAGTTATCTCAAAATTAACATTATAAAAATCGCAAAAGTTATGCAAAAAATTGAATAGTTATGAGCGTAGTTTCTCAACTTAAGGCAATCTTCGCTCTCTATTAATATTTCAATATTTTTTGTATTTTACCATATAATTCTTCTTGAGATGAAAAATAATAAAATGATCCTCCTATCACTGCTGATGATATTAGAGTCAACCAAGCAGCTTATTATCTTGTTTTAGAATCCATTTAAAATAATATTAAATTAAAAACGATATATAAAATTCATCTTATAAAAACAAAACAAACAATTATATCTTTTTATTTTTCTTGACCAAATTATTTTATTCTCTTCCTTTTTAACTAGCTGAAATCATTATTCCACAGAGTAATAAACAAAAATTCAATAATTTCCTAAAAAAATTAAAAATTTAGAAAATCTCAAACAATATACTAAAGCTTCCGCATCATTCTCCTTTTACTAAACAATCTTTTCATTTATTTAATATTATCCATGACATACTTTAAACTACAAGAGAAAATAATTGATATATTAAATTCTATCCCTCAGCCGATAAAAGAAAATCAAACTTTATTTTAACTACAGGAGTAAATTAAAAACAATTTATTTACAAAATTTGACACAAAGAGAAAAATTAGCAACATCTAAAACAAAAAAATACTATTTCAACNTATCATATTTATAACCTAAATTAAATGATTTAAATACCTTTCTCTCTCTTATCTTTACATCCTTTAGTTATATGAAACCATAATTTACTAAAAGGCATTTAATGTTTCTTATTATATGGACATATCACTTCAAAGTCATGTCTAAAGTCTCCTTTTTTAAAGCTCATTTAATAAGAAGATTATTTTTATAATATAATAATTATATTGTTATTTTCATTATTTTAATGATCCCAAAGCACAACACATCCCACAACATCCACAACAAAATAAAATTGATATAATTATTAGATATATTACTGTGAATGTTCTAAGCTCACCACAAGGCTCTTACAAGTAAAGACCATACTTTTATCTTAATAATTGAATAATTACTGCAAATAAAATTATAAAAACAACCCCAACAATTCCAGATAATAGCTGTATGCAATCAATACCTGAATTGCAACCTTCATCTTTAATCAATTTTGATGTCACCCATATTAATCTATAAAAGTTATCTCAAAATTAACATTATAAAAATCGCAAAAGTTATGCAAAAAATTGAATAGTTATGAGCGTAGTTTCTCAACTTAAGGCAATCTTCGCTCTCTATTAATATTTCAATATTTTTTGTATTTTACCATATAATTCTTCTTGAGATGAAAAATAATAAAATGATCCTCCTATCACTGCTGATGATATTAGAGTCAACCAAGCAGCTTATTATCTTGTTTTAGAATCCATTTAAAATAATATTAAATTAAAAACGATATATAAAATTCATCTTATAAAAACAAAACAAACAATTATATCTTTTTATTTTTCTTGACCAAATTATTTTATTCTCTTCCTTTTTAACTAGCTGAAATCATTATTCCACAGAGTAATAAACAAAAATTCAATAATTTCCTAAAAAAATTAAAAATTTAGAAAATCTCAAACAATATACTAAAGCTTCCGCATCATTCTCCTTTTACTAAACAATCTTTTCATTTATTTAATATTATCCATGACATACTTTAAACTACAAGAGAAAATAATTGATATATTAAATTCTATCCCTCAGCCGATAAAAGAAAATCAAACTTTATTTTAACTACAGGAGTAAATTAAAAACAATTTATTTACAAAATTTGACACAAAGAGAAAAATTAGCAACATCTAAAACAAAAAAATACTATTTCAACATACAGTATTTTTCTTTTTTTTTATTCTCTGATAATTTCTGTAAAATCAAAGTATATTATTCAGCTTACAATATTTATATATCATTCATCTAGCTATAAAGCTTGGATAATTCTTCCAAATTTTGCAACACTTTTAATGAATATCTTTCTACCTATGCAATATTTTCTCCACCAAATCTCAATATCGAAAATATAATTACAAAAAGTTTGTTAAATCATAAATTACATAAACAATAACTAAAATAATCTCTTTTTTAAGATAAAAAAAAAACTCATAGCCAATTTTTCCTTTTGTAAATAAATATCTACATAATTCTATTTTATTATGAATTATTTATTATATACAAATAAACAAAGATTGAAATAATTTTTTAAAAAGTTTTAAACGTTTTTGTTCGATTTAACATAAATTAAGTTAACGAAATCTATAATAACAGTTGATAAAAGTACTTAATAAATTGGAATCAGTTTTTTTCAAAGAAGAAATAAATTAAATAATTTAAAAGTACTTTAGTTGAGCTAGTTGTATCACTTTCAATAATCTTAAATAAGATTTTATTACTGTAATTACAATAATGCTAGGATTCATCATTTAAAAGAGTGTTACATAGAATTGTTTTTAGAAGGTTCAAAAAAAACTTGAACTTCATTTTAATTCTTAACAAAAAGTATTAAAAAGATGAGGCTGGACACTTTAACATTTAAAATCCAAATTCTTGATGTAAATAGATGGAATATAACTCAGATTCTAGAAGATGCGTTACCAAGATATCGAAAAATATAATTAGTTTATGTTCCACTCTTTATGATTTAGTGAATTAAATATTGATTACTTTGTCTAGCCATTAAATTTTGATGCTATGATAATTTGATTTTAAATTTTTTTAAGACATCATCCCAAACCACTCAAACAAAGATAATCAATAAGGTTGCAAAAAAACATTTAATGTTTTATTCTTTTTCAGGCTTATCTAACTAGAAATAAGCAATATATTTAGTTAAATATTAACACGCTCTAGACTTTAAGAATTAAGGGATATAATTCTATTGATATTATCAATATTTCTATTTTATTGTTAATGACAGACCTTTATCCATGACAATCTATTGAGTTTAGATATTACTATACTATAGTAATACTTTTATGTTTTTGATTTTCGTAAGAGTGGGAATATCAAAAAATTATTTGATAACAAAGTCAATTGTAATGGAGTTATCAGCAGAAATGAATGGGTATTAAGAAGGATTGAGATAATTTTATATTTTTTATGATTTACTTATTAGATTAAGAGAGATATGTATATTATTCTGAATTGAAAAGAATTCATCGAAATAGGAGTATCATCAATTTAAATAAGAGATTGTTTATTGTTTTTATTTTTTTGAGGTTTTCCTCTGGTGATTTTAAGTTTTTTGATAATATTCTTGAGAATTTAGAGTTACCCAAAATTTTATAGATTAATATAATATAGATTTAGATTATTTGGAAGTGATATTAGCAGAAGTAAATGCATAAAATAAATTATTATTATTTAGATGGCATAATACCATTATTTATTCAAATTTATAATAGTTGGAGATGGTAATGTGGGAAAATCTTGTATTTTATTGAGATATACTGAAAAATAATTTCGTGATGAACATGACACTACAATAGGTGTTGAATTTGGATCTCAAATTTTTGTAAAAAATGAGAAAACAATAAAAATATAAATATGGGATACAGCAGGACAAGATTCATTCAAGTCAATAACTAGATCATATTATAAAGGGTATATAATAAAGATTATTTTAGATCGATAGGAGTGTTACTAGTCTTTGATATAACAAATGAGGAGTCTTTCCACAATGTATTAAAGTGGTATAATGAAGTCAATGATTAAGCTGCTCAAAACTGTTAAATTGTGTTAGTGGGAAATAAAATTGATTTGGAATCACAGTATATATTAAATATATTAAAGTCGAAAAATATCAACTCTCTAAGCTAAAGCATTTGCTGACCAATACAAAATGCAATATATTGAGACATCAGCTAAAACTAACCATAATATTGATTTATTGTTTGAAAATACTGCTATGGAAATAGTTGATAAGATTGAAAAGAAACAAATTGAATTTACTACAGAGGTATTAATCAAATATCAATTCAAATATAGGATAGCGGCATTAAATTAGGTAATTACTATAAACAATAAAATACAAAAAAGTAAGAGGAGGATTGCAAATGCTGATTATTAAAATTAACAAAGTATCATCAGTTATTCACAATAATAATATGAATAATGCAAACCATATCACAACTATTTGAGTAAATTCAAAATTATCGCATCTTTCTTTGCATATTTTTATATTCTTCCACCAACTTGTAGTGTTTGGTTTTAAATTATAAAGCATCACTTCATTTACTTTTGTTACCTGTCTAAATATAATATATATACCTCTGAATGATAAAACCTTGCAGATCCCATGTATGATTCATTCATAAAAACTAATACTTCTTAATTATCCCAATTTAATAAGATATCTGCTTGAGTCCAAAATATTTTGGCATCACTTGAAACTGAATTATTATAGAAGGTGATCATCTAATTATCATTTACTCTAATAAATCCAGCATAACCACATCTAAATGATAATACTGTTTTATCTGTGGCTGTATCCTTCAATCTTAAATTTGTATCTTCAATTTCCTTGTTTCCAGAGGCAAACCAGAATCTAATATGCTAAGGTTAGGATTCTTCAAATAAATGATAAAATCCATCTTAAAAACTTAATTCTGATTCTGCCTATTTAGCTATTTTCAGGAACTTTCATTTATTCATAAATCAATTTACTTTCTCATTCTCTTAAGTAATAAATTCAGTTTTCATATATTCTTCTGTTTGATTCATAATCCAATTTTACTCTATCTAAAAATTACCTTCTCCTTTCAGATAATCTGTTCCATCATAGGCTGCATTTATTAATGTTATTAAAGTTGTGATTAATATCATTATGTAATAATAATAAAAGAAAACAAGTTGGATTCAATAATTATTTTGTGCCTGTATCAGAGAAGAACCTCTAAAATAAGATTAAAAATTGAACAGACTTTCTACTCAAATGGAAATTCCCAAATCTAAACCTATAACACTTATCTCCATTCAAAATCAAACAGAAGGCTGGCTTAATAAAACCACTACTCAAGAAATAGATTATTTTGATCAAATCTAACATGATAACGATTCAGATGAAGGACAAAAAATTTATAATAGATAACTCTCTTATCTGGAAAAAAATTAGCTTATGTAGAAAACTAGTTTTTCAGACGTAATCAAATTTTTCTCTATCTCAGGAATTTAATTCCAATAATATAGAAATGAAGTTATTGCATCGTTGTGGAGGCTTGTTAGCTAGGCAAAGCAATGTTTTAATAGAAATGCAATCCTATCAATGGATTATGAAAATCTTTTAAGATGTTTATTTGACCATCTAAGACAGGCAATTTGAATCCAAATTTAAAGCTTCAATGCTCAACCCTTCTATTGTTGATTTAATCAATAATAGAATTAAATCCAATTCTATTTTATTAGCTCATGATCCCACTGGTTCAATTTTACTTAAGTTAGCTAGCCATAATCGCACTATCTACTACTTATAAACTGATAAAACTTATATTGACTTAATAGATAGAGGAATCTGTAAGATGAATGTAAATGTTTCAAAAGTTTTAAAAATGGATCTAGAAAATAAAATCGATATAGTTGTTGTAAATCTTTATTTTATTGATTCTAAACATAACCTTAGAAATATTATGCATGAATATCTTTAATATGCTCATGATATGATCATCATTATGCACCCTAAGATTGAAAATTCTCTTATTTACTCCTAAGTAGAATAGGCAATTTCATTATCAGAATAGTCTAAATAAACTTGTAGCATAGAATTATAAAATCTTGTTGAAAACAATAATTGTATAGCTAAAATTCTTTATTTTGGTGGCGTTAGTGAAGTATATTATTTAAAAAATATTTTAGATTACATTGAATGATGAACTTAATTTTGTTTATTCTTGTTTAGATTCATCAGTAAAGAGATAGTACAATTATAAATTGATGTTTAAAGACCTTAGAAACTAAATAGGAATGACAAAATTAATAAAATAACTTAATGAATTTTAAATTATAGCAGGGATTGGATAATTTATAGAGTTTTCAAGTTAACTTAATGGATCTTTGGATAAATATCGACTAATTAATAGTTAGTCTCAAGATTTTGAAGATAAAGATGATGATGAGAAACAGAAATTAATTGAAAATATGTCATCATCCACTGAATCAGAACCTGAAGAAAATCAAAATTAAGAAAGACTTGACTTTAGAAGTGAAACTTTAAATTAATCATCAAACTCATTTTATCAACCTAATATTGTACGTCATGCAAATTCATAACGATTTGATTTATGAATTTTAAGTAACATTTTATTTTTTATAAAATTTAGCTTAATATTCAAATTACTTAAAATCCATTTATATTTATAAATTAATTGTTTTTTAACGATTTATAATATAATTTCTATTATATTTTCTTCTTTCTAAAAGAAAAAGATAAATCAATATATAAAATTTGATATCTGTATCATGTTGTAATTGTGATATGAATTAATATAATAATTTATATATTTCATTCTTTAGGTTAACCACCTTCAGGTGTTTATTTTCCTAATAAAGCTTTGTGTATATGAGGAATAACACCACCACCAGAAATAGTTGCTCTAATGAGGATATCAAGTTCTTCATCACCTCTAATTGCTAATTATAAATGTCTTGGTGTTATTCTTCTAACTAAAAAAATATTTTAATATTTTCTCACCTTTAAAGTCTTTTGATGCATTTCCTGCTAACTCAAGCACTTCAGCTGTTAAATATTCCAAAATAGCTGATGTGTAAACTGCTGATGTAGTTCCTACTCTATTTTTTGCAGATACTCTTTGCTTTAGATATCGATGAATACGTCCAACAGGAAACTAAATTTCTATAAAATATTTACTTAGAGTCCAGCCTTCAATGACCTAGATTGAGGAGCTTTCTTATTCTTTCCAGATCCAAACTTTCCTCCTTTTCCTCCTTTTCCACCTTTTCCACCTTTTGCACTCTTTGCAATTCCAGACTAAACAATTTAATAAATACATTACCATATATTTGTTATTTTAATATACTAGAAAATTATTTTTTTATATATAGTTTAAGAATCTCAATACTTAAATTTGATTGGTTTTCCAACTAAAAACTCGAATAATTCATCAAGCTCAAATATCATCCTTATTCCCGCTTTTAAACTCATTCATCATTCTTCCCAATTGCAGATTTTCATATAGTTTAATTTTATCAAAATTTTGGAAATATTATTATAACTTATGTTATTGCATATATTATTTAAAAACTTGATAACTATTATGCAATATTAGCTTTTGATTTATAAATTAGTCTAAAGATCTTAATTTTTAAAGGTATCACTTAACTCTTGTTTTTCTGAGAGTTACAAGCTTATTATTGAGAATTTTTACAGAAAATTCGATATAAAAATTAATGAATACTAAAAATTAGAGAATCCCAAAATTTGTGACAAAATTGATTGAAATATTAGATGTAATCCAATTTAAATAAAATAAAATAGAATTAATCTTATTCAGAAATTATTAGTTTCGATTAAAAAGGTGATGGTATTGTAATCCATCAATAAGAACTATTTGAAACTCAGATTCTCTTAAACTATTTTAAGCATAATCATATTGATTCATTTACTCGCTAAATGAATAATTATGGTTTTAAAAGAGTTAAAAATCAATAAGGGAAGTATGAATTTAAAAATCCAATCTTCTAGAAAAACAATAAGTATTCCTTTTTTTTATATATCACTTAGAAATTTGATTCATATGGTGATGAAAAAAAAACAAGAAAAAATATAAATGATATCACAATTCTTAGCTCTAAAATCAGAGTTAAACTAATTCTCAAAAGAATTAGACTAATTTAATTTTTTCGCCTCCTCTGTATTTCATTAAATTATTTAAGTATTAATAAAGCTAATCTATATTAACAGAATCTTAAAATAAAGTTAAATTGGAGATGATTTCTATTTCAAAAAAGAACCTTGAGATGGAATAAATGTTAAGCAATTTAATTTACGAAAAAAAAACTATATTAAATTGAAGTGATATTCTCATTGTTATTTTAATTTTGTTCAACAAAATTTATAACCTATCTTGTAAAGCAAAATATTTTGAAAGTTTTAACTATTTAATTTTAGTAATAAAAATTAATAGATCTTATTTTAACTCATAGTATTTTCAGTTCTCTATGATAAACCAAAAAAAAAACAGGCCAATATTAATTTATTATTGTTTATAAATTTAATGTTTAAGCTTTAAGAAATTTAAAGTATTTAATTAACTAAAATTATTCTTAATCACTTAATTTAAATGATAAAATATATTATAATTATCAATTATCTTCCTCTTAAACCATATCTTATTTTCTTAAATACTCTATTTAGGTTTCATTTAATTGAATCATTTAACCATTTTCATCTAATAAATAATTTCCCTCTTCATCTAATAAGTAACCATTTTCATCTAATTGATATGTTGCTTCATTATCATTATCATTATCATCATCTTCTTCTTCTTTTTAATTGTTTTCTTTATTCTAATTCACTTCTTTAACTTCTACCATCATTTCCTCCTAAGTTTAATTATTTTTAGAGGGACTGAGTGCTTTTAACTTATCAATAAAAGCTTCTTTTTCAAACTCTGGCTCTATTTATTCCTAATATAATAATCAAATTCTTACGATTGTGTTTTATTCTGATAATTCATTTAATTAATGATCACTTTTACTTTCTGAATCTTCTTCATAATTAAACACTTGAACTTATGCTTGTTAAATTTCAGGCTTTTTCTTATTAAATTCATCTATCCAATGATTTTAATCTGTCTATTTAAAGGAAAATAGCAGTTCTTATTTTGACTTTCTAATTTCTTCGTTTGATTTATTTTATAAATCTTAAAGATATTCAAACTAATTTTTATATTCTTATTTAATTTTCTCAAATTACTTCATTAGACAAGAAAGTTCTAATTTTAATTAGGTTATTCCATCATCAATTTCGTCTTTATTCTAAAATTAAAAATAATATCTATACCCTATCTAATTTCTATTATAATTATTAGATATAAAGTTCTTATTTAGAATTTTAGGATAAGTGTTGATCTATCCTTCGTGATAATTCTTAGTATTATTAAGATAGTAACTTTTAAGAATTCTGTAATTCAAATACTCCTTGAGTAATTTTATTTTGATCTTCCTAATTAAGTGTTAATTCTGTCAATCTAATTTATAAGCTATCCATTACTTTTCAGACTAAGAAAATGGTTTTTACTGTGTCATATTCTAAACTTACTTTAACTTAATTTCAATTTCATCTGATAACTTTTTGCATGCTTAGGTTATATTGTTTTATTAATTATTTTAAAAATTCTTAAATTAAGCAATTGTTTATTCTTCTTAAACATTAATTTTTTAGGATTGTTCTAATATATTTTTTTCTAGTTTTGTTAATTATTATCTAAAATATATTAGAAAATATTTTTACTTAGTTTTTTAATCAGATTAAGTATATTCATTATGATAAGAATCAAAAAATTACTAAAGATCTTTAATTTTTTATTGAATATCCTTTATAGTCTTATCTTCACTAAGATTAATTTGAGGAAGAATTCTTAGTTGAGACTCTTCTTTAAATTTAACTAAATTTTACTAGTTTTCTTTTTATAACAATTTTAATTTATTATCAGTCGAATCTTGCAATTCTTTAAACTTAATTTAATAATCTTTTTGAAAATTAGCCTATTAATTCACCAATTCTTCTTGAGCCTTTTTAATTTATGCTTTAATCTAGAAAATTGATATATAAATTTTACAGATTCTTCAAACTATATAAATTTTAAGCTTAATTATTCAGCATTTTATCCTCGGATTTCAATAATATTATTTCTGTTTTAATCTATTTGATTTTACATTTCTTTTATCTTTGATTCTTAAACCTAGACTCTTTCCATAATTATTTGATTGACATGTTTTAAAATTTATTAGAATACTCCATTAGAATCCTCGACTCTATTACTCAAAAATGAAGCATCATATGATTAAATAGCTGTGCTGAATGTAGAAAATGGAGAATTATGTTATGGAGCTGAATGATAAAAAATAATACCCATTAAGAGGTGTTCTGTGTTTTTCATATTAGCAATCCTAGTATCAGCTTGTCTGCCAGTTTAAATTTATGTAGGTTAATTATACAAATAACTCTGTTACTGCTATTGTTACTTATCCGGATAAAAAATTGGTTTTCTACTCATGATTAATGCAATATTGATGTTATTAATAATAATAAAACTATTCTTTTTTTAATTTTATATTCACAAAAGTTAGTTCATAAAATAGTAGGAATTTTGAGATTGAGAAGTTTAGAATGAAATAATTTTAAAAATTAATTAATAAAAATAGATCTATTACTCTTTAGACTATTTTAAATAATAAACTAATATTTACATTCATTAGAACTTATACCCTTCGAATAAACTTTAAACACTTTTTCTTCTTAATAAACTTTAACAGTCTTCTTCTATTTCACTATCTGCTGATATCTGATTTTAAAAATCACTATTACCATCAATACTCTTTTTATTAAGAAAAATAAGTTACTCCTGGGATATATAAAGATTTCATTTCTTTATTCAACAATTTTGTCCATTAAACTCCCTTTAACCATTAATGATGTATTATTTCTTCAATTCCACTAAAACCTAATCTTTATTAAGGTTTTCGAATGAGTAACTAAATTAAAAAATTAAATACCTTATTAATAAAATCTATAGCTTTGTTACTTATATTAGGAGTACCTTCTTTAATGAATGCTTATTTAGCTAATATTTAATCTCTAATTTCTTATCTATTTTTTCCATTGTAGGGTCTTTTACCAATTAAAATTTCATAAAGAATAACTCCAAGTGCATAATAATCAACAGAATAAGAATGCTCCATTCTACACAGTACTTCTGGTGCCATATATCCTGGAGTTCCAGAAGTATCATTTGCAATACTATCCTTATTTAATCTAGCTACTCCCAAATCTGTTAAATGTAAAAAACCTTCTTTGTCGAAAACCAAATTTTCTGGTTTCAGATCTCTATGAATGATACCATTCGAATGTAAATACTGTAATGCAAGTAACATACAACAAGCAAAAAATTCTTATTATATATTAATAATTTACTTGCTTAATCTTCAGTAAATCTTTTCAATTTACCTATATGAAATCTTAAGTCTCCTCCTCTTAATAAATCCAATACAAGATATAAATTTTCTCTATCTTAAAATGCAAAATGCATATTGACAAGAAAAGGATGACGAAGATGTTCCAATAAAAACTTTTCATTCATAACTGAATTAACTGATCTTTTCGAAATAATTCTAAGATATAACTAAATATACTTTGCCTTAATCATTTCTTTTAATGCAAACTCTTTTTTTGTTTATTTCATCTCAACTCTCCAAACTTTTCCAAAACCACCTTTTCCTATAACATAAATAAATCGGAATGCCGATCTGCTTATTATACTAGCCTATTATTATGTTGTTTTAAGTTAAATAACTTCTTTTTATGAATAATTATCTAATGAAATTTTTCTAGAATGAGATTTTGATAATAACCATGTAGAGGAATTTGTTGACGAATCTTTAGGTTCATAATTTTGTTTTCCACCATAATATGTTTACTACAACAATTAATTAGAAGCTTATCTTTATAATTTTCTTGATATCAAACTTTAAAGCTAAGCAATGTCTTATTTTTCTACATTTCCTTATTCAATTAATACTGAGTGTTTCAATGGTTTTAGAGAAATCATTGATGATGATCTTTTTCGAGAGCATATTAAACAACTCATTTAATTACATATACAAGATTCTTCATAATTTTGACTCGCTTAAAGTTTTATTTTTAATTTTGGTTGTTTATTTTACATCAAAGGTAGTAAATCTTTTAGAGAAGCATATGCTGATTTCATGTTATCAATTGAAATAAATTATATTTTATAATTTTATATATGATTTCAATCCTTATTTATCATTTATTTTTCAATAAATTTCCTTTCGTTTGGTTGGGTTCTCTAAATCAGTAAATTCTTTTTTACAAGAGAAACATTTTTTAATGGTAATTTATGTTTTAATTTTAAGTATTTGATTAAACAAATAACTTTAAAATGGATTTAATATAATTAATATTGTTTGCCAGAACATTTAATCAAAAAGGATATAATTGTGATTAGTAATGATCAACATATTTATAATTAAAAAAAATTTAGATTGTAGTGTCATTATTTAACCAATGAAATCATTTTCTGTAAATCTAATTGCATTTCTTCTTAAGTTATTTACTAACTAAAGCCTCCATTCTTTTTTAAGAGTTCATCTAAATAACTTGATTTATTTGAATATATTGAGTTAAAATATGAAGTACAATTATTGTTACTTGTTACAGGAGGTTCATAAGTACTATTTTTTCTTTTGTGAATTTTATCTAAGAATTTGAATCCTTTTCTATTGATAGATCTTTACAGAGGTTTCATATTTCTTAATTTTTGATCTTCAATTCTACACCATGGACAAATGTATTTAAATTTTAAATCTTCTTCTACTAAGGTTTCAATTCCATGAATTCCATTTTTAGCTTCACAAGATAAATGCGTCTTAAATTATTTTATAATAATTTTAATACCCATTTGTCACACCTATCTTAATCACAAGCTATCCATTTTTAGCCGTCTAAAAAATTTTCATTTTAATCACTATACACCTAGAATATTAGTATAAATACTTAAGCACAGAAATAACAACACTTTTTCTCATTATACAATTCAAGACATTCTTTACAAAAAAATAGAATTTAATCACTAAATTTAGCTGCATAAACATTTTATGATTCAATTGTACAATATTAATTCATACATTCATCCTCTTGAATTTTATCTTAGTCATCCATTTATATTCTAAATAAAAATATTTATAATATCATTAGAAATTTTCATAAAGATAATTAATGATCATATCTGGGTCATCTCTATGAATTGCATAAGCTTCTACTACTTATTCAAGTGTAAAGAATCCCATATCCATAACTTATGCAATTATTGGATTATTCATGGGATCTTCATAAATTGTTTTTTCACTTTCTTTCAATGCATTTTAAAATTATGTATCTTCAAATTATTACATAAACTATTATTCTTATTCTTATTTGCTTTATTCCATAATTTTTCTCAATATTTCGCTTTCCAAATTAGGTTGTTATTATTATTATTATTGTTATTATTATTATTATTATTGTTATTATAATGGTTATTGTGATTGTTATTATTGTTAAGTTTATTTTTATTATTAAATAGGGTATTATTAATTAAATTAAGCATCTTGAACACTTTCTTTAATAACCATGTCCATAAGTTATTCTTCTTCTTCTTCATATTCTAGTTATTGCAAAGATTCCTTTATGGCAGTTTATTCACTAAAATAATTCTACTAAAATACTTTTTAAGTTATTGATCTTAAAATAATCGTTTAGATTCATTAAAAATAATATCTAATTCATTACTAATGCAATTTTCAAATTAAGCTCTAGATAATTATTATCCATATCTATTATTATTGTTTGCACTTTGTTTGTTTTTCTATTCTAACAATTTTTCGAACATTTGCTTTTCATATTAACTAATTTCTAAACTTCCTAATAAGGCAGAATGTTGTTTATCTTTTAATTTAATTGAGTTGTAATGAGATCTTCCATGATATGATAATCTAATTGGTCTAAAAGATAAGAATAATTATTACTCCTTATTATATGGATTTGCCTCCAAACCAGTTTTTAAGGGTTCTTTACTACAAACATAAATTTCAATAGGAATATCATAGAGTTCTCGAAAAGCCTAAAGTTCTATATTATCTCCCCAAACACCATCTTTTGATTTATATTCTACATATTCTTCCACATTTCCATTTATTATATAATCTTAGAAATAATCCTTTTCTTATAAAATANCTTTTTCTCATTATACAATTCAAGACATTCTTTACAAAAAAATAGAATTTAATCACTAAATTTAGCTGCATAAACATTTTATGATTCAATTGTACAATATTAATTCATACATTCATCCTCTTGAATTTTATCTTAGTCATCCATTTATATTCTAAATAAAAATATTTATAATATCATTAGAAATTTTCATAAAGATAATTAATGATCATATCTGGGTCATCTCTATGAATTGCATAAGCTTCTACTACTTATTCAAGTGTAAAGAATCCCATATCCATAACTTATGCAATTATTGGATTATTCATGGGATCTTCATAAATTGTTTTTTCACTTTCTTTCAATGCATTTTAAAATTATGTATCTTCAAATTATTACATAAACTATTATTCTTATTCTTATTTGCTTTATTCCATAATTTTTCTCAATATTTCGCTTTCCAAATTAGGTTGTTATTATTATTATTATTGTTATTATTATTATTATTATTGTTATTATAATGGTTATTGTGATTGTTATTATTGTTAAGTTTATTTTTATTATTAAATAGGGTATTATTAATTAAATTAAGCATCTTGAACACTTTCTTTAATAACCATGTCCATAAGTTATTCTTCTTCTTCTTCATATTCTAGTTATTGCAAAGATTCCTTTATGGCAGTTTATTCACTAAAATAATTCTACTAAAATACTTTTTAAGTTATTGATCTTAAAATAATCGTTTAGATTCATTAAAAATAATATCTAATTCATTACTAATGCAATTTTCAAATTAAGCTCTAGATAATTATTATCCATATCTATTATTATTGTTTGCACTTTGTTTGTTTTTCTATTCTAACAATTTTTCGAACATTTGCTTTTCATATTAACTAATTTCTAAACTTCCTAATAAGGCAGAATGTTGTTTATCTTTTAATTTAATTGAGTTGTAATGAGATCTTCCATGATATGATAATCTAATTGGTCTAAAAGATAAGAATAATTATTACTCCTTATTATATGGATTTGCCTCCAAACCAGTTTTTAAGGGTTCTTTACTACAAACATAAATTTCAATAGGAATATCATAGAGTTCTCGAAAAGCCTAAAGTTCTATATTATCTCCCCAAACACCATCTTTTGATTTATATTCTACATATTCTTCCACATTTCCATTTATTATATAATCTTAGAAATAATCCTTTTCTTATAAAATATATTGCATTGCAAATTTACGTAGTTCTTTATGGTAGATTTCATTTCCATATAGTTAATCACTTATAGCTCTAAACATACAATTACCATCCCCTTATACCTCTCTTATTAGCATTCCTTATTCACTCAATGTAGACTACAAAGATGTTTCTATCTCCTTATATTTTTTACGCATAGATAATAGATTTTATAATTAAAGATAAAGATTAAAGCGATGCTACAATCTTAGAATTGATTATGGTTATTATTTTAATAATTTTCCTATTCCAGGTTCATTTGAGTTCTAACCAAGAGGATGAATGTCTTTCAATTAATAATTCTAATCATAAATCCTCTTATATCCTTAATGATGAATTAAAGCTGAGTCTTTTTCTATTTGTACAACAATGCCAATTAACCAACCTTTATTAGAATTATAAACTTCAACTCTTGTATTTAACAAAGGGACTCCAGGAATCCACTATTTACGAATTATTTCATATGAAAATTATATCCAAAAAGTATTTTAAGTAGAAGGGGATTAAAGTCTTATATTTGAGTTTTAAATATCCACAATCTTCATTGCCATCCATTTATTTGTATTTGAATCCAGATAATCAATGTATTCTCCTATTTCCAATAAATGACTCAAGACCTACTGTTCTTAAGGGCAATCCTAATTGACCTATGTCTATACTTTATTACCATTTATTTTACTTCGTCATCTTGTAATTCTAAATCTATTTCTTCTGAAGAGGAATTATCATTGTTTCTATCTCCTGTCATAAAATTTGATTATTCCATTACGCTTTAAAGTTAAAGAATATTATTTTATAATTATTAATAATAGATTATAATAAATACTCATATAAATTCTTGTATTAAACAAAATTCAATTTCAAATAATTTAAACTTACTAAAATCATTAAAAATTCAAGGTAGTAAACATTTATATTAAATATATTTATATATAACTAAAATTTCATTTTTTTTATTGAACATTTATTTGCTTTTAGAATTGCTACTAATGAATTTACTCTTTTAGCATCTCCATTCCACTTGTTAATTATAATATTTGATTTTTTAATTACAACACTTCCTACTCATATTATGACTACTTTTCAAAGAATTTTTATTCTTAACAAAATAATTTAGTCTTTAAATTTGATATTTAAAGTTATTGTTGTTGAATGATATAATTTAAATTATAAATGTTACTAGTGTTTAAGACATCTTCTGATTAATCTTATTCTTAAACCTTATTAGGACATTTCCTTGAAGATTTATCCTAACTTAAAAAACTTTCAGCCTTTATTTCTTATTATGATCTATGTGTCATAAATCTTTCATTTTTTTAAACAATGCATTGTATTTTCTCTAAATGCTCTAATATTTCTTATTTTAGACTAAACTTACTTACTAAATTATATACTTTAAATTATCTTCTATTATTTCTTATTTGCAATTACAATTACTAAATCGAGAATTGCTAGTCTAACATTCAGTTTTTTAAGGTGTTGATCGTGTAGCAGTATTTTCTTCTTATTCCTCATTTCCTTTATAAAATTCTTTGTGTTTCAATATATCTTTTAATTTGAATGTTTCGCTTATATTTTTTACTTTATTATTCAATTATGTCTATGTTTTATGGTTTTCTTTATCCTTTGAAAGACTTCGCTTTTACTTTATTTGTCCAACTGATTTTCGAGTACTTTATTGTTTCTTTTATCCTAATTCATGATCATCAATGCTTTTCCTACTCTTGCTTTAACGAAGTTGCATTAACAGTTAAAATTTTTAATATTCTATATATAATTAATTTTATCAAATTATTTTCTTATTTTTTTATTCTCACTTACCATTTTACTTCAATCACAATAATCTAAATTACTATAAAAATACATATTTTAATTATGCAAAATATTCTTTATTATAGATATCTTAATCAATATTATAATTTAAGCTTAAATGCTTAAGTAATCAACAGCTTAAATATTTATATCTTTTTAATCTGTTAATCCGATTAGAATTATACAAACTTCAATTATCAATCAAGAATTTATTTATAAATTATAATATGAATAAATACTTAGCTTATTAATTTGTAGGTAAAAGTGAGGGTCTTCATAAATTACCTGATCATATTCAAAAAATAAAGAAATCTTTAGGCTTTGAAGAAAAAGAACGAAGAGTAATTGAAGAATTAATACCTTAATTAAAATAAAGAATTAGAGCCTAATCTATTCCTGAAAAACCAATTCCCAAGTAGATTCATATCAATAATCTTTCTAAAAAATTAGTTAATTTGAGGCAAGAGTATGATAAAATAAATGTTGAATTAAATAAACATTAATCTTTTAGAACATCAATAAAAAATCCAAAAACAAGTTTTGAATAACATTTTTTTTAAGTTGAATAGTAGATTCAAATTTGGGAAGAATAAAAAATAAAACTCTCTGAATAAATTAAACAAATTAAAAAAGAACTATTTTTTTTAGAAAATCAATCAGATACTTATACTTCAAAAAAAATAGTTACTAATTAATCTGTTTTATTGAGTGAATTAGTCACAATTGAGAAAAAAATTCCTACTCCTTCTAAACTTCCTAAAATATTAAACTAAGAAAGTCCTATGTATACTTAACCGAAAGCATTTCATTCAGATATTAAAATGTTAAATAATACAAATGATTCAAATTTGATTGATTTATTAGAAAGTGATGAAGATTAAGATTTAAGACCCAGAACAAGAGTAACAAAAATTAAACAAAAATAATTACCAACTTTAGAATAAATGATAAGCTCATTAGATTAGTTTGTTGTAAAAAATGATAAATTATAACCCCATAAAGAAGCATTATAATAATTTAGATTAGCTTAGTATGAGAAATATTTAATTAAGCTACCCCATTTTTAATAAAATAATAATTATGATTTAAAAAAATCTTTAAAATATAAGAGAATTAAAAATATCAAATACGGATTTGCAACTGTTTTTTTTTGTTTTTGCTTAATTAAGCAAACTAAGATATCTCAACAAAGATATCAATTAATTTGTTACTAATATCATTAAAATAATTATTAAAAGTCAAATCAAGAACTTATATTTTTTGTTAATAATGTAATAGCAAAATAGATTTTGTTCAAGTTTAGTCGTTTGTAATAACTCTAAAAAGCTGAAAAAAAATAACATAAAATAATGATACCATTAATAGCGGAGGAAATTGTCAGAGAAATTCTTTAAAAGTTGACAAGTTAAAAGTTTTCAAATTAATTTTATATTTTCTTAAATTCAATATCAGAAGCAGGATTTTATCCATTGTAAAATTATCATTGCGAAATCATTAAATCAAGATTTTAACTTTCAAAATATTTTTAATATTTGTTGAAAGAATGTAAAAAAATTGTTTTTTTTGAATTTGTTTTAATTAAAAATATTATCTTTTATGGATTGTTTTTTAAATCAAAAGAATTATTTGGTTAATTAAAAATAGATGCTGATAATGAATTAATAAATTCAGTTGCATTAATTCTACTTGAATTATTTTTAAGAACTTAATAATCTGGAATCATAAATGTCAATTTAAAACATTTTAGTTATGCATTAGCTGATGGTCCTTATGTTTAAAAGTATTTGAAAGAATTAGATCTAATAAAAATGAAAATTTTAACTACTTTATAAATTGACGACATGATGAAACCATTTATATAAATGATTGAAAAATAATTTATAAATTACTAACAATGATTATTAATTTATTAGTCAATAAAAATATTGAATTTTGGATATTTAAGAGATTTAATGTTCTAATGAATGATTAAATATATCCATAATTAATTTCTAAATCATATTCTAAATTATTAAACAGTTTACTTTTGATTAAACAATAATACAATCTATAAAATTATATTTTAATATTCTCATTTAAATTTCTCAAATAATGGCTTATACTAATACCTGACATAACTTATGGATTTTTTAAGATTATTTTTTGTTCCTAATGTGAGTTTATCAAATTATTCTAAACAAAGTTTTTAACCTTGATGCAAGAATTCTTCAACTTATCTCTCTTTAACTTCTTTGTCCACATCATTAAATATATCTTTTCTCTATTATATACAAAAAGCAAAATGTGCAATAAAATTTCCTAATTAATTCTTATCTTCAACATTCTCCACCTTATTATATATTTCTTCACTATGCTATTTTAGAAATGTTGATTAATACAATTTTTTAGAATCTTAAATGGTTTCTCATCAAATAATCTAAATGAATTATGATGTTTGATACATCAATTTTGAATTTTCTTACTTGCTACATAATGATATTAAAGCTAAATAAAAATGATTATTAGTGTGTCCTAATTTAATTTTTTTTAATAATTTACTTTTCAATTGATTTGCTCAATAAAGGGGTTTGCTAGTGTTCCCAACCAACAAAAAATTTTATTGAATTTCTATATAATGTTATCCAAACTTTTTCATCATCTAGATAATATTGTTAAGAAATTTAAGTAAATGATCTGAAATTGTAAATATCCAAATATCTTGCATTATCCAAAATTACTCTATAAGCTCTATCGAAACATTCCCAATTCTTTTTAACTTCATTAGGATGATGTATATTTAATTATTTTATTGCTTTCCAAAGTTTGAAATCTTAATTTTAAATAAAGGAATCATTATTAAGTATACTCAAAAGAAAATTTAAATCAGTAGATTCATATTTCTTACTATTATTTTAATAATTACCAATTTATGAGGAGGGTTGTTTTTTTATGTTTCAATATACTTTGTATGATCATAATAGAGATGAGCATTTGGAATATCATCTGGAATAGAAGGTTTTCTAAGGGATTTAGTTTCTCCTTTTGGTTTTGATATTCCAAGTCTTGTATATCTAGGATCCTTAAGCAAACTTGGAATAGTTGATCGATGGGAATATTTCGAAAAGCCTTAAATAATTTTCTAAAACATATATATTTTAATCAAACTTTTGCATAATTATTTTTAAAGTATTTCAAAGAAATTTAAATTATGTTTTACAAATATATGATTTTTAGATAATGTATACTTATAACTTTTTTTATTTTTTTAAACTATTCATTTTTATTTTGAGATATTTGTATTCTATAGATAATAATTACCAATTTTTTAAGGTGACAAACAGTATTATGTTGTAAGCTTAATTTTTATTTGGATATATTATAAAATAATAAATAATCAAGGCTTGATCACTTTTCAATTTTTCTATAGAATCTCAATTGTTGAATTAATATTGATTTAAAACTGTATAATTAATTATAATTTTTCTCAATTTTATTAGATTTTAAGAAGGACTTTTCGTAAAGTTTATTTTATTTTTAAGCCTTTATAGATAAAATTATTTAAGCTATAATTAAAATTAAAAAGGTTTTCTAATTTTTTTCATTTTGATATGAATAAAATAGGAAGAGTATCTTACCTCATAATTTTTAGAAAATCACTATGAATAGGGCCGAATAAGAATTCAAAGTGATTTATAATTTTCTTAATTGTTTTTCATAGTATTTTCTGAGAATTAAAATTATATTTCTGTATGAATTTATTTTATATTTTAGTAGAAAAATAGAAAAATGAGCTTTTTTTGAATTATGATCGTAATTAAATTACATTTAAAATAAGAGATTTATAAATCTTCTATAAAATTGTTATTTAAGAAATAATTAACTTACTTTTTTAATGAGATATTGATAGACTTTGAGAAGATTAAGAATTTTAGCTCAATAAATCAATATTAATTATAAACTAATTGTTTGCTTAATGATTCAAAAATTAAAATAAATTTATATGTTTAAATATTTCTCATATTATTCGATTAAGGAAGCTTCAAATAATATTTATTTTTGAAATTTAAACAATATTTTTGATTGAGAAAAAATATATTTGGTTTAAAAATTTATAGAAAACTTGAATTCATTAAAATTTTGAAAATAAATAATTAAATGAACAATTAAAATTACCCAAAAGGATATATGGGAGGCCCTTATTAAGGAAATATTTATGGTTAACCATAATAAATAAACTAACCACAAAAAGATTTATTTTAAACATTGAAAACCGATTTCTAATATTAATTAGTAAAGCCTCCTAATGAATATACCTAATCTGCACTCGTTTAATTAAAGAATATTTTTTAGATAAGAATGTAAAGTAATACTCTATTCTAGAGATTAGAACTATAATATTGGAATACCTCCAACTTGTTCTTTGAACAATGCTCCATATGATTACACAAAATTTTATTAGTGGAATAATAATTCTACTCATTTAGCTTTAGTCCATTCAATTTAAGATTAATTAGAGCTTTAATCTAAAGTTTTATATAAGTATGTTTAATTTATTAAAATTCAGTCCAATAGTCAAAGAGTATATTGATTTTGTTGCATCTATTCATGCAGATGAGAGTGCTCTTAGAATAAAAAATTTGCCAATGTCTTAATTGATGCCAGGAATTCCACCTTCAGATTATCCTCTATGGTTGAATTCAGATGAAAAATTATAAGTTTTAAGGAGTATGTTAGCTCAAAATTCAGAATTGAGAAACTTAAAGGAAAAAATATTATAATATGTTTAATAAAATGAGATTATTGCTGGTAAGATATGTAAAATAAATTATTAGGATTAATTGAGGCAAACGACTAGGAAATAAAGAGTAGAGTAGAAAGATTGTAATAAAGAAATATTTAACTTGAAGAATAGAAAATTAATTATATTTAATTATTGAATAGAAATAGAACTTTGAGTGAAAGATTTTAAGCCTCAAAAGTGAATGTTTTATTTTAATAAATTTGTGAAAAATATGATGAAATATCAGATAAATTATTGGAAACTGATTTAAATTAAGACTATGAAGAATGTAAAATAAATCTAAATATAATTAGAAACTTTGAAATATTTTTAGAGTAGAAGAAAGTATCAAAAGACATTAGTACTTTCAGAGAAATTTAGAGAATTAAAATAGATTTGATGCAATTATATATAGATATGTCAAATAAATCTAATTAGCAAATTAATTTTACATATATTTTGTAATATTTTTAGTTAGCAATAGAGAGTAATAAATATATCATCTAAATATTATCATATATAAAAATCTTTTTATTTAACTAAATATTTGGAAGATGTCTGGTAAATCATAAAAGTTTATAGGAAGAGGAATCATAATATTCAGAACATCCAGGAGGTTGGATAGAATGGTTTTGTGCACATGAAGATCACTAATTTTTATGTGAAGTTGATGATGATTTTATTCGTGATCCTTTCAATTAAATTGGAATCAAAGGAAAATTTAATTTCTTTATGTATTATTGTCTACTAATTCTAGTGAAGCTATTAGTATGATTTTATAGCCTACATCACCAGAAGATTAAGACTTAGAAGATGAAAGGTTTTCTTATATTACATCACAAAAGATTTTTAGAAGTTTATTAAGAGGCATCTGACATTTATGGTTTACTCCATGCTAGATTCATATTTACATCCAAAGGATCTGCAATCATGCGTGAAAGATTTTTATAAGGAAAATTTGGTCATTGCCCTCGTATTTATTGCGAAAAGCAAAATGTAATACCTATAGGACTTTGTGAAGATCTTAAAACTGCCAGAATCAAAGTATTATTTTATACTAATTAGGTTTTTTGCCCAAGATGCGAAGAAGTTTACATGCCAAAGAAGAAATGTGCTGATATAGATGGAGCATATTTTGGAAAATCATTTCCTCAATTCTTGTTAATGGTTAATCAATTTCATATTTTACTTAGACCTATCCAGATCTACATCCAAAATTTTAATTATTACCAGATACTTAGATTTAAGTGGATTTTGAACCAACTTTGTTTGGATTCAAAATAGCAGGCAAATAAGGTAGCAAAATTAAGAAATTTGAATAATCTTTCCTATGTAATCATAGTATTACTCAACCAAACATATAACCAATTGAGTAAAATATACTCTAATAGGAGTAAAAATAATATAGGATATAAAAATAATAATAATAAGAATAACTGAATTAGGAACTAAATCAACAATCATAGGATTAAAATAAAGAACAAAAATAAAAGAAAAAGAACAAAAAAAAACATAAACAGTGAATTTAAATCAATTTGGGTTTATATATATTATTTAATTTAATTTATTAATTATTTTTGAATTAAACTAACAATTAAACATTTCATCTAAAAAACTTTTAATTCTAAATAGATTATCAACTGATTTAATTTTACAATGTATTTATTTCTAAAAATTAATCTATTGATTTAATTCTACCATATTATTTATTTCCAAAAAATAATCTAATGATTACATGATTATAATTTTTTATACTTATTAAAAAATTATGCAATTATAAATATATATATATAATTTAGAATCATATATGAAACAAAAAAGGTATGATTCTCTGTAAGATGAAGATGAATTCGCTGTTTTCTAATATCATGACTTAAGTTCAATTGCAAAAAATTAAAAAAGCTCTTTGAATGATAGTAGATTTTCTTAATTTTATTACAAAAATGATAAAGATCAAAATTAACAATTACGCTAATTAAATACTTATAAAATTGAAAGAGCAGATAGTTTGAAGAATTTAAAAAGATAAAATTAATTATATCAAATAAGCTTAAAGTTTAAGAAAATAATTAATGAAGATTTCATTTAAAATCAAAAAGTAGTGATATTTAAAGATAGAGATAATAAAGAATGTACTTGTGTTATTGGAAATTAAGTAGAATATCCTAAGTTTATAAATAATGAGGTCTATAATCTTTTTGGAGTGGAATTAAAAGGATCTTCATCTAAGGATAATACTTTTTAGATTACCATACAAAAAGGTAAAATAACTACAGATCCAATAGAAGAGTAAGGATCATATCTCGAATAGTTTTAAAAGGAACAATAGAACAACTAACAAGAGTAAAATTTTTAGAATTTAAATCAACCAATCTATCAAATTTAGTAAAATGAATCACCTTCATTAAAATAAAATTTGGATATAAAAACATATTTTAATATTTTAGTTTCAATTGTTTAATAATTTGAAAAAAATTAAGTCTGGAGCTCAAAATGTTCAAAACATTTTAATTCTATTAAAGTTGAAGTTATGGATTAAGATGGATAGCTATCATCCATTACATTATGGAATCAATTTTTAGAACATAAATTTAATCCTTACTAAATAGTCTTTTTTTAGAATTTAGAATTAAAATCCCTTTAATCAGGAACAAAATATTTACAAACAATAGATGGTGTATCTAAAATTATAACTGAGGATGCAAAATTGTAATTATTATCAAAGTATTGATTGATAAGATATTTAGTTATGATGAAGTTAAGCTTGCTGCAGACAAGAAGCAAGAAAATGAGCAATTTAGAAAATTAATAACATATTAAGAAATACAATAGCAGGATCCCTTTTGAGAGGAAATAATACATTATATATTGTTTTAATTGCAAAATCTACTTTATTTAAAAAATTTACCATTCAAAATTTTATCCTAAATTCATTCTAAATGAATTAAGATATATTTTTTTTTATTGTAATTATTCAGTATTTTATTTTATTTATAACTATTTTTAGTGAAACAAAAATTTCTATACTTTAAGGAGAAAGATATCAAGTAATTAAAGAAAAATGTATTTTTTAAACGTTAATTTTGATAAATATATTAAATAATCATGAAAAAAAAGGGAAGTTATGTATCAATATATAATAAAGTGTTGGAAAGGAAAAAATATTATAAAAATTGATATTAAATAAGCATGATATAAATAATTGTTAATTTAATTCGTAACGAAATACGTAAATAAATATTTATATTTTTGATAATTGTCGAAATGTATTTCGTAAGCAATTAGCATGAAATATTGAATTCTAAACTCATTTGACATTACCAAAATTCATTAATAATACTTAAAAATGTAAATAAAAGTCAGCCTCATCTTCCATATTGGCAAGCAATTGTTGATAAATTCTTAATAAAATTTAAACTGCACAGTATATGAATCTGATGGTAATTCTTGTGCAATAGCAGCTGCAAAGCTAATTATTAAGTAATTTGGATCAGTTGATATAACAAAAACTAGTTTAAATACGAATAACTATGAGAAAATAATAAATTGGGAAGCATACTAATAAGCTAAGGACAGTTACAATTATATTAGAGTATAATTCTTTCTTTAATTTTAGGAACTAGAAATATATAGAAATCCATACTTTTACCTATGGACACGTTACTTTACAACTGCACCAATATGGGAGATCGAAGAACATACATATTATATAATTGAATTAACAGACGAAGATTTGAATTTCTTTTCATTTAATAATCGAAGAGATTTGAATGAAAAACATGAAATCGAATAAGTTATACTAGAGGGGGAACACTTAAAATATAATCGAACTATTATATTTCTATGTGTGAAGGATTTTGATTAAGGAAGATATCATGCTCCAAAGATGTATATTGATACTGTTGGTTTATTTAATGGAATATATAGAAGAAAATAAGAAAGATGGTTATGGTACAATGTTACTTAAGGAAGTTATCCTGATGAGGATACTCTTAAATAAACAAATGTAATAATAATACCAGGAAGCACAAGTTCTGCTTATGATGATAAAGTATGGATTCGTAGTTTATAAAATTTCATTTTGAATGTTTACTAAAATTATGCTCAAATAAAAATTATGGGTATTTGTTTTGGATTTTAAATACTTGCTTAAGCATTTGGAGGAATTGTTGTACCTTGCTAAAACAGAATCAAACATAAAGGGTTTTATTATTATGGAAATGAATTAATCAAAATTGAAAAGAATTTTTTTAAGATCGGATGTTTCAAGGAATTAACATAAATTGATAGTATAATAATTAATAAAGCTCATGGTGACATAGTTACTTAATTACCTGAGAGATTTATTAATTTTGGATCATCTAAAACTGCTTAAAATGAAATTTTCTTTTCTGAAGATTAAAGAATATTTGGAATGTAATCTCATCCAGAATACTCATCTCAATAAATTTTATTATTTATTAGTGGAATTTAATCAGCTGGAGGAAATAAAAGTTTTGAAGATTACTACAATGATGCTGACAATAAGAACTTTGTTAAAGAAAAGGGTGATTAGTTAGGATTGTTGATGTGTCACAAATTTTTATAATCTTGAATATATATATATTATAATTGATTTTAATAGATATTTAATTAAGAATATTAAAAAAATTCGATAAAAGTAAAATGATTATTCAAGTATGAAACACAAAAAAGAACAATAATTTTAATCAAAAAATGTTGCAAGGACAACATTCATCAAGATCTTCTTGGGGTTCTTTTTGAAAGTACTTGATTTGTTAAAGAGATTATCCAGTAATTTAATCTCGAAATGTAATTTTGTGAATTTTTTTACCTTTGAGGATTTGATTATTTAACATATCTTATCTTTGAGTTTATTATTTAGAAATCCTTTCAGTTTCAGGATTAATATCAGTTTAATCTCCATCAGCTTTAATCAGATTCTGCAGTTTGGGTTCAAATGAATTCACAATGATATTAATCTTAGGTAATGACAAATCATGTAAGAATGACTTTTGTGTTGAGGATTGAAAAGCACTAAGATCACTAAGGTCTGATTTTCTATTCTTTGTGCTTAAAATATCAATATTTTGCATTATATTTATTTTTCATTTGAAACAATTGAATAAATTATCATTTTAACATGATCAATATATAAGTGTGTTATTTAATCAAACTAATAATATTATGAATAAAATCATCAATAGTTGGCCATAATTAGAGACAATATTATCGATGCAGGCATCAGAACTCCAATTACATTGTGTTATTTGTTAACAGATAGGTTTAGAATATTCAGTACAATTTTTATTGACACATTAAGTAGAAATTTCATCCCAATTACAATAGGTTTTAGAACATGCTGCTTATGTAGAGGCTCCAATATTTTAACAATCTTATTATCTGCATTTATTCCAATACCAATTACATCCAGGTGTATTGGAACAAGTTTTGGGTCCTAGGAATGAAATATAAAAATGAACCTTACTATGAATAATCTAGACAGGCTTTAAATTGACATTGTTAATCAACCCACTTGCAATTAAATAATAAAATGCATTCTTGCTATGGATATGATGGACAATCATAATAACATGCTAAAAGTAAAATAGATTGTATACTTGATTATCTCCAATCATAGAAAACACATCCTTTTTAGGATTCGCAAGTTTGTCTACTTGTATAAAGTTGTGGACATGTAACAAATTTCGAATAAACTTGAAACAATCCAAGTAGAAAGAGGAAAAGTAACATAATAAATAATAAAAATATTGAAGGAATTTAAGACTGACTAAATATTTTGACTTAATAATATACATCATAAATCTGTTCTTTGAGGATTCAATTTAGGTAAATTAGAGAATGATTGACCAGTTTCAGTTTTTTTGATGACTCCCTTAACAAATTCATTCAAATTATCGACAGTCAATTATCTTCTGAATCTATAGTGTTTTCTAGCACTTAAATCTAAGACAACAACTTAAGGATATCTAAGAATAAGAAAGATAATAATACCCTTCACCAATAACATTGAGTTCAGCTTCAAAATCATCGAATTGTTCTCCAACAAACCAACCAACATTAGCTCTTCCAGTAAGGGACAATGCAGTCTAGAATAAGATGAAATTTAATACCTTCTTTAAGATTGCAACAGCATCTTCTTATTCAACTTTATCAGAGGGTAAGAATCCTAAGACACAAAGTTCTTAAATAATAAATAAAATCGATACATTTGCAAATTTCATTCAATTTTTCATCAGAAGTGACTTGAGCAACATCAGAACCTGATTTTTAAGCTTATCCATCTACTGGTTTCTATTCTTTAATATATTTTAATAATGCAGCAGCATTTCTTTCTCCTTCATATTTTCTATGAGTGTCTTATTTATTTCCAGCAGGGAAGAAATAAATAGTTGGATATGATTCAATATTAAATCTCTTTGCTAATTCAGTTTAAGCAGTTGCATCAACTTTAGCAATAGGAATATCAGCTTAATGAGACAATTTATTCCATTCAGGTTACAATTATTTACAATGACCACACCATGGTGCATAGAATTCAACAAACCAAGCTTCTTAACTATTCAAAACTTATTCATTGAAATTTCCATCTGTCAATACTACTACTTTTGAATCATCATTAGATAGTTCTGGTTTAACCTCTACTCCTAATCTATTTAATGCAAATTCTCTTGCTTTATCTAATAAGTAATCAACTATTCCATTCTTTTTTCTTTCACCTTCATAAGCTATTGGATCTCCTTTATTAACTCCAAAATATTTTATTGTTGGATATCCATTTACTCCATATGGTTATCCTGCTTCACCATCTGTTGTCATATCTAATGCTCCAATATGAACTATTCCATCTAAAGCTTTTGCAGCCTTATTATATTCAGGTGCCAATGCTTTACAATGTCCACACCATGGTGCATAGAATTCAACCATCCATGGCTCATTTGATTCTAATACTAATGTTTTGAAGTTCTCTTTTGTCAACTTTACCACCTTTGAATCTGCTTCATAAAGACCATAACATTCAGTTGCCACCAAACATAAAATTAGTAAACTGCAAATGCCTCTCATACACTTTTTAATTTTAATATTAGTGATGTGTTCGAAATATTCTAGAATTTATAATTAGAATACTTTTAATTTTTATTATTCTTATTCTCTAATTATTTTTATGTTTTTATCATTATTTATTTATTCTTTAAACTAATAATGGATCCCGCTGAAAAAAGAATGAAAGATATCAAAGAAGCCTTTGATTAATTTGATACTGATAATAAAGGCACCATCTCTACCAAAGAATTAGGTACTAATTATTATAAGTTACCTTATCTAGCTAACATTCTCAAATATTTGGGATAGGACCCAACTGATGAAGAATTAGACAACTATATGAAAGAATTAGATCCTGAATCTGCAGGAACTATAGATTTCATGTCAATGATGAAAGTACTAACAAAAGCAGTCAAAGATGATGATACAATTGATGAATTAATGGCAGTATATCCTTTAATTTAAACGAACTTTCTTAGTCATTTCGCGTTTTTGATGTAGATAATACTGGAACAATTCCAACTGCTGAAATGAGATATATTTTAATGGAAATGGGAGAAAAAATGACAGCTTAAGACGTGAAGGATATTTTAAAGGAAATGGATCCAGATGATAGTGGTATGTGCAAATATGTAGATTATGTCAAAAAAAAATATGAGGATTTACAAGTGGCTAAAGCTAAGGCTGCAAAATTGAAGGCGAAAAAAAAAAAAAAATGAATACTTAGTTTTTAGTTAATTATTTATGTTTTTATTTCTTGAATGATGTTTATAGTTATTTAGTTTTTTTTAAGTAAATTATATATTTATAGAGAAATAAATAAAAAGTAATTATCAATAAATATGATTTCCCCAGAAAATTTATCAGATAAGATAAAAAAGTATGTCTATCGATTAGTATGATGTATCAATTCTCAAGACTGGAAAAAACAGTAATGATTGATTGTAAATTTAATAGATGATTGAGTTATTCAAATTTGAGAATTTACAAATAATTAATATTTAGTAAGAAAATTTGAAACAGATCTTTAAAAACCAGATTATTATTTATTATAATACGTAGTAGTATAAAGGGAGAATTCAATAAAGAATTAATGTGTACAAAATGAATAGAATGACCGAAAGCAATATCATTTAATTTTAACAGCTGTAATGATAAAATTGATAAATGTAGATCCTCAAAAAGTACAATAATTAGCTATGGAACTTTGATCACATATAATTCTTAATTAGACCATATTTTAGAAGTGAAAGAAAGAGAATACAAATAAAATATGGAGCTTCAAATATAGGTAAGATAAAAGAATCTCTTAGAAGTGGCTAATGGAAGAAAGAATAATTAGAATTTGAGGAAGAAATTTATAATGTAGACAAAGAGTTTAATAAAATTAACATTAACATGTTAGAGTGAATAAAATGTAGATGAAATATTTACTTATTTGATGACTAATAAATCTAAATTGCAAATTGAATCTGCAATGATGTAAAGTGTTGATTACTTAGAGGATTTCAAAAGTAAATAAATTCTAAGAAATGTTAAATTATACAAACAAGATGTCTTATAAATATGATGATATAGAGAGGCACGACAGAGGATATAAAATTCAGGTTTTTCTAAAGGGAGGGGACGATAAAACTATGTATAACATGAGATGTAAGAAATTGATGAAAGTAAGAATAAAAGAGGAAGGGGAAAATAGGATAGAAAATAAGAGAATAATGATGGGATTAGATGGAATAATGTATTGATTGATTTAAAATTGGTAATATTTTTAAAAAGGGGAATAATAATAGTAATAAGAATTGGTTCCTTAAAGTGTTGGATAGAAAATTTCAAAATTAATCATTCAATAGGATTTTCCAAGTTTGGGTACATTATAGAATTGAGTAATATGAATAAATAAGAGATTCATAAATTGTTTATTTTTAATATACTTATATTAATATATTCTCATGCTCCAATAGCTAATTTAGATCTAGCAGCTTATTTTCTTGATTAACGAGCAACAACCTTATTATTAGTTTCTTTTTTAACATTTTCATCTCTTTCTGCAGCCCAAATTTCAATATGAGCATTTGAGGATAAGAAAGCTTGAATATATAAATATTTAATATACGATTGATTCTTCCATGTGCTCTATATGTTCTACGTCTACCTTTTTAAGCTCTATTAACTTAGACATGATTGATAATCAATTTTTCATTACTCAAATTTTTGACTTAAGCATTAGCTGCTAAGTTTTATAAGAGAGATAATACAATTCTAACACTCTTTTCTGGCCATCTACCTAAGAATCAGATAATAAATATTGAAATACCTTAAGATCTGCCAAATTCTTTAGCTTAACCTGTTCTTCCTACTCCACCATTAAATCTAGTGAAAGGAACACATCTTTTATGTTAAAGAACATCTTGCATATATTTAAGAGCTTAAGCAAGTGTTTAACCTTTAATTGCTCTTGCTACTTCATAAGTATTCTTAAAATGAGTTCTTAAATCACTTGCTTTAGCTTTAGCTGATTTTTTTGCAACAGCTGGCTCTCTTGCATATTATTTACCCATTAAATTATATCCTTTTTAATTAATTTGATTTTTTTTTCAAATTTTATTCGCAATAATAATAGGATAATATTTTTATTGTATATTTATTTAGATATAGGCATATATATCAATTATTTACTACTGCATATCTGACTCTATATCCTCCCCCAAATTATTCAATATTTGTAGATTCAAATAATTCTTTAGGTTGGCTTTTGAATAAGAATCCTAAATTCCTTTTTTGTTGAGGAATAACATATTCATTTGAAGTGTAGAAATTTTTATCTATAAAAATATTGCTAATGAAATACCTGTAAGAATAGCAAAGCTATTATTAGATGCAGAGAACTTAAGAATCTTTTCATCTTAAGGTAAATCAATAGGTCTTGGTACATATGTCTCATCATAACCTGATAAATAGATTCTATTTTAATCAGTTAAGAAAAGAGAAAGATTATATCCTAAATCAAAATCTACAACTTTCTCATTAGATTAGAAATATTTCATGTTTACTGGAGTAGGTTAATAGTTTTCCTATAGAATAATAATTAAATTATACTAGATCAGTAACAACATATTCTTATTATCTAACACCTAAAGAACCATAATAACTTCTTCCCCATCCTACCACAAGTCCATCATCTATTAATTGATATATTTAATATATTACTTAATAATGCCAATGTTCCTGCAAAACATGACTTAATCTTTTAGATTGTATAACCTGATTTAGTTAATTATTCAAATATTGGGTTCAATTCTGGATATCTGAAATTCAATCTACATCCATTACCAAGTTCTCCTCTTTTACCGGCTCCCCATACATAAACTTAATTGTTTTCATTTACTACTATTGAATAGTTAATGCCAGCACTCACAAACTTACCTTTTGAAGTTCCAACTAATTTCTCTACACATTATGGTTATAAAAGATTATTCTAATAATTATCACCTAATCCATTTGGTTTACATAATAATTAATCTATAATTGTATTGTTTGCACTTCCCCAAGTATAAACATTTCCATCAGCTGTCATATTATTTATTATTTCTTACAAGCTAATGCTACTCCATGATTTGATCCCAATGCTACATCTAATACCTTTAATCCTTTATCTCTAAAATATTTAACAAGTTATGGAGTTTAATGTTCTTATGTATTACCCAATCCCAATTAACCATATTTATTGTTGCCAAATGTATATAAATCACCATTATCTTATTATTTATAATATACCAATACCTGTTATAACAGCTGTGAAATATTCACTTGGATATACTTTTTAAACATTTCCATTAAAAGCATCAATTCTCCTTGGTCTCAATTAATCTCTCTATGAATCTTAATTTAGTCCACATCCCAAACTGTGAACACCCCAAGTATACAGATTACCTGCTCTATATAATGGACGAGTCCATAATGATTTAAAAACACCACTATGTGTTAAGTAATTCATTAAAATTATTAATACCGAATCTAATTCTCAATAATATATATATAAAATAATATAAATCTGTTTTCCATTAATATATCCTCACATCCTATATTTACATATACTCAATATATATATATTATTTTATATGAACTTTTTTATCATTACTTCATTTATAACACATACTTATTTTTCCAATTAAATGCATCTTATTTAAACCCTGTTTAACCATATTTCCATTTATACAATTCATACCAATATGCGTTATTTTATAATATCTCACTTACATTGAAACAACTCAATTCCAAATTTACTATATCTTTTCTTTTTAAATAACTATATATCTAATTTGAAATATCACGATTCTATACTATCTTAACCAAAGTATTTTCTTATTACTTTTACAATATTCTGTTTCTTATTAAATTCTCTAATTTTTCTAATTATTTTTCTTTGTAATAAATTTTCATTTCTTAAAGACTATGCTTATGAATGAAATAATTTTAAATTTAAGGTTTCAAAATATTGTTTATATTTAAACTAAATTAATTCGACTCTCCATTTATATCACAATAATAGAAGATCAACCAATTAGTCAATTATAAAATTATCATATGTACATCTCCCGCTGTTATCTTTATATACTAAAAGGATTCCAAATATTGTGTATAATTTGGAAGAATATAAGTTAAAGTTTCCTTAATGATCTTAAGGTATGTAAAATATTCTTTATCATTTTGATTACTTATTTATAACATTTAATTAAAATCTGTTTATAAAATTAATAAAAATAATCAATAAATATTTTTACACAAAATATTGCAAGCTCTTTGCAGATATTCTCTTAATCTATAAATTGAAAAATATTATGAGTGTTTTAAATGCAAAAGCAGAAGAAAACCTTTCAGAAAAAATAAATAAATTAAATCTACCACCTGTTTATTCTATCATAGTTGAAAAAGAAGAACCTAAAAGAAAAAGAACTATTTAGAATAGAACTAATCGATGTAAATCATAGTTTATAATTGAAAAATATAATACAATACAACCTAATTAATCTTAGGTTAAAATAACCATAAATGACTAAATTACTCAAGTCCATTAAAAAAAAGAAAATTATTCTGTTTGTCTATCTAGTTTAATCAATAAAACTTAAGATTTATGTGAATTAAATACTAATGAGATTATCTATATAAATTATTTAATTGATTAAAAGAAGGAAGAAGTTGCCAGATAAAATAAGTTACATCTAAAAAAAATCAGTGAAATTAGAAGTAAATTTAATTTAATTTTTAGAGAATTACGAAATGAAAGCATAAATAAAAGATAAATTAAGATAACAAAGAAAATAAACTAATCAATCTGCAGATTTATATGAAAAATGTTGGGATTAAACAATCAAAGAAATTAATTACGAAATAGAAGATAATAATTTTCTAATTTTTGATAAAATCAATTAGGAAAATTTAAACAAAAAATCTGAACCTAAGCCACTTAAAAGTTAAGTATAATTAACTGTAAATTTAGGTTATTAAAAAAATTAGAAAATAAGAAGATTAATTTTTTCGATAATGTTCTGACTCAATTTTGAGGTAATTAAAATAAAAATCAATACATCTTGTTAACCAAGTAAATGACTAGATTGTATAAGCTTATAAAATTTAAAAGAAATAATAGTATTAGAGATCAAAAGAAAGAGAGGAAAGTAAATAAGAAATAATCAAATCTCTAAGATTTAAGGAATAAGAAAAATTAATAAAAATACTTTAATCAAAACCTAAAAATATATATTTATCCTAATAAAAAAAGAATAAGGAAAAAGAAGATCAATTAAGCTCTTTTAAAATAAAAGAAAAGAAAAGGATAATATATTTGAATAATTGTTTGCCATAAATTGATAAATCTCAAGAAATATAAATAAATTCTGTCAAATAATAAAGAATTCTGATAATTAAAAAAATATAAGAGAGCAGCAATTTATTAAATAAGAATTTATTTAAAATTTCACGAAATTTTTAGTAATAATAATATCATGATTTTAACATTATTATTAAATGAAATCTTTATATACACTTTTTAATTATTAAATAATATTATTCAATTAATAATTAAAAATGAATTAATTCTAAAAATTACAAATATCTTTTTCACCATAGAGAAAGCAAAATCAAAATTTTCCAGCAATAAATTTAAAAACTGCAGAATCTCCTTAAAAAGGATCAATTGAATAATCAAATTATAATTTTTCTTAACATCTTCATTATAAATTCAATAACAGAAAGGTTAAAATGAACTTGAAAAGCTAGTTAAATAAAGCATACACAATTAGAAAATATCTTTAAGTAAATTCATCTGTACAAAATGATTTAAATATCGAAACTTAAATTTTACAGAATATTTCTACAACTTAAAATACGGAATCAAGTATTCAAAATAAATAATCTTTATCACCTTTTAAATAACTAAACAATATTGAACGTTCTTGTAATGTAAAAAGGAATTTATTAGGACTTTCAGATATTAATTATGGTTAACCAGAATTTAATATAAGATAATAATCTTATAGTCCTTTTCATAATTAATGTATTATTGAATAAGACAAAGAATAAAAAGAAGGCGATAAGAATTAAAATTTAGGAGTTTAAGAATAATTAATTATGTCTCCTATTTAATTTAATAATTTAAAAGAGATATCTGAGTATAAGTAATCTAAATCCTAGTCACCAAATAGGCATAATGTAATTACTTAATAAAATCTTAGATTGCTCTAAAAATAAATTAATAAAATACAGATTATAAAAAATATGCTTCTTAAATGATTCGTATGATCAGAAGCAATCAATAGAATTTGATGAAAAAATTCGATTAAGAATAAAAAGAATAGGAACGTGATTATAAAGCAAAAAAGATTTAAAGACAACTTGAAAGAAAAGAGGGATTATAGATTGCATAGGAGGATATAAAGAATAGATAATTAAAATTTATGTTAATAGCCTTGAAAGGATAATAAGATAAATTTATATCTGATAGCCAATCATTTTAAAATAAAGGAAAGAAACTTAATTTATAGAGTAGTCAAACAGCAATACATAGCAGAAAATCATCACTTTAAAATAATTATTAGCAATTACCTTTAGATAGAATATTTGATGACAGAAACTTAAAAAAATATTCTTTAAAGTCAGAGATCTGCAGCATAGAAACTTCTTTAGAATAACCTTTATAAATATCAAAACTAATTTGATATTTATTATATATGTTTTATTTGTAATGCAAAAGTCATTTGCATAACCAAATTTTATAGAAATAATAATATTAATATATAAATGTCAGGAGAATTACCAAAGATAGTAAATAAGAGTTTATTTACCACTTATGTAGAGAAAAAGAATGCTGAAGAGGAGGCTCTGAAAATAAAAAATAGAATTGATTAAATTAGATAAGAACGAGAGAAAATACTAAAGAAAATCTAATCAGAGGATCAAAAGGCTGAGCAAATCTATAAACATAGATTAGAATTACAGTTAAAAGTATGTATATTTAGATTTCAATATTTTAGAAAGAGGAGAAAATAAGATAAAAGGTTGAAGCTCCAACACCTTTTTCTTTAAGTGTTTCAAGAGCATAAAGAGAGACATTAAAAAAAATAAAGTCCGAAATGCTTTTAAGAAAAAAAACTGAAGTTAAAGAATTTAGAGATTGGCATAGACATGATCTATAAGAAACAAGATTTTAGAGAAGTATGGATCATGAGACCTTTAGGAATAAGGTTATATAAGGAAAATTGGAGGAAAAGCAAGCTAACTAAAATACTCTAAATAAATTAAAAGATAGAAGAAATAAGATTAGATATGAAGTGGAGGTAGAAAAAGATAAAATAATGAAAGAAAAAATAGATTATGAATAATAAATAAGAGAATTAGAATAACTTGAATAGTTTGAGCTATCAAATTTGCAGTACACAATTTAGAGATAAAATTAAACAAAAGAGAAAGTGAATTTAGCTTAAAGTCTTCCTCCAAAAGAATTTGAGGCTAAATTTGTAAATGGATAAGGAAAGAGTTAATAGAATCAAGAAAGTTCATGATATTGATCATTTCTATAATAAATGCATTTAATCATTTTTAATGAATATCTAATTGATTATAAATTTTGTAACTTATTTCAACAAGCCAATAAGATTTCATGAATTTAAAGGAAATAATGAATAAAAAAGTGTTATATGAATAAATGAGAATGATAGATATTAATTAAAGAAATATATCGATTCAATAAGAAATTTGATATTATAATTCATTCCATTTATATCCATCAAAACATAATAAGGATCTATTTTCTTCATCAATTTGATTAGTTTCAACTTCAATATTCTGTAAAACAAACAGTTTATGATCATGAATGATAACCTAATAATAGAGATAAATAATTACTTAGTTATTCCAAAATCCTTCTGGATATGGTAATGGTTTAGTATTAACTTAATGAATTTTATGTTAATTTTAGTCAATATTAAGGAGAAATGAAAGTTTTACACCTTTATCATCATTATCATAACCACCAAAGACAAATATATTATCTTTATTGATTTAGATACAGGAAGAACATTGATAAATATTAGGAACTTGAGTGGATTCAATTGGATTGTCTTTAAGTGTGACATATTCCCATTTATCTGTATATGTATCATATCTTTCAATAATAAATAGAATCTATCCATTTTCATCACATCCTCCAAACTTATAAATATATCTATTATTAAAAGAACAACAAGCAGGTGCATTAGCTGGTTTTAAACAAGAAGCACAAGGTTCCATTTTTTACGATTTAATATTATATCTCTCTAAATTTAAACACATTTTTCTTTAATCTTAAAATCCACCTACTATATAAATTGATTGATTGCAATAAACCATAGAATGAGAAGATCTTGGATAATTTAATTATGCAACTTATTATATTTTACCACCCAAAGTATATTTTCTTATAATTGATTCTTTTCTATTTTCTATTTAATTTATTAATCCACCCGATATGTAAATATCACCATTTGGAGTAACAATTGATTTATGAAATTCTGGAACTTCATATTCAATTTCATATGCTTACCATTACTTAGTTTCTAAATTACAAATCTTTAGAATATTAGTTTTATTTATTATGAAATGTAAGAATTTCTATTTACCTTCAAAATAATTAGGTGTAACAATTTAAAAGTCATAGTTAGTCAATGTTCCAAATTAAATATCATCAACATCTCCACTATTGCTTAATAATTACTTAATTTATTTTTATTAAAAGTGAATATGTTCATTTTATGCATTAGCTACCTATTAATGATATGGAACTGATAAACTATGATTAATGCTTTAATCTTTATTTTTAGATTAAAAGGAATTATTGTCAGCTGCATCTTCATAATTGGTTGTTTGAATATTCACAATTTGAATTAAATAATTTTTAAGATTAAATAGTTTATGTTCATCAATATGAACGTTTATTGGATCTAAAAATCTAAAATAATATTATAACCTAATTCTTTAGATTTAATAGATTTCTTTAAATCAGATTTATAACGATCAAGTAAGGATTTAACATCTAATCGACAGGCTTTGTGAAAATTTGAAAAAGGTTCTGGACTAGTAAGAAGACTATTTCTTAAGAGTTCTAATTATTCAATTACAGCTTCTATTTTTTAGAATATACCTCCAATATTTTTAACCTAATAATACATAAATAATAATAAACTTTTAATTGATTTTCTTTAACTTTAGTTTATAGAAGATTTTCTTATTCCTAGAAAAAGATATTTATGATTTCAAACATTTATTCTTTAACTTCTTTCATTCTGGAAAATTCTTAATTAAGTATTTCATCTGGATTGAAAATATATTGTATGTCATATTATTCATATTCCTGAATTGTAAAATATACGAATTACTTTTTTCAATTATTCAATTGCTTTTGCAATTTTTTTTTCACAATTAGTTCTTGTATTAAGAATACTTTAAATGGCAGCAGGTGTCTTTGCCTATTAATGATATGAGTAATGATCATAGATGCATTCTGGACATAAAGGCCTTAAACAATCAATGCATGCACAATAATTAGTTATGGGTGCTCTATGTTCTCCATTAGAACATAATTGATTATATTTAGTTTAATTAGCTGACATCTGTTAGTTATTATTTAATTTAAATTATTGAATTTTTTAAATTATATATATAAAACTTAAAATTCATATACAGGGTTCCTATTTAAGATTCTCCGAAGCTACTTTTTTTATACATTAAGTATCCTCATTCATAATATTTCTTTTTCTTCTAGATGTTGCTTATCTTCCATGTTATACAGTCCAATGTTTAAGTAAGTCTTATGTTCTTTTAACTCTACTTTAGCATTTCACACAAATATATACACCATTATCAAAAGTCCCATATTATTGATATTTATCTTCTTTTATTCCTGTATGCTTAACTTTATTAGAAGGCTTAGATATTATTTCATTAGAATTATTTTTTTATTATTATTCTTATTTTAAATTTTAATTGATCTATTCTTCTAAATTTTGTGATTCCTTCTTCAAATTAAGTAATAAGTTTACTTCCTCTTATTTGTATTATTATAATAATTAGGTTAACTATAAAGATAATTATTTCTCTTCTTATTATCTAATCTTAATGAAGGCTGCTAATACTTTTGCTATATATTCTTCTTCAGAATTTGATGACTTTCTAATATTAAACATTATAAATTTATTAACTAATTAGTTTTCAGTTTTTAGAACTTAAAGTCCTTAATATTTTTTTCATTTTTGTATTTAAGATTTTTAATAATATTAAGTCTTAAGTCCTTTATAAAAGACTTATAAATATATAGTTAATAATAATAATAATAATTGAAATGCAATACCAATAACATATATAGAATAATTTCTAATCGATTGTGGACTTATATTACCATTAAGCCAAATTAAGTGGAGAAAACAGATTGAATGAAATCAGAGCTTCTACTAGAGTTTAAGCTTGGCATAAAATGCATAAATTAAGAGTTAAATATAAAAAAATAAGATTTGTATTAAATTGATTAAATAGTCAACTGTAATTATACAAAAGTTTGCTCGTGGATATATTGCTAGAATGCTAATGAAACGAAATAACGATTCCAGATACAATGAAAGAAATATTAAATATTTCAGTTATCATGCAACATAGATTCAAAGACATTTTAGAGGTTATCATTATAGAAAATATTATATTAATTGGTCCACTAGAAAAGCTTATCTCTAATTCTTAAAAACAAAGAATTAAGATTTTCTTGAAGAATTAAAAAAAGTGGAAGTTGATGAAAATTAATAATTGAAAGTGAGATAAGAATAATTAGCAAGAACAGAATTTGAATCCTTAGCCAAAAATTTACATCATCTTTCATCTACATAAACCATTGCAGGTGTTTATAATCGTCCTTTTGGAAATAAAGATATGGTTTTTGATTTAGATGTTGAGAGTCATCTTAAAGTAGTCTTTCATAGTAATTATGAATGGGAAAAAAAGAGATAAATGTCAAGGTATGCTAAAACCAATAAATTGAATTACTCTAATAAATTAAAACCATTGAAATGAACAATATTCTCAATCAAGTTTATCAATTAATTATATTTCATTCATATCTTTGTTCAATTTATCATATTATTTACTTCTACTTGATTATTAAGTTAATCTCTTTTCTTTCGAATTATTATTATTTATCTGTTATACTTTTTCAATTTTATAAATTTTTAAATCCTTTTACTCATTTCTCTAAGAACATTCATTAGATAATTAATTTAATTGTTCACTATTCTATTCGTAATCTCCTTTTAAAAATCTATTATCTATATCAAATCATACTCTTAAATTCCTGTCATCTTTTTATCACTACATAAATCACTCTAATAAGTCTTCGTCTTATCTTCCAATATAATCTTTTCCAAAGAATCATTCATCACATATTATAATTTTTATTGCATTCTTTATTACTCTATGTAGGATGGCATATCATAATATATCTACATTACAATTTACTATATTACGTGACTGTTAAGAGATTATAACAAAATTCTATTTGGTTTAAATAATTTCTGCCATAAACTCTTAGAAAATCTAATAAACCTTCTAGCCAATAAAGTTCCATCTCCTTAATAAAAATATAACATATGATGTTCTATTACAAATCTATTTGTAGTTAAATATTCATAAGTAGTCTTATTTGTTATAATAAAGTATGTATGTATAAGGAATAAATAACTAGTAAAACCAAATATGCCAAAATTCATTACACAATAAAAGATATATTCAATCATCCTTACATCATTTAATTATATTATATGCAATATTTGTACACTAATACATATTATTTAAGTAAAGGTTAAACATGTTATAAAAATATAAAATGTACAATAGTTTCTTTAACCAATACATTAACCAAGCCATAAACAATGATGATCAAATCCTTCTACACAATTATCACATCTTCTACAATGAGCAGTTGATCTTGTTTTATAAATCTAACATGGGTCACAAAATTTTAATTCATCTACTTAATTTTAATTTATTATTGTAATCTCACCTCCAAACCTTTGCTTATGTGGAATCAAATAACATTCAGAATACTTAGTCAATTTAATCAAATACTTTTTAAAATTAAGAATTTATTCTTGGTATTCTTCCTGGATCCCTAAAAACAGTTAATAACATAAATATGTCTGTTATTATGAAAAAAGCTATCTCTAAATTAAATAACTTTTTTTCAGGTTAGATTCTCAATAATTATAAAAAGGATATAACGTTTAGGTAAGTGAATGTCAAGAAAAACATTATCCTTGAATATCCCATTACAACCCTTCCTTAAAAACAATGCTTAGAATTCCCCTTGTAAACTTAATAATATGGAACTCTGTAATCAGTGCTTTCTATTTTCATATGTAAATAATATCAAATTAAAATTACTATTACTCTTCAAAACTATTCCAAAATTACATTATTAAAATATAATGTTAATATATAAAAAATAAATTTATACTTAAAAAAAACACATCAAGACTAATAATAATATTTTTAATCTTTAAACATAAAATGCTAATCTTATACTTCATTACTAAAACTCAATTTAGGATGAATGACTAATTATATAGAAAGATAAAATTAAAAATCATCAAACATTATATCAATATAATAATATGATTTCTAATATATCTTTATTCAATGATTAGAGCTAATTTAAAATATTTTATATTTCCAATAACCATTTTAATTATCTTTTTTAATATATGACAAATATGGAATAATGATTTTATCAAATAATTATTGTTTGAATTTTATAAGAAGATTTGAAAAATTTAGAAGAGTTTAGAAAAAAGAGTGAATAAAATATAATGAATTTTTTATACAAGTTTTTTATTATTAATTATTTGCATAATCTATAGATATCAATTAGTTATAAATGAGATAATTTTTTATAATAAGAAGATCTCAGTTCTATTTGAAATAAGTTAGATAATTTGAAACTAAAATAAATTAAATGAAATTTATAATGTTAAAGAAATTTTTTTCAAAGAAATTAACATACAGTATGTCTTAGAGAGAAATCAAAACAAATAATAACCTATTAAGTTAGTTTTAATAGTAATATTTCTTTTTTTATTGATTAGAACATTAAAGAAAATTGCATAAAAAGTAAAATAATTTAGATCATGAATAGCATTTCGCTTTATAACAAGAGCTTATAAAAAATAAAAAAAACAAAAAACTCAATGAAACAATTTGTTTCTTAATAAATTAACATAATCAATTAAGTTATTATAATATATTATTATAGAAGAAGAAGAGATTCTTATTTCTAATAATAATTTCATTGAGACATTTTTCCTCAAACATAAAGATCTGCAAATCAAACAAGCGCATATTTTAACTGTAAAAAAATTGCTTTCATAATATATATATATAATTAATATTGGATTTTATTTATAAAACCTTGATGACGTTATGAAATACCGAAATTAGATATTTATAAAACTAGGATTTTAGTTAAAAGATATTAGTATAAAATTGAATATTCATACAAATATCGTTGCTTATAATGGACTTCAAAATTCCATAATGCATTAACATTCGGAATGTCTTTAAAGGAAAGTGGAAGCACATTAGAATGATTATAAACTTTGTGATGTCATACATTCTTATTTGAATGATTCTACACATATTTAAATATCACAGTAAGTGAATGCCACTTCTGAACAATTTGCATGTCCACATTCAGCTCTAAAAATAGTTTATAGAATACAATGCTATAAGTTTGGCATTTTTTGAAGCCAATGCACAATCTAACATACATTAAGCATCATCACCACCACATTAGTTCTTACATTTCATAGCAGCAGAAGCACAACCAAATACTTCTTTTTAACATGCTGCATATTCATTTGGACATTTTTCTTTTAAACATTATTCTGGATCTGCTGTATATGTCAAAGCCAATAATGTGATCAATAAGATACTTTTCATTTTGTAATTTTAAATTAATGATTCTAAAACATAATCTTTATATTGGTTTATATCATTGTTTCGATGACGTAGATACATTTATTATATTTTTTAATTTAATTATTATTATAATAAATTATGAATAATTTAGTTGGAAACTTTCAGAAATATAGAGTTTCATAAATGAATTCAGATCTTCCATTCATTTAAAATAGAAAATAAATTAGAGCCATTTCTTTATAATAAATCTTTGATAAAGTTAAATAAAATTCTCAATAAGTTGATTTTAATCTTACTAACCTAAATAATTTTGATAATAATCATAAAATCAAATCCAAGAAGTATTAATTCAATTATATTAGTCTGAAATTTGAAAATTATCCATAGACTGAAAGATAGGATATTAAATTAAGATCTTAATCTATGACAAATCGATTATAACGATCAAAAGGAAGTGAAATTATGCTTACTTAAATAGATTCAAAGAAATATCGAAATACAAAATAAATCTCACAAATTACATACAATTCTGATACTAAAATTTAAAAATAAGGATTTCATCTAAAAAAAATTGAAAACAATATCTAGTTAAATAATGATGTGAGTAGTTCTTTATTCAATTTAAAACAAAATAAATAATGTGAGAGTGATTAAAAATTTAATAATCTCATACATTCAACAAACAATTTATTAAGTCAAATAAGTGAAAAAGCTAATTTTAATAAAATTCGCTTGGCCAAATAAAATGATTTAATTTAAATCAAACCTGAAGGACCATTACTAAGCTTTAGATAATTTGCATAATTGCAAGGGTTTAAATTACCAACATTTTTCCAAAAGTGATATTCTTTACTTCATATTATTTATAAATTAAAACTCAATTTTCAATTAGATGGGATCCTCTTGTATGAGTAAATCAATAACAGAAACATAATCCTTACATGTTGATTAATGCAATTTTAAATCTGGCTTTCAATAAAATGTTTATTTAGATCATCCAAAAAAAGTTTTAGAAACTATAAGCTCAGTTTCATCTTATTCTAGTATTAACTCTTTTAAATCAAATTAAAGTCCTCTTTACTCTAATTACTAAGGATTATTTATAGATCCAATTAAATAAGATAAAATAGAAAACTCTCAAGATTAAAATCAAAACAGAACTCATTATCAAAAGTTTTTACTACCTAGTTAATGTAATTTCTCACCTTAAAAATCCAATTAATCTGAATTATCAATTGAATTGTAAGAAAATTAAACTATATCACTTACGATTCCAAAAAGATTAATATAATATAGAAAAAAATTCTGTAGTTAAAGACGTGTATATTCTAAAAAAGATTTACTAAAAAGTGCAAAAAAGTAAAGAAAATCAGAAGTTTTAAGTGCAAAGATTGATTGGTGAAATTAAATTTATTCACTCTATTTAATTAAAATAAAAAAATTTTAATATGAATAATTATGGATTGAGTATTATTATTCATGATAATAATATAAATAAAATCTTAAAATATAATCTTGGAAGTTCTTAAGAAAAATTATTTTAAATTAAAAGGATAAGCCAAAAAAAATTGTCAATCTATATTCAATAATAATTAATTTTTTTTAGTCTTAAGAATCTAATTATTTGAAATTCAAATATAAATAATTTGTAATAGATTGAAAGATCTTTTTTTCTTTATTTCTTTCCTTTTTAATTAATAAAGTTTTTTTTTTAAGTATTAATAAATACTTAAATGAAAAATCATGGATGAAAATATAAAAATCTAAATTACAAAAAGATGTACATAGGATCAAAATAAAAAACAATTTTAATACAAATTTTTTTGTAGATTGGCGAATAAATGTATGATAAAAAATTCTTTATATATTTAATATAAAGTTTGAATAAAATTTTTATATTAAATATTTCAACTAAAATGAATAATTAAGAATTATTAGAATTAGTAGATATTGATTAAGAAGCTGGATGGCGTATTCTATAAGCAAAGAATATAAAGTTGAATGATATTATCTACTCAGATTTTAATTAATAATATCTAGCAATTTGTTTAAAAGATTATACTATTTTTGAGCATTGTCTTGATCATGTATTAAAATATGAAAACAATGAACTTTTTCAATTTATATACAAATACTTTGATAAAGAATTCACATACAACTGCCTTTAGATGTAGCCTTGTTTTTCTTGTTATAAACATACAGATGTGATTGAATAAATAAAGAAACCAATATAAAATGGATAAAGGTCTAAAATGATTACATATCAATTTCAGAAAATCTATGAAATATCTGAGATCTAATTAGATGTGAGAGAAGAATTTTAAGGACGCATAAGAATCCATTTACCAGGAGATGAAATAATCCCTTTTACTTAAGAACTTAAACCTCCTATTATTGCATAATCAATCACATTAGAATATCCATTACAAGAAATAGATAGACATTCTAATATTTGTATATGTAGTACTTTTAGAAGGGAAGTTGAGGAGTGTCCAAGATGTTAAGGAAAACAATTATAAATAACTTTTTCTTGTACTCCTGTAATTGATATTTAAGCAATAACAAATGAATCAGAAGTACAATTAATAAATAATATAATTTCTGATTTAGAATAAGTGAAATAGTAGAATTATGAAAAGTTGAAGGAATATTATAATGCTATTTCATAATATAAGTTTAAAGTTTAAATGATTCAAATGATGAAAGAGGCTTATAAAGAATTTAATTAAGCAGCTATATTATCAAAAAGGTATAGTAGACGTGTTAGATAATTTTATAATGGAATGGAAGAAGAAAGAGAATTATGTTAATTTTCAAATTGTATAGAATGCAGTAGAAGAGTTCTATGTTAAGCTGAGAATGTAAGTGAATCTTTATTACGTAAACTTTACTTTTCTAATAATGTCACACATAAAGAAAGAGAAACTGCTATTAAATTACTTTAACCTACAATAATTTATTAAGTAAATGATTTAGATTAGATTGCAATTAGAGAGGATATATACAGAGAGTTCTGTTTATAAGCTTAATTATATTTAAAGGGTGAGAATAAAATGGAATTTATTAATTAATTTTTAATGAAATGCAAAGAACTAAAATTAGATGAAATTATTATAGCAATCTTAAAAACATTAAATTAAGTATAAATCACTTAAATTTAATAATTATTGAGTGATAATAAAGTAGAAAGTATATGTTTAAAAGATAATATCATAAGTTAATTATTTTTAATTGAAAATGTAGAAGTTTAAGAAAATTTAAGAGAGTTAGTAATTGGGATTTGTAAAGTTGATGAAATTTTAGGATTGAATTTATTTTTAAATGGATTGTAATATACAAATGATACTTCTTTTTATTAACTTTTTGATGAAATTAAAATTAAATCAGCAGGAGATGCAGTTGTTGAATATTTAGTAGGTTTTATAAAAGAGAATTATAGAAAATTAGAATCTTAGAAAATATTAAAATGTTTTGAAATGATTTAAAAATGTTGGAATATTTTAAGTAATGATCAATTAAAATGGTATATTGAATTAGATAAATTATTTAATCATATTGGTTAAAATAATGCAAGAATTAATTAAGTAATATATTTCAAATTATATTTAGATATATAATCATTTATATTAGAATATGTAGATTAATGATAATTTCGAGATTCTAAAATACTTTATTTTATAATTATTAAATGAGAATCAATAAAATCAATAAATTTAAAGACTTTCATAAATGATTCATAATCTCTTATTTAAGAAATTAGATTTTAGAATTCGAATATGGCCATACAAAACAAATCAATAATTTTATTAAAAGGAGGTTGAATATTCATCTGTAAATTTTGAAACGTAAATTATATTAAATAATTAAATAGATTGGAATAATTAAAAGAAATGGCATAAAAAGATTTAGGTTTAGAACCTCAATTTGATTTTATAATATAAGAAAGGATAGTAAATGATACTAGTCTTGATTTAGAATTGGTATATAAAGGATTTTATATACCTGAGAAAGCAAAGTAATTTAAAAATGGATAAAAAATATTATCTATAAACAATGCATAATAAGACCCTTAAATTCAAAAAGAGAAACAAAAAATTAAAGAATTAATATAATAAAAAATTTTAATGGAGATAAATTATTCAATATAAGGTGTTGGAAATCATGATGATTTGCCTTATATTCCAAGTTTAGCAGATGAGAAAAAATAATAGTTAGAAAAATAAATATCAAGTGTAATAGAACCCTAACATTTAAAAATCTTATTTACATTAATTAATAATTTAATATAAGAAGGAAAGAGATTCATGAGTACAGTGTAAAAGATTGTAGGTATAATGAGATTTTTATGTAATTCATCAAATTAAATAAAACAATAAATTATTAATTGTTAAGGGATTGTTGTATTAATCAAGATTTACTTATAAGAACCAAATGAAAATGAAAAATTATTAGATTTTATCGATGATTTATTAACTTAAACAACTTAAATGAGAAGAAGATTTAGTGAAAATATTGATCCATTTGAATTAAAATTCCATGATAAAGAAAGTGTAACACTTCTTTATTAAGTTATTAATCATTTAGAATTAAATCCAACTTAAAGGATAACTAAAACATTAATACAAATTATTCCATTAATTATTCGAGATTTAAATGAACCAATATAAGCATTAATTAAATATTTTAAAAAGAGCATTAAATTTGAATGGAATAATCAATAATTAGCTTTTTTTGGATCAATATTACATGCAACTCCAACTCATTATTAAAAGTTAAGAGAAGCAACATTAAATAGTGGCATATATCAATTAGCAATTGAATCTTATTTATAAAATTAATCACTTGAAGTTTGGAGTGAAACAAATGCAAGTTGTTTAAAAATTATATTTTCTGTTGCTATAGGATCTAGAGAATGTTAATTGTTATTAAATGAAATAGGATTCATGTAATAAATATTTTAACATTCAAACAATCATAATTAAGTGATGAAAGAATTATCTAAGGTTTGTAATGATTGTATAAATTTTATAAAGAATGATGATGGATAACATATTATATAAGAATTAAAAACTACAATAAATAAACTAACAAAGGATAAAGATTAAAAGTTTGAAGAAAGTTATAAAAATAAAAAACAATAAATATAGAAGAAATTTCAAAAATCAAGTTATAATTAAAAAATATAATCTTTATAAATTGAGAAAGGATTATAGTGTGTAGCTTGTAAAGAAGGTTATTCATTAAGTTAAAATTAATTAGGGATATATGTTTTTTCTCTTCCTTATTAAATTCCAGAAGAAAAAGCATTTTTATCTATGTAGAAATAAGAAACTTATGGTTTATAAAGTGTAACTTATTTTACAGTAATTCATTCATCTTGTCAAAAAGCAAGTGTAGATTGTGCAATAAAATCTTAAAAAGATGAGTAACCAAAATCAAGTGAAGAAATATTTTGGGAATGTGCAATAAAGAATAATGGTTGTAAATGTAATAATTTTTTACCTTTGAAAGGTGGAAATAATTATGATTAAACTCTAGAAATTTATTTTAAAAAATGTGAAAAGATATTAAAAAATAAAATACCTTCTAAATGTTGGTTACTTTTAAATGATTTAAAAGGATTAATTTTTAGAATGGCTTAATAAGATGATTTATCAGTTGATGCTGGTGCTAGTACTTATGAACATAATCTTAAACTAATTCCAATCATGATGACTGCAATTTTATCCTGTAATATTACATAATATTCTCATCTTATGTCAACTTAATAAACTTCATTTGAATATATTTCTATTGCTATCATTGTTGCTTTATTTCATCCTTATTCAGATTGGCAGCATTATTTAAATGTTTATTCAAAAGATGCTAATCCTCATTTACTCAATGCAATCAAAATTGTAGATACCATAATGGTGAATATTTTATCTAAAGTATAAAATGATTCAAATTATCAAAAAGCCTTAGATAAATTTCTCAATTAAGATTAATTTGATGTAATTATTATTCATATAATTCTTAGATTGCTCTATAATTTGAGAAATTACCCATAGAATACAACAAAAAATGAGTTTTTAAATTATTATTATTTTTATAAAATATATAATAGAATATACTAATTATAAATCAATTGATTTTTTCAAAAGAGGTTTTCAATTCATGGAAATCATGAAAAGTTTATTTTGTAAATATGGATTTAGCTATTTAAAGCAAATTTTTATAATTTTGAAATGAAAATTCACGATTTCTATTTTTAACCTTCTATGCTAAAGAATCCAAAAGATTAAATGATTCCTCAAATTTTAAATTTTTGAATTGATTTATATAATTGTCTCTTAGAGTAGCATCTCCAGGAAATGTTAAAATTAAATGCATAATTAATGTGCCTAAAGCTTAGAATGTTTATTCTAAATAGCTTTATTATTGTTGATTGCTTATTTAAGGATTAAAGTCAGCAAGAACAACCTAAATTACAAAAATATCATTACTTATAAATCTCCAGTAACAGTTATTGTTACCATTATATTTTCAGGTTTTAAATCTATTAGATGAATCTTTCTTAATTTTAGAACTTCTAAACCTTAAATTATTTAAAAAATAATATCTTGAATGTGCTTCTATTTTTATTTATGTGGCATTGGATTCAAATAAAAATAGGAATAACTTAACAAATTTTTAGCTTAACATATATATCTAGGATATATGCAAAATTCAATCTGCATAAATAAATAAGGTTAAAAATTCAATATTTCTATCCACCAATCATACAATCTAATTACATTAGGATGCGAAAGAGAAGTTAAAATTTTAGCAATATTTATGTAAACATCCTTTGTCTTAAAAACACTCATGAATGATGAAATAAAATTAGCTCTTAAATGTATCTAAAAATATAAAAAGATTTGATTACTCTTTTAACATAATAAATTTAATCATCTACTAATTTATAAACTTGAAATAAAGATTAATGATTTTCTATTTCTTCACTTAAAATTAAGAATTCATTTTTAAATTTATTTGTTTTTAAGAATTAGTTTTTGTAATCTTATTATACATATGGTATCTTGATAATATTTTCAATTTTAAAGAAATGCATTAACAATCTAATTCTTTCTTATTTTTGATCAATAACAATTTTCTTTATTAGAGAATCTCTAATTGTTTTATGGACATATATAAATCCAGTAGATTTGATTTATCCAGTTGAGGTGATAAATCCAATATTAATATCTTGGTAGAAACATTGAAACAAATTATTTTGTTTGATCTCTAAATTAGATTAACAATACAATAAACTCCTCTTTGGATTTAATGCATGATGGTATCAGCATTCTTTTGAGTGCCTTTCGAATATACTTTGTCATCATAAGTATATAGTGGAAGAAAGGATCATCGTATTATGAATTATGGCTGATAGTGGAAACTACGAGAACTTAAGTAAAAGCTGAGAAGTTATCTGCGTTTAAGAATTCTTGTTTGAGTTTCTGGTTGTTTACCTAAGATTGTAGTTAAGACTATACATTACAAGAGTCACCTTGATTTTATTTTCATCAGCTGCTTCCTAATTAACAATTTTGTAGTTTTCAATGTCTTCTGGAATTTCTTCAATCACGAGATTACTATTACAGAATTCATAATGCTATAATGATTCTGATGATTTACCTCAGAATTATTCTAATCCATTAAAATAATGTATTTTTTTTATATAAATCACAATATTTGATTTGGAGTCCAAACAACAAGATTTCTACAAGTACTAATTAAACAACAATATTTTGGATTGAATAGTACTAATTTACATTTTCTTTGATGTCCCTCTATTTTAGCAATCAATTATCCTGTTTAAGTTTATGTTTTATTCACATTCTATATTGAGATCATATATAAGGTTCCACTATTACTTCCAGTGATCAAAAATTTAGAATCTGGAGTAAAACAAACACTGATATTCATTCTATCTGCATTTCCTGGAATTTCAAATAACTACTTTAAATTTATTTGATTACTGTATTTAATAAATAACTATCTAAAATTATAATTTGACCATCCTAACAAACACATAATAAAAACTAATTGTCTGAACTAAACTTAAACTAAATTATTGAAGTTCCTGATATTTTTTTTATTTAATAGGGTCCTAATTCAAACTTTCTAAGTTAATATAACTAAACACAATTTATAGATTGACCATTTTCTTTATCTACATATGCCATTCCAAAAGAATTCCCAGTATTATCAAAAGCTCCTATAACTTTATTATCTGGTTTAGAACTCATGTCTAAAACTGCATAACATGTGTCTTATTGTTAATTTAATTCCCATAATCGTAAAGTCTCATCACAACTACAACTTAAAATTATTTGATTATATATTTCTAATTAATAAATTCTTACTAATAATATTACTTCAAATACATTTTTGTGTGTCCAGAAAATTTCTTTAAAATTTGATTCTCTTCAAGTGCCCAATGCCAAATCTCATCTTAAATAAAATTAATCATTTACATGGTTCATTTTTAGTAACACAAATTATATGAGTTTAATCTTTTGTAAATTTTACTAAATCAATCTCCTATGTATTATTATACATTGTTCTTATCTTTCTAAATTCATTTTTAAATAATATACTTCATGTTTACAATGTCAAATACATTAACAACTTAATCATCACAAGCAACCAAAAATTATCCATTCTATGAAAAATCTATCGAATTAATCTCTCTGAGCTTTAAATAATTATTCATTATTACAAAGTCTTTGTAAACTTTCTAAATCTTTAATCCTTATAAGACTTCTTTTGTTATTTCAACTGTTGGTTCATCTGTTATCATATTAAAATATTTAATAATTAGATTATTTGGAACTCAAAATTTGTTGCCAAAGTAAAGATTTGACTAAATATTTACTAAGAATAAGATAAATAATGAACAAATGTATTTTAGCTTTAGAAGTTCATTTCTATATAAATTTATAATAAATATAAAATAAATTTAAAATTACAATTCCTCATGTCTATAAACACAGATTCAAATTGTCTTAATATCAAAGCAAACATATTTGAACATTTCATCTTACCTTCAAAATTAAATCCTTAAATTCTAAATCAAATTAATACTCCAAATATTACTTTTGAATAATTTAAAGACCTTACATCAAAATATATGTCATCAATTATTGATTGTGAAATAATTTACACATTCTTCTAATTAGCCTTAGAAAATCAACCAATAATAGAACGTAAGCCTGTTGATATAAAACAATTAAACTTATTTTTACAATTGCAAAATTTTAATCATGTAGGAAGACATTCAATTTTTGAAAATATCAATATAAATGATGTAAAATATTAGGAAAGATAAAGATAAACAATGAATTCTTATTCACCAGTAAATTCTCCAAGAGCTAAAACTACGAGAGTCTAATCTACATAAAATGATACATAATAACTTATTTTATATGTAAAATAAAACATCAAAGATTGGATACATTTAATATCATCTAATGCAGATACTATTACAAGTTAAGAATTTAATTTATTAAGTTTGATATTTAGTAATGAATAAAAAAATATAAGTTAATTAATTTTTGATCGCCAATAAAGATTAGGCAAATAAATTGTTTCAGATTGGATTTAAAAAAATGTTTAATGTCCTGAATTTTGTATTTATTTTATAAATAAACATAGCTTCTGTAATTTGTGGTTTTGTAAAGTCAGTCACAATAAAAAGTAATGTTGGATAAGATCTTAAAATCACATAATGTGAGGATTCATAAATTTATATTGATTGTGCTGTAAACACTCTTTCAATAAGTTAATGCAATAATTGTTAAATATATGTTGCTTCAGTTCGTATGATAACTAGTATTGTATCTTGTGAAAAGACTATCATTTGTGTCTCATCTAATTATATTAAAATTAGTAACACGATAGATTCAACAATACATTATTATGGATCATATCCACCTATCATTTATGGAGACTGTAGATCGATTATATTAGCACCAAATAATTCAAATACAGAAAAAACTTTTTAAAATTTAAGAGATGCATAGATTCCTATTAATAAGAGTTGTAGAGATAAATATTAAAAACCTATCATTATTGGATAAAATAGAATTGACTGGCTAATTTAATCAATTGATGAATTCAGCAAATTTATTTTACCAGAATAGCATTTTAGTTCAATTGATGCATCATTAATTCTTAATTGTAATTTTGATATTGATAAAATGGCTAAAGAAATTACAGAAAAGAAAATCTTAACACAACCTATCAATTATGATAAGTATAATCAATATTATTAATTAAGAGAATTGTTCTACCATTATTAGCACCCCCAGAATATATTAAAGCTGTTTATGAAAGATATCAATTATTTGCAGGAATTCAAGCATAAATTAAATAAGCCAATTTAAAAGATGATAATTCAAAACTATTACAAAATGCAATACAAGGAAATTTTAGAGAGTGGCTTATATCAACAGGCTCTATTAAAGGAATCAGTGATTTAGTTAAATTAATAGATTCTGAATAGTGAATTAAGTTATTTTAATTTATTATTGACTAATCATTAACATAAATTATTTCTAAATATTTTGTTTTCAATCCTTTACAAATAACTTACTTTAAAATAGAATTCTTGAATTTGTTTTTCTTGGTTACAAAATTGAAAGATTCATACTTTAACAAACTTCTTATTATAATTTTGAACCTAATAAATAAAACTTTCTTTTATCCATCGTAGTCCTTGTCTAACTTGAACTATACATGCTTTTTATACTTTTACGCATTCCGCTTTAAGAAGTTGTTTTTGTACGAATACTCCTTTTATCATCAACATTTAATTATTATTTTAGTTTTTTTATTGGAGATTCCTAATAGTTGCAATCGTTTTCATTTTTTAATTAATCTATCAACTCATTTAAAATATCTTAACATTGTTCTTAGGAAAATTTAATGCCATTGTATAAAATTTCAGGTGAATTTATCTCAGCTTATAAAATCAGAAATTAATTTAATTTTTAGATGTTGAATTATTACTATTATTAAATTTCATTAATTTCATTTATGAATAATGGAATCGGAACAAATTATTCACTTAATTCTTATTACTATTGTTAAATTTTTTAAATCTATTCATTATTTTATATTTTAATTGATTCAAATTATGAAATCATTTGTTAATGTAAAATATTATAATTATTTTCTACTTACTCTACTCTTGTTTTAAAAAAATTAATTTCTTGATTTATCTATTTTTTTAATTCAATAAGTTATTGTTCAATAAAATGTTCGATCTCATTTTTTTCAAGCAAACTTTTTGTGTCTGAAACATGTTATTTTATTTCTTATTAAACCTTAACATTTTATACATCCTTAATTTAATCATTTTTTATGATTTAAGATTTCTCGACATAATTCTAAATTACTTATTAATTTCTTTTAAGTTATTTCTCTATATATTATGTACTATCATTAATTTTTTTTTCCAGATTAGGAATACCTTAATCATTTAAAATGACGGAATGCAAAAGAGTAAATTTATTCTCTTCAAATTTAGCTAATTTATAGAGATTATTATCTTCCAAACAATTATGAAGGGTTTCAGAGATGGTTCCTTATAAAAATAAAGGAAAATATTTTTCTAAATAATTTTCAAAATATAACAATTTGTTTTTCATAAGAGATTATTAATTATTGACATATCTATCAGAAACTAACAATTCATCATATTTTGGAATTATCTATTAAAGTATTTCTATATTTTTTTAATTATATGAATTTTGTGATGTGCATTAAATTATTTTGTTATTCAATAGATTAAGTTCTTCTAAAATATTTTAATTTTTTAATGTAAAATCGTTTTGATAAGATTATTAATTACTAATTTAATGATTTAATTTTAATAACTTATCTTAGATATCATTAACAGCTAATTAATTTTATTAATTAACTTAATCTAAATTTTCTAATAAAAGTTATTTAAAGTCTTAATTTTGCTATTTAAAATTCTCTATTAACTAAATAGCTTAATTTTAGTGATCTTCAATAAGTTTAAATTATTAAATATGTTGATCTTCTGAAATTTAGAATAGATCAAGTTTCTTATTAATTTCAATGATGGAAAATTATTCTGTTTGCTATAATTTTTCTAAACGAGATTCTAAATCGTTTATCTATAATTTAAGTTATTGAATAATTGGTTGACTTTTTCCATTTTAGAAATATAGAGACTTAAATTCTTCATAATTTTGGAGATGTTTTTCTAACTTAACATTAATGCTAATTTAATAAGTTAAGTATTAAATACGTATCATATTCGAATCTTTAATCTAGAAATAGTTTAAGATGAGGTTCCATTAATTCATGCACTCGTATTCTTATCTAATTATCCAATTAAAACCATTAAAATTCATGTAAGACTTTATTTTGATTTGTAAGAGACTGATTTGACTTTTGAATAATTTAGAATGCATACTTAATTAATAGATTTAAGCAGTTCTTAAACAAGTGAATTTCTTTGTTATTATTATTACATTAATTAATGAATCAACAGTAACAATACTATCAATAAGAATATAAAGCATAATAACCTCAAATAAAAAAGGCAAAAAGCTTTGATGATGATGAAAATTTAGAGGTAATAAATTTATTTAGTAGTAGATAATTAAATAAGGATATGGGATTCATGAGGCATTGAGAATTGACATTTTGGAATTTTATAAAACTTCCAGAACATAATAAGAATATAAGAATCCAGCAGATTTTATTAAGCATAGATTAGATGGAAAGTATGGACCTTATTGGTTTGTATTTATGTGGGAACATAAAAATGGGTTAAATGCTCAATACAGTTATTATAACAATGATGATAAAGTTTTTGAATTCAAAGTAATTATTATTGAAATTATTAGTTAAATGGTTGGCATGTTTTGATTTATTCATTTAATCAAACTTAGTAACCAGCATAATTTAAACCATAACCAAGTGCTTAGACTATGCCTTAATTTAATACGTAAAATTTCATTTTATAAATTTAGATAGTTTCCCCCTCCTCTATATGATCATAGATTTGATGATTATTAAATTGATCCTAGATATCCATACACTTAAATGTAATAAGGACCATCTCAACATAGATAAGGAGGATGGTATTACTGATTAAATTATATTATTGTAAAAAAATATAATTAATAGATACAAATTATAAATAATTAATTTATTCTTACTCTTAAATTATTGCTAATTTATATAAATTCATTTTTAGATCATTTTCTCTTATAAATATATAAAAATTAACAAAATATATAACACATTCTCAAGTTATTAAAATATTTTTATTTTTCACCAAAAATTTTATTAAAAATGACTCGAAATTTTCAGAATTTAAGGTTATTCAATATACTATTAATTTAAAACAGTATATCTAAATTTAAATTTTCAAATTTTTTATAAATAACATCAATATTATTTAAATATATACTTTATATTAGTCTCATATGGAAAATACGAAAAAATGATAGTGTTATTATTTTAGAAAATTATATAGTTTTAAGTGATAATTGAAGAAATAGATTCATATCTTTAATTCTGTTAATTATGAATATAATAAAACTTATAAATGTTAATTGATTTAATATATTTCTAATATTTAATCAAAATAATTAAATCTACAAATCAAATTTCATTCAAATTGCACCCTGAATCCAATCAATCTATAATTTCAATTACATCTAACAATTTTTTATTACTTGAAGGTGATTTAGTGTTTATATTCCGATAGTTTTTTTATAATATTTTTTTTTTAATTCTTCAGGTTAAAAAGATTAAAATTTAAATATAAGATGATTAGTCTAAAATCCTTCTAAAAAATGATAAAGTTTATTTTTAATGATAAAATAAGGATTGCAAAATTTAGATAAAAAATCATTTTAAATTCCCTTTAATTTTTTCAAAATAGATAGGTATTTTTTATAATTTTTTTTTAACTTGAAGGAATTTTTAGAAACTCTATTCTTAAGATTATTAGGAAACAAAATGCAAAACAAAATTGAATTTTTTCATTTAAAGCTCTCATTTTTTTGAAATAAATACTCTCAAGAACGAATTATTAAAAATAGGATTTTAAATGATTCAATGATACTCCTAATTAGAAATATAGTAAACTTATTAGAGGTATTAATTAAGAATATAAAAACAGTATTCAATTTTGAATTATTGAAATAAATTAGATCAATCTCCTATTAATTAACAAAAGTTAAATTTAACAGGATCAAATTCAAAGAAGATGTAACATTGTTTTAGCCAAAATGGATTAAAGAAACTAATAAACATTTAAAATATGATATTAGAAGGACATAAACAACATTTTGAGATCAGCATTAAACAATTTGAAACTTAATAGTATTGGCTTATTAATTCTAACTATTTAAATGCTATCTTTTTCTAAATCATGATTGAGAATATAGAAATCTAATAAATTCTAGTTTCCTCTATAAGTTTTAATTATTTATTCAACATTCAGGAATAGTAGTTTTTGGATCAAAAAACTTTTATCATTTAAGTTTTTTCAAATATACATAATGCATATTTGAACTTAAATTTCATTAAAGTAATAAGATAAGAGATAATACTATTATGAATTATTTTCATTTAAATAAAAATATGAAGGTAATGATATTCTAACTAAGATATCTATCATGGAACAAATTTTGAATTTAAAAAGGATCTAGTATCAGATACGTTACAATTTCATTTTTTGTGCCAAAAAGAAAGTAATACATACTGCAATTTTTTCAAAGGTTTTATCAATTAATAGTAATATCTTCATATAGGTAGGGTAATAATTATACATTCGTGGGAATGGTTATATTATTTTTTTAAGTCATTCAAATTCTAAAAGTTTTATCATCTTATCAGGCAATCCAAAAAGTTTTGGAAGTTTAATTTATTAATAGTTCTAAAATTTTAACTTTATAAATAATAAAACCAAATTTAAATTGCTTAAATAAAAATTTAAGGATTTTTAATCAGATTTGAAAATTTTTATATTATCTACAAGATGTTCTAATTTAACTTAAAAAAAAATTAGGTTATTATTGAGTAGATATTAAATTTTAATTCAGTCTTATATCTTATTAATAGATGATCTTTATTATTTAGACGAAAATCATCAAGATCAAGCGAATTATCATGAGCAAGTCTATTTTTAATATTTAATTTAATTATTTTATCTAATTATATAAATTTATTCTTATTTTTCTTCATTTAAAAAAAAATGTACTATAGTATAATTTTAATTTAGATTGCTAAATTTTCTAATTTTGAAATTAAAAATTATATAAAAACATTCATTCTATCTTAAAAATAATTCAATCAATTATCGAAGAATAAGTTTTAAAAACCAAGTGATTAATAATTAAGATTAATTGCTTTAGATATGAAAAATATTATATAAAAATATAATCTCTGAATATAAAAAAATGAGTTAAAATTTTAAAATATAAATATTAAAAATAATATATAATTTAATAGAGATTTTTTTTAGATTAATTTCAAAATAAAAGTAAATCATTTAAATTTATAAAATATTATATATTAGATATTTGTGAATTTCATGCCTTTATAATTTAGATTAGTTTAAAATACATTTAATGAATAATAGGCATAATTGAATCACTATCCATATATATTACTTAAATAAATTATAAAATTTTGTTAAATAATTAATTTTTTTTTAAAAATGGAGGATAGCTTTTTTGATCATATCGAAATTGTAAATCCAATCATCAATATTCAAAATTAAAATGCTGAATGTGTTCGAAGATGTTTAAATTAACAATTTCAATCTTGTGTTATGAATTTGCAGCAAAATATTTCATCTATTAGAAAATAAGAATCGTTTCATGCTAAAAATTATTTCCTCTAAAGTTTATCTAACAAATCTAAGATTAATTCAAAATTGACTAAATCAAGTAATATTTATCTAAAATTAGAGTCCTTTATCAATGCATTGAAAATTCTGAAAAAAAATAATGATTCTTATCAGTCTAATTTAAGATAAAAAACACTCACTTCCTATTAAACATCAGATTTAGTATAATTACTCAGATGTAAGAGTAGTAATAAGAACTCTGGCAATTGTCAAACCCAAATCTATAATAAATAACAGATTTAAGCAAAATAATTATAATAAATAAAACAATAATTAAATGAATTTAATATTCGAAAAAGTAATTCAGCATACATTCAAACTATGTTTAAATGAATAATACTATTATATATATCTAATAAATTAAATGCATAATTTAAATTGACATTTTTATGCATATAAGGTATTGCAAAATTGAATTTTATATTTTGTATATATCTTAAATGTAATTGAAGCAGTGATCAATTTTCTAAAATTTTATTTATAGGACTTTAAATGTGAACAAAGTTTATAATTAGCTTGATTGTTGAAATACTAGACAATATTATTAGCCTTTTAATAAATTTTATATGACTATGTCTGTTAAAAATTAATTAAATCAACAATGTCAAATTTAAATTGTCTTAAGTTTCTAATAAAATTGTATATATAAATTATAGTAATAATAAGCTATTTGATAATTTATATGTTTGTCGAATAAATATTATCAGACAGACACTAAGAGTTTTAGACATTGATGTTATTTAATAAATTTTAAAATGCGAATGGTATTGATATCCGAATGAAGTTGGATATCAATTACTAGAATATAATCATAGATTAAAAGGATGTTTAATTTTCAAATGGTTTTGATTTAAAAAAACATAAATTGTTATTTCCATAATTTTGTAAAAAAGTGTTCTTAAGAATATAGTAGATTTATTGATTTAAAATTGTAAATGAAGACATTCACCTTTTGTATGTGTTTATAGAATTAATTGATTATTAGTAATATATGATAAAAAAATATTTGAGTAATAATAAATATAAGTATAAATATTAATAATTATTAATAAGTTCATTTGAATTATAATTTTTACATTTCCTCTATTTCTTTTAACATTTTAGGTTTATCCGATCTTCTGATAAGCAAATAGATCATTGTTAATACTGACCAAACAAGTAGAATGATTTCAAAAACATTGTTTGAATATAAGTAAGTAAAGAAACGTAGATACTAGATTTAAGTAGTAAAAAGCACTATTTTAAAATGAATTAATACTATTAAGGGTGCTTAGTCTAATATATTATGAAAAAGCTTTGGTACAAAATTATGTGACGGCAACTGAACAAATTAACATAAGTTGTACATTAAAAAGAAAAGTATTCATCCAGGTTTCATTTACTCTAAAATTTAAATATAATATTATACTTCATAATATGTAAAGAGAATAGGATAGGAATTCTAAGACCAAATTTAATATTTCCTTTTTATGTACACCATAATAGATATATACAAAGGAATGCAAAGATACCAACACATAAAAATCCAGCATTTCCATCTTCTAAACCAATCAATATTTTATTAAGAAAGGGACTTGCGGATATTCCATCGGAATCTCTTATGACAATAAATAATAATCTAGATTATTAATAATAATATATAAGTACATATGTAACCACCAAATAAAAGAAAGAATAGAAAATATTATGCCAAATACAAATTTAAAATACCAAATGATTGGATTTGTATCAAAATATTTAAGTTCTAGTTTAAATATTTCATAATCTCTATCTAAACATAAAACAGCATTTTTATATTTAGTAAATTATGTTCTCACTCTTCTTTTTTCTTTATATCTAGCCCACCAACCATCTTATATTATAGCATCTTTTTAATCATCCTTAATTTTATTGCCTTCATCTATTAATTCAAATGCTTTTCTTCTTAAACTTCCTTTTTTCTAAGCTCCTTCAGCAGATGTCAATTTTTTAGGTCTATTTATAAATTCTTAAATAAGATCTACTGGCAATGCTGTTAAACCAACTCCACCAAAAAGCACAAATAAACAATATCCAAATAATGACATAAATGCCATTACATAAACAGGAAAACTTACTTCATATTCCAAAGTATCTTCAGAATCTTCTTATAAAGAATTTGCTACACCTGTAAATGGAGTATCTGAATTCATAAATACTGTTGGTTATGAACAAGATTTTAATGATATAAATATTGGAATATCTGCAAATCTTAAAAATGCATAAGAAATAAATAACAAAAGAGCTATTATTATAACGAAACATAATTATTAATAAAGTGCTGCACAACATCTTTAACCTACTGATTTCTCATCATCTGATTCATAATAATATTAAGCAAATGGAATGAAAAGAGTTCCAAATATTAATATCAACATATAAATAAACTTCCAAAAGAAATCCATATCTAAACCTTCTCCAAGCCCTCTAATTTCATTTATCAATATCATTACCTTGAATTTGCTGCATCTAATGGTAACATTAACACTTAAGCCCATGTCAATGTCATTCCAATAATCACAAATACTTTGCATACTAATGACGAACCCCAACCACTATCATCCGCTATATATTATAAATTTCATTATAATACGATGACAATATAATACAAGTAAGTAGAAGTTCACAAGTAGTAATAAAAATGCCATCACTATCGTTACAATTATTAGAAACCATTCCATTTTAAATTTAATTTATATTAATATATAATTTTCAAATTAAAATAATAATCTCAATTTATTACTATTCTCACAATCCCATTAAATTCCATTCATATAACTTTAAAATCTATAACTTATTTTAACTATATATCAAACATTTTATAATATTTAACCTCTATATAAATCCTTTAAAATCAATAAAATATATTTAGAATATAATAATCATTACAAATTCTATATTTATGTAAAATTACAATAGCTGGAAATCATATACAATTTAATTCCTAAATAATATATTCCCCCTCCAAAAGAATCCATTTACAGATCTCTTAATCTTTCTAATTTTACTCCAAAATCTAGAATTATGAATAATCATACTACAAGCAGAATTAATGTTTATATTTCTAATAATTAAGATTAAAAATATTAATAGTCGTTTCGATTTACTCAAATAATCTCATTCACATAAAGGATAATCTAAATTCATTAGGAAGATCAAAAGATCAAAATATAATACTATTTTTTTAGGTATCCTATAAATTAATTACTACTATGTTCAAATTAAAGAACACAGAGGAACTATCGGATATAATTAATTACCTGAAGGTAATATATGCATATAGTTAGTTTATTAATATAAATATCTTCCTTTTATCAAACCTTCTCTTCCCAAAAAAGATGAAAAACCAATACAAGGATTAAAATCAAATAAAAATTGATAGTTACAAATGCTGTTGAAAATATTTTATCAGCATACAAATAATTAAATGAAGAAAAGTCATCGTCATAAAAAAAGAGTATAGAAAAAAGTACCTGATTATCTTACCAAAATAAAATCAAGTATCAAAGACAAAAATAAAATAATTAGAAAATATGCAAATTAGTAAACTAAAGAAATGGATAAATAGAAATATTTGATCTTAAGAAGAAATTCAATTACTAAAATTGGACTTAAAAAAATAAGAATCTATAAATGAAGAATATTAATCAATTACTCATATACCTATGATTGATTCAATAGGTTTGAAAATAAAGTAATTCTAAAAATTATTATTCAAAGTAAAGAATAATGTTAGAAATTTTTGGCTTAACTAGAAAAAGATATTAAAATATTAAATAAGAATTATGTATTTATGGATACATTAAAAAGGGATTTTACAAAAAGATTTCAATATTATTATTATAATTCCATATAATTTCATATTAAATTTCAAAGAAGTAGTTAGAATTCTTTTAAGCCTTTCAAATTTTTATTTTGATTTGAAAGTGAATCTGAAAGTCTAAAATATTTGTTAATAAAATAAATGAATAAAAATCCTTAAAATATCAAGAAAACAATTTCTAATTATACTTATGACTAAAATGAATTAATTGGTTCTGGCTATTCATCAAAAGTTTATAAAGGAACAAATACAAAAACAAATTAAGTAGTTGCTATTAAAGTGATAAGTTTTCAATAATTAACCACTCCAATTTCCAAAAGTTTACTTAAAAATGAAATTAGTGTATTAAGTTTAATAGATCATCCTAATCTTATGAGAATTTATGATACCTTTGAAACAAAAAATAACAGATATTTGATTTGTGAATATTGTAATGAAGGAGATTTGGCTGAAATATTAGAATCCACAAAATTTACAGAAACATAATCTTTGGAAATATTCCAATAAATTGTTTAGGGAGTTAAAGCATTACATGATAAAAGTAACACCTTTATGGTAAATTTATTAGAAATAATACATAGAGATATAAAACCAGCTAATATATTAAAATCTAATGGTCAATACAAATTAGCTGACTTTGGTTTTGCAGTAATCGAGAACCAATATGAGAGCATCATAAAGAAATTTAATGTAGGCACTCCAATGTATATGGCTCCAGAAACAGTGTAAAATAATATTTATTCAGAAAAATCTGATATTTGGGCATTAGGTATTGTATTATTTTAGATGATATATTATGAATTACCTTAGTTTTCAAAATAAGAACAAGATTTAAACAAGAAACATTCATTTTTAATCAATAAAATTAAAAATGATATAGAAACGTCCACTAAGACAAAAGAACTTATGCTCAATATGCTCAATTTTGATCCAGAAAAACGAATCTCAATTAATCATATTATTTCAATACTTACAATATAATCTAAAAAAATATCCACTCTTTAACATTAGAGTACTGCATTTAAATCAATAAAAACAAGTTCTATTTCTCAAGATCCATAATAATCAAGATCATAATTGAATGATTAAATATTTTAAAGTCAACCACAAGAATCTTTAGAAAATTAAATTAGTCCATGTTAAATGTTTAGATCATAAGATTTAAATGGACTATTAAATTTAGAAGTTATGAAAGTTATAAAAAATAATTAATTTGCTTAGCTTTTAGAAACAAAAAAAAATCTTAATTAATTTGAAGAATAGCCTCAGAATTTAGTTATTTAAATCAATTAAAATAATTTGAATTAATTTAAAGAATAATCTATAAAAGTTTCTTATACTTAAAAAGTAACAATAATTCCAAAACCGTTTTAATAATCTCCAATTAAATTCCATAATTAAAATCTTGAATCCAAACTTAAAACTTAAAAATCACTTGAATTAATTGATAATTAAAGTCAAGAATAACAATAATCATAATAATTCTAATAAATAGAAAAAGAAAAATTAACCTTAAAAAAAATACCAATTATAACTTAAAACGAAAATAAAAGTTTTTAAAGTAATACTAATGGTACAAAAAATGGATAATTTGGAGAAGAAAGTGAATGTATTTAAAATAGCAATTAAAATAGCACTAATGATACTATAAAACATAATTAATTATCAAATTGTTAATAAATTTTATAAGAAAAACAATAAATGTTTGACATTTCATAAAATTTATCAAAATAATCCTATTCTGTTTAAACTAATAATAATTCAATTCAACAAAAGAAATCACCTATTAGGATAGTATAATCATCATAAAATATTATTACTCCACCTTTCAAATCTTCTGGGGTCAGTTTATCTAAAAATTCTCAAGAAACTATAAAAAATCTTCATACTCAACCAAATATTACATCATAATTCAATTCATATCTTTCATAAGCTAAATAAATCTAAAATATTAGTGTTGAAAAATTCACAAACGATTTTACTTCAAATTATTAAGATGATAAAATTGAATTTCTCTCTGCATCAATCAGACCTACTTACAAATTTCTACTCTATTTAAACAAAGTCCTAAAATAATTTGATTGCATTAATACAGAAGAAAAATAAAAATGTTATTTTTTAATGAGAAAACTCTTAGGAATTAAAGCAACTTATATATAGAAATTTTATTCTTCACACAAATAAGATATTGTCTAATATTGGATTGATAGCTTTTTATCATTTTATTCTAAAGTAGAAAATGTCTTCTATATTTCACCTGATAAATAATTTGAACAATTTTTCAATAAAGATTTATCTGAATTCACACTGAATTTCTCTTAATTATTAATACATTATTTGCAAAAAATCAATATAAATAAATTACAAAAAGATTTCTAAATAATATAGGAAGTATTATTAGAAAATCAAAAACAATATAATGATTCTATTTTATTTGCTAGGAGATGGGAAAACGACTAACTTTGATCTTATTTATGTTTAATATTGATATTTTAAATATTATGAAATATTTTTTTTTTGACAATTTTATTTCATTTAAAAATTTTATATTTTCAAGATAATCTTTTTTTTTTAAAATATTAGTTATCTTTTTTATAAACTGTTCGTATTAAATTTTTTTTTGAGAATTGATGATGCATTTATGTATATTGATATATAGTATTTATCAATCTAATTTATGGCTCATAATAAAAATAAAACTAATATTATAATCTAATAAATATTTTTAATTAGAACATTTTTTAGATTTAAATTATTTGTTTTTAAAATCTACATATTTTCAAAAAGTTATCTAATAAAAAAATAATAAAATCATAGATATTAAATAATATATAAAATCATAGTAAAGATCTGACTAGTTATTAAATCTTAATATTTAGATAGTCCTCTTACATTGAGGAAGTTGGAAAAAACTTATCTTTAGGAGGGCTATCTAACTTCTAAATAGAAATTTCATCTTCCTAACTATAATGATTTTTATATTTATGAGAAGGTTGAAATCCTTTAGCTCTGTTGGTTGAATTTTATTAAACTTAAAAATATTGGTTTTCTAAAGAATAGTTTGGAACTCTTATTTTTGGTCCCAAAGGATAGAGAAACTTTGGAGATTTTCTTTGAGCTATTTTGATAATAACTTTTCTTCTATTTTTAATCTCATCTATTTTTTATAATTCTTTGCTAGAGAGAAGGCAACCACTATCTTCTAATTATGATATAACGAAATTTACCTTCATCACTTTGATATTTAGCAGCATTTTTATATTATTATAGAAAATTATCAGTTCTCTTTTATTCTATTTTTTCTTAAACATATTTTCCTATGTTTAAAAAATGATTTTTATTCTAATTTAAAAACTCTGGCAATCTTTATAAGAATAATAATTACTTTAAAATACTTTTATCATTATTAAAAAAATTTTCATTTTCAGATTCTGTAGTAAATTTTGGATAATTAGGTTTTAATGAATGTTTACTTAAGAGTTGATTTATAGATTTAAATATTGGTCTCATAGCTATTAGTTTAAATTTATTAATTTACATATCTTTTCTTATTCCAAATTGCCCATTATTTCAGGTATAAATTCTGAGTTCGGTTAATTTTAGGTTTGAACTTGAGAAGATTTCGATCTTACTTTCTAAATTACAGGTAGTTTAGATGGTATTTTATTTTTAGATTGTTGTTTTATTTTTGATAGATTAACAAAATCATTAAATTTTTTTAAAGAATCTTTTTCTTATTATTCTTCTAATTATGATGACGAAATTTAATCTTTCATTTATTTAGGTTAAAGTTTCAATTGGTAGTTTTTCTTTTTTCTTAAAAAATTCCTTTTATGAGGCATAAGATGCTCTAAATTATCATTTTAGATTATATCATTTGTATTTGATCTTCCATTTTTATTTTACATTTATTTTAACTTAATAATATATAATAAATATTTTTGAATAAAAAAAACAAAGGATTTTATGAATTCAATTAATTTTTTTTAAAGCAGTTAGCTATTTCATTATTTTCGTAATTTTGACATCTTAATAATCTGATTAAAGATTATTTGTATTATAATTTGTATTGATAGGAGGTCCAGATAATATTTATAAATTATCGAAATCTTTGAGCTATTCTTTTACATTTTTCATTTTATTAATTTCTTTATCTAATTCTCTTTATAGTATACGAATTCTTAGGTTTTTATAATTATTCCAATTTTATTCATTATTTACAACAGCAAATTTAGATCCACAAATATGTAAAAATTTAGGCTGTTATTTATGTAGAATATCATCTATAATTTCTCTTCTTCTTTTTAAGACCTTTTTTCTTTACTCCATATCAACATTTTCATTAATTTCTAGATAAATGATGATATATACTTATATCTTTATATATATCTGGTAGCTAATCCTTTTGAATTTAATCTAAATTAATTGTTTTTTATGATCCGATTTTTGACAATACTTATGGTTATTATATCTATGTTAATTCTAAATTATTATTTTCATTAAATTTAAAATCTTATTAAGAAACTTCATAATCTTCCTATTAACAACATGTTGATTAATTTTATCGAAAAGAATCCTAAATCATTTATGATAAATCTATCTTAAAATAATCATATAAGTACTTTGGGAATATCCTATTTTTGTTATTTAATGAATGAATTAGGTGATTTCTTATTTTCAGAATTTCTTCTTTTAAATTTAAGGTCTACTGATAATGCATTTCTTTTTTTAATAAAATCTAAAGTAGGTTCTTGAATAATGTTAATCTGATTCTTAGGACTTATCTAACTTTAATTTAAATTATCATAGTTATTAAATTTCTATTCTAATCTAGAAGTTATATTTTAAAGTTATTTAGGTTTTATTGTTTGTAGAGTATATTTAATGTTTGTATAATTATTTGAGTTGTTTTGATTATTTCTATAAGATCTCCTGAAACAAGCAGGACTTAATTAAGGAGACTTTTAATTTGATGATCTTCTATTGATTTCATTCAATAATGGAATAAGATTTTTGGAATTAATTGAGATGTGAAAATTAGTTATTTTACCTTCATCTCCAGCAAATCTAATAAATGTTTAATTGTTTTATTTTTCAACGATTTAAGATTGATTTCTTTTTTTTTTGATATGCTTTAAATCTATAATATCGTTGTATTCTTTGATTTTATCAGCATAAAACTATTTTGTTTTTTCTAAAGTAATTCCATGTACTTCAACTAGTTCACGACACTTTTTTTCTTCATTTAATTATTAAAGAATTTCTAATTGAGGTTTTTCTACATGATCTTCTAAGGTCTAATATTTAGGGACAATTGAATAATTAATGGTTTTATATTATGGCTCAGAGGCTTTAAAACTTTAGGATTAATTTATAAAGCATACCCATAGTTTTTAAGAATATTAGTAATTGCTATATTATCCATAACTTCAGTTTAGGAATTAGGTTATAAAATAGAAGTAATTGTAGATAAAAAGATTATATTATTAAATTTATGAGTTTCATAACATAAATTGAATTGTTAGTGTTTATTAGAAATTTTCGAAACGTTGATCTATTTTAATAAGGAATTTATAGAATATAATTAGGAATTACAAAACATTTGCCATATTTGACTTTAGATTAATTAGGAATTAGTAAATAGAAAAAACCAAAAGATTAAAAATTAGTGGGACAGGACATTAAAGATTAATATTTTCTATCAAGTTCTTTTATGATTAGATATGAAGATGAAGAAGTAAAATTAAATACAATTTAGATAAATTTATGTGAAGGATGTATTTTTCGAATAGAACAGAATACATTTGCATAATTAAACTCTGTAGAATTAAAAATTGATTTATTATTTTTGGACAGTAAATCTTTGGAAACAATTTAAGACTAAGAAGAATTGCCTTTAAATAAAATTTCTTCTCAGACCTACATCATTCATTCACTTAAATAAATGAATCAAAATTATTTGCCTATAACTTTTGATCCTAACACAGCATGTGTTATAAATTGTTTTGTGTTCTCATTGCCATTGAGTATAATTAAGTGATTAATAGATATAAAGTTTTAATAGATAAAAGATGGTTTAACAATGAAACAATATATTGAAAAATATAAAAAAAAGGGATAATTTGAATTGTTATAATTAAAAACTTTAGATTATCTGGAATCAATATTCAAGTAGTTCATTTAGCAATATAAAGAAACTGTAGCAGAATATATAACTGAACCATCTAAATTTTCACATTATTTAGTATTACAATAATTTATAAATTTAGTCTTAATTATCTTGTTTGGGAGATATAGAATACAATAACGAAGATTTAGAAAGCTAAATTAATTCTATAAGTGTATAATTATATATGATTTGGTATGTCTATATAGATGTCATTTCAAAAGTTTGCACAAAAATGATGAGGAAATTAAAATTAAAATATATTTGTGAACTTCAAGCCTTATATGAAGATTTTGTAATAAAATTAAATAATTGGAATCAATTTGATAAAGCATAGAAAAATTATAATTTTATAAATTCATTGCGATAATTAGATTAAAGAAATTTGCCAATTTTGCCAATCACTTGTACAGAGTTATTAGATAATCTTCCAATATTGATAAAATACTCATAAAATGAATAGAAACAATAACAAATGAACTAAAAAAAGGATAGTAAACATTTAATTGTTTTTGTACATGGATATAAGGGTTCTCCATTTGATATGAGAAGGTGGAGAAATATAATAAAAACATATTATCCAAAATGTTTTACTTTATTGTCAAGTTGTAATTAGAGATAAGGTGAAGATTCAATAAGAGTAATGGGACATAAATTAAGTATAGAAATATAAGCATAAATTTAATTGATGGATGGGATTGATGAATTATCATTTATATGCCATTCTTTAGGAGGAGTAGTTGCAAGATCAGCTCTTTGTAGTTTAAGTATGCATTAAACTAAGATGAGATTTTATGTAAGTCTTGGATCACCTCACATAGGATTATTTGTAAAATAAAAAAGTTTAGTAAAAACTGGATTATGGTTTATGACAACTTTTTCATCTAGTTAGAGTATGGCTGAATTATAATTGTAAGATGCATCAATTCCATAAAACTCATATCTTTATTAATTATCAAAAATCTAATGTTTAGAATGGTTCTAAAAAGTTATATTAGTTAGTTCTTTATAAGATGATTTTGTACCATTCGAAATAGCAAGACTTGAAAAATCAAATAGAGTTCCTTAAGATAAATAATAAATCTATAAAAATATGCTTGAAAATATTAAATTACCAGAATGTACAAGAATTGAAGTTAATTTTGCATTTACACAGAATGACAAGAATTGGGATAATTTTATTGGAAGAACTGCTCATATGAATTTAGTTGAGAATACAACTATGATAAGGATGATTGTTACTTAAAGCAAATTATTTGATTAATGAAAAATTTAAACATTTATCGTTTTATTTTAATAATTTATATTTATTAATAAATGGGGAATTGTTATCACTCTAGAAAGAATACAGTAGTTTTAGCTTTCGATTAAGCAGAATATTCTCAATTGAATTAATAATTTTAATATTATTGTGAATTAAGTAGTGAGTAAAAATATTTATATTATTAGAACTCGTGATATAAAAGCACTTAATTAGCGATCTTTTGAAGATATATTTTTAGAAAATCCTACATTTGGTATTAAGTTATTTAAGTTTCTTGAATTGTATTCTGGAACTGATGGAATCATAAAGAAAGAACCCTTGTTTGAATTTTGTAATAATTATACTTCTAACATTTTAGTGGAGCTTTTAGTCAAAGATGTATAAACATCAGTTCCAGCATTTAAAAATCTAGAAAGATTCGAATTGATGTCCTTGATCACTTTATAGAATTATAGATATGTGAAATCAAAAGAAGAGTTAGCTTAATTACAATTAACATATCTTGATACTTTATGTGTTATTAAAGTATTCAAAATATATCATTGTAGGATATTATTAAAATGTATTAACATAATTAAAAAAATGCTGCAACTAATGAAAAATATATTAAATCATTAATAGATTAACTATACAGTATTCAATATATTTTATAATAGAAAATGAATCAGGTTCATTATCTTGGATTTAATTAATGGATTTCATCTAAAAATAAATGCCAGGAGCAAGTTATCTAATAAAAAAGTATTTTTAAGCTAAATTTATGGGTAAATAATTTAATGTAATAAATATTATTATTTATAAGAATACTATTCCAATTATCAATACACCATCATATTTTATAACTGATGAATTATTTTTCTAATTATTATTGAGTACATAAGCAGTACTTACTGATTGTAATTAATTAACTTTATTGTATTCAAATATTGCACATTAAGGTGGATTTAATTAAATGGTATAATCTCTAAAAGGTATATTTAATCTAAAATTTAGATTGTAAACTACCCACTCTTATGTTTTTTTAACATGAAGAAAATTATGAATAAAAAACTAAATAATAAATATTTGGAGCTCTTACTAATCTTAGATGGTATGATACTAAATAATATTTTGGAACAAAAAAAGATTGTATTTTTAGTCTATATCCATATTTTAAAATATATAGATCTAAAAAGAGAGGAGAATAAAATTATTGTTTTCTTGATTCTAACAAAGGATTTGGTTTTGGTGGTAAAAATGGAGAAGGATGTAGAATTTGGATTGATAAGAATTTGTAAAACTCTTATTGCTCTTAAATTGATGAATCTTATGACAATGGTCCTCTAATTTTATCTTATGTTAAGAAATTGTAAATAAATATTATTGAAATATGGGCTATTCAACATCCAACAGATGAAAATGATGAAAATTTTGATATTAAAATGGATTTGAAGGATCCTCTTTTAGAAAAACCAGAAGAATTCTAATATCCTAATTCTAATGCTGATTTCTATTGGACCTAATAACCAAAAAAAGAGGAAAGAAATTCAGGTTATTATTGGGAAAATAATAATGTAAGTTGATATATTATATATATATTTATAATAAATTGCCGCATAAATTATTTGAATTTAAAAAGTTTTATGAACGAGCTAAGTGAGTATCCCAGTATTTAAGTATTATGAACTAATATTATAGTTTGATAATTCCCTTTATAATTCACTCAAGGGTAAGGATAACAGATTAATATTAAGATAAATGAGATCAGCCATTGAAGAATTTAATCGTAATAACCAATTTGATAGTGAAAATTTTACCATTCTTTTTTATGGTGTTTAATAAGTAATTAACATTCTTATTACATTAGATATAAAAAGATGAAATATTAGAATTTTTAGTAAAAGAAGTTCTTAAGCGGTAAGATGTTTTAGAATTTGAAATTTTACAAATGAAATTTTTATAAGCTACTTTAGATGATTAAAATAAAAATAGAAAAGATCATTTCTATTCTTTATAAAAAGAAATTTTATTATCATTCTGTTAATATGATAAACATGGTTAAATGGGAATAGAAACAATATTATAATTTTATAAAACAAAAATTAAAGAAAATGATGTTAAGCAATATTTATAAAATTAAGTTAAAAAAATCATTAGAAAAGAAAATCTTCACAATTATATAAAAAATAGATTGATTCAGATAGTATTTAATTCAGAAGATTGTGAATAATAATTTTCAGATTTGTTGATTTCTTGTGGAAATATTGCATTTGTTACTTAATTTATTACTATTTTAGCATAAAATAGTTTAGAAATATTATAAAATGAGAGTAATTCATTAAAATAAGTATCTAAAGTATTTGAAAGAATAAGTGCTCAAATGCCAAATTTATTTAATCAAAACTTACCTGTTTTTTTATAATTTTATGATAGTGAAGTAATAATTAATAAATTAATAATTAGAATTATTGTCTTAGAAATGCTATAAGTACTATAATTACAAATATATTAACAGAGCATTTAAATCCATCAAAAGTAGAATAAGATGTTGAAATGAAAGATAATTAATTAAATCAAAGACTTTTTTTAATTTAAAAATTGACATCTAGAATAATTGATAAAAATGCATATGCTAGAGTTCATACATTAAAAATGCTTAGAGTAGTTTGCTCATAAAATTTAATTCCTCCAAATGTTTAACTTATGATTTTTCCATTAGTTATTGCAAGAGCATAAGATGTATCTTCAATGGTGAGAAAGGCTGCTTTGGCATTTGTTAAATAAATTACAAAGTACAATCTCAAAATATATAGAATTAAAATAGATTTATGAAAAACCTATTCGTTGATGGGTTATAAATGTAAAACTTTATGAAAATTGCTGATATTCAAGAGTAGAACTAAAATTTAGGAAATGAAATTCATAAAACTTTAGTAGCTATTGATTAGATATTAGAAGATAAAGCAAATGCAAAATAGGAAACTGAATTTAAAGAATTAGAAGATGAAGAAAATCTTGTTGTTTCTAATTTGAGAGAAAAAAAAAAATTATAATCAGTATTCATACAATATTAAGAATTTATGGAACTCTTATAAAAGTTATTACCTAATATTGAATTATTATTAAATAGTAAATGCATTACTGATGTTTATAAAGCAATATCTCTTATTAGCTTTTTATTTAAATAGAAAATTGAAAATACAGACGTTGGTATTATGAAGATGTTAATTCATTCTATTAATCCATAAATAGTAAATAAATTAGCTAAAAAATTTTATATGCTTTTTATCGAAAATGAAAATGAATAAGTTCCAATAAACAATCTAATTCATTTATTAAAAATATCATCTCCAAAAGAATAAATATATCTTGAAGAACTTATTAGATACATGATCAAATAAAAAATGATAACAGAACCTATGATTGAAATAATATGGAATAATTTTATAAGAAATTATTCTTCAAATTAAAACGAATAATTAAATTAATATTCTAAACTTGTTCGAGTTACTTTTGGATAATAATCTAATCTTTTAACAAAGTTGAAATTAGATTAACTTAGTAAAATAATTGAAGGTTAGAAAAGAGATATTAATTGGATTGTTGTTATTGAACTTGCTAAATTAATTTATTATTTAGAAGATAAAGAACTTGTAAAAAAATATTTTTAATAATTTGCATTGATTTTATATTTTTATTTTGGAACACCAAATAACTCATGGTTTGTAGCATGTTAGGAGATTTTAAATTTGATTTAATATTTGACAGTTCCAGAAAGCATATATGATTACATAATTAAAAAGTTTAGTTTTAAAATATTTTAAATTGGAATGACTCCTAAAAGAAGGTAAATCATATTAATACTATTATATTTTAGTACTTAAGACTTTCTAGAAGAAGAATCAACTTTAGTGTTTAATAATTAAAGTGTATAACTAAGTCAATTATTATTTATTGTGGGTTAATCTGCTTTGGCAATTATTCTTCATATTGATGAAATAGAAAATCAATTAACACATTTAAGAAATGTAGAAGAAGCAAAAGAAAATGAATTAGATAAAATCTAAGGAGGTTGTGAAGAAGAATACGAACATAATAGCGTATATCTGCAGACTTTATGCAAATATAGTATTTTATATAAATATTAATAGATGTAATCTAAAAAGGATTTTATTAAAATTATGTTCCTATAGTTTTAGAAATTTTATCTGAATTAGAAGAAGAAAATGTATAATTAACAATGTTACATAAATCTGCAGGTCTATGTTTGTGTAAATTTATGTGTTTATCTGAATAATTTTGTGAAGAACATATTTTAAAAGTATTTAAATTAATTTAGAATACTAATTCAGATGGAATTTTTAAGAATAATTTAATTGTTGCTATTGGAGATCTTTTACATAGATGGCCTAATATAGTAACAACTTATTGTAGATAACTATTTGATGGGTTGAATAATTAAGATTTTATTGTAAAAAAAACTTCATTAAATATGCTATCACATTTAATATTAAATGATATGATTAAAATTAAAAGAGAAATTACTGATATTGCTATTTTATTAACTGATCCTGATGAAAATATTTAGTAATCAGCAAAAAGATTTTTTTATCAATTATAAAAGAAAGATTCAAGAAGAATCCAAAATAGTTTACCTGATATCATATTTAGTATGTCAAATGAAGAAAGTCATGAAAAATATAAAATTTTTCTTATGAATACTTTAAAGTATTTAGATAAACAAACTGAATAATTAGTTGAAAAATTGTTGAGAAGATTAAAAGAAAATATAAATGATTTCGAAGTTTAAAATATAGTTTTTACATTATCTAAACTTCAAATGAAGGAATCTTTAGCCAGAAAATTTTATGATTGTTATCCATATTATCAAGAAAGACTAGAAAATTCATAAATTAAAGAATATTTCTAAGTTATTATCTAAAAAGTATATTTAAATATAAAATTAGTTAATGAAATGTGGGTTAAATTTAGAAAATAAATAAATTTTATAAGAATTTGAAGAACTATTAAATCGAGGAGAGACTAAACGTAGAGTTTTAGGATCAAAGAATAAATCTTAAAAATCTAATAGGTCTCATACAAATTCATAAAGATCTGCTGGTTTTTCTAACATTCTAGATTAATTATATACTTAATCTACTGAATTTTGAATTGAATTAATTTTATTTTTTTTATTTTATTTTATGTAAACTTAAATATTTCTTTTTTTTTACTAAAAATTATAGAATATAATATAATTTAGATAATAAATAAATCAAAAATAAATGGAATAGTAAAATCAATTATTTAATTATATAGAAAATCTGAATCGCTTATTAAGATTTTGATTGAAAATATTAACATTTTGGATTTAGGTTTCAGATGTACCTATTTGAGAAACTTATGAAGTATTAGCCAATATAATATTCCTTTAAGATAATTATAAAGATTTTTTTGCTGAAACCCTTAAAGATTCAGTAAAATATTAGTGAGATAAAGCTTCTTTAGCACTTAATCTTGTTTTATAATTAAAATCCAATAGCTTTTGTAATAAATCAATTCCTGAATCAGGAGTATTGAGTTTTTTTAAAAGATCTAATTTTAATTAAAAATTATAATAATCCTCTTAATTTTTTAATAAATTATGTGAAGTTATTCTAAATTATCAAAATATATTTACAATTTATAAAAAATAGCTCCTACAGCAAACATATCACACTTAAAAGAATAAACTGATTATGAAGTAGTAATACATAATACTTCTGGAGCAATATAGCCAACAGTTCCACAGATATCGTTATTAGTAGTTCCAATTTTAGCAGCCAAACCAAAATCAATTAATTTAATATTATGATTTGATTGAATCATTATATTAGATGGTTTAATATCTCTATGAATAAACTATTACTCATGAATGTAGAATAATGTCAGTATCAATTACTAGTAAATTTATTTTAAAGATCTACACGCATAATAGATTAAACATCATAATGACTAACTGATGCACTATGATCATGTAAATATTTTTCAAGATTATCACCATCAATTAATTCATATAGAATAACTATTTCCTAATTTTTATCATACACTTCTTTTATTTTGGTTATATTAGGATGATTTAAAGATTAAACTATATTATTTTCTGTTATTATTTCCTTTAAAATTATATATTTATATTAATACCTTCATTCTTTCAGTATTACTTTTATTCTTTTAATGTTTATTTAAATACTTAGCTGCCATCATTTCTTTTGTTTCTAGATTTTACAACAATAATACCTATAATTTATTATTTTAATTACATTTGAAAATGCTCCTTGTCCAAGTTGATGTTTTTATAAATAAAATTAATTCAAGTCTCCAAAAAGAACCTTTCCAGCTAAAATCATTTTAAGTTCTCTAACTTTTTGAGAATTAGCATGAAATAGCTTTAGTTTTCCTCTATAAGGAATAGAAAATCCATAATAATCTGTTTCAGTATGAAATACAATATAACTCTTAAGTGACACTTCAAAATAATATTTGGGTTTTGCTTTGTTCTTATAATATTCAAAAAAATAGATATACTTCTCCTATGAAAACCTCTTTTTCAAAACATTAAAGGATGTACACTTTATCGAAAATAAAATGCTTTCTAAGGCATTAGAATTAAAGAAGCATAATTTAATTATAGATATTATTTATTTATGTTATCAGAATCTTTTCATAATAATTGACCTTTTTTTTAAAATACGAATAAAAAAATTCTTGCATCTTTTAATTAATGGTAATTCCTTAATGTACAATTTAAATAGTTTTAATTAGTATCTGAAATTATAGAGGAGAACAAAATAATTAATATTTATAAATAAATAAAATAAATTATAAAATGATAACTCCTCAAGAATAACTAGATATAAGTAAGTAGAATACTATAATAAGTTATTAAAAAGATTAAAAAATCTTTATTAGGAAAATAATAAACAACCATAAGAACTTTAGGGAAAACTTTCAGAGGGTTTGAGTCTTTTGATAAAAATAATAGAATAGACAAAGATGAATTCCTTATTGGTCTTAAATAAAATGGTGTAGTATTAACAAAATTCTAAACAGATGTAAGAGTTTATATTACATTTAGTTCTTATTAAATTATCTCGATAGAAATAGAGATGGATCAATAGATGTAGCTGAATTTTTTTATTTAATAAGAGTAAAATATAAATTTATAAGTATTTAGGGAACACCAAATGAAAATCGCTTGGAAGTAATAGTTTAGGCATTTAAGAAATTTGATAAAGATAATTTGGGTTATATTGTGGCTGATGATTTTAAAGGAATTTTTAATGCTAAAAATCATCCTAAAGTTACAAGAGGTGAATTGACTGAAGATTAAGCTTATATTGAGTTATTATAGTATTTTAAGGAGGGAAATAAATCAGGTCGTATAACATTAGATGTATAAAATTAATAAAAAGGATTAGGAATGGAAAGAATACTATGCTGCTGTTAGTGCCGATATTGAATTGGATGATAATTTTATAATTTTGATTAAAGAAACATGGAGACTAAAATGATTAATTTATAAATAAGTATCATAAAATACATCACAAATTTCAAATTTCAGATTCATTATTTTAATTTATCTAATCTTTTTCTTAATCTTGATTTTCTTCTTCTTCTTCTTTTTATTATTATTCTTATTATTATTATTATTCTTATTATAATTATTATTCTTATAACAATTATTATTCTTATTATAATTATTATGATTATTCTTATTATTATTATTATTATTATTATTATTATTATTATTATTATTATTATTATTATTATTATTATTATTATTATTATTATTATTATTATTATTATGATTATTATTATTATTCTTATTATTCTTTTTCTTCATCATTTCCTTTATCTTATTCTTATTACATCTCAAAGTTGCCGTAAAGATTCTTAATTTCTAATTAAATGTGATTTTCAGATTCTGAACTTGACTTATTGTCTAACTTTTCAAGTCTACGTAATCTTTCATGTGATCTTGATCTTGAACGTGATGACCTAATTTAATATTAAAAAAAGATACTTTTTCTAAGTTTTCTTAGATTTTACACTAACTTTATAAATTAAGGGTTTTATTTGAGCTGGATTAATTTCATCTTATGCGATTTTAATTTCATTTTTTATTGGATAAACAAGTAAATAAATCCAACCATTTTGATAATGTGAAGTTACTTCGTTTATTTATAATTTTTCAATATTTGATATTCCTTCTTCCAACCATATATTATCTTCAGGCTATCTTAAAATTGCTTAATTTTAAGAATTAGAAATCAAAAGCACTGGTTTGTCATCTGATGAATATAATTAAACTTCCAATTCTATTTTATTTAGATTTTTAATATCCATTCCTTTCATATCTTTGAGAGCAATATCTAAGTTAAAATTTTTATCTTTGAATAATGGTTATTCTAAATCATTAGTTAATACTAATTAATATTGAAAATCAGTCTAATTGTATTATAAAGACTTTAATAAAAGATTATTTTATGTGGTTTCTTAATTTGGTATTGATACTATAAATAAATAATTTAGATACATCTACTCATAAAGTCATCAGCTTGACCATTATCAAATTTTTGTTCAACAATCTTTTATAGATTTGTTATTTCATCTAAAATTTGTGTAATAGTATTTTCCAAATTGGCATTTTTATTTTTGAAATCAAGTAACATTTAATTTTGCATAACAAACATGTTTAAAATTTTAAGTTAAAATTCATTAACTACTTGAGAAAATCCTATATATTTATAAAATAAGTTACCTTATTCTAAATTTTATTGAGCTGCATTAATGGTATTCTAAGTAGATTATCCTGAAGATTACTATAAAGGTTATTAAGAAGCTTATTGTTATTATAATTGCTATTATAATTGCTATTATAATTGTTATTATTATTGTTATTATTGTTGTTATTGTTGTTATTATTGTGAAATTTATTGCTACTATTAAAATTGTTGTTATTATGGAGGCAATACTTAATTTTGATTCATAGATGGTTGTATAGGAGGTTATTATTTGAATTAAAAATCAAAAGGTGGCATTTAACCAAGAGGTCCTTATGGAATTGGTCCCATTCCAGGTATTTACATACCACCTGGTCCTATTGCACCCATTCCACCCATAGGTCCCATATTACCCATTGGTGGAGGTCCCATAGGCCCAGATGTCATAGGTCCTTATGGAATTTAACCAGGGCCTAATGGAGGCATTCCAAAACCTGGCGGTAAACCCATAGACATTGGAGGCATGTTTTGTAAACCTTATGGAATACCATTTAGATTTAATCCACTTTAATTAGGGGGAATTTAATTCATTTAAAGTGCCTAATCATGTACAAATTATTCAGGAAATGGATATTTTTGATTTGGTGGTGGTGCCATCATTGGTTAAGGAAATGGAGGTCCCCAGCAAGGATAATAAGGAGCATTAGGCACTTAAATCATTCTACTGTATGGATCATGTCCTGCCACCTATTAGAACATTTAGTATATTCTCTACTGTTCATCATTAGAATTCATTTATAAGTTAGGATTCATTTATAAGTTAAATAAATTATTATGTCAATAAATATAAATTTATTCTCATCAAATCAAAGAGACTTTAATCTTTATTCTTTCAATCATCATCATTTATAAGTACATTCATTTGTAAAAGTGTTAGTCAAGACTGTGCAAAATTTAATTTTCATTAAACTTTTTTTATCTAGAGAGATGTTTTAAAAAGAAAATGACTAATAGTGGATTTTAATTGAATAAAATTATTAACTGAATAATATGATGTTAACAAGATAATTTGAAATTTTAATCTTATCATTAATTATATACAAACTCTAAAACTTATTAATGAATATTTTATTTCAGCTCATAAATTTTTATTATCATTTAAACCCCTTTTTTTGAATTTCAAGTTTTTATATAAATTTATTAATATTTACTTTTGGAAATTACATCTCTAGAATTATTATTATTAGAATCAAAGTTTTTTATATTTATATTAGATATAATAGTATATAATTGACATTTTTTCTCTTATAGAACAATAATTGTATATATTATTATATTATATATAATTTTATTATTAAAATTCAAATTTGAAAAATGACTGGTAAAATTTAAAAAATCATCCAATAGAATAATTAGAAGAAAGAGCTCAAAGAATTTTTGGAAAATTATCATAGATTTAAAATAACGTAGAGGGAGAGAAATAATAAAAATTCAAAATGATTCTTGGATATATGCAGAGTATTGAATTGGTAATAGAAGATGTTTAATAATAAAAAAATTAAAAATTTTTGGATCTAGCTGAAAAAGTAAATCAGTTTTAATTAAAAGTTTAGTTACAGAGATTAAAATAAATATTAGATAGTGAAAAGGAAGCAAGAGATCAGATAGATGAGAAAATGAGAAAAGAAATTTTATCAGTTGAAAAGAATTGCAAAAATCTCTTAAATAGTTTCGGCAAAGAAAGATTAGAAACAGAAAAACGAGTTTTTTATAATCTATCTTAATAAGTGGAATCATTATCAATAGAAATATAGAGAGAATTTCATGATAAATCAGAAACTTAAAATAAATTACTAGAGATATAAAATGGTAATGTTTTTATGATTAATTCATAAAGAATAAATTCCATAATTTTATTAAGAGTTAGAGTAAGAAGTTAGAATAAGAGAAGAAATTGAAGATAAGATAGCATAATAATTTAATGAATAATTAGATGAATTGAAAAGAATATTTGATAATTAATAAAAATAAAGAGAATAAAGAGAGGAAGAAATAATAAGAATTCTTAAAAAAATATATTAAAATGCTTATGATGCTTGTAAAAGAAGTAGAGCTGAAAGAGAAAGAAATGAAGACTTATTAGTTAAATTAGTAGAATAAGTAGTTGAAAAGATTAAAAGAGAAATAATAGATTCTGATTTTTGATATATATTAAAAATATAATAATACAATTGAAATGGGTTAATGCTAAATGCGAGATGAAAGGTAAATTATAGTTTATATAATTGATTTCAGGATATTAATATATTGTCACACTTGGAACAATAATACAGGTGATCTATTTGATTATGAAAGTATTGATAATTAAAAACAATAATTTACAATCCAAAATTAAGATTCATATATAATAAGTAATGAAGAGACACTTTAATTAGTAAATGAAATACCTAAGGAGAAAAGGTATTAAAGTTTTATAAATTTCTAGCGAAGTATTATTGTTTATAACATCTAAAAATACAGTAGTAGCTGGAACATAGTAATAAGAAGGAAATTCAACAGCTTTAACAAATACTAAGTTCCCATTTAAACTAAAAAAGAATTGGTTAACAGTAAGATCAGTTAATAAATATCCATTAAATGTGAATGATATTTTTAGACTTGGAAAAATGACATTTAGAATTTCTAGTATAAATTTTAATTCTTAAAATGAATCTGAAATTTTGAATCATAGTAGAACAGATTCTAATGAATAATGTCGAATATGTTTAGGAAATAATTAAAGTTCGAATCCTTTATTGAATCCTTGTAAATGTAGTGGTTCTCTAAAGTATATTCATTTAGAATGCATGAAGAGATGGTATTCCTACAATAAAGACTTAGGCTAAAAGAATTTACATTGCCATCAAGATCATCTGAAAAAAGTGAAACATACTTATGGAAATAATTAAAATGTGAAATATGTTAAGAGTCATACAAGGTAATATTTTAAAGTGATGGTGTGACTTATCATATGCTCAATCTTTTAAAACCTTAATTTCCATATGTTATGTTAGAATTTTATTCAAAAAAAAAGGAGAATTAAATTAAATAAATTAATTTGGGAGATCGATTCACTTCAAAGTCTGATGGTGTAATTGTTATAAGTCTTGGAGAGAAAATGAGTTTAGGAAGAGCAAAAGAAAATTGGGTGAAACTTTGTGAAGCAAGTGTAAGCAGATTTCATGCTACTCTATAAATCGAGAAAATTTAATAATAAAATTCTCTTTTTTTAATAGATAATAATTCTAAATTTGGAACTTTAGTCCAAATTAAAGAAGATTTGTAAATTTAACAAGAGTTAGAAGTATAAGTTGGCAAATCTTTATTTAAATTGTAAACAAGTAATATTGCTTGTTGAGTAAATTTATATATATATATTTATTATATGAAAAATAATTTTGATTTTAGCGATTATATTAGATAAATATAAGAACAACCTTTCGTTGATGTACTTATATATTACATTATTAGAATAAAAGTTAATTTCTTCATGTAGCATTTTTATCATATCAAGCAGGAGCTTCTAATAATAATCCTAAGATTTTAAAAAAAACATTTTATTTTATTAATTACATTCACAACGCATATTATAATAAGAACATATCATTTGAAGAAATATAATAGTTATATAACGGTTACATAAATGATAATCAATAAATTGATCAAGAAGTTCCAGATGCTATTTTAGAAAATAGTTCAGATTTTTAATCATTTTATTCATCAGTTATTATAAGAAAGAGAGAGCAAACAATAAATGAAAAAATACCTGAAAATCAAAATAAACAATAAGAATAAGTATAGTAATAAATTTCAAAAGAATAGAATAAAAAAAAAATAAAAATAGAGGAACTAAAAAAAGAGAATTTTATTTAATAATAAGCTTAATAGAAAAATACTTAATTGATAAATGAAAATGATGCTTTAATGATAGATAATTCCATAAATTAAAATAATTAATAATAAGCTGATATTTCTATACCAAAAATAAAAGATATTTATTATCTTTCAATTGATCAATCATAAATATTAAAGAAACAATAGTATGAAGAATACAGAAAAAAAGAGAATGAAAAATCTATGATTTTTTAAGTAAGAAATTAGTAAAGTTAAATTGAATAAAGTTCATAATGTAGTATTTGTTTAGAGTATGTGTAATTCAATAAGTATGAACTTACATCTTGCTAACATATTTTTCACAAATAATGTTTAGAAAATTTGATAAAATCATAGGATGATCTTCCTATTAAATGTCCTAATTTAGATTGTCGATAAGAAATTTTGAGAGATGACTTAGAAAACTTAACAACAAAATTTTTAATGGATAGATTGGATAAATTTGCTTTTAACTAATATTTATTAAAAAATCCAAATATTTTTTAATGTCCTACTTAAAATTGTAAAGGTTTGTATGAAATAGAAGGTCCTCTTCAAGTATGCATGTTATGTTAATAAATATTTTGTACTAAATGCAGGAAGTTATATCATGAAGGAATATGTGGAGAAGAAAGTTTTATAAATGTTGCTAGTGAATAACATTATAGTTAATGTTCAAGTTGCCATAGATGGATAGAGAAAACTTTTGGGTGTAATCATATATCTTGTCCATGTGGACATGAATTTTGTTATGTATGTGGTAAATAGTGGATAAAAGGGTAAGAATGTAGATGTATAGAACTTCCATAATAATAATAATAGTAATAATAATAATAATAATAATAATAATAATAGCCTGGATAACTTAATTAAAGGAATGCTCGACAAATATAAGATGGTTTCAATTATATCTAAAAGATCTTTAATAATAATTACAATTGGAATATCTAGCGTTAAACCACAGAAATAACCAAATCTCTATAAGAATTCGGATTAACATTTATATAAAAATTGATAAGAAGATGATAAATTATAAAAATTGATTTTATCTAAAATAAAATCTAAATCTTTATGGATATTATATAATCAAACTACTTAAGTTTCTTGATTTTCAAGCTTTTCTGGCTAAAAGTTGTTAATTTCGTATTAGTTTTATGTCACTTATTCTTAAACTTATATTTCTTGGTTTATTGGTGCTTCTTAAGTTCCATTATTCTAAAGTTCAGGGACATCAGTAAGAGTTTCAACAACTTATTATTATTATTATTATTATTTTTATTCACAGTTATTTTAAGTCTTGTTTTGATTTTATTATAATTATTAAATTTATTCAACAGCTTATTATTCATTTTTATGTTAAGTTACTTCAGATTATTTTCCTTTTTTCACTATCTTTTTTATCTTCTGCTTTTTTATCAGCAATTTTAGGATCAATCTATTTTGTGTTTTATTTTTATGATATTTTATTATCTATTTTTTTAGAATTTTTTTTATCTTCTTTTTTTTCAATTTAAACATTTTTTAATTATTTGTAGTAATTTTTTATTTAGTTGGCTATTTTTTAACAATTTTTTCCTCTTTTTATGAATTTGTCTATCATTTGATTTGTTATTGTTAAGTTTCTTAAATTTCTTTGACTTATTATTATTGTTATAATGTTTAAGCTGCAGATTTTGGTTTTGATTATGGTTATTATGGTTTTTATTATTATTTAGTTTTATTTTGATTAGTCTCTTTTGGAGATTTAGGTCTAAAATAAAGAATATAAAAGTTTATAATTACTTTTTTCATCCTCTAAAGGTGTTGTCGTCTTTTCAACTATTGTACTTTGACTTAAAGGTTTTGGAACATTAATAAGTTTAGGATCCTTAACTTTTGTAGAAACTGGATTTTTTATTACTGTAGCAGTAGATGAACGCTCAATCTTTTTTACATCTAAACATATTGTGAGAATTTATTAATTTCAAAATACCATTTTTTTAATGATTCTCTTTTTTAATGATTCTCTTTTTTAATCTCTTATTAGACAATTTCTATAAAATAATATTTAATGTTACTCTTATCTTCTTCTATTTTTAAAGGTTTCAGATTTCCTATTAATTGTTTTAATTCACTCATTTGATCAAATAGATTTTTTATTTGTTCTTCATTTTATTAATCTCTTTCTTTTAATAATTTAATTTTCTCTAAAATAGGTTTTATTAATTCATCAAATCTTGTTTGTATTTCTGAAGCCACTTATTACATCAAAATTCAAAAAATAAATTATAATAATATTTTTTCTAAAATGACTTATAAATTAATTTTTCAAATAACATTTTAATTTTTAAAGTCAAACACTTGACTTACATATAGGACAACATGATTTTTGTTAAAGCCAATCAGATAGGCAAATGATATGAAATTTATGCAGACAATTTAAAATCTAAGAATTATTCTCATCTTCTATAATATCCTAGCAAATTACACATTAACTTTCTTATTCTTTAAGTTCTTATTCTCTCTAAATCTTTTAAGCCTATTCATCAGATTCATTTTTATGATTTTCATTTATTTGCAAGTGAATAAAATATTGATAAAGCTATTCATTATTCATCAAATTTATTTCTTCATCTGTATACTTTTTAAACAAATCAAAATTACTTAATCCATCCTATTCAAAATCTTACTCATATTAATTGCTTTAATTTTTGCTAAATTTAAATTTATTTTTTGGAATTTAAGGAAAAAAACTCACAGATTGAGATTAGATTTGATTCTATAATAAATTTTAATTGAAATTTTATCTAAATACATTTATTGTTTATTATTCTGATTAATTTTAAGGATTTAATTTTTTTATGGGAAACACTCTCTAAATGTCTTGGTTAAGATTGTTATTATTAATTTGTTATGATTGTAATATTTGATTTGTTAGTTAAGAAGGAGGAGATGGAAATTATAAAATTGTTTATGAAGTGTTCTATTAATTTTGTGAAATTCTTGAATTTTTTATTTACATCTAATTTCTGTTCGCTATATTAAATGAAGGAAAATTCTATTCTGTTGATTAATCAATTGTTTATTAATTTATTGAATTCTATTAATAATTTTATTGATTTTAAAATTGTATTCCTTGATTTTATACTTAAGTATAAGTCATTAGTTTTATTGGTTATAATATTGAGCTATCAATATTTTATTCTATTTATATTTAATTTATTCCTGAAAATTGTTGCAAATTTTAAGATTGCATCATTTAATCTTACTCATAATTTGAACCTTTTTCTATTAGAATTTTACCCAAACATTTTTTTTCATGGACTTGCTTCGATGAATTTAATACATGGGTTGAACAAAAATTGCAAAAAAATGTCTCGAAGGATTTTTAATCGAATTGCATTTTTATAAAATAAATATTTAAAAATTCAAATGAAAACTTTCTTTAAAATACAATAAATAACATATATCTCAAATAGATTTTTGAAATTACTAATAGATCCTCATTGATTATTGATTAGAAATTTTGTTCAAAAAATTTAATTTTCTTAATAAAGAATTTTTTATTCTAAATTTTGTTAATTGTTAAATAACTTTTAAGGTTATTTATCATTAAAAGATTAGAAGATATAATGAATCAATATATGTTTTAAATAAATTTTAATTAGAGGCAAACATTTAAATTTTTTCAAAGACATAATTGCTGGCTATTCTCAAGATTATTTTATTTGAGATTTAATTTTTCTTCAAATGAATCGATAGTTTGATAAGCTCTGCAAATGGGACATTATATTAAGCCATAGGAAGATTTCGAGATTTCCATTAATTTTTCTATATCATACTAACAGTAAGTATGACCACATTTTAATGGATAAAGCTGTTCTGATGACTCTAAACAAATAGGACATTATTCTTCGTGAAATATTTTATCTGCAGGTTAATCCAAAATAAGAAAATTAATGATTTCTTCATTATTGTTAATGGTTCCATTACGTCTAACTAATTATGGCATTTCTAAATTTTCCAAATCAAATTCTTCCTCTAATTCAAAATTATATTCTTAGTTGTGAATGTTGTTCCCTGCCATATTAAAAATTCTTTGAGAAATTTTATTTATTTGATTAAACTGACCTAATAGTATAAAATATTTAATAAAAAATTTTATATTGGAATTGGTCAGATAATCATTATAGAATAAATTTAAAAAATGGATTTATATTTATTTACAATTCATTTTCTTACTTTATTATAGGAAAAATAAATTTAAATATTCTTTCCTAAAAAATAAAACTTTCTCTTCCAGATTTACTAAGAAACTAATATTTATTTATNATATTTAATTTATTCCTGAAAATTGTTGCAAATTTTAAGATTGCATCATTTAATCTTACTCATAATTTGAACCTTTTTCTATTAGAATTTTACCCAAACATTTTTTTTCATGGACTTGCTTCGATGAATTTAATACATGGGTTGAACAAAAATTGCAAAAAAATGTCTCGAAGGATTTTTAATCGAATTGCATTTTTATAAAATAAATATTTAAAAATTCAAATGAAAACTTTCTTTAAAATACAATAAATAACATATATCTCAAATAGATTTTTGAAATTACTAATAGATCCTCATTGATTATTGATTAGAAATTTTGTTCAAAAAATTTAATTTTCTTAATAAAGAATTTTTTATTCTAAATTTTGTTAATTGTTAAATAACTTTTAAGGTTATTTATCATTAAAAGATTAGAAGATATAATGAATCAATATATGTTTTAAATAAATTTTAATTAGAGGCAAACATTTAAATTTTTTCAAAGACATAATTGCTGGCTATTCTCAAGATTATTTTATTTGAGATTTAATTTTTCTTCAAATGAATCGATAGTTTGATAAGCTCTGCAAATGGGACATTATATTAAGCCATAGGAAGATTTCGAGATTTCCATTAATTTTTCTATATCATACTAACAGTAAGTATGACCACATTTTAATGGATAAAGCTGTTCTGATGACTCTAAACAAATAGGACATTATTCTTCGTGAAATATTTTATCTGCAGGTTAATCCAAAATAAGAAAATTAATGATTTCTTCATTATTGTTAATGGTTCCATTACGTCTAACTAATTATGGCATTTCTAAATTTTCCAAATCAAATTCTTCCTCTAATTCAAAATTATATTCTTAGTTGTGAATGTTGTTCCCTGCCATATTAAAAATTCTTTGAGAAATTTTATTTATTTGATTAAACTGACCTAATAGTATAAAATATTTAATAAAAAATTTTATATTGGAATTGGTCAGATAATCATTATAGAATAAATTTAAAAAATGGATTTATATTTATTTACAATTCATTTTCTTACTTTATTATAGGAAAAATAAATTTAAATATTCTTTCCTAAAAAATAAAACTTTCTCTTCCAGATTTACTAAGAAACTAATATTTATTTATAAATTTGCTGGTTAATTGTTATTTTTGATTGAAATACTTATGAAACTATTTTAAAGTATACATAGAACAATAAAACTATAGAGAATAAAAGAAAGGAATTAAAAATATAAATAAAAATAGAGATATTAGTACTTAAAGGTATTAAGAATATTGAGTATTTAGAAATGTATGATTTAATAAATACTTATAAAAAAGGATTTACATGATAAATCATTTTTGTATTTATAATGCAATTATAAATAAATGTAGAGTGAATAGAATCGGCTAAGTACAAATTCAAGTGGATCGGTTGATATAGGTTAATTGTTAAAAAAGTACAAATAAGCAAACACAAAATTGAGTCCATTACCATTGGAATAATTTGAATAGGTAGCCTTAGATAGTAAAATTGATCTTTTATAACAATTGCCAGACAATGATATAACTTAATTTTTAGGATTTAAAGAACTCAATTAGGGAGCTGTAAGTGAATTAAAACGTTCATTATTATAATCAAAAAGAATGTGGAATAATTATAGTTAGACATTATTTACTGAAGAATAGTCAGATTAACAAAAATATTATACATCTAGAAAAATGTAATTAATTCATAATCGAGATACATTCAGATAAATCAAAGAAAAATATAAGAAACAAGAAGAAACATAAATTGAAGAAGTAAGAAAATACTTTTAAAAAATTCAATCAAAAAGTCCAGGAGTGAAATCATATCCTTCATTATAATATTAAGACTTATAGAGGATTGAATAAATACGTAGATAGATAAGGTAGGGTAATTAAAGTGAATTAATAACTAAAAGTAAAGATGCTGAATAATTATAAAGAAGATTAAATGAATCGTTAATCAACGAAATTAAAATAAAGAAATAATGTGTATATATATATAAAGATACTAATTTAAATTGGTAGCCATGTTCTAGAAATGCAAGTACAATGTTATCTTATGATCATAAATTATATTTATATGGAGGAGCAGGTTCTAAATAAACTGAAGATTTTTGTTATGCAAATATTGACAAATGTAATAAAGATATTAATTAATTGTTTTTAGAAAAATATAAATGGAATTAAATTAAATTAGATGAAAAGTAATCAAATGGATATCGAGGTAATCATTCAGCAGCAATATATAAAAATTTTATGATCATATTTGGTGGTGAAGTACATTAAATAGTTAATGATAAAAGAATAAGTAGTGAAATAACCAGTGATATTAAAATAATTAATTTAAGTAATCAAATTCTAATTATTATTTTAGTTACCTATGAATTGAAAGTATTCAAATAGACTGGCATAATACCTCCAAGAAAATGTCATATAGCAGAAGTCATTGGAAGAAATATGATTATTTAAGGAGGGATTGATATTAAAGGATAATATTTAAGAGATGTAATAGCTTATGATATTGGTACACAAAGATGGTCTTAAGTTTTAACAGAATAACATGTTTGTTTTCCTGATGGAGTAGCTTTTCATAAATCTTGTGCAGTCTTTCATAATACCCAAATAGAATTATATAAAAATGATCCTGAAATTAAATTCAATTATTAAGGACTCTTTATATTTGGTGGTTTTGATAAAAATGGTCATTATTTAGATAAAATGATTAAAATAGATATCACTACTAAACCTATTAATTTTGAATAGGTTTAGACTAAAGGACTTTCACCAAGTAAATTTTTATTTTACTTTTAGTTGGTCGTTGTTAACATTCTATGAATTATTTAGAACAATATTAAATTATTGTTATATATGGAGGTAAAAACGATGATCTTAATATTAATGGTTTTTTAAATGATATTCATTTACTTGATATGAAAACTTTAACTTGGATTAATGTTGAAATTAAAGGAAATTAAGTTGCTGGTAGATGTGGACATACTTCTGCTTGTATAGACTCTAAATTATATATCTTTGGCGGTTGTAATTATTCAGGTTTTCTTAAAAGCGATCTTCTTATTATTGAATTGGATCCTATTCAAGCATAATAATTTGGATAATAAGATATAATTATTGAAAAGCCAAGAAAATCCTAATTAAAAGTTACATTTAAGAAATAAATACAAAAAGATCACATTTAAGAAATTAAAGAAAAAATAGATTAAATATGTTTGAAGCCTTAAAAATAAAGTCTATTCTTACCAAAACCAAGAAGATTAAGTGATTTACTTAATTCATTAAATTTAAAAGAACTTATCTCATAAAATTAACAAGATAAAGATAAAGAATAATAAAAATCAAGTAGAGGTTCAAATAGGTAATCACCAAGAAAAGAAACTCCTAGAATTCCTATTAAAAATATTAAAAGAACTCTGACAACAATAATTAATTCAAGTTGATTTAAATATTATTTTAAGACTTTATTTATATATTATTTATTATCGATTATTATGCTGAACTTATTTTATAAACATAAATAAATATTTAATATTATTTTTCTAAAATTAAGATAAAATATTTGATTATATTATTTTTGAAATAATTAAATAATCCTTAAAATAATTATTAATTTATAAATTTTACTTAAAAAAGAATCTTGAAATATAAATTAAAGGAAATTAAGATAATGATAATGGTTAATCAAAATTTAGAAATATAAGAAAAGAAAATCCATACATATAAGGTTTTAAGTATCAATTAAAAAAAAGAAGCTTTAGAAGAATTATTTAAAAATCCTAGTTAAGAAAATTTTATTTTGCTTAGTAATAAATTTAATACAACAACACGAAATTTAAGGAGATGGTTTAATGAAGGTTATATGAGAAAAGGGGGATGTGGAAGAAAAAAAATAAATCCATAAGGAGTAATGAGATTAGAGGAATGGATATTAGAAGAAACGAAAAAATATGGTAAGAAAATAAGTAGAAATTAAATTAAGGAATAAGCAATAAGAATTTTCAATATTTAATCTTTTAAAGCATCAAAAGTATGGATGGATAAATTTATTAAAGAATAAAATCTTAAATATAAAATTTAAACTATTCTTTTTGAAAAAGGTTAACTCTCAAAATAAAGTTAAGAAATAAAACATAAATAATTTGAGGATAATTAAAAAGAAAAGAACTTTGAAAGTTCTACAAAAAAATAAATAAAAGGGTTAAAATTAGAGAAGATAAAACTCAATTAACTAGAGAGAAATTAGGATTAACTAAATGTTTAAGATTTAAAAATGAGTGTGTAATAGGAAACAATATTAAATAGAGAACATAATAAAGAAGATGATTTATATTTATCAGTTAGTTTTGAATAGGAAGCTGATTTATTTGCATATAATTATGAAGAAGAGTTATTTTTAGGATTTGATTGATATTAGAGTTGTAATATAGATAATTAATTTATTTTAAAATTAAAAAAGTTTGATCTTTTTAGAACCTTTATGGGGTTTCTAAGAAAAAAATAAGATACAATATATTGATGATATAATGAAAAATGATGATTTAGTAAATAAAATTATACAAATCAATTTACTAATTATTAATTAAAAATGTTTAGCAACTAAGAACAGAGTGATGATGACATATAATGTGAAAATAACGATGGAAATGTTGAAATAATAAATTTTGATTAATTTGAAGAGGATGAATAAGGGAATAAAATAGATGTAGATAAAAATAGTTAATAAATATAATACAAATTAGAAGATTAAATTTTTATTTAGAAAGAAGAGTAAAAGGAGATTTAAGAGATAGTTTAATTTAAGCAAGATGATGAATAAGAAATTATAGAAAATTTTGGGAGTATGCATTGTGAAGAAGATTTTTAGAGTTTGAAAGATTAGAGTATATAAAATGTTTAAGAAGAATAAGTTGAATAAATTGATTAGATTAATACAGTATTAGAAAGATAAGAATACTTAAGTTAAATGATTTATCAACCAGATTAAATTATTGATATGAAGGATTTTTTATAAAAGCCAATAGATCAATGTAATAAAGTATAATGAATATTTTTAGAATATTTGATATAATTGACATTGGTGAAGGATAAAAGTGGTATAAACAAATTTCATCCGAAATTTCTTTTATATTTTAGTGGTAAATTGAAAATGTTTTTGTGTTCAGCTAAAAGATAAGCTTTTAGTTAACAAATTCATTATATTTTATCTATTCTCTAAGATAAATTTGATAGAAAACATTAATCTTGTTTAGGAAAGATAAAGGGATAAGGAGGAATATTTAAATTATATGACACAGGTGATAATCCTAAGGATGCAAAATTTTTAGATAAAGTTAGAAAGGAATTATGTTTAATAAATTTTAAGAATTCAAAGTAGATTGGATAAATTAGATAAAGTGTAATAATACCAAGAATTAAAGATGGTTAAGTTTGTGAATTTAAACCTTTGAATGAAACAGATGGATTATTGAAAGCATTTTATTCTTTACAGTATAAAGATTAAATTATTCATTTTATGAATAAGATACCAATTTACAATAAAGAATTGAAGAAATATTAATTATAATTTAATGATCGAGTCACAATGCCATCAATAAAAAATTTTATATTACATGATATAAATTGTCATGATAAAAATAAGTTTGTTTTATAATTTGGAAAATGTGGAAAAAAGACTTATTAAATGGATATTTGTCATCCTTTATCTATATTATAAGGATTTGCAATATGTATTTCATAATTTGAGAAAAAAGATTGAAATAAAATATTGAATAAATAAGTTACTTAAATATATTACGTAATTTTAAAAATCATTTATAAATATGAGAAATGTATTTGTGATCTTAGCACTTTTGTTCTGTGTTGCTAATACAGTAGATATGGGAGAAGAATTAATGAAAAGAGAAATCTTAACTAAAATAGTTGAATATGCTGGAATTGAGATGCCACATGAGTATATATTTAAATAATAATATTTAGTTTACATTTACTTTGTTTACCATGTAAACTAATGATGAAGTCAGTTTAAAAGTTTTCATCAACAATTTTATTATCAATGATAAGAAAGGAATGGATATTTTTTTGTCCAAAATTTAAAGATCCAGCTTTTTGTGAAGGAATCAATTAGACATTTATAGATTAATTTTCTGTTCATTTTTTAAAGTAAATTGGTAATAAAAATATATAGTAATTATTTATCACCTTAAAATGCATGTTCAAACTTGGGAGCTTGTAAATAATAACATGAAGCATAAACAATAAAGGAATATATAAATGAAGTTATGTTTGATAAGTTATCAAAAGAAGAACAAAGATAATGGTAAGTGATAGCTGAATAAAATATAAAAAACCATGATGATTATACAATTGCTTAATTTGCAGATTTACATATAGATGTAGAATATACAGTTGGATCAAATGCATTTTGTGGAGCACCATTTTGTTGTAGAGAAGAGAATGGAAAACCTAAAGATGCAAGTAAAGGTGCTTAATATTGGGGAACTTATGCTTAATGTGATTTACCATTTAGAACAATATAAGATTTGATTTAATTTACAGGATAGAATATAAAACCAGATTTTATAATATGGACAGGAGATAGTACATCACATGATGTTTGGCATTAATAAAAATGGAATCAAACATTGCCAACAAAAATGATTACTGATGAAATAAAGAAACATTTACCAAATTCATAATTATATGCTATATATGGAAATCATGAAGGTTATCCAGCTGATTAATATGATATGATAGGTGAATCTACTTAATGGTTAAGAGATGAAGTAGCTGATATGTGGAAATAATATTTAAATTAAGAATCATATTATTAATTAAGAAGAAATGGTTATTATTCTTAAGTTGAAGAATCTAGAAATTTGAAATTCATTGCTTTAAATTCTTAAGCATGTGATTTATTAAACTTTCATTTAATGGATGGTATAACAGATCCTAGAGGAATGCTTAAATGGTTGATTTCTGAACTCAAAGATTCAGAAACTAAAAATTAATTTGCTATTATCTTTGCACATATACCACCTGGAGATACTTTTTGTAATTCATAATGGGCAGATAGATTTAGTGTTGTAATTGAAAGATTTGAACATGTTGTTACTGGAATCTTTTATGGTAATATATATTATTATCATAAATTAAGGTCATACTCATTAAGATCATGTTCAACATATTAGATCTAAAATTGATGGAAGATATGTTAAAACTTTATTTATTGCACCATCTGGTACTACATTTTCATATTAAAATCCCTCTTTCAGAGTATTTTAATTTAATGGTTTAAATAATTAAATTAATGATTATGTCTAATATAGATTAGATTTAGCTAAAGCTAATAAAGATGGTTAAAATGCTATATTGAATTGGGAAATTGCATATAATTTCTTAGAATATTATGGTTTGGAAAGTGCTTCATTAGTACATGTTTCATCTCTACCTTATAGATTAACACATGATGAAGAATTATTAAAGAAATATATCTATAGTTATTCTACTGGAAGTGATGTATTATATAATAAGCATCTCAAGTATATTCACTTTCTATTTTATTTAGAGATCTCAAGAATATATTCCATAAAAAAGGTACTAAAAGCTTCTTTATTTGTGGCGCTTAAACTTCTACATTAGATGATTGGTACGAATGTCTTGGATTCTTTGAGAAATTTAGAGAAACATCTTTCCTTACATTTAAATTATTAGAATAATTTATTGGGAAATGGCTTAAAGAATGATCATCAAATCAATTATATTTACAATTAACAAAATCAGGCATAACTACTTTTCATTATTTTATAAAATTCTCTTAATTATTTAATTTTGATTTCTTATTACTCCATTTCTTCATTATTGAAATGTAAAGGTGTGTATCTTTATTTATATACTATCGATTATCTTTCTGTTTAATATGCTCTATTTAATAACTCTTCTGGAATTCTATTTTATATTCTTAAATTAGACAATTCTAATCTAGGTACTTATATTTATTAACTAGGTTCAGTTTTTATTGTTCTAAATTCTTTTACTTTCTTTTCTTTTTATTATTTCATTCTAACAAACATTGGTTACTTTTTAATAATAATATCTTTCGTCTAATAATACCCAAGTGGAGGTATAGTATTCATACTAAGATTTTTACCTAATTTTGGAGAATAATTAATTTATGTCTGCATCTTATGTTAAACAGTACCATCATTAAATTATAATTTCTGATTGAGTTAAATTAATTACTTCTATTCAACATATTCTGTTTATATTTTTAAGTTTAATTTCTTTTCAACCTTTGAAATATTTGTTAAATTTGCCCAATACGTATTATGATTAATTGTATAAACATCCTTTAAAAAATTTACTTTTGTCTTGCTTTTTTAACTTTAATTACTACTAATTGTATCTCTAATCCTATTATTAATTTAATTTTATGATCTGAAACTTCTATAGGTATTAGGTAATTTACCCATACTATCACGTTCTTTAATAAATGGTATGAAATCTTATTCAATATTAGAAAATGTTGATTCCTTTTCTTACAATTCTCTCAATTTATGCATAATTTATAATTTACCTATTCTAAATTTTGGAAATATATTATCGAAAAATAATAAACTTTTTGATTAGAGATGAAACTTAGTAATTAAGTTTTAAATTGTAAAAGGATTTGTATATATAATTTTATTATTATAAAACAATAATAACTTCATAATAAAAGACATTTTGATGATCTTAACTCGATTAATGCAATAATAAGACGATAAATCCAACCTTGCTGATTTAATAACTTCCCTAAAGTATTATTTAAGATTATTTGTTTGACAATTGTACTATAGAAAGGATTTCTTAAAATATAGCATATCTATATTTGATTAAATAATTATACAATAGCTTCTTTAGCTCTTATTTTGAGTTCTTCTTTTTAACTTTTTCTATAGATCTTAATTTTGAATTCTATTAAAAACCTAATTACATCAATAAGTAATGAAATTAAATATGGAGTATAGTTATCTCCACCATATTTATGAATCAAATAGCAATAAATTATTGGACGAAAGAGATGCAATATTTCTCCAATTTTAATCTAATCTATTGCATATTACAATATACTCTTAATTAGTTAAGTTTGGATTCATAATCTTTCTATCTATTTTCGTTTGGAATAGGCAGCATTGTTAATAAAGAGGTTTGTTTATCTTAAACCACATCATAATAACCCAAATTAAATTTAGGTATTGGGTCTTTTATTGATTTAAGTTCCTCTTTAATACTCTTTTCATTAACACTTTTAGGATTATATTCCAATCGACCTATATTTTCTTAAAATTGATTCGCAGCTTCTTCTTCTTCATTATCTATTTAGGAATGGTTATTATTTTCTGAAATCATCAAACCATAATTATCTACTAAGGACCATTTTCTTAATTTCACTAGTAATTTCAATAATTCTAAAGTTAAGAAATATTTATAAATTTGCTCTTCATTTACAATAAATATATACTTTCTGATGATTTACCAAAATATTCAGCAAGGAATTCAACAGCTTAAATAAAACTGAGAGCTTTAGGTATATGTTATTTTTATATAAATTACATTAATTTATAGACATAAANTAATTTCTTTTCAACCTTTGAAATATTTGTTAAATTTGCCCAATACGTATTATGATTAATTGTATAAACATCCTTTAAAAAATTTACTTTTGTCTTGCTTTTTTAACTTTAATTACTACTAATTGTATCTCTAATCCTATTATTAATTTAATTTTATGATCTGAAACTTCTATAGGTATTAGGTAATTTACCCATACTATCACGTTCTTTAATAAATGGTATGAAATCTTATTCAATATTAGAAAATGTTGATTCCTTTTCTTACAATTCTCTCAATTTATGCATAATTTATAATTTACCTATTCTAAATTTTGGAAATATATTATCGAAAAATAATAAACTTTTTGATTAGAGATGAAACTTAGTAATTAAGTTTTAAATTGTAAAAGGATTTGTATATATAATTTTATTATTATAAAACAATAATAACTTCATAATAAAAGACATTTTGATGATCTTAACTCGATTAATGCAATAATAAGACGATAAATCCAACCTTGCTGATTTAATAACTTCCCTAAAGTATTATTTAAGATTATTTGTTTGACAATTGTACTATAGAAAGGATTTCTTAAAATATAGCATATCTATATTTGATTAAATAATTATACAATAGCTTCTTTAGCTCTTATTTTGAGTTCTTCTTTTTAACTTTTTCTATAGATCTTAATTTTGAATTCTATTAAAAACCTAATTACATCAATAAGTAATGAAATTAAATATGGAGTATAGTTATCTCCACCATATTTATGAATCAAATAGCAATAAATTATTGGACGAAAGAGATGCAATATTTCTCCAATTTTAATCTAATCTATTGCATATTACAATATACTCTTAATTAGTTAAGTTTGGATTCATAATCTTTCTATCTATTTTCGTTTGGAATAGGCAGCATTGTTAATAAAGAGGTTTGTTTATCTTAAACCACATCATAATAACCCAAATTAAATTTAGGTATTGGGTCTTTTATTGATTTAAGTTCCTCTTTAATACTCTTTTCATTAACACTTTTAGGATTATATTCCAATCGACCTATATTTTCTTAAAATTGATTCGCAGCTTCTTCTTCTTCATTATCTATTTAGGAATGGTTATTATTTTCTGAAATCATCAAACCATAATTATCTACTAAGGACCATTTTCTTAATTTCACTAGTAATTTCAATAATTCTAAAGTTAAGAAATATTTATAAATTTGCTCTTCATTTACAATAAATATATACTTTCTGATGATTTACCAAAATATTCAGCAAGGAATTCAACAGCTTAAATAAAACTGAGAGCTTTAGGTATATGTTATTTTTATATAAATTACATTAATTTATAGACATAAATATTATACTAATCCAAAACATTTTAAAGAATTTTTAAAATTAGTTTTTAGATTACTTCTCCTATTCAATTTTTAATAATTCTGATATTTATTCAAGTAAGAACATTAAGAAAATGGTTTAATAAATAGTTCAATCAAACAGTTTTAGAATGGAGAAAACGAATAAATCCATAGTCAATAATAGAATTAGAAAATTGGATATTGGGGAAAACAAGAAAAGAAGAAAGAAAATTAAATAGAGATGAAATAAAATAGAAAGCATAAGAGTTGATAAATGAGGAATCTTTTATAGCATCAAGAGGATGGATAAAACAATTTATATAGAATAATGATATAGATTTCAAAGTAAGAGAGATATTGTTTGAGAATGGGATATTGAGTGAATAATAAGCATAAAAGTTTTAATAGGAGAAGGCAAAGAGAAAAGAATCAAATAATAATGATAATTAAGAGACAATAAGTAAATAGGAATAAATTGAATAGTTATTAAAGATACAAACTTCTGAGTTTAATTAATCTAAAGATTATTTGCGAAATGATTTTGATGATGGAGGATATTTGGAATATTAAGATTGTTTGGTTGATTATGATGATTCTCATTAATATTTATGAATTATAATAAAATAATAATTTTAAATTAATTTGATAATACTTATATAATTTTACAAGGTTCATTTCTACTCTTAATTAGTTATCCTTTTTTTCATTTTTTTAGACTTTAAAATTATGTCTTAATTAATTTGAGTATTTCTAATTTCACAATAAGGTGAGTCATTATCTAACATTAATTTATTTAAAATAATCAAACATTATGGAAATTATTATTAATTTAGTTATAAAGTTTAAGAGTTCAGACTTGTGTTATAATATGATAACTTTTATTCTAGAAAGAGCTACTAGTGATTNATAGTTATCTCCACCATATTTATGAATCAAATAGCAATAAATTATTGGACGAAAGAGATGCAATATTTCTCCAATTTTAATCTAATCTATTGCATATTACAATATACTCTTAATTAGTTAAGTTTGGATTCATAATCTTTCTATCTATTTTCGTTTGGAATAGGCAGCATTGTTAATAAAGAGGTTTGTTTATCTTAAACCACATCATAATAACCCAAATTAAATTTAGGTATTGGGTCTTTTATTGATTTAAGTTCCTCTTTAATACTCTTTTCATTAACACTTTTAGGATTATATTCCAATCGACCTATATTTTCTTAAAATTGATTCGCAGCTTCTTCTTCTTCATTATCTATTTAGGAATGGTTATTATTTTCTGAAATCATCAAACCATAATTATCTACTAAGGACCATTTTCTTAATTTCACTAGTAATTTCAATAATTCTAAAGTTAAGAAATATTTATAAATTTGCTCTTCATTTACAATAAATATATACTTTCTGATGATTTACCAAAATATTCAGCAAGGAATTCAACAGCTTAAATAAAACTGAGAGCTTTAGGTATATGTTATTTTTATATAAATTACATTAATTTATAGACATAAATATTATACTAATCCAAAACATTTTAAAGAATTTTTAAAATTAGTTTTTAGATTACTTCTCCTATTCAATTTTTAATAATTCTGATATTTATTCAAGTACTTATATAATTTTACAAGGTTCATTTCTACTCTTAATTAGTTATCCTTTTTTTCATTTTTTTAGACTTTAAAATTATGTCTTAATTAATTTGAGTATTTCTAATTTCACAATAAGGTGAGTCATTATCTAACATTAATTTATTTAAAATAATCAAACATTATGGAAATTATTATTAATTTAGTTATAAAGTTTAAGAGTTCAGACTTGTGTTATAATATGATAACTTTTATTCTAGAAAGAGCTACTAGTGATTTTCATCTTTTAGGTGCATTTAGATTTTTACTCAAAATATGTTGTATGTTGAATATGATAATAAAATTAATATTATTCAAAAGATAAATATTCATATTTGAATAATAACTGTAGGTAAAAATAATAAGAGATAGAAATTTCTTACTAAATTTTCATGAATTGACATAAATTGAAATTGTTTATATATATTTTTCTGATTCTTATTACTTTTAAACAAATTGAAAAATGTATTTCATAAATAAATTTGAAAAAGAATTGACTAATAAATTATTGTATGAGATTAGATATAACAAAAAGGAAAGAAAATAAGGAATTCCTCTAATTCTCTTAATAATTAAATTTAATAAGGATAATTGAAATGATTCGTAGATCATTAAATAATGATCATTATTCTTTTAAAAGTTAATTTTAATATCATCCTAAAATCTAAAATTAATGAAAACAAATTTGGATTAATTGACAATGAAAATTTTATGAAATACTAAATTGTCAAAAATAAACAGATCTAATAAATTTAGATGAAATTGATATTACAAATAATATTTTAGAATGAATGAAATATTTATAAAATTATATTTAAAATGTAATAACCTAATGAATAATTTGACATACAAAACCATTATGTAGTATTTGATTTATAAAAATAATTGAATAGGATGTACATCAATAAGAACACATGAAAAAATTGAAAGAGAAATTAGTTGAATTGAAAGAAGAAATAATGCAGATGCCTAAAGGTATTAAGTAGTTTAAGAAATAGATCCGGAGTTATTTAAAAATCATCAATTACCACTAGCAAGAGTAAAAAAAATAATGAAATCAGATGAAGATGTCAGAGTATTAATTATTTTTAATATTGTTAGATGATAGCTTAAGAAACCCCAGTTTTATTTGCAAAAGCATGTGAAATTTTTATAATTGAATTAACACATAGAGCTTGGTAATTCACTGAAGATGGTAAAAGAAGAACACTTTAAAAGACAGATATTGCAACATGTATTTACAACACAGAAATCTTTGATTTTTTGATGGATATCATTCCTAAAGATGAAATAAAATCGAATTAAGTTCCAATTAAAAAACCTTAAGGCTAAGATGGATATTTCTCTAATGTTAGTCAACATGTAAATTATATTCTAATTTTTAGCTTATATAATAAGTACAAATGAGTTAGTAAAGACAAGGACAACAGTTTCCATTAAATAATTTCAGTCAATATTTGGGTAGTGGTTAAAGATGACATATTATTTGAGTATTTACGATTATATTATATTATATAAAATGTTTAAACCAAAAAAGGCATAATAATAACAACAATAATAATAACCATTTTACTTGAGTTGGTTTACAAGTTAAGGGTATTAAATAAGATGTACATTAGTTTAGGGAAAATTTGAAAAGAGGAGGAACAGCTCCACAATAGTCTCGTAAAGAACCATTATAACTTAAAAGTCCCTATTAATAACCATTAACAACTGTAATTCATATGGCACCGAATCCTTATAATAGGATTATGTAATAATTAATCAAATTTTAGGTAAGCTCCAAAAACAAATAGTAATATTCAATAAATCTCTAAAATATATGCATAAAAGTCTCAATTATCTAAAAGAAAAAGTTAAGAGTATGAAAGATAACGTTATGATTTGAAATCATAATCTTAATAATCTCGAGCTTTTACATAATAGGGAATAAGACCATTAAGATTAAATGATGGACGACCTCATACTCAATAACATTTAATTGAAAATAAATTATGTTATGATAATTTAGAGAGTGATGAAGAATAATAAGATTAGTTGACTCCAAGAGATAATATGGAAGATGTTGAAATTGATATGAATTTAGGGAACTAGTAAATTAATGATTGTTTCTCAAATGAATCTAATGAAGCAGATAGTGAAGATCATTAGAATTTTTAATTGCCTGTTTAGAATGAAGAAGAAATGTATTAAAATTATGTTATTAGTTTAGTTAAAATAAATCTTGTATTAGGGAGGAACCAATCAAAAGTTTAAGAATAACAAATAATTAAATCAATAGGCCTTAAACATCAGAAGGTGGAAGAAGAAGGAGATTTATGAATTCTTTAAATTAAGCTGAGTAAAATTATGAAAAGAAAAAAGAGATAGAAAGTGAATAATTGGAATACGAAACAAATATAATTTAAGAGGAATAAGATAATTAAGATATTTTTGATGTGAATACTAAAACATCTCCTAAAGTAATGATGACTATTAAAATAGGAATTAATCTCTATTCGATCCGGGTATAGGAGAAAATAAAATGATTTAAATGAATTAGTTGAAATTAATAATGAAGAACGACCTCCATCCAGACATAAAACTCCACCTAAAGCAACTGGATTAGAATTTCCATTATAAAATGTAAATGTTTAAAGGGATAACGTTGATATTCCCATAAAAAATATGTATGCTCAAATTAATGATGAAAGTAATTAAAATTTATTTTTTATCTTAGAAATTTAAGAAGAAAATGATGGGGATTTTGATTTAGATTGTTTTAAAATGAATAATAAGATGAATTTCAAAAAGTTTTAATAAAAAGAAATTCAAGGATATCATACTGATGATGGAAATAAGGTTTAATAGTAAAGACATCCTAAATCTGCCAATGTTAAACATAATTAATTATGTTCTACTCTTAATTCTCAAATTACTTCAGCAAATTTAAGAAATGAAGCATAAATAGTTATAAAATATAATAATAGTTCTGCTATTCAAAGAAACAATGAAACAATTAAAGTTCCATTTCAAACTTCATTAGGATAGGATTTTCTAAGATTGTTTGCCAATCATTGTATGGAATGAAAATGGTAATTATAAAAAAATATTAATTTTGTTATTCAATTCTAAAAACTAAGGATATTCTATTTTTTTAATTTTATAACTTCTACATTTTATAGATTATATTCTCGAGATACAAAAGAAATGTGATTTTAGATTTAAGATTGTATTTTAATGTTGCTTTAAAAAATAAATAGTTTCTTTCTATATATTAAATGATTAGAAGCTATTAATTGTAAAATGCCAAGTTTTTGCATTGGATTGATTGGTCTAAGTTCTATTAATTGTTTTGCTATTGAAATAATAAATTACTACGTTCATGAATTGATTAAAAGAGTTTATGATTAATAATAATTTAATAAGTTTTATTCTCAACGTCCTTGTTCCTTCCCATAAATATATGAGTATGTCCTTTATGGTATACCTATTCCTATAATGCCTGGATTGATATTCTAAGAATTAAGCATTTAAATTAAAGCTAACATCATATACCGATTATTACGAGCATTTTAGAAGTTATTAAGATTCTATTCATTCAAATCATTAGACACAGGAGATAATTATCGACTATTTTTTTTAGGTTTCTCTTTTTTCTTATCTTCTGGATTACATCCATGACATCCGCAATATTAACAACCATGTGGAGGAAGAGGTTTCTTTCTGACTGCTCTTGGAACTTAACATAAACAAGACTATTTATTTTATAATAAATATTTAAACTTTAGCTTCTTTTCCTTTTTTAGAAAATGCTTTCATGCATTTCTTACAACATCCATTTACTGTTTTAAAATCAGAAGATTCATCTGAGCTTGAATCTGAAGAAGATTTTCGTTTCTTCTTTGTTTTTTTTTATTTTTTCTTTTCATCTTCAATTGAACATCCTGTACAATGACATGATAAACATCCTGATTCACCAATTTATATTCTTCTTTAAGAAGCAGGTACAATACAAACACAAGTCTTTGGTTTTATAGAACCTTTGTCTGATTTAGTACATTATTAACAACACTAATTCATAATTATAATTTACATATTTCCATCTACCTTATGTTTTCCCTTTATTTTATGATAATGAAGATTCATCAGCTAAAATAATCATAATTAATTTTACTTATTTATGATGATGGATCCCTAATAATAATTTCTTCATCATCACTAACTGATGAATATTAATTACTAATTTCATCATATACAGGAGATTTATCTTATTAAAATTCTTACTGAATTAATCTTAATAATTCAAAATCATTCAATCCATTATTATTGCTATTCATTATATTATTTTTAATATATTTATTTATAAATGCTTATAAGCAATTAATATAAAACTTTATTAAAAAAACAGATTATATTTATTTAGGTTTAGGTTTATATGTAAAATATTAATGTTTTTTATTATATATGATTCATAATCTTTAGATGAATGAAAATTCAATATTTTCAAGACATTTTTAGTTTGTTGTGTATTCAATTCTGTCACCCTTGAATTATGTATTCTTAAAACCAACAAATTTCAATCCTTCAGGTATTTGCATAGATTTAATATGAAAATCAAACTATCCATAAAATAATGAATATATACCTTATTTAATTCTTCGACATTATCACAAATTTATGCTTATAATCCCTAATAATTACATTCACTAAAGACAGTAATGCATTCTTTAATAGGAGAATAAAGTAACATCACATCTCTAAATCCCCAAGATGCAATATCAGCAGTTGCTTATAATGTTGATGTAATTGTTAATTAAAATTCATCTCTATTATGTTGAATAACTTAATCAATAAACATAATTCTTTCTTTCCATGGACTTTTAGGATCACCACAAATATTAGATTATCCAGGATCATTCCATCCTAAAAGTTGACTCCATATTTATTTATTATCTCCTAAGATTATCAATTCTTCTCCATCCCATCTATCTATTTTATACATTGTAATTCTTAATCTTAAGAAATTATGTGCTGGAATATTAGTATAAAGTTTTTAAACTTTTGATTTCTATATATAATAATATATAATACTTTAGCCAATATTTTATAACCTCCAAAAATATTTACATCTTTTCCACAAAATGTTATAGGAGAAGTTTCAACTTAAGATTAAATAGGATCAATATTTTCAATCTACCATTCTGTTATCTTTTTAAAACTTGATGGTTCATTAAATTCTTTAGATAAAATAAACCAATCATTTTTATTTATACATTTCCCTTCAATCAATTAATGTGTTTCTTCACATTTTAAGCATTCATTATCTCCGGATCCAAAACAACTCTTACAGAATTTCGGACATTCTGCAATAAATGCAAAAAAATCTCTAATTCCCCATGATTGATTCTCAATATCTACAATATTGTTAAATAATATGTACCTTACTTTAAAGAAGAAGTAAATTTAACTGTCATTTCATTCTTCTTATGTTTTTAGATTATTTCAATGTTAACCAATTTTTATCCATAACCTGGTTTAAAACTTATATAGATTAATAATATAAATTACTCTCCACAAACATTTAGTCCATCTAATTTTTAGAATGTTTATTTATAGACCTGCTCATCATCTATATATACATAAAATTAATCATTATCCCATTATCCAAACTTAAAATATATTATTTTATAATACTTTCCATAATGTAAATTTAATCATTACTCTTTAATGAGGAGGTAAATTAATAGTTGTTTTACTCAAAATAGCTTTACTACCAACATTATTTGGACCTCCAAACATTACAATTCCAGAACATTAAAAAGATTTTTATTTTCCTTCTAATAAATTCCATCCTTCTATTGATGTATCAGTACGAAACCAACTTAAATCTACTTATTTCCAAAATTTGCATTCATTAACTTTATCATTATGACATATTCCACATTATGATGGACATTCTTTAAAATAGATTTTTATATTTCTCATCCCCCAAGCTTATTTATCTGCTTTCTAAACTTAAGTGCTAGCTATAACGATGTTAGCAGTTGGAGAATTATGGGTTACCTCAAATTCAACATCATAAACTTTATCGCTATTTAGGATTTTTGGACCTCCACATAATTATTTTGACCCCTCTGTAAAACCCCATTTCATTTCCCATGGCACACCATCTACAAATACTTAAATTTTATCATTTTCCCAATCGCCTATTCTACATAACTGTTGGGTAGTACTTCCATAATTGTATTATAAATTTAAGTCTATAATGAGGAGGGATCTTTATCATCTTTGTTAAAGTTGTTTAAGAACCAAAAGACTTCAAACCACCTAAAATTTATATTGGCCCACATTTTGTTACAACATCAAAGGTAGCTTCATATTAGTTTTATATCACCCATCCTATATTTTTGCTGACTTTTAATTGTACCATTTAAATCATCAATATTTTCATCTTTGAATGCCTCGTAAGTAGGAAACCATTGAGTTAATCCAATGTTTAGATTGCAAATAATCAAGAACAATCCTAAAGCTAAGTAGTTATTTGACATAAAAAACGAATATATTATTAATAATGATGAAATGTATTCAATTTTTATATTTTTTCCATTCCTTACAAATAATGTATTTCAATCCTTACTCTTAAAATCTTATTTTCAAAATTAAAAATTCTTATTGCGACTTGAATTCTTAGTAACGTCTCTAATTTTTCAAATTTTTAATTTAAATTCAAGCAATTCATAAATATTAGAATGATCAAAAAGAAACTAAATTCATATCATAAATTAATTTCAAAAATATAACTTTTAATTTTCAACCTCCTTCTTTTCGTTGTGTTTAAAAAACTTCTTTTAAAAATTAAGTAATTATTTTGATAAAATTTATTTTTTTTATTTAATTAAAATATGTCAACTAAATAAGAATCAATAGCAACATTCTATTCACCTAAATTTGAATAATAATGTTATCTATGTCAACATGGATTACATGGTACTGAATAATAGTCATAATCTCATGGAGTAATTGTAGGAGAGCCTGTTGGTAATAAATTCATAATAAATTTAAATGTAGTTGTTTATTAAACTCCTGAAGTAATTGTTTCTTAAACCGTTGGATAACCTATACCAGTAAAAAGAGGAATCAATCAAATTAATCACACAACTCCATAAAGAGAGACCTCATAACCTAAATAAATTCAACCGAGTCCAAGACTAATATAAACTTAATAAACTTAAGTTAATTAACTTAAACCAATAGAATATGAAACAAAATCAACTTAATAAATTCCTATAGAACCAAAAATAACTCATCAAACAGAATTAAAAAACTCATAATAAATTTCAACCTTTTATTCTGGAAAATATGAAGAGTAATGCTATTTATGTTAACATGGTTTGCATGGTAAAGAAGTTGGTATTTCTGTATAAAATAATGGTAAGTTTATTTTCTAATTTCTTAGTTGTCTTATAAACACCAGAAGTAATAGTTTCTTAAACTATTGGTTAACCTTTGACTACAAAAAATACTACAACAGTCTAAAATTTCTCATAGATTATTAACACTCCACCTAGAAATGAATTAATCTATTCTCAATAAATTTAGTAATCCCCTATTTAAAAAATACAACTGAATGTACCACAAACTTAATAAATTATTTCAACAAATACATAACAATTATAATAATCACCTGTATAAAATATACAAATCAATTAATAACAAACTCAAGTTGTTCCTTAAGTTTTATCATAAAATTATAATATATAATAAATACCGCAAACATAAAATTATGTTGCTTAATATATACCACAAGTGCAAGTGTAAAATGTTTAGGTAACTTCTGTCCCTTAATAAATGAAATCAGAAACTATCACAACGATTGATTAATAAAAATCCACCAAAGAATAAGTTGAAATGTATTGGAGATATAAAATTTATGAACTTTAGGAAAGAGTTTATGAATTAATGAATTAAATTAGTCTTCAAAAATAAGGAAGTTAATCACATTAACGAACTGGATCATAACTTAAAAAAAACACTGAAGATACATTCAAAGTAATATTTAATAAATACTATCTTAGATTGAATAAGCTAAACAAGAAATTGTGTAATTAGAAACTTAATTAAAAGTTAAATAAAAAACAAGTACAGATTTAAGAAACAAACTCAATATGATGATATATAAGTAAGATCCTACTGATGAAGCAACTAAATATAAAGAATAAGAACTCTAGCAATTAAGACAAAAATATAACACTTTAAATTTTAAACATCAAAGCAATGTAGAAGATATTGCAATGACTTAAGCAATCATTGAAGCAGTTAAAAGTGGAAAGGGTTATAAGTTAGTATCTGTAAGAGAACAATAATAAACATCATCATATAATTAATCTTACAAAGGGTAGCAGTAATATAATTAGGTATAATGAATATTTACAATATAATAATATTAATTTTTATATTATTTATTTTATTGTTTAAATAAATTTTATAATGATATATAAATGAATTCAATCAGATCCAACCGACTTATTTTTAAAACTGTTGAATTCATGAAAAAATAACTAATTGAAATATGACACCATTAAATTTCTAATTTCTAAATTTGTTTTAGTTTTATTAATTCATAATTATTATTATTCATCATAGAAGTTTAGTAACTCATTAGCAATTTCTTTTGAGTTTCTATATATTCTTGATAGAATGGTAATCCTTTTACAGTATATAACTAAAAGTTATTGTAATGTAATATGATACTTTTCTATTAGATTAAATAAACTCCCATGTTCTTTCAGTTAATGTTTTAATTTTTTTGTTCCTATCATCTTCTATAAAATTGAATCAATATTATCTAAGAATAGAAATACAAATGACACCCTAAGAAGGTTTGGTACTAATTGATAAATTATTTAGATTAGAATAATTTATGTAAAAATTGATAGTTCATGGTTTTAATTTTGCTATTTAATCTAAAATATAGATGTAATTTTTTTTATTTTCTGCTAAATAAGATTATTGAAATAGTTTGGATACAGCCTTGAGATTAGGTTCTAGAAATTTAAAATAGAATAACTTGATTTTGTATTTTTCTCTTAGATTAATTGAAGATTGTTCGAATGCTTTTCTAAGACAAAATTTAATTAATTCTTCTCTACTCTTTTATTGTCATTTAATTCTCTTATAAAAGAGTATCTAAAATCTTGATAAATTTAAGACATTTTGTTTCTTTAAGTTTGAAATAACCTTTATTTTAGAAGAAATTGCAAATAATAAATGTGTCATTTTTTTAGATCTTGAAATGTAAATCATCATAATTGATTTCTTCAATTTATTACTGTATAGTTTATATTTGATTAAAATATTATTAGGGTTATTTGATTTAAGATGCATCCTTAATAATTTAAGCTATAGATGAATTGATAAATACTACATTGTTCAGATTTGATTTCATAATTAACAATGGGTTAAGTAAAATTAATATTGGAGATTAAAATAGGAGAACCTAGATTATGAATAAGATTCATTAAAGGATTTTGAAAGTTCATGATTAATATTAATTATGAACTTGTTGGCTAATACGGTAAAGTATACATTCTAAATAATAGAGGGGATTGAATACCCTCTAAATGATTCATATATTAATTTAGAATTCTTTTGATATCGTCACAATAAATGATGAAATCAAAATATTATGAATTAATTAGAAGATTAGTTTAATCTATAAAAATTTCTATGGTTATAAGATGCCATAATCTATGATTTATAATACTTTTAATATCACTTCAACTTTATTGAGCTATGCAGAGAAACAACAAAAGTTAATATATGTGTATTATACAGATTTTTATGCAAATGGGAGGAATACTTAAAACAGCATTCCAAGACATTATTTCAAAATGTGATATAATTGAAAGGAATTAAAGAAACTTTTCACATGTTCATGTGTCTCTAATTTAATATATCTTATTGGAAAAGAATATGGGTATTTTTATAAGGAACATTTTATAGATGTAGCTAAATATAATGGTGAGAATTGTGATCATTTGAAAGGTACAGAATTAGATGCATATGCAAATTATGAATCAACTGCAAGAACTGTTTTAAGATTAATGTGGTTTTTAGATTATGTTGCTGTTCTATTAGAAATGCTAATCAATAAACCAAATGTTAGTTTAGGTTCTATTTGTGCCGAGGCCTATAATATTGCATTAGCTCCTCATCATCCATTTGCAGTTAGATTTGCAGCTAGAACTGGTATGTTAGTTGTTGGAAGGTTATAATTAATCAATTTTTTAGTCGTGAATCATTGTATAAGATTTTATTCTAAAATCATGAAGACATTAATCCAACTTTATAATAATGTTATAATAATTTCACTAAGATTAAAAACAGACTTTGGGATCTATATAAACAAGAATAATTATGCGATTTACCATGAATTTAATAATATTATTATTAAAAGTAATAAATATTAATTTATTTCTTATTTTGCATCTGCTCATTATTCTCATTAAGAATATTAGTCAAATTATTCTAAATCATTTTTTGATTTTTAGATTATTATCAAAATATAGATATTTTATTATCTCTGATATTATTTAATTATGTTATACTATAAACATACTGGAGATCTTTTTATAATTTAATCACAGTTTATATACAATCCTATAGTGATGGTTTGTTCATTCTTTCAAAATGGTAAAAAAAACTTCAATTCATCAAATTATGAGTTAAAAAATTATTATGGTTTTTTCCATCATTTATACTGATGTTCATTTTATAAAATTGAGTATTAAAGTTCATCTACTTCTTTTTTAAAATGAATATTCATCCTAAATTCTTAAATAAATATTTTTATTAAATTTCCTAAAATTAATAGTAACCATTTTTATAATTTTCGTGGTAATTTAACAAAATATAAAATATCTATCAATATAAGCCCTTTTTTATATAAAAGAGTAGTGAAAAAAATTTTTGAATGAATATTCCATTTTTATATTATTATAAATATTTTAAATTTATCATTTGAAAAAAGAAATCTCATTGTATAAGTTAACCTAAAAAGAATTAAAAAAACTAACTAACTATATTTATTGGTTTCATAAATTATTATAAAATTTTTGTAAAATCATTCTTCTTCATCTTTATTAGTAATTTTTTTTCTACGTTAACTTGTCTATTTTTTAATTATTAACGACTGATCGCTAATTTCTTCTGAATCTGATTCTAATTCCATATAATCTTCTTCTCTTTTTTTCTTAGTAATTTTTCTCTATTGTTATTATTATAATCTATTTCCTGCTTTATTTTCTTTTTATTCCTTATCATTATTTTCAACTTATATTTATTTAGCATTCTTTTTTTTAGTTATTTTTTCTCTCCTTCTATTTTCAAAAGTTTCTTTATCATGGTGTTCTACTTTCATTTCGTATTCTTCAATTAATGGTTTAGCATCTTGAGGCAATATTCTTTTGAGCTAATTTATATATGATAAACAATTATACCTTCTTAATTAAAGAAATAAATTAATTAAAGACAAATTAATCTGTTAATTTTTCCCTATATTCCTCCCATCCATCTAATAATTTTTATAGAGAATTTTAAGTTAAATTAATGTTATTAAAAAGTATAGAAATATTTTTAATTTCATATTAATCTATTATTAATAAAGTTATATAAATACTTGTACTAGTTCCTAGAATAGTGATTAATTTATCAACAATAGATTCAATTTGTGATTTATCAATATACTAAGATATTTATGAAAGAATGTTTTCATTCTAATCTTATACATTTGATATTATATCTGGAATAGCATTAGATATAGCTCTTTATTCTTTTTTTTATAATTCATTTAAAAAGTATCTTGCCATGGCAGGTATTTAAGGATGAGGATCATTTAATAAAATTGGTATATGTGATAATGATGTTTTGCTCTTAACCATATCATTCAAAATTAAATGTGTTAATACTAAAAGTGTAACTCTTCTCACTGCAGCACTAGTATCAGATAAATTTGAATAGATTTATTTATGAAATTTTTGGATTGTATTAGGCCATCTATGTAATAAATCTCCAATACTAATTATTACATTATTCTTCATAACCTAATCTACAAGAGGAGATCTAAATATTATAATATATTATTACTTCATAATGTTGAATAACATTTAAATATTCTCTCTACAATAAGATTCAGATAAACACATAAATTTGCACATTGTTATCAAACTTACTTGTACAATTGGTGGTTACTATCTAGATAGAGTTTCTTCAGTTTCCATCTAATTTAAACATTCTTCTAATATTTATTTTACCATTGGAGAAAATACTGATAATAAATTCTTTTAAATTAATTTTAAATCTTAAATTTCATCAACCATTCCATGTAACTTTTCAAATTATCCTTCTACTCCTCCTTAAATTTTATCTATTTCTTATTCCTTTCCTATTTATTTTTCTCTTTCATTTTTCAAATTCTTTAATTAATTATGAGTTGAATCAATAAAAATAAGTAACTAAAGAGATACAGAACCAGCTATATATATTGCATGAGCTAAATGTATATCTTCTATTTTTTTTTATTCTTCAACTTCTAAATCCATTTTATTTTATTTAAAACCTAAATCCTATAAAAGAGTTTCAAAAATCAATTCAGGATTCTCAGCATTTGGTACCAATTAAATTATTGAATCACATGCACTAAAATAATTCATATCTAATGAATTTTAATATTTAATCAATAATATTATTAATAAATCTATTGATTTATTAAAATTTACTTAATTCTTACCTTAAGTTCTATCTAATTTAGATAATATTGTTGCAAGTTCCTTTATTATAATCCAATCAGGATCTTTCTTGCTGTATTTTTATAATAAATTATAAATTTAAGCTACCTTTTCTAAATTTAAATATGATGAATTTCTTGTTAACATAATTCTAACAAAAATAAGCATTGAACGTTAATCTATTTCTTGACTACCAAAATATTCCCATAGAGTATGGAACATTTTAGATGGAAATTTATAATTAGGTGTTTATTCAGTTTCATATGATAATATTATTTTCTCTAATGAAATTAATTCCTTTAAATTTGATTTACTAATTATTTCAATAATAGAAAGAACAATTTATCTAGTTTTCTTAGTGTCTCTTAAGAATAATTTCCAAAATTTCTTAATTACTTCTTATTAAATAGTTTTATCTTATGACCAAACAAGTAAGATCATTCTTCGTAATCCTTAATTAGCAAATTCATAATGATACTTTTACAAATAAGAGAATAGTTTAATAGAATGAATAACATCTGCTTAATTTTTACTTTAACATAATTGCAATACTTATGTAATAACCGTTTTCATTCCTTATAAAAATTATTAATATTCTTCTAAATATTCTTATATTTTAATAGTTTCTTAAGCCTTCTTTTTAATAAATTTAACTGATTCATTAAGATTATCTTATGTAATTTCTCCATTTTAAAACTATTTATCCATTTCTTCAAAATCTTTGTGTACATTTTATAATTCTTCTTTATTTTTATTAATTTATTCATCAACTTCATTTGATGACCAAAAATCTTATCTTCCTTAACTTTGAACATATAAAAATCTATAATAACGTACTATAGATTTCAATAATTATAAAGAGGATTTCCTAACATATCCAGAGATATCTCTTAATCTAGATGATGATATAGCAAATATGGTTTATAAATGTTATTTTGGTACACAATTTGCATTTAAGAGTTATGATAAACATTAAAGTACATTAGATCTACAAAGTGCTGTTTTATCCATATGTCTATCAATTAGTTATTTAATTAAATTATTAGCATTAGCTAATTATAATTCATCACTATCTTAATCTTTAGATTCTTTGATTAAATATTCAATGACATTTGTTATTAATTCTGATAATCCATTTCTAATATGATAATTTTCATTATCATATAAACTAATGAAAGCAGATAATTATTAATAATAAACTCTTGGCATTTCTTTAGATGTTTAAGATAAAAGTTCTTTGAGATTTTTAACTGCCAAACTCTCAGTTTAATTAGTTGACTTTTCAGTGATGTAATTAACAAGTAAAATAATTTGATCAACAGTGTATTATTTCAATTTTTCATTTTTGCTACATCCTAATAAAAATTTAGATATGTTGGGTACAACACTTTCTTATTCATACATTAAATGAACAATTCTGTTTTTAAGATTTAAATCATATGATTGCCATTAAACAATTGCTTAAACTAAAATATCTATCCAAACTTCTCTAATTTGAGCATCTTTAATTTCTAAAGCCATTTTAATTAAATCAAATATATATCTGCTTCCTTCTCTACCTAGATCATGGAATGCATTCAAACTAAATAATTATTATAAAATCTTTAAAGCTCTTCTCACTTATTAACCTTAAATTTGCTTCTATTGCAATAAATTAAGTAATAAGAAAAGTGTCATTTTAAAGGCTTAAGGATGATCAGGGTATAATTTTTAAATTTGAAATGAAAGCATCTCAACCAATTATAATTATACTTTTTGATTTGGATGTTAATCCAAATATCTAAGGTTAGTTCATATGATTACTCAACTAAATAGTAGAGGAAATCAAAATATTAGGAGTCTTCAATTAATGTTGAGAGTTGATTGAACCCATCTTAAAATTAATTGATACGCATTAATATTAGTCTTTCATCCATTTAAGTCACTTAATTCTTAGATTTAACTTTATAATTTTCTTAGAAATGGTGTTCTCTCAATTCTGTGTAGGTCCCAGGGAAATAAAAATTCATTTAATTTAAAAATATATTATGGGGGGGAAACTTATACTTACAATATTAAACATAAAAAATGTCAAATGAATTAACATAAAATAAGTCAATTGGACAATATATTTTTAGTATTTGATTTATTTGATTAATTAAAGGTAGGACATTAGGATAAGGTACTTTTGGAAAAGTTAAATTGGCTACTCATATTTAAACAGGGGAGAAAGTGGCAATAAAAATATTAGAAAAATAGAAAATATGTGATTAATGTGATATTGAACGTGTTACTAGAGAAATTCAAATACTGAAAAAAATACGTCATCCAAACTTAGTTCAATTATATGAGGTAATATTTTTGAGTTCTTACTAGATAATAGAGACACCAAAATAGTTGTTTCTAGTTATGGAATATGTCAATGGAGGGGAACTCTTTGATTATATTGTTTAAAACCAACGTATAAAAGACGTTGAAGCAATCAGATTTTATAGTTAGTTGTTATCTGGAATAGAATATATGCATAAATTACAAATTGTTCATAGAGATCTCAAACCTGAAAATTTGATTCTTGAAGGAAGATCAAAAATTAAAATAATAGATTTTGGATTATCTAATTTTTATAATTAAGATGAATTATTAAAAACAGCATGTGGATCACCTTGTTATGCTGCTCCAGAAATGATTGCTGGTAAAAAATATAATGGTCTCTCAGTTGATATATGGAGCTCTGGTGTTATATTATTTGCAATGTTGGCAGGATATCTTCCATTTGAAGATCCAAATACATCTTTATTATATAAAAAGATTATGTCTGGAGATTTTAAGTTTCCTAAATATATTTCATAAGAAGCAAAAGATTTAATTAAAAATATATTGAATGTCGATCCTTAAAAAAGGTTTGCAATTACAGATATTCGTAAACATTCTTGGTTTAGCTTTTGTATTAGTTTACTCTTATAAAGTTTTATTAAGACAATTAAAAAATTCCAACTGGACTCATTGTTGGCTAGCATAAAATACCTATTGATCCCGAAATTCTTAAATAGATGATTCAATATGGATTTTCATGTGAATATGCTGAAAAATGCATTGAAACCAATCGTCACAATAATGTAACTACAACTTATTACCTTTTATTGAAAAAATATATAATGGCTGGAAATAAATCAATAGCGGGTATTTTGAATAATATTACTAGATATAAACTCTGAACATTTTGAACCATAAAAAATATCAATTAAATAATATACACATACTGATAGAAAGTATATTAATTAAATAAATCCTTTACCATTAATATAGAGAAAATGTAAGATTTTATTTAAATAATTAAAAAAGCAAGACATACATAATAAAGAGAAGATTCCCCTGTAGATACAAAACCAAGATTAAACAATTCTGTCAATACTTAAAACACTATATAGTTATAATAATAATCACCTACAGTATTGAATCAATCAGTTGATGTGAAGAGGAAGATTACTTTGGATTTTTAGAAGACTACAGTTTTAAATACTAGTTTATTATAATACTCTAATGATGTTAAGGTTTTGAAACTGAAAACTCCTGCTTGTAGGAATTATATATTAGCTGAGTATTATGGGAGATTTTCAAAAAGATCTAGAAATTAAGAGAGACAAAAGTCAACAGATTAAGAGTAGGCATGCTTTCGAACATTTAGTAAGGGAAGTCCTAATCCTAAAAGATGAGTTGCTATATTATGTTAAACTATTTTTTTCTTAATATATATAAATGGCATTATTAGGAAAAACTTTAAAAGGGCGTACTACTAAACCAGGAGGTACTGAATAGAAGAGAAACATTAAAATTAGATAGATTACTAAATCTTAATAAGAATTTGAAGAGAGTCAAAAGTAGGCTTAAGTAACATAGTTTGTTTAATGTAGTTTAAAAAAGAGTAACTGCGAAGTAAAATTAGAGAGGAATAGAAAATTGTAAATTTTAATACAAAGAAACTTATGGCTTATTGGAGAAGGACAATGAGAGCTGTCAAAACTGAATAATTGAAACTAGACATTGAATTATATTCATAAAATAACAAAAGAGAATTAGATTCAAAAGAAGCTTTTATTTAGATGCTTGATAAGAATTTAGATGAAGCTGAAGATTAATATCAAATTGCATTAAGGAACCATCTAATTCACTTAGAAAATTTCCATTTATTATAAGAGAGTAGAAATAGAGCATTGTTGGAAGAATTTGAAAGAGATATTAAAATATTATAAGAAGAATTTTAACTTGAATTTGATGATATGACAAAAACTCATAAATAATAAGTTAAAGAGCTAGAAGATATGATTAAAACAGTTGAAGAAGAAGAAAAAAGAAAAGCAGAATTAGCAAAAAATCAACATTAAACTAATAGAGAAGAAACTAAAAATAAGGATGTAGAAGACACTAGTTAAATGAAATAATAATTAGAAGATAAGCAAACTAAATTTTATAATGATTTAGAATAGATGCATTAAAAATATTAATCTGATACTGCTAAAAAAACTGAAGATCATACTAAATATTATGATGCTAATAAAGATATGTCTAAAAAAATAGAAAGATTGGTTAGATCTATTGCAAGTAAAAAAGCAAAGATTGATTTAACAAAATATAAAATATTACAACATACAAAAGAATGTAATGCTAGGAATTAGGCTTTGAAAAAAGAGAAAGAAAATATTGCAAAAAACTATCAAGATCTAAAATTAAAAATGAATAAATTTAGAGAAGAATAACAAAGATTATTGAAAGAATTAGTAAATAATAGTAGAAATGCTGTTTTGAAATTAACTGAATATAAAGAGTTAGGAGAAAAGATCTTAAAAACAGCAGAACTTTGTAGAAGATTAGAAACAGAAAGAGAGAAAGTATTACCATTTTATGAAGATACAGTTGATATGGATTAAATTCCTGAGAATCTAAAAAATGATTTTGAAGTCATAGAAAAAGAACATTATGAAGAATTTGCTTATCTTAATAATTTTTATAAGAGATACAATAAAGTATAATATTAATATTTAATTTAAGGTTTTATTAGATATTTTAGCAATCTAAAAGTAGAAGGAAGCTTTATAAAATGAGAGCAATTAACTTTAATCTTTACTAAAATAATATTTGGATGGATTATCATGTAATGATGATGTATTATCAAATCCAAATCCTTTATTTGTTAAAAACTTTAATATAGATTTAGGTGAAAAGTAAGTGACTGGAGAATTGTAACAGACAATTATAGAAGGTGTATTTAATGTGAGGAGCACTTAAATGTAATTATAAGGATAAAGAATAGGACCATTTTAATGAGATTATAATTATTAAAAATATATATGAATTAAAAGTTAGACATCTTAAAATAAGTTAAAATTCCTCGTTCAATAAGCACAATAAATTAAAAGGGGGTTATGAAGAAATTGAATAATTAATCAATGTAAACCATTGTTGATAAATTACCTCCAATTCATCCAGAGCCTTTATAGCGTATACAGACTGAGTTATAAGGTGAATAGTAATGTGTGAAATACGTAATTGCCAAGTTTGATTAATTATGAAATATTATAGAACATTAGCAGGTTAAACGAATAGAAAGAAATTGAAGATTAATTAAGACAGTTTGATTGTTAAGAAATATTTATGTAATTAGATTGATTGGCATTTATTTGGAGTATTTGATGGTCATGGATAGAACGGACATATAATATCATAATTAATATCAAGATTGATGCCTAAAGTTTTAGAATATAAATTAATTGAAAATAGGACCAGCAATACTAATGATATAAAATAAATTTTAATTAATACATTTTAACATATCGAAAATGATTTAGTAAAAGTGTAATTTAATTTAGGTAGATAATTCTAATATTGCTTGTAATTTTAGTGGATCAACAGCAATTGTAACATTATTGATGGGGTCGAAAATATATTGTGCTAATGTAGGTGATTCTAGAGCAGTATTCTTTTATAGATTAGGTGATACATGGTTTAATAGAGCTTTATCATTTGATCATAAACCTAATAAATAAATAGAACTTAAGAGAATTATAGGTTAAGGAGGTAGGGTAGAATAAAGTTTTTTTGATGGTAAAAGATAGGGTGCATATAGAGTATGGTTACCTCATGATGAAATACCAGGATTAGCTATGTCAAGATCTATTGGAGATTTAGTAGCTAAATAAGTTGGAGTAATAGCAGAACCTGAAATATTAAGATTTAAAATACCTAATAATGGGTTTATTTTGATTGGTAGTGATGGTTTATGGGATAAAATGGATTATGAAAGTATTTAAAAAATACTACATATATACTATCCTCCATTAAATCAAATAGATGTTGAATCTGCAATTTAAAGAATACTGGGAGAAACCTATACAAAATGGGATTAGATGGATTCTGCTAGAGATGATATTACAATTATACTAATATATGTTGAAATTTGATTAATTAATTATAATATTTTATGAAAGTCAATTTCCCAAAAGAATTTAAGGTATAAATTGTTTTTAATAATGATATCTTAAATGAATTAGAAGCTGAAAGACCTTCAGAAGAAATGATAGATAGATATCGAAATTTATTTGAAAGCAATAAAATTAAATTAAAAGCATCTATGGTTATGGAAAAAAGAGGCAGAGGTAGACCTCCAAAATAAAAATCTCCAATTATTGATGAATCTATTGAAGATGAAATCTCTAATGGTGAAGATGATGTACCTGATGATGAATTTGAAGAAGAAATGGATCTTGAAAATGATATCAATTTATCTGTCTCATCTAAAGATAAGAAATATACTAAACGATAAATGCATATGTATAGTCTGGGCAATCTTGAAGGAAGCGAATTTTTATAATTACCTTCCAAAAAAACTAAATCAAAAAAAGATTTGGCTTTTACAGAAGAAGAAATGATATCAAAAAGTTAGAAAGAACTATAAAGAAAAGAAAAATTATAAAAACAATAAGAAGAACAAAAGTAAATGACTGTTGATAAAATTTTAAATGAAATTGGAAGAAAATAAAAACAAAGACAATAATAAGAAGACAAAAAAACAGAAGATACTCATAAATATAGATCTTTACCTCCTGATGATATTATAATCAAATATAAATCAAATAGGGATGGTACATTTATCATTATGCCAAAATATATCAATTCATCATATCCTAATCCAACAAAAATGTTAATAGAAGATGATAAATATTGTTCGAATTGTTCTAATCTAGCTAGATATCGTATTCCAAAAATTCAATAGAAAGCATGTAGTCTTGAATGTTATAAATTAATAAAACAATAATGATCAAACTTATTTTTTTCAATCTCCTTTTAATTTTTTGTCACTTTATTTACTTTCTTTTTTTTCATCTTTTAATTATTATTCTTCTTCTTCTACTGCTTCTTTAATTTTTTCTTTCTCTTCTTTTTTTTATATTGTTCTGAATTTTAGCATTTCTCTTATTCCTTCAGAAACCAAAATCACATAAAATACATATGATACAAAAACTTAAAAGAATGTAAAATTTGGATTTCCTGTAAAAGAATGAGTCCATATAAATTGTAATCCACCTCCTAAAAATAATATTAAGCATCCAGCATGAATAATTACTATTGTTGGCAATGAATTAAATAACCAATCATATCGTTAAAATAATAGTATAAAAATTATTACTAAATCTGATATTGCAATATATTAGAAGTACAAAAAACTACACTAAAATATTTATTATTCATTATTACAAATAAAGATACTCCTATCATAAATCCAAGATAATCCTTCTCTCTTTTTGCATATTTCACAAATAAATTATATAATGGTAGAATATAACAAACAGGTAACAAAATAAAAAAAGCATGATATAATTATTTATATTTTGAAAATAACTACATTATTATTATCAAATTTACCCCTGAAAATAATGCCCATAAAAATCCAATTGTTGGTTTGTGATCTTTTGGAAAATAAAAATCAATATAAGTTTTTTCAATAAATTACCAATCTCCAGTTATTAAATAAGATAAATGCAATAAACACCAAATTGTTAAAGCACTTATTAATAAAAATGCTATCAATTTAAGAGCAAACTTTTAGGTTGTTTGACTTTCTCTTCTAAAGATTACACTAATTGCAGCAAATATTATAAAATATTATGGATTTAAATATAGTAAAAATCCAAATAATATTGGTGATAAAAATTTAATTTTAAGTGCAGAAAATATGGTCAATAACATAAATAGGTGATCAAATACATTTGTATTCTTTAGGATAATGTTTGCAAACTACAATATCAATCATATTTACAGTAATTGGATTTAAATGATAAAATAGCAAAATAGACTTTCTATATCCTTATTTTGCCCCAAATAAATATACTACTAAAAAGCTTAATAAAATATCAGTTATCAGAAATACTAAGTCACTATCAATAATAATTAATCCATAAACAATTAAAGGTTTTTAAAATATTCCATCCGTACTATATGGATTGTAGTTATTATCAATCAGATATTTTGCTTCTCTAATATTAATATATTATGTATATGGATTAGAGAAGTAAGGTAACCAACTTAAATCTACATCCCATTTTCCTAGAAACCAAAGGAAACACTTTAATATTAAAGCAATTCTATACATAAATAAAGTAATATTTAATCAAACATTTTTACTAATACTTCTAACTTTTTTATTGTCAGACGTATATATAAAACTTAATCTCTATCATTAGCAAATGTTTAATTCTAATCAATTTCTAGGTCAAGAAATTATATTTTCATCTTCTACTATACTAACAATTTATCTCTATAGGTTTTTGATTGGAATTTTAAAATATATTTTTATTCATATTTACATTCTGTTTGGAAACTAATGAATCAAAGGTGTTCTGTAGATCAGGCCTTGATTATTAAGGTTTTTTTTCATTTCTTTAAACATTGGTTTTTCTTTAACATTCTTTTTTATTAATTAATCTATACAAAAGATAAATTGAAATCATACTCATTTATAAATTTTTTATTCACTAAATTCATTCTAAAGTCTACTAAGATCTCAGTTTCTATTTCTTTATTACTTGTTGATATAATAAATTTTTTTTTTTTTAAAGTGAATAATTGATAAGACTTATATAAATAATCTTCTGTCTTTGGAGAATATATTATTTTAGTTTAAAAATATGATAAATTCTAATATTTGTATCTATTTCTGTAAATCTTTCAAAAAACATCTTATTAATAAGCTTCTACTCTTAAAGTTTATTATTATCGGCATCATTTGACAGTAAGTTATTTGGTATATCATCATTATCGAATTATTACTGATTTTCTTCCTTTTAATGTTTTAATTCTGCTTGAATAAGTTATTGTTCTTAGATTACATTTAACAATTTTTGGATGTGAATAATATTTTGGAATATTTTAATTTAGAAAATTAAAAGTAGCCCTTGAAGTTAATAAAAAATTGAAATAATAAAAAAAAATTCTAATAGATTTTACTAAAATTGATTTAATTTATTAAATAACATCAATGTATGAAATTAATTAAATAATAGTTGAGTTTATCAAATTCTATCTATGGTTATAGAGTTTGTTAATTATTATAATTATTTGACTTAAGTTTGTAATTTGTTTTACTATTATTTGGCTTGTTATGAAATTTTCTTAATTTAGATTAGATGTAAAATTATATATTTATTTATAATAAATGAATTATACTTAAAGAGGAAAAGATTTAGTAATATTATAATATGAAACATTTAATAAGCCATCATCTTATTAACTCTCTTTTTTTACGAACTTTTCTTTTATGTGCTAAATATCCTTATAATACTAAATATTCATATATTGTGAATAATCTAATCTCTTTTTAGAATTTATTCATCTTTGAAATCATCAGTTTTTGTATAATCATTATATTTAGATTTAGTTCTCTTAATAAATACTGGCTGATTATTTTAAATGGTTTCCTCGTCATTGATACTCATAAAGCCTTCATATTTATATTAGTTTAAAAAGATTTTAAATAGGAATTGAAGAATCTTTAAATTAAACAATTTTATTCTACAACTTTCTAATTCTTAATACAAAATCTAAACACTTATTATTAGAATTTCAATTCTAATTTAAATATAATAATCATGAGGTTGGCTAAAAATGTTTTAATCAAATTTTATGTTTTATCATAGTGCCTTTAAATTCTAGTATGTTTTGACTTAATTGACTTAATTGATCAATAAGAGACATTTAAAATATTAAAATAAATAAAAGAATCATGGTATGAATTTAACTCTTTTTCCAAGACTGGATGATTTTTTCTATCTAGTCATTAATCTTCTCAATTCAATAAATTGTTCTTCAACGTTATATTCCTATTTATTCAATTAAATTTACCATAATCTATTTATATCGTTCTTAAATGCTTGGTTTCTTATTTCTTAAAATAAAAGTACGATTAACATTTTGAGAAACAGGTTATCTAATAGGTAGAGTTTATAAGCTCTTTTAATAATTTGGTTCAATTAATTATTAATTAATTATTTAGGGTCTAATTCTGCAAGAAATGGTATGCAAAGTTTCTCTCTAAGGAGATTATTATTTTTGTAAAAGTTTGTGACAATTTAATTTTTGTCTAAAAGGTTTTAAGTAATATTCAAGAGAATTCTCTGGCATTTGAAATTAAGAATAATCTATATTCATTCTTCTTAATTTTTGACCTGCACTCTCTGAAACTCTCATATTATAAATTATTATATAATTTATGTTAACTTAAAGCTAATAGCATTAATTCGATTTTAAAACCAGATAAGCTTCACAAATAGGTACTTATACCCTACTATTCAACTTATTTATACTCATTTATAATTGATGCTATTTATTGATAATTGTTATTTTAGATTTTAGTTCGTTAAAACCACCTAGACATCCATAAGGAGAAAATTAATAGGAATTGCATCGGTATATAAAGTAATATATAAAAGAACTTAAAAACCATTACTTCAAAAACGATATAAAGTAACAGCAGATGAGAGTGATTAGAGAAATCATAAGATTTCATTACCCTCATTAACAAATTTTAGAAAGACAGAATTTAGTTCATTGGAAAATAGTATGGATTGAATTAAGTTAGTTGCATAACCTATATCTATTCTAAATTAAGGAAATGGGATAAGAATTCCAAATCGGTTACCTAAACTTGAGAGTCGTAATGAAATATCAAAATCTAAATATGAAATTGAATTCAATTAAACACCAAGAGATGAAGAATAGAAATAAAAATAGAAATAAAAAAAGACTTCATTTACACCTGAATAAAGGATATCAGAAAGTCCTGAAAAGAAGAGTTCTTATAGTAAAAAGAAAGGAGGAGCAAAATAATGGTAAGGAATGAGTTATCTTCATAAAACAAAAGCTGGTTGTTAAATTAATAAATAAACTAAGACAAATTAAGATGCAGCAATAGTATTTCCATAAAATATTGGCAGGTATAAATGAGCAGTAATTTAGAAAAGTTAAAATTATGGATTAGTTGGAATTTGTGATGGACATGGAGTAAATGGACATTTAGTTTCAGACATTATCAAATAAAGATTACCAAGTAAATAAAATGAGTAATATTAGTCTATTTGGAATATTAATTACATTCATAAAATCCAGATATGGAAGATTGTTTTAAAAATTGTTTTGAATTAACAAATTCAGAAATTCTATAAAGTTAATTTGATACAGCATTATCTGGTTCAACTACAGTTCTTGCTTTGATTTAATAAAATTAATTATGGACAGCTAATGTTGGAGATTCAAGAGTAATATTATGTAGAAATGTTAATGGATGGAGATCTGTTCCAATAACTAGAGATCATAAACCATCAGATGAAGCTGAGAAATAAAGAATTATTTAAGCTGGTGGTAGAGTTCAATGTTAAAGAGGTTGTATATAAAAGATTAAAATTTATTAGATTTCTTTGGAAATAGTGTTGGACCTGAAAGAGTTTGGCTTTCATATATAGATGCTCCTGGATTAGCAATGACTAGAAGTATGGGAGATAAAATTGGAGCTGAAGCAGGTGTTAGTAGTATACCTGAAGTATTTTAATTTACTTTATCAACAAATGATAAATTTCTAGTGATAGCTTCTGATGGAGTATGGGAATATTTATCAAATGATGAGGTAAATAATTTATTTATTTTATTTATTAGGTAATGAATATCATTATACCTTATTACGAAAAAGGAGAACTTGATTAAGCAGGAGAGAAATTAATGATTGAAGCTATTAATTCTTGGAAGAAGAATAGTCCTGCAAGAGATGATATAACTTTTATTATTGTATAATTAAATAATTGAATTTAGTAATTATGTGTGGTAAAATTAATTTATTAATTGTTTATTTACATGTCTTTACATTTCTAATATTTAGGCTAGGGATTGAGTAGCCAAAAAACTATGGAATTATTACAAAAGCATTGTTCATCTAAGTATAAATGTTATTTTAACTCAAGTCATCATAATAAAATTGCTGATTTTGGTGCTACTTTTGATGAATTATTAGAGTAATAAAAATACAAAGAATTAATTTTATAAACCTTAGAGATTATCAATTTATCATCTGATAAAACTTGTATTTTGCAAATCATATTTAATAGTATTATAGCCAATCTATTCTGCTATTTAATATTGGATGACTAAGCTTGATTTCAAAGAATAATAAATCACTGTAGATCTCTTCTTAAAACATATCGAACAAATTAATGAAGAAGCTATTTTTAAAACTAAAATGTAATTCTGCATCACTATTCAAAAGCATGGCTTAGCTATTCAATACATTGAGTTCATCATAATTATCATAGAATCTATTTTTGAAATTACTTGAATGTGTTAAGAGATGGAATACCTAATAATTAATTATTTCTCCAATTATTTCCAATATTAAAGAATTCTTGAATTTATGGACTTTAACTGGCCCTGAAGTCTTAAAAATATTAAATGCAATCTCGGATTTAATCGATCCTTAAGAGTATTACTTTATAAACTACTTATAGTTAACAATATGCTATACAAATATCAGAATATATTTTGAGAAACATTAGCACATCTTAAGAATAATATATTAAAACATTTATTAACTTTTAAAATATCAATGTATCATTCATATTCTTATAATTTAAGTAATCATTCTTAAAATTATGTGAAATCACTTAATGTTCAAATTATCAAGTTATTGAAAAAACTTAACTTGCATCACTTATTAAATTAGTGCTTTCTGGAGATTTAACAGCAGTCTAAGCTTTACTTGAAAAAGAAGATGCTTATTTCAAATCTATTAGTATGAATTTTAATATTAAAATAGATTTGAATTCATAATAATACTTGAACTAAACTAGAATTGCTAAATTTATTCAATTATCAAGCTAAAAATAAAGTTATACTTATTAAGAAATAGCTGAAGCTTTAAATGTATCAATTAAATTTTGATTAATTTTAGATTTAATTAGAAAAAGTAGAAATTTGGGTCATTCATGCAATTCAATCTTAAAATGTTTCTGCCTAAATTGATTAATCTTAATAAAGAATTTACATTTTGTAATTAAATATCCTATATTAGAGATAACTTTAAAAAATTATTAACCAAAGAAGATTGGTAAAATTTGCATAAAAAATTATCAGCTTTATTAACTAAGCTTAAAAATGTCCAAACATAATGAGGATGATATATTAAAAATTTTAAATCGATAGAATAATATTATAATTTTCAAAACTTACTTTTCTAAATTTAATAACATCTTCTTAAATTGCCATTTATTATAAATTATCGACTCATTCATTGATTATTGTATCTACTCATCATAGGAATTGAGATTTATTGATAATTTCAATTTAATGTAAGTTAGAATTATATCATAAATGTAAGATATAAATTTATATAATTATTTAATTTTCATTTTGTTTGTTTATTTGTGTTGCTAAAGGTATACATATATAAGTCATTAAATGACATTAGATTACGATCTCCTCCAAATACAATCATAAATTCTCCAGCTACTATAACTGAATGTCCATCTCTTGCACATGGTTTTTTACCTATTAATTATGCCTATGTCTATTATTGTTTTCTTCCAACTGGAGAAGAAATCTTTCTTTATCCACCTTTATCTTAATTGGTTATTAAATTAATAGAGTTTTTAATTTATTCAGTTGTAGGGGATGAACTTCTGAATTTTTATTTTTCCTCCTCAGTTAATTCAAATTCAGCTCTTAAAATATATATGAATATTTACAGCATTTACATTTTCTTTTATTACCATCTTCTTTTTTTTAGTTCTTCCATATTATTTGTAGCTTATGAAACATTATTTTATTCTGTAATTATCTTTTAATTTCCAGCAGGCAAAGTGATATTTTTTAATGAGCCTCTTCTTTATGGACTTCTTAATTCACTATCTTCACCTAATAAAAATATAGTCCTATTTTGCATATCTTAATTTTTTGCTTTTTCTTTTTATTTATTTGGTTTACTCTAACTTGCCTTATCTAAAGAATCATTCAAATCATCATTGACTTATCTTCTACTATTATCTTCTTCTAATAGAACCCATTCATTATTTTTAAACATCCATAAATCATTTTTCTCATGAGTAATATCATGAATCCCTCCAAATAAATACAAACCTTAGTTATGTTATACAATAACTGAAGACGATCGTGACTAAAGTTATGGATATTATTTAATATTACTCCTGGAGACTTTTCAGTTTTTATTTGTTCCCATTTTTTATTTATGAGATCAAACTTCCAAAAATCTGAAAACCTTTATTCATAATTACACCCTCCGAAAACATATAAATCATTTCCTAAAATTGCAGCACCTGCTCCTGCTCTACCTAAAGGACTTGTTTTTTGTTATTCTTAATAAATTGTCCACACATTCTCATTTATTGAATATTAAAGAACTTAAGATACATATCCTTTATCAGTATAAAAACCACCAAATACTATCATCGATGCTATCTAAAATCAATTTAGAGTTTAGTTACATCTCCTTGCACAAATACACAACTATTATGTCCTTCTACACATATGTTATTATTATTTATTTTGCATTCTTATCCTTCATTCCATTCTTCTGATTAGAAATCAAATATCCACAATTTACAACAAGGTTATATCAAGTTTTCCTTTCCTCCAAAAATATACATTTTATTTTAATAAGTAACTGCTGTATGATTTCTTAAAGGTCCTGGTCCTTTTACTTCTTTTAAATTCTTCTTATAAACTTATGTCCATGTTAAAGGTTTCTCTAAATTTGGAAATGGAATTTTCATCAAATCATCTAGTACTCCTTCATTAGTTTCATATCCTCCATATACATAGATACTTAATTTATATATTTCCTATTATTACTAATTATCCCATGCAACACAAGAATGATAAGATCTACGATGAATGTTCTTTCCCAGCGGTTTCAATTCTTGCCATTTTGGAAAGTAATCCTAATTAATTACATACTTGTCTACTAATTAAGATTTATTTTTAATAAGGTCTTCCTCAAGAACTGCATCATCTTGTTGTTTCTTGGCTTTCATATTTTAATTATTTTTTTATGATATTAATAACACTACTGGAAGCAATTGTCTTAATTAGTAATGGCTTTGCTATTCTAAATGAAAAGCGAGTCTTATAGAAATGTATTTAATCTATTATTATTTAGATGGGTTTGATAAAGTCGATTATACAAGAGCACATGAAGGAGGATTCTAACATATGAAAGGAATCATAGTCAATTGGTTAATGTTTGCAAGATCAATGAAATGTATTAATACTTTATATTATATATTATAGTTTTCCTTATCTTGGCTAATCTCATTGTTATTTTAATTGAGATTCTATCATTTTGAATTTTAATATGTGTCAAATTATTAGCTATTTATATGTTTATCAAATATGTATATTTATTTATATTATTTCATAATATATTACTTTTCCAGATTTTATTTTTTCTTCACAATTAAACAACTTAAAAAAATTGTTTATTTCATATACATAGAATTTTTTCAACTTATTAAAATATTCTAACTAAATAAATTAGAATATTTCCCATTCTAATAAATTTCATTAGTTGATTCATTCAATATTAGGTTTTAATCTTTATTCAAATTTCTCTAAACTCTTAGTGTTTATATTTTTAAATATTAACATTAATTAAAAACTATGAGATGAATCTGAACTTTTTCCAAACATAATTATTCAAATAAATTACTAAATATTTTGTGTATTATAAATTTCTGAATTTATAGTCAACTTTGAATCACTGATGAATTTGAGTGTCTTATTTTTTAATAAAAATTATTTTTAAGGAAGTTTTAGATACTATTATTTGTTATTAGTTAACATAAATAATATTAAAATGAATTTTAATTAACAATAACGATTTCATAAGAAGCCATTTTCTCATTATGATCTCCATACTGATAGGCCTTCCAAAATTTCATCTTTTATGAAATCCTCCGAGATTATTTCAAATTTTAAAGAGAATTAAGATCCTATTCAATATTAAAATAGTTCAATAATTAAAGAAATTTAGGATATTGAAAAAGTTTACTAAGAAAAAATTGATTCCTTAAAAAAGCTAAATGCCAAGTTGATGTCAACAATAGAATTTATGGAAAAAACTCTTGAATAATAGAAAAGCATGCTTTTAGAAAAATAATAAATTGTATGATTTTCTAATATAAGAAGATTATGAAACAATAAAATGAAATTAGTTCATATCGTTCATTGCTTTCTCAAAATACATAAGTTAATATTAAAAATTTAAAAACAGAGATTGAAGATGAAAAAATTAAAACAGAAAGATTGCATTACGAACTCAAAGATTTCAAATATAAATTTGAAAAAGAAAAACCATTAGTACATTTATTCAAAAAAATTGAATAAACCTAAGAAGAATATAATTAATAAAATAAAATATTTATGAGAGAAGTACTTCAATTATTAGATAAACCTCGAAGTCAATCATTCTATCGTTAACCAACAAAGTAGCACACCAAGAAATCCTCTTTTTATAATTGATACTATCTACTTTTAATTAATTAAATTTTAAATAATGTTAAAGATCTAAAAAGATTAAAAAAAATCTTAGTTAAGAAATATTGAACTTGAATCAATTTAATTATTAATTAAATTGATGAGAGATCAAACATACTTGAGGTTGAAAATAATATCAAATGATCAAAATGAGCTATGTAAATACTAATATATAAATTTACAATTTCAGATAGTATTTTAATCTTGTAAATTTAAAAATTTAAAGTTTTATTATAGATAAGTAAAGATTGAATATAATAAAAATTTTGAAAGGAGATTGCTTCTAACTTATAGCTTAAGCCTTCCTAATTCGAATTCTATAACTTTTAAAATAATTTAATACTAAATTAGAGGCATGATTAAATGATATTTAAGATCTAAAAATTTTTAAATATCTTAAGAATTTATAATTTAATATTGATAAGATGTATTTTAAAAAAATAAAAAAATAATCTTATCATTCACTAAATAAATAAATTGACACATCTGTTTGTAAGTTTTATCCATAAAATTAGCTGTAAAGTTTAGAAGAGAATAGTGAAGAAAACAGATCGTAGCCAAGAAGATAAAAAATAAACGAAAAAATGTCAAAAATAGTAAATTTTTCAAGATTTGAAATTAAAAAATTACAAATACTCTGTTCTACAATCAATAATTTATAAAAATCGATTTTGAATGTAAAACCTTATAATTTATATTTTGAAAATACAATTAAAAGTATTTTATTTTCAAAAATTTTTAGTATAAATTTACAAAATCCTTTTATAAGCTTGGAAATAAATATTTAGCTATTTTATGTAGTATTTTTATTTATCAATATAAATTAATGATGGTATACCAAATTTTATATGAAGATAATAAATTTAGATTATTTTGCTAAACTGCGGAGTTTATTTTAAAAATTAATAATTTATGGTTAAAAATCATAAAGGCAAAGGTGAATTGAAACTTCACATTGATAGCAAATTTTTGAGAAAAAATGAATAAAAAGGTTTTATTTACTCAAAAAAATAAAAAAATTTATAAGCATTTCATTTCTAATAAAAATTAAATAAAATAGAGTTTGTAATTTTTTTATTCTTAATTTGTTATGTTATCAAAGTTTAATTATTTATCTATAAAATTAAATCTTTCATTATTCTAATTTTACTGAATTTATGATGATTTTAAAGCAAATAAAATTATTAAACTTGAAAAATGTCTTGGCTTTCAATAAAATATTTTTGAGGTCATTAATATTGTCCTGATTACTAATAATATGCAATTAATTAAATAGAAACGGTAAATATGATATTAATAATAAAGAAAGTTAAAAAGCAAGAATTTTTTCTTTACCTCATTAAATCCTATTTTAGTAAATAAATTCTAAAATTGAATTGAAAAATAATCGTTTAGGTAAATATAATATAATTATAATTTAATTAAATATAGAGTGTTGTTAATGGGAATATGTGGAGGATAAGGGAATAAGAAAATGTCTAAGCTAACTATCGAAACAAAAGATTAAACAAGAACTACTTCAAATAATGAGAATCCAGGGTCTTCAAAATAATCTAGGTTCGTAAAGTAAATAACAGATTTCAAAGTTGATCCATCTATATTTGTTACATTAAAAAAAGGGGATCTATTGAATTCTTACAAAATTGATTAAGTTTTAGGAGAGGGTATGAAAATTAGTTTATTTAAAAAGGAACTTATGGTAAAGTTAGTTTAGTGACTTAAAAAGGAACAGGGTTTTAAAGAGCAATGAAATAGATTAGAAAGGATAAAATAATAATTGAATAGAAAGATAATATGATATAGGAAGTATCAATATTAAAAGAATTGGATCATCCAAATATTGTAAATATATATGAATTGTACGAAGATGAATCTTTTTATTATATTATCACAGAGTAGCAATATAATTTCAATAGATCGAAAGATATTTGAGTGGAGGAGAATTATTTGAGAAAATTAATGAGATAGATCATTTCAATGAAACTATTGCTGCAGGATATATGAGAAAAATCTTAGAAGCAGTCAATTATTGTCATATTCGTAATATTGTACATAGGTAAATTTATTATACTAATAAAAATAGAGATCTTAAACCTGAAAATATTATATTTGAATCCAAGAAAGCACATTCTAGTTTAAAAATTATAGACTTTGGAACAGCTAAACAAATTTATGATTCAAGCAAATTATCTCAAAGAATAGGAACTGTATATTTATATATATATATAATTATAATAAATAGCCATATTATATAGCACCTGAAGTGATTAACAAAAGATATGATTAAAAATGTGATGTTTGGTCTTGTGGAGTTATTCTATTTATAATGTTATGTGGTTATCCTCCATTTAATGGATAAAATTAATAGGAATTATATTAAAAAATTTAAAGTGGAATATTTTCATTTGATGGTAAAAAGATTAATTTAAATTTTTAGAACCTGAATGGGGAGATATTTCTATTGATGCAAAAAATCTAATTAAGAAAATGTTAATTATTGATCCTGAAAAACGAATTTCTGCTTCTGAAGCTTTAAGAGATGATTGGATGATTATTAATCAAAAAGATAAAAAAATTAATTCAAAATCTTTAGAAAAACTTGCTAAATTTCATGTAAATTTTATATTTTATAAAAGAGTTAAAGTAAATTAAAAGCAGCTATAATGTAATTAATTACAACTTAAGTTATGTCAAATTCAGAAAAAAAGAAAATTTAAACATAATTTAAAAAAATTGATGTTAACAAAGATGGTACTTTAAGTAGAGAAGAACTATTGAAATGTTATAGAGAAATTTATGATGATGAAGTTAAGTGTCAAGAAATAGTTGAAAATTTATTTTAACAAGCTGATGTTAATGGATCAAACTAAATAGATTATACTGAATTTATAGTTGCCTTTGCAAAAAAAGAATAATTAATGGCTTAAAATAAATTAGAAAAAGCATTTAGACTATTTGATAAAGATGGAAATGGATCAATAAGTAAATAAGAATTACAAGAAATAATGGGAGGTGCTTAATTAAGTGAAGTTGAATGGAATAATGTCTTTAATGAATTAGATCTAAATGGAGATGGTATTGTAAACTTTCAAGAATTTACAGAAATGTTAATAAAAAATGCTAATGAATAAGAATGATATATTGCATTAAGATACTCATTTGTATTACTATTTAGTTTTTTAGCTAAACTAATTAAGCAAAGTTTCTAATTTTTATTACTAATTAATTGTAAATGTGAATTCATTATTGCTTGAAACTTAATTTCTAGTTGTAGCAGGTTAAAATTTGCTTGAAAATTCAAGTTTTTTAGGTACATACATAGTTGTCTCATAATATATATCTTTATTAACTGTTTAATTTTTGCTAAAATTGTTTACTTATATATATATAAATTTATAGATTACTTGCATCCATCAAGGCTCTTTTTTTATCTTGATTTTGAAAATTAAAATTTTATTTAGACTCTTTAGCACTCATCAATCTTTTACCATCAGAAAATTATTATAATCTTTTAATTTGAATATCGATTCCATTATTTAATAATTCAAATTGAGTTTTCCTTTATTATTATAATTAATATTCTGTAGATTTCTGTTATTAATTAATCGGTTTTTAATCATCAATATACTTCTTTCTAATTTTCTAATACTCATTAGTACTAGATTCTCTGTGATGATGTTTACTTATATTGTTGACTATGGTATCAGATGTGCTTGTTTTACTTTAATTAAATTTTATTATTTTTACATTATTTTTCCAATCCAGTCATTTGATAAATCTTATTATTAATAATTTAATTCTTTTTCATATTGAAGTAACTATTTTACAAAACCATCATTAGGATAAACTTACCATCTTTTTCTTTCCAATTATTGTAAAGCTTCTTTAGATGTCATTTTATGTTTTTTCATCAAATAAGCAGCAATTAATGCGGCACTTCTAGATATACCAGCCATACAATGAACTAAAACATTTCCTGATTGTCTTCCTTTTTCAATAAATTCAAAAGAAGAATTAAAATATCGATAAATATTCTCATTCTCACTATCTTCCAAAATAATATGTTAATATTATTTCATTTGTGAACTAACAGTAAAAGGTATTTTAGTAACACAAATTGATAAAATAGATGTTATTTTATGTTTCTTTAGTTGTCCAATATCACCTTATATATTTAATCATTTTACTTGCACTTTCTATATTTCCCAGAAAAAGAGAACCCAAATAACCACAGTCAATTATGCAAGTCATGTCATCCATATTTCTTCCATAACTCTACATCTATTTAAGTTTTTCAGGAGATTATTAATACATTAAATAGTAGTTATAAACGATAAATTAATATTCCATTTTTAATGCAATTATATATTACAATTATGTATATATTTCTCTCAAATTAATACTAGAATTGTTGTATGATTTTGTTCAATTATTTAATTATGAATAATTTAATTTAGAAATTATCACATTAAAGCCTTCCCTTCAAGATTTCTGATTAATTTACTACATTCATAATAGCTATTAAATACTTTTAAGTTTTAGCTATAATTCAACCAACATATAACCAAATTTAGGAACCTTCTCTGATATTTACAACAAATATCTTAAAATCAATCCTTATTATACCTTATGCTCATAACTTTGCTTTAATTATTTTGTGTCTCATACTATTATTACTAAAATAAATAACTCTTGCTGTATTTTGTATAATTGAAAACTCTACCTCTAAAATAATTAGTAAGTATGGATTGAAACTGATATTTTATGAAATTTTATTCTTCTAATAAATTACAGCAATTCCAGAATTATATCTTTTAATTGGATTGCTAAGTTACAATAATAAGAAAGTTGCATTTTAATCATTTAAAATTGCATATGTTGCACCCTTTTGTGTCTTTGCTATCATTATTATCTCAATAATTGCATTCTTTAGAGTTTATTTTTTAAGAGCCTAAAATATCATTTCAGATACTAAAATATTTCCTAAATTTACTTATTTCACAATTTTAAGATTTATACTTAAAATTTCTATCATAATAATTTCATTTGAATCCTCGTATGCTACAAATCTGCTTAAATTATGTTTAGGTTTAGCAGTTTTTTTTATTTGTTTAATTGAGTTTTATATTGAAACAATTTTTCAACCCACTATTAATAGGTAATTAACAATTATTATAAGTTGTTTAAAATTAACTACATTTATATAGTTTATATGCTATATTTTTTCACCTGACAAAGAAAATGAAATGTTATCCTTTTACATTTTATTTTTAATTCCCTTAGTTTTTGTTATTATGAGTATCATTAATTCAAGAAAACAATAAGATATTTTAATTTATCAGTCTTATAACTATCCATTAATTATTTTTATTGAAGGATTATATGATTTTATGTCTCAAATTGAATAAAACAAAAATTCAACTGAATTGATAATATAATAATTTTAAATTGTTAGCATGCATCATTTTAATTGCAAACATTGTTAAATAAGTTAAAATTATTCAATTCCAAAAATTATTTAATGTTTAATTTTAAATAAATTTAGAAAAAATAAAAAATCAAAAGAATCTGAAAATTTAATGATATTGTATGTTAATTTTTTATCAAATACTATGAATTAACCTTTGATAGCTTATGTAGAAGTTAAAAAATTTGAATTTCGAAAAAAACGTTTCTCAATTTATTACAAGTTCATAAGAAATTAATTAACAACTAAATTAAGAGAAAGAATAGAGGACAAATAATCTCATTCAACTGTAAAAATTAATTAAACTTACTCATAATCAATAGAAATTAAAGAGATTATTTAAAGTTTTCATTTAGAAGAGGAATATTTAAAAAAATATATTTTACTTTTAGATTTAAAAATAAAGATTTGGTTATAATAAATAAAGGGAGTTGAGAATATTGGAGAATTAATTGAAATAGTGAGCCAATATGGAAAGAATTTATAAAAAATAATGAGTTAATTTTGTATAGATTTTCATTAAAGCTTAAACTAAAAGAGATTTGAGTAAAAAAATGTAATTCAATTAAAACTTATGTCTTTATTGTATGCTTTGATACTAAACAATTTAGAGCAAGCATCAATATATGAATAATAGATTGTAACAATATGTGGAAATGAAAGTAATCTTCCTCTTGATACAATATGTAATGCAACACTTTTAGAGGATAAAGTATGTTTATTAACAATAAGTATGGTGAAGAATAAAGGAAAGATTTTAAATTCAAATAAAAAATAATTAGCTAAACATTTTGGTTTTTCATGTGATGATTATCATTTGATATCACATATAAATGATTTAATGCCTCCATTTTTAATTGATGTACATAATCATATGTTGGAATTATATTTAGAAAGTGCATAATCATAATTATTTCGGTAGTTCATAACAATTACTACTATTTAATAAGATGGTTTACTTCAAGCTAAATAATTGAAATTAGATAATAATTTTAGTTATGAAGATGATTATGTTATTACAGGATGTATATCAAAAGTAAAGGAAGGTTCTGAATTTATAGTTTTTGATTCAAGTGGTAAAATCTTAAGTGCTACTGAATCTATTTATCATTTAATGATTTAAGGTATAGATTAAGAAGCTACACATGCAGTTTAAACTTTGAATCAATGTTATATATTTTTCTTTTTTCCTGAGATCTTAAAAATCTTTGGAAATCATAAAATAACTAATAAAAGTTATCATAATCTTGAAATTGAAGATTAAACTACTTTAATTACAAGATTCAATATATCAGATTATATAAATAAATATCAAAAAGTTTTAAGTTAAACTTCTCCTTATAAACATTTATAATTTGAACATAGAGGTAGTTAACATTTTTAGAAATCAAAAACAAGTGGACTTTAATCTGAATGTTAGAGTTCATTCAATAAAACTATTCATAAAACAACATAAAAATAAGAACTATAAATTTTAACTATAACTTATTAAAAGCAAGTAGAAGAAGTTATGAAAAAGATTAATGAAGGTGGAGAAGCTACATATGCTATTAAATTTATTCTGACTTATAAAATTATAGGTCCAGAATCTTTACATAAATCTTTTTTTCTTATGGAAATTATTGATTTTAGAAGCAAAGAATAATTGTTATCAAAAAGAAGAAAAGTAAGTGTAATGAAATTAAATTAAAATTATATTCCAAAAACATCTTCACGATTCAAAATTGATTCTTTTAGAGATGATTCTAAAAGATTAGATTAATCATCTGAATAATTTATTTAATCTTTTGCATAAATTCATCATCATGAAGATTTATTAGATCATGAAAATTTTTCTCTAAAATAATAAGATTCTAGTATAGATGAAAATTAATAATCAGAAGGATCTAAAACATCTTTAGATTCATCAAAATCTAATATTAACAAAGAATGTCATCTATTTATTAATTCTAATCATATAATAAAACCATTAAAAGTTATTATGGTTCTTAGCTTATTAATAATAAGTCTTAAATTAATTTATATAATTGCAAGTCTGAAAATCATATAAGATAGTACTAATTAAATTGTTTAAAGCAATAAAAATATCAATGCTCCTCTAATTTTTAATAGATAGTTTTTCCAACTATTCTCACTCTAATAGATACTTGTCTTAAAAAAATTAGAAATAGTTGATTCTAGCAATTATCTACTTAATCAAACTGAATAAAAATTATAAAATATCTCAAAATCAACACTTTTAGAATTAAATAAATTATACTCTTCTTTTATTGAGGTAGAAAATAATGGATTACTCGAAAATATTAATTATAGATCAGTTGGAGAAGAACGTTAAATTGTAGGATATACTTACTTTATTATTAATTTAGAAAGAACAATAAAAGAATTGTTTTATTATAATCAAAAATTTGAAGTTGATAAAATTCACATTACAACATTAATGTCTTTAAGAATTAATTTATATAATATCTTTTATATGAGTAAAACATTAATATCATCATATGAAGAACTATATGGCAATACTTTAGAAAATTAAAGTTTAAAAATTGTAGTGTTAACACTTACAATAATTATTGTTCTTCTCTTTAAAATTATAATCCAATTTTTTTTTTGGAAAGAGTGTTAAATCTATTAAAGATAACTTATATTAATGATAGGAAGATTAAAAGAGAAGGAAGCAAGATAATAAATCTTAAAATCACAAAATATTAAAGAAATTTTAGAAAATAAAGAAAATTCCTATAATTGGAGACAAATCAATTATTCTTCTTATGACTTTAATAATTTATCAAACAATGATTTAAGATCATAAAGAGGATCTTAATAAACAACTAAGGTTTAAAATCGACAACCAATAGTACTAAACACAAGAATATAAGATACATCAATGAGTAGAAAGATTATTTTTATCATACTATTTTTAACTTATATCACTTTAATTGTATTCATAATCTGTGGGTATATCTTATTTAGAAAAGAGATTTAATAAATGATCCCTTTTTAAAAAATGACATTATAATTTATTACTTTTTCAACTAATTTAGATGCTTTGATAGGATCTGGTATAATAACTAAATCTTTACCTTCTATTTATAAAAAGTTGATTCAGTAAAGTATTATTACTTAGGAAATGATTGAAAAATTGTAAGATGCAAATAATTAATTATTTTAATTATTTTAAGAAAGTGAAGTGAATTTTGATGCAAATTTAATTAGTATTTTTGAATAAATAACCCTTTCAAAATAAATAAGTGACAATGATAAAAATACTTTAGAGAGCATATATAAATATGATATTTGTTTGAAATTATTGAATGAAGTACCATTTTGTTAATATTCAGAGGTGAATTAAACTTTTATTAATTTATACTCAACTCCTACTTAAGCTGATGATATTTCTAATTTTTATGAAACTGGTATAAAGGGAATTGCTAGTTAGATAAGTTCAATAATAAAATAATATTTTGATTATGAGATTAATTAATAACAGCATTTAAGTGATATTAATGAAAACGAATAATTTATGAATTCGAAAGAATTTAATACAGCATTTTTGTAACATTTTCTTTTCACAACAAAGACAATAGACATTTTCATAAATATTATTTAATATAGTAATTAAAACTTTGCTAAAGAAAATCTAAGTACAATATATTTATATTATTGCATAACTGGATCAATAATAATAGTACTGTATATAATGATTTATATAAAATGGATCTAGATAAATTATTTTAAGTTTAGATTCTTAAAGTATGGATTATGCCTATTACCATAAAACATTTTGAATGAGCCTTACATAATGAACTCTATAAAGTAACTTAATTGATTTAATTAAAATATAATGCATCTTCGATGTTCTTCTTAAGGTATGAGTCCATAAATAGAGATTCTATAATCTGAACGTACCTTACTCAATACACCAGTGACACATAGTGCATTATTTAAGACATTTACAGAAATGCCTAAAGCGTACTTGATAACAAAGTAGATTTAGTAAAGAATTCTCAAAAACAATATTGCGAATACCATCTCCAAGAACAAGACTGATGATGTAACTAAGCCATAACAAAATTTAACGTGAATAAATAATATCCCAAATGACAGAAAGACATTAAGAAATTATATCAGATGCTTTAGATTAAGGCACTTAAAAAAAATTAAAAATTAGGGTAGTATAAAAATTAAAAAGAAGAGATCATTCTCCAAAAAAGAAAGTAAATTTAAAGGAAGGAGCTAGAAGTAATAAATATATTTTATAAAAAGTATATTAAATGCCTAATTTGGCTTTACCAACAATAGAAGCTGAAGTAGATCATCCTCCATAAATGACATTTTATGGAGAGACTTAAGAATTTTTTAGAAGTGCAAAAAGTTTCAGACCTTCATTTACTGAAAGTGGATCTATGGCATTATATGGAGATTCTTTATATTTATATGGAGGAATAGCAGGAGATGGAATAAGAGATTAAATGTTAAGATTTGATTTAAGTAACTATATAATTTAAGTAGGATTTTAGGATTGGCATTTAGTTAAAAGTTAAGGTGAAATGCCAAAATTTGGTAGAGCAGAATTAACAGTAGTTTCTTTGAGAAATCATTTTATATATTTTGGTGGAGCTTGCAAATTCAATGCAAAATTAAAAGTTAGAGAATGTTTTAACACTGTTTTTGATTATAATGCTAGTACAAGATTTTGGGAGAAGGTTAATATCTAAGGAGATTATATAGAACCAAGAAGACATCATAAAGCATGTATTTATGGATGGAAATGGATGCTTATTTATGGAGGAATTAATAGTAATGAATAAGTATTAAATGATACTGCTTTATATAACATAGAAAAAATGATATGGAAATAATGGGATGTTAAATCAACACCTATTTGTTGTCATTCCATTATTAATATATCGTAATCTTCTAAATTTAGTGAAAATACTACTGATATTATTCCTGTTGAAAATGTTTATTCATTTGGAGGTAAGAATTAAGATGGAAATTCTACAAATTTAATCAAAAAACTTATCTTTTATCCAAATACTACTACAGCTATTGCTTGGGAAATTATTTAAACTACAGGTAAACCACCAACACCTTGTCATAATCATACAATGGAATTTATTAAGAAAATTTAAGGCATTGTTATATTGGGAGGTTAAAGAGATTAAATAATTAATGGATCTTTAGAATCAAATGATTGCTTTATATTTTATCCTTCAATAAATCTATGGTAAGAAGTAACAATGGAAGGTATTAATGTACCAAGATGCGCACATAATTCAGTACTTCTTAGTTCAAAAATAGCTGTTTTTGGGGGTATAGGAAATGGAAGATATTTGGAACCTTTAATAAATTATATTGAGACTGATTAAACTTAAGTTTAAGCAAGAGTTACAAAAGAATAATTCACAAAGAGATAAAATCAATATATATAGAAATCATAAAAAAATAGTTTAGATAAAATAGAATCTTTAACTTATTCTCCTAGATAATTTACTTCATTTCATAGTGAAGGTCCTAAAGGATAAGGTTTTAGAATTAATACTAAACGTCTCTCCTGTCTTCCTTAATCTACAAGATCATATTTGCCATAAAAAAGATAAGTTTTAGTTAGATATGATATATTAATTGGATTTGTTAAACAAATTATCAAAGAAAACATAGATATTTTGAATAATTTTGATAAGTTTATGAACCGATAATCATTTTAATGAATATATACTATAAACTCATCATTTTTTACCTGCTGCAGCTTCTTTAGCAGCAGCATCTTTAGCCTCTTTTGCTGCAGCCACTTCTTTTTATAATTCTTGATTAGCTTATTTAACTTTCTTTTTGAGTGACTTTTCTCTTCTTTTTTTTTATTTCTTTTCTACTGTTACTTTTTTTTTTTAATATAACATTTCTCCTTCAATAGTTTCCTCACCTGCATCATCAGGTTTTCTATAGATTAATAAATCATCATCTTTCTTTGATCTTTAGAATTCTGCTTCTTCAAAGAATTTCTATTAAAAATAAGAATAGAAATGCTACATCATCTTCATCTCTGGCTTAAGTTACAACATTCCAATGAATCATTTTTTTATATCTTTCATGCAATAAAACACCTTAAGGAAAAGTATTTTATAAATCTCCTAATTTATAAGGTCTGTATGTCTTAAGGTTTTTTACATCAACAAGGAATCTTGTTGGATATGTAGCATTATATGAGTTTATCCAAACTCCTTCAATATGTACATCATAATCAGTTCCTCTAACTAATGCTGGATTAGAATTATTAGGTAATAAAGCAATTGGAACATATAATAGATTTGGTCTGCCTACTATGTATCTTCTCAAAGTTACTTTGAAAGGCCATCCACTTTCTATCAATTAAACTTATCATTGTTACTAGGATCTTTAATGATTTCTCCCAAAGTGCAACGAATATCTTCATTATGTCCAGGTATTCTTATATAAATAGGAGCAACATTTGCACATATTCTTCTTTTAACTGCTGCCACTTAATAATAATCTAAAACTATATCAATGTCTTCAAATTCATCTCTTCCTTCAATCACAACTGCTACTTCATGTTATTTCCATAATCCAACTATATGATCATCTAATGATCTAACTCTCTTTGCAGGTAAAACCACCTTTAAATATTTTATTAATGATCACTTTTTTAAAGTCTAACAAAAATCTGTCTGTGTATGCTTTCTTAAAACCTTTTATCATTTGATCTAAAAGTACATCATCTAGATGTTTATTAGCAGATGGACCTCTACTTGATGTGAAAATTGGGATATTATATTAAGCTTAAGAGCAAAATGCTCTAAATATTTTTCTCCCCAAAAACATTTTTTTTAATTATGAGTTTAGACACTCTTAATGGAATTGAATATTTAGGTGCACATTTAAAGGTATTTTTAAATATTAACCTAGTTTAAAGTCCCTGGATATAGAGAAAAAGCAGATGGTTAAATATATTATAGAATTGTGTTGTAATTTACATTAGTTGAACCATTTAAGCGATCAGATCTTGAATATACATATGATAATTGTATAGCCTTATGTAAATAATTGACTGTTTAATGTCCTGATTTACCTCAATTACCAGGTATAGGAATGTTTGGATTTAAACCAAATACTTTTGATTCTGAAAAAAGAAGAGTAGATTTAGAAAAATGGTTGGGAGCATTAATTTGGAGATGTGATGTTTTAGGAAGTGAGAGTTTTTATAACTTTTGTGATGTATTTCTATATTTCTACAATGTTATAGTTATAGTAGTTAATTGGAAGAAAATGGTTATTACAACCAAAACCTTCTTTAAAAATTCATTATGGACATGCATTTCCTATTACAGACTTTCATTATGAACCTGATACTTAAGTGTTTTTTGTTTTAACTACAGATGATTCAATTTCCAGTAAAATGTAAGGATTTATGGGTATATTTGGTAAATCTTTGAAACCATCCTTTCATACATAATTAATATGTTACAGATTAGATGTTAATAAAGATGGATAAGCTATTGCTTAAAGCTTATGGACTTTGTAATATTAATAAAGAGGTACAATGATGAGATGGGATGAAAAACTCACTATTTTAGGTATTGGATTTGATGATGGTCAAATTGTTTGTTTAAGAATTCCTACAAATAAATAATATTTGGAATATTCTGAATTCTGTTGTATTCATAAACATACTCAATCAATAAATGGAATTGCATTTAATAATTTGACAGGTCATTGTTATAGTATAGGTAGAGATAAATGTCTAATAACAACAGATCTTGCAAATCCAAGTAATGTTTTAAAAGGTATTATCAATTCTTAATAATAGAAAAGGATTTTACTAATGAATTAACATGTATGACTACTAATCAATATAGACTTTTTGTAGGTGACAACATAGGAAGTATTTATATATTCTCATTTGAAAATGGACCTTTACATGCTATTCACTAAATCAAATAGGATGTAACTATGCATTTAACTTCGATTCAATTTTGTCCTATTAAAAATTATTTAATTTGTGGAAGCAAAGAAGGATATCTAAGCGTATTTGAAATTGCTAAATAAGGAAAAGAAAAGAGTTCCAATCAAATAACATTACTTAAAACACTTCCTAATAAGGTTGTTTAATTTTCTATCAGTACAAAAGAAATCTATGTTAATTATGGAAATTGTATTGTCATTTTAGAATCCACAAATATGAAATATCTCTATTCATTAGATGCTCATGATAAGGATATTACAAAAATATAATTATTTGATTCAATTGGTTTACTTATTTCAAGTAGTAAAGATAATTCAGTTAAATTTTGGTAATATAAGTTTTTCCCTCATATTTTATTAAATCATGATATTATACCATATAGAAAAGAACCTATTACAGAATAAAAGGTACAAATAAGACAATAAGGAGGAGAACAAAATAAATAAGTTTAATAAACATAGCAATAAATGAAACCTGAATTAGAAGATTTAGATCATTGGTAATGATGATATTATTATTTATGTGTTATCAATATAATATAAATTATCAACTTTATACATATTATTGAAAATTAACTATATGATATTAATATATAAAGTTAAATAAATATTTTTGATATTCAAAATTGAATGTTCCTAAATATTTATTATAATATTATTCTAACAGTTCAAAATAAATTTTATTTTTTTTGAACATAAATATGAATATTCAATAAGCGAGGAATAAAATTTAACAATAATTAGCAGAATATTTGAACGAAACATCCTTAAAAACAATTAGAGAATACTAAGAAGCTAAGCAAAACAAGAGACAATCTAATTAAGTCATTTAAATAAAAAAATAGACACCAGAAGTTTTTTAATTACCAAAATAAGATGAAGTAGCAATTAATTTAAATGACTTCAAATTTGAACCATAATGTAGATAAAAAAGTTGGTAATCTCAATTGAAAGAAGCATAATAAAAATAATAATCAATTTATCATCAAACTTATGGTTATTGCTTAGAATAATTTAAATTTGATTCAATTTTGGAAAGACTATAACTTTTAAGAAAATCATTATTTAAAAAGAAACTACCTAATGGAGATATTCAAAAGATAGAAGAATTCATTCCATTGTATACTCTTAAAAGAATGGCCATGTAATTACCTACAGATGTTTCAGATATGAATTCTATTTTTTAAGATCATTTTGTAACAGAAGCATTCTTGAAAGAAATAAGATATTTTGTTAAATAAGTATTCAATAATTCTTTTTATTTAGTAAAATATAGATAAAAGTTTGATTTTTTACCATCCAAAAATGTATGAATAAAATGATGATTAATTAGAACAATTACTTGCTGAATTTGTAGAATTAGATAAATTAAGATCAAATGGTTTTGAAGACTCAGCACAAATCCTTCAATCCACTTAATTAAAATGCTGATTATTAAAAAAATTTAATATTATAATTTCATTCTAAATTAAATTAATTGTTAATTTATTTATAAATTGTCAGCGTCTACTGCAATTAATTGTTTCTAGCTTTACAATCTTCTATCTGTTTCAAAAGATTATTGCATTATTGAGTATTTTCATCTAGTATTTAACTTTTTTGTTGTATTTATTAAGATACTTCTACTTATGATAATTAGTTTTCTTTAAGTTTTCCTATACGTCCCTCATGCTTAAAAAGCTTTAAAATCACCTTTGCTGAAGAGAATTTAATATTATTCTTCTTTGCAGCTTATTTTATCGATATTCCTTCCACTAAAATATCTACTAGAAGTTAAATTCTTTAGTCTGTATTTATAGATTAATATTTTCTATTGTTAAGGCTAAGGTAATTTTAATTCATTATTTTAAATATTATAATTAAAGTTGTTGTCACTTAATAGAGTAAATCAATATAATTAGTGGAATCAATAAAAAATTTCTTTAATTAAACGGGATATGTAATGTGCTTGTTTGATATGTAAAATTTAATATTGTGTTTTCAAATATGATAATATATATAAATTGTTGACGTAAACTCTTTTTCAATTAAATAATCATGTCAATTCTTCAAAAATAATAAAAATAATATATATATGAATCTACATTTAAAAATAGAAAATGGTAAAAAATGTACAACTTTATTACTTTCCTTTCTCTTCATTAAAATTGATAATTATATAAATACAATAAAGTCTGAAGCTTTGATTGTTTTATTTTTCTATAATTAAAAGTATTTTAACCAATTACTTGCATCAAATATTATAAGATTATAATAATATATATTTGGATATAATAAATACACCACTAAGTTAAAAATGTTTTTAATATTTAGCTTAAAAGGAAAGAGAAGCATAAAACTTTATTTCCACAAAAGTTTATTGTTCTAGAAAAAAATTTACTTCAATCTTTAATTAAAAATTTAGTTAAGATAATGGGAATTAATAAATAAAATATTAGATATATTTGGTAAGCCTCGAACCTAGAATTTGAATAATTGAAGAAGTTAAATGGATTCTCTTTATGGTCAGCAGTGTTAGAATAAATTAAAAGAGAAAAAAATTATGCTAACTTAAATAAATTATATAAAAAATTATTGTCAAAAATTATTTTTATGAAAATACCAAAGTTTGTAAAATCATTTAATTTTATTTAAAAAATGAATTAAATTGTTTTATGGGATTGATTTAAAAAATAAGTGCCTAAGAAAATATAATTAATAGATGTATATTATCATTAGGGTTCTTATTACATGGTATCAGGAGTTGGATTTATCATTCTAAATAATTAGTTTACAGGTATTTGATTGTTGATATCAAAGTATGAATCAGGTTCAAATTCAATAGTAGGTTCTTAGGTAACTTAAATAGATCTTCTAGTATTTTTTGGTGCCTATTTTAAAAATTCAAAATTCTCTAACTTAATGTATAATTTGTGCTTGTTATTGCTGAGACCAAGTGTACATATCTTTCTTTTATTACAATTAGTTTTTCTTTTACTCTTCTTATCTTTTTTTAAAGTCTTCATATTCTTAATAATCATCTTCTGGTTTCAAAGTGATAGTAGTTGGTTTGCGTATTATCATTAAATTTAAATAATGAAATTTCGATTTTCATCAATGACTATTGCATAATTTTAAGATAAATAAAGAATCGGATGGAGTAGAACTAGAAAATGGATGTTTTATGCAGGACTAATTCTGATTGGAGTTGAGATATAAGGTAACTATTGGAATACAGAAATATTGTATACTTTTAATTAGAATCCTTAAAATTTAGAAATTATATAATAATGTCCAAGTTTAAGATAGGTAAATTGATATAATTAATTTAGGGTGTTTATAAGCCAACAATTTATTTGTAAACAGCTTTTTTATAAAGTTTATATGGAAGTAAATTTGATCCTGTACCATATGTTCCAATGACTCGTATAGAAATACCAGTTGAAAATGGATAAATTACAATAGATTCTTTGGCTGTTAATCAAAAATTTTTGAGATCTGATAAAAGTGAGAATCCAAATTAAAAAACTTTAATAATTTTACATGGATTGACAGGAGCAAGTGAATGTAATTACATTAGACATACTGTATTATATGCAAATCGAAAGGGTTTTAGAGTTTATTGTATAAATATGAGAGGTTATGCTAACTCAAAAATGTTATCAGGATAGCCTACAGATTATTCTAAATTAGATGATTTATTAGCTGGAGTAAATTATATTAAATCATAAAATCCTGATGCTCCTTTGTATATGTTAGGATTTTCTATGGGTTCTTTACAAATAGTGAAATTTCTAGGAAAATACAAAGATGTTATTAAAGGAGCTGTGGCTATTAGTTGTCCTTGGGATATTTATACTTTATCGTAAGAAATTAAGAAACCTTCTAAATTTATTTATAATATGGCAATTACTAAAAACTTTATTAGAAATATGAAATGGAATATTGATTTATATTAAAAAGCTGGTATTGATGTAGGTATTATAATTTAAATATTTTATATTTTAGAATAAGCTTAGAAATGTTATAGAATTTAAGATTTTGATGAAATAGTGACTAAAAGATTGTTAGGTTATGAAAATATAGAGGATTTATATAAGAAAATCAATTGTTTATAAGAAATTGAATAAATAGAAGTTCCTACCTTATTTGTTTCATCTATGGATGATCCAGTTATTCAATCTTCTTATATTCCAAAAGAGAGAATTCTAAATAATAAAAATCTCATTTTAGCATTAACTAAAAAAGGAGGTCATATTGAATGGTTTACAGGTTTTAAAGCTGTGAGAGTAAGGTTATTGTAATTAAATTTAGTGGATTAATAAACCAGCTATAGAATTTTTAAATTATCTGGATAGTGTAAATAATAAAAATATTAATCATTATTGATAATCATTCAAAATTTCAAGACTTTTAACTTCTTATGCTAATTCTTCTTATTAATTGCTTTCCAAATATGCCATATCATTAGCATTATCTTCATCTTAAGGTTTAGAACTCAACATATCTTCTTCATTAACCTCTTAGATTTCATTCTGTTATTGATATTTTGAAGTTAATTTATCTTAAGGATTACTATTTAATATTTCAAATTATTTATCTTCTTCATCAGCAGGGAAAAATTAATTGATTAACACTTCATCATTCGGATTAAAATTCTCGATTACCTATTAATTACTTTATTACTCATTCAAATCTCTAATAAAACTATCTTATTATTAAACTTCATTAGAACTTTTATGATGAGATTATCTTTAAAAAGGGTTTGTTATTAAATCTATTGATACTCTCATACTTTAAGAGTTTTATTCACTATTATTAGTAATATTATTATTTGATAAATTATTTTAAAATATCTTATATAAACAAATAAAATACTTCTAATAGAAAATATGATGTTGTCTATTAATCCCAATTAAAATTCATGGCCTAAATAAATTTGATAATATCGTCTCTTCCAACCTTTTTGTATTTATATTGAATCCAATACTATCGTACACGATCTTTTTTAGATTAAAGAGACTATACGCTACTTATTGGAATACCTTATTTATTAATTGTTATGTCTATTACTCATCTAAACCTTCTAAGGATTGATAACTTAATTAAGTAATAAATTGTTAATATAATGACTATGTCCCTATTAACTTATCTATTACCTATTAAGATTCAGTTTCGTTTAACTAAAATGGATCTCTATTTTCTTAATTTGATATTCTTACTATTACAAAAGTTGACCAAACTCCTATTTGTTTTTAGCCTTTTTTAATCCTTCCAATGCTTCTTTATATTAATTCATTGTCACTCTCTTTGAATGTAATTTCAATAAAATAATATCTTTCGGAAACTTTAGAGTAGAATCCTTAAGAGTATTTATATTGTTATTCCCTTTAATTGATTAATAGAGTAATTATAAATTATCATACTTTTATTAAATCTATTATTGCTTTTAAATTAATTGTTATTATTTTATTGATTAGTTTTTTAATTGAATTTTCATTTCTTTTATTATTTATTCCTTTTTATTGATTAGTTCAAATTATTCATTATTTTATTATTATAATTTAAAAAGTTATTCATGACAAACATCTAATTGTGATTCTAATTATTACACTTGTTCTAATTTGCTTTATTGGTATTATATTTAATCTTAGGCCATTTATAACATATGCTTCATCATTAGAGTTTATTCAAAATAAACTTTTTTCTCGATCTACAATTTAATAAATATAATCACCTCTAATTCTTATAATTTGCAAACTTTACTATTTCTCTTTAAAATATCTAATTCTTTTATTTTATCTTCTAATTCCTAACTTTTATCTTTGACTTATTTACGAAGTGAAATAATCTAAATATCTTGATTATTGGATTTCTTTTATGTTGTTAAATCTTCAATTAAGTTCTCATATTTTAAGAATTCTCTCTAAATTAAATCCAATAATTCTTACTTCATTATGTTAAACCTTGGTTCTTAGTCGAATATTCTCATCTCTAAGATTGTTTACTTATTGTTTTGATTGTTACAAATCTTAATATAACTATTCATATGAATTTGGACGCTTTAACTCATCATGAGCCAAAAAAGATAACATGTTCTTCTAACTTATAGTTATAATAACTCAACAAAATTACCTTAATGGCATAGATGTTGAGACTTATGAAACATCAAAGTTTTATGGGTTTCTTTTACTACTATTATTCATCTTACCTAAACCAGATGTTTACAGCTTGAGAATTCTGAATGATTGATTTTTACTAAGCTCTTCCATTGTATTAATTGTTTATTTCGATTTACGATTATCAGAAGTATATGATTGATATTCATTCATTATTTTAGGCTTATTTATCAAATTTTGATTAATCAAGAAAAAATAATAATCTAAACTTATATATGCAATTATTTATTAATTCTTAAAACTAAATCTCAAATCTGTTGTTATTCATTTTTTTCATTCTAACCTTTTAAACTATTTCATAATTGCCTTATTATTTATACTTATTTACCATTTCCATCATTAAATTATTATTCATCTCCTAATTAACTTTTATTTTATATCAAAAATAAATATCAAACTAGATTTTTATTCTTATCTTTTTTAAAACTTTTTTCAATAAACTCAATATTTTCAAATAATTTACAAATTTTTATGTTTTTTAACTATTTTAAAAATCTTTCTATTCTAATTTTTATTTGCAAATTATCTTTAAAACCTCCGTTTTCTTCAGAAGAAAATTACAATTATGCGTATATTTATATAAACATTTTCTTTTTCTTTTTTCTAAGGCATTTACAATATATTAAAGCATACTATAAGACTTCAACAAAACAATTAAGGATAATAATTATAACTATTTTAGAGTGAATAAAACTTATTAAAATGATTTAAATAAATTCTAATAATTATTTTTTAAAATAAAGTTACCTTAAATAATCATAATTAAAATTAAAACATTATTAATCATTCATTTCTACTTTAAAAATAATAAGTTCTTTATCTACATTTAGAAGGCTTTGTATTTCCCCAATTAAAATTATGAAATTTAATTTATAAATCTTTTACTTATAAATCAAAAGTATTATTTATTAAAATTAATTAAATAATATTAATCCTCTCATCAAATATAGGGAATTAATCATTCAAATCTAAAAGTATTAGAATTCTAACAGAAAATTTATTTTATAAGTATTTATTTTAATGATAAATCAAATAGTTGTTTTTTTTAATTATGAATTTATCAATTCTAATTTATAAAATTTGTCTTTTGAATTGGCATGACTTAAAGATCTCCTTAAATTAATTATTATGATTAATAGTATTTAAAATATTTTATCAATTAGTTAAAACGTAAATAATTTATTATAAATATATCAGAACAGGAAATTTGTTAATTGAATAATTTAAATGAAGTATTAATGTTTGATGTATGAGATTTATAACTAATTAATTTAAAGTGATATTAGAGATAATAGTTAAAGTAGATATTTAATTGAAAATATTAATTAATAATGTAATATTAGCTTTAAATCATTGACATATAGTCCTTTGAGAATAAATACTATTACAATGTTAGAATTACAAACAATTATTATACCTGTTATCGAGATGTAAGGGTACGCTTCTAAGATCTAAATTAAATGTCTCGAAACCTCATGTCTGATAATTATCAAACAATTGTAAGAGATTTCAAAATATAAAAATATTAGTTACCTTAATTTCCAGAAAAGTCAATTTTCAGTTCTTGGTTTTAGTATAGTGAAAGCAGAGAGGATTTATAAGAGCATCTTAAAGCTATATAAGCATACTTATCTCAAATTAATAAGTAACAATAATTTATAGTTAAGAATAATAATCTATAAACCTGATGCTATAAATTAATTTGTTTGTAGTGCTTTTGATCCTGAAAGACTGAAGAATTTAAAATTTGAAAAATTAACTAAAGAGACCCTATATAAAAATTACATAAAATCAGCTCAAATAAAAAAGAGTTCCTTTAATAAAGTTTTTAGAGTTAGTGTTAGTTCAATACCATTAACAGTTCATCAGTATTTAATCCCTTAAAATGATTTTGCTAAAGTTGAATATGAACATTATAAAAGATCATAATCGCTAATTACAGATTTTACTCATGTAGTAAAATGTTTTGAAATAGGTTATATGCAAAAGAATAAACCTTTCTTTAATAAAAAGGTAAAAAAAACTATATATAATAAAATATTTAAAACAGATGACATATAATATGATATAATTTATGCAGTTGAAGAATGGGTAGAATAACCAATGAAGGAAATTATTTAATTAAGAGCTTAAACAAATAGTTTTTTTTAATTAGAAGTTATTGTTGAAGCAATTATTACATTAGTGACAGTTGCTTAATATTTCTAATTTTTATAGATATTTTAAAAATAGTTTTCTGTAAGTTTTTTGTTTTATGATGAAAAAAAAGGATTTAAAGTTGGTGGATTATCTCCTGTACTTGCCTTCAAAAAAAGATATTATATTTAATATGATAAAAATACTAATGATTATAAAGCTCTATAAACACCAGAGAGTAATACAAAATTAAATTAATATGGTTTTAATAATAATTTCAATGTTGCAATTAGAAATGATGTTTGGTAAATTGGTATAGTCATTTTATCTATGGCTTCCTTAACATTACCAGCTGATATGATATCATAAGAAGCAATTGAAGATAAATTATAATTAATATCATTTCAATATGGGTATGTAATTTTTAAAATTAGGGAAATATTAGGAAATTTAATTAGAAATATGTTATTACGAAATCCAATTGAAAGATGTTCTCTAACAGATGTTGCATGCGCTGCTCAAAATCTTTTACCTATGAAATTAGTTTTTCTAAAGTTTGAAGAAAGAATTGAGAGAATTTAAGTTTAAATGTTAATTTAAATAGATTACTTCACTTTCATAATTATTACTTGAAGAATTAGACAAATCTTTTAGAGAGAAAAAACTAAGAAAATATATAATTTAAATGACAGTGAGTAAGTCTGTAGTCTAATAGATATTTTTATTTTATTTGGAAAGAATAAAAAGAGAAAATGTGATACAATTGTATATCAATTTATCTCCTTAACAAGTTCCTGATGATTTGATTAATAGAATGATGGGAATAATTATTGATTATAAGTATCTATAACAACTTGTTTTGAATTTTAGAGGATGCTCTATTAATTAGAATGCTTGCTTAAATATAATTTAATAAGCTAATCTAATTACTCAATTAAAATAATTAACACTAGAAATAAGTGGAATTTAAATAATTTAGATTCCTGAAACAAAACTTCGAGTTGTTGTTTATAACCAATGAAAATATATATAAATATTAATTTATTAAATGAGGGCCACCATTTTTAGGTTTAGTACTTATGCAAAATTCACAGAAAAACTATAAAATACCAAATTTGCCACAATTTATAATTATGAAACACAAGTTAAGCCTGCCTTAAATATTTATGAATCTATGGGATTTAATGAATAGATGATTTTCAGAATTTTCAAGAACAGAGGTCTATCTTTAGTCAAAGGAAACACTCAAAATGATATTGAATAGCTTAATGAATTATTTAAAACTAGATTAAATGCAGACGCAAAGTATATTTCAATCAAAATAATTCAGATAAATGCGAACTATCCTTTTTAAAGATCCATAAATATTGAGCCATCCTATAGATAAAATGAAAAATTATATTGATCTTTTTGAAAAGTAGCTTCAAATAAATAAAGAAGACATATTATCTATATTGACAACATATCCTTTATTAATGAGAAATTTTGAAATAAATTATGAAAAATTTAGAAATGTTTTTAATACTTATGCACATGTTAGTGACAAACAATTTGGATAAGTATTGGTCAATACTCCATTTTTATTTTCATTTAATCTTGATAGAATACCTCCTAATTTTAGAATTATGTATAACAGAGAATATAAAACATAGGAAATTTAAGAAGTGGTAATATTTTATTATTATTTCTTTAGATTTAAAAAACGGCAGAATTCTTAGCTCTTAAAAATCATGATCTAGATAGATTGCTTAATCATTATGATGTTTTAATTCCAAATAAGGAAGTTTAACATTAATTATTAATAAATAATCATAAATTATTACTCTTAACACCTGCATATATGTTAAGTCCAAAAATCAATTTATTCAAAGAAATTGGATTATCATTAAATTAAATTGGATAAATTTTATAAATATCTCCAAATTTATTTGCCAAGAGTGTTTAAACTTTAAAATTGAAATTGAAATTTTTTGAAAAACATATGAATGTTAAAATTAAAAATTCTCCATTTTTTCCTTAGATTTTAGAGTTTGATTATTGGACAATATTACGTCCAAGGTAAAAATTTAATTATTAAAAAGACTTGTTATTTTAAATACTCTTGAAAATGCAATAGACAATTTAAATATGAGTTAAGAAGAGTTTATTAAAAAATATGATTGTGAATAGAAGTATCAAGAATTGTTAAGTGAAGCACCAACTAAAAAAAAGATTGATGCAGATTTCATGATTAGAAATTACCATAGATACTGCCATGATAGAATATAATTGTTAAATTGAGATATGATATCTAATTGTTCATTCTTATATAAATTTTAAATATTGATAAAAAAAGAAATAATTTTCAAATATTTCTCTTTCATATATATATATTTGATTATTATTTATTCATTTAAATTGGATAAAAATATATATCTTTTCCATTAAGAAGAATATTTCATACAAAAATTTTGAAAATAAATGCCAAATTCACTTTTGATGCATAAGATATTTATATTTTTTTTTGATGAATCTATTCACTATTTTATACCTAATTTATATAAAACTTCCTATTTAGTTTTTTTATAATAATACTCTTCATTTTATGTCGAAAGGGGAAGATTAATAAAATTTATTTATTAATTATTATAGGAAGCTGTTCAAATAAAAAAAGAGAACATTTTATGAATAATAATAATGATCTGCTGAAAATTGAAAATTTAATTATAATCAATGATAAATTTTATTTCTTAGATAGTTTTTAATGGATTTTATTCTATTATTGATTATATTATTAATATTACCTTAAAATTTATTCTAAAGGTATCATTAGAATCAATAAACGAGTATTTAAAATATCTTAATTATTCTTTATTTAAATTGGTATCCAAACAAAAGTGACTCCAATTAACAAAAGAATATTTATACAAAGGAAAATTGCCAATCTTAAAATATCTGTTTAATCAAAATGATCCAAAATTGCTTGTTCAAGGATTGAAATTAAATATCGATAGCATGCCCTAATGAATATTTTTTGCATTCTTCTCATTGAAGTCATAGGAATTGTATTTAATAAATTCATTCTAGAATTTAAATCAGTATCATTAGTCATTGTAAAATTATTTTTAGAACTAACATTAAGATTCTCAAAATTTTATAGGGTTTATCTTAAATCTTCAACAAATTTGGTTATTCCTATCGATAATCCATTTTACATGATTCCACCATAAAAAGAATCGCAAACATCTTCAGTTATGGAACTTTCTACAGTAGCAATAATAGAGCAAGGATTATTAATAAAAATACTGAAAAATGCAGATTTATATGAATCTTCCAATAAATCCCATGTTTCAGTATGTAATTTATGTATCTCTGAATCGATATCATATAATTCAATAGTTAATTATCTGACTTTGTCAATACCATTTTTATTATAGATTAAATAATTTGGATCATAGATAAATTATCTTAAAGCATTGTCAGCAAATCTATTAAAGCTTTCAGCTGAACTAGTAACATTAAGAACTGGCAATATTTGTTAAATTTGTTGAACAACAATTTCTACTTAAAAGTGCAGATAGAGAAAATATAAGAAAATTAGTAGATTCAATAAAAATGAAATGAGTAATTGATTTTGAAACTCTTTGCTGGAATCTTTATGTTTTCTTCTTTTTGGTCTAAAATTTAACACAGCAGCATCATCACTTTTTTCAACTGGTTTCTCTTCTGTTTCAGATATTAACTAATAAAATATATAATTTTTACATCATCATCACCAATTTACAGATCTGTCAAAAACAGTTCACAATTATTATATATTAATTTTATTTAATTTTCCTTAATATCTAAAAATAATTATATGATTTCTAATTTATTATGATAAACTTAATAAAAGTAACATAATTGAACCAAAAACCTATTGAATATTTGTTTAATAATTACAATAAAAATGCAAAGAATGAAGTTATTATTAAAAAAATATTTACACTACTATCTAAAAGTGATGTTCTCGAGACAATATTGTAATAGTAATAATCTTAAGATATATGTTAAGCGAGTGCTAATGAATTGTAAGAATTATATTCAAAATAAAATAGTAATGCATTTTTATCATTATATTCAGTTAGATCTGAATTATTTAATTTGATAGCTACTGAAATTAATTACTATAATGTTTCTGATAAAGTATAATTTTATAAATCTCCATAAAAGTTTTTCATTTGTACATTTAGACTTTTAAATTATTTTTCATAAAATTCATATTCCTAAATAAAAGTTACTTCAGCTAATGATAAATTTAATTCTAACTCTTCTATTTAGGCTAAATTAATCTAAAAATTGTTTCTTTAAATTTAGGTAAATGTATCATTAGTAAGTTTTTATTATAATGGAAGAAATCCATAATTTAAAAACTTTAAATCTTAGATCACAGATTATATTAATAAAAAAATAGCCACTCTTTCATTATTTTATCTTAAATATGGAATACTCAATTAAAGATCCTCATTTAGTTTATGATCCAGAAAGTATTCAGTAAATATACATATCGTAATTATTAGTAAAATGATATTAATTACTATTTACAATTTTTTATTGATTGATGGTAATAATGATTACTTAATATCAGTTTCAATTAAGGATTTAGAGGAATAATTTTAATTTAACTACAAAACACTTTGTTCTTCATCTAAATCATCTTAATATGCTTAAATAATTTAATTATTTTAAGAATCCTCCTCTTCTTCCTCTTATTGTTGATCATCAATATCTACAATTTTATCTCTTAAAAGACGTACAGTTCTAATTCCTTAAGCTAATCCTTTGATTTCTTCTTGTTACTTAATTTATTCTTGAGTTACAGTATCTTCTGACTACTTTTAAGCACTTTCCCAAATGATACTAGAGTCAAATTTTATGGAATTGTCAAAGGTATCTGTAATATTAGCTTTTTCTAAACAATAAGTATTTTAAGGTATGAATTTAAACCATAATTATTATTACAACTATTTTTTCACTATTTATAATCCATTTTATTATGGTTTTATTTAATCTAATCTTACAATATATCCAAAAACTCTATTTTCAATATTTTCACATGCCAAAGAATGGAATTAAATTTCTGTAACTTAACAATTAAAAACAGTTTATTCATGAAGATCTAGTTGTATATTTTCTGAACTATATTTTATAAAATCTAAATCTTTAGATAATTTTTAAGAAGGTGTATATATTAATTTTTCTCCTTATCTAGTTTAATAATCTTCTTTCACATCCATGAAATTTGGAAATAGATCATTAATATTTAATCTCTTCATTTCAATAATTTTATTATCTATTCCCAATACTTTTATACACATTGAATTAATGTTCTCAATTTATCCATTTGATTAACATAAAATATAGCAATATGGTTTAAATTAAACATCTTAAATTAATTAAGCCATTAAATATATTTCTTGATTTTATGTTTAAATAATTTTAACTTAAAGTGTACATTAAATTAAATAATGAGCTTTATTTTTTACAAAAATCACTTTGCATCCTTATTCTTTATTTTATTGAATTTAATTTAGATCACTATTCTCAAGAAATCTAGTCATAATAGTTGTATGCCATTTTGAATACCTAAAAACTAGAATTATATATTTTACATTTCCGGTTACAAAATATTTAAATGTCTACCAATAAGATCTGTTTTAGTATATCCTAATAAAGAACATGCTGCCTTATTTATTGATTGTATAATTCCTAATTATTCCCCTTCTGTTTAACAAACTAATATTGCCTAAAATGAGTTCCCCATTTCATCCATTATATAAAGTCCTTTGAATTCAGAATTCTTATTATTTTTTTCTATATCAAACATTTATTAACTCTTTATTTCATCATTCCATACATATTTATAATATTTACCCATTAATAAGTATAATTTCTTATGTTTTTAATTTAGTTTTTTAATCCTCTTCCATTAATCTTCTACTATTTAAGAAAACTATTGAATCTTAATACCCAAATATAATAATTTTCCAGTATCTGGCATTTCCTCTTATAATTAAGACCAAAAATCAATAAACAATAATGCAGTTCTTTCTACCATATTCATTAGTTATTTGCTTTAAGTTAAAAATGTCATTTCATTTGATACATCTAAATGAATAGAACTTTCTTATTATTATTATTATAATTCTTCTTCAATAATCTTTTTAAATCTAAAAATAATAAAAGAAAAATCAAAGCTAACATTAGTTTATTCTGCTTATTATAATTCAGTCAAAGCTAGTTATTTTAATTTTAAATAATCTATTAAAAAGTAAGCATAATGAAGTCTTAAATGAATATCAGTAGGAAAAGATTTTATTCCATAAAAAAATATTTAATTAATTACATCCAATAAAATTTAATTGCCTTATCTAGTAGATTTCTTTTTTTCAGTTTATTTACGAGCTTTAAGAACACAATCTTGTCTTGGACAAGCATGTTTATGTACTTCAATATAAGCATCTAATTCTAATTATATATATTGATCATTATGTGCATTCTATATCATATTTAATAAATATTCACATAATTATATAATGTGATCACCACTTTCATGAGGATGAATATTAGCAGCAAATAAATCAACTTATTCAGATGGTTCTCTTATTATAATTATTGTAAGAAATGGAATACCAATTAACCATGCATATAAAGACTTTCTAAAATAATAACCTTCTAAAATAGCAGCAAAAGTAAGCATTAATGAAGTCCAAAAATTCAGAGCAGTTATTATTACCCATAATGTTTAAATATTTTTATTATGAAATGGTTACGTTGACTTTACTAAATAGAATAGCAAATAACTATTCACTAAAAAAACTATTAAAATAACTGAGACATATTATGGAGTTTCTAATAATTAATATGTCATTATATTTATTAGAATACAATAGTGATAAAAAGAGTAAGGCCTTCCTGTTCTTTGAGAAAAAGTATTTAGTTAAGTTTTTTTTGATTAATAACATATCAATGAAACAATACTAATTAAACCTTAACTTAATATTAAACTAAGTATAGCAAAAATAGCATGAATACTATATTCAAAAGTCCAACAAACTTGGGAATCCAAATATACCATTACTTAAATTCCATCTTTCTCATAACAAGCTAAATACTATAATATTCCAAAAAATACTTACTCCAAAAAATATTTGCATTAGAGGAAAATAACCTATGGTCAACAAAAATTTCAATAAATAACAAAGCACTTTAATTAAAATTATTGGAGCATCCTTGTCTAATATACCCACCAAAAATAAAAGCATAATAGTTAATAGCACTATAGAAAAAAAAAAATACAAAAACGCTAAAAATATTGAAAAATCAGTATTGACAATATGCAACAAAATTGTAAAATAACTATTTGATCACTTTTATTCATTTACCTTAAAAATTAAGTTATTATTTATGTTAAATAAGAATTTTTCCATAAATATGAGGTTTTCAAAGCGAAAGCTAAATAAATTAACTGAAACATTTGTATTAAAGAGAGAGTAATGGTAACATAAATAGATTGGTTATCAAATTATAAAACTTAATAAATTGCACTAAATATACAAAAAAATTTACTTGAACAATTTAGATCTCATGAAAACATACACCTTCTAGAACAATGAAGTGTGTAATCCTAAATTTTTTAAATTATTCATATTAAAAATAATGTTAAATAATTTTAATAATCAATTCTTGCATATTATCTTATTTCTGTAAATATTAAATTTTTTTTTCAGAAATAAATATTTCAAAAGTATTTCTTGTTTGTTATTTTTAAATATATAGCCTGAGAAGTATCTATAAATATTTTTAAAGAAAATTAAGGTATTGTAAAAACATGAGTAAAAGGTTTATTATTATAGAATAATTGAATTAAATATAAAAAGAACCATAAAGGCAAAAAATATTTGATTATTATTACTTAAATTTTTAATTTAAAGATAATTACGTTATTCATTTATATTGTTATTATCATTTAATGTTTCTTATAATAAATTTAATTATAAGTCTACTCTGATTTGAAGTTTCTGCTATTGATGGTTTAATTTAAAAATAAAGAAATTATATTTGTAATTAAGCAATTAATTCTTAATACTATTAATTAATTTTGGTCAAATGATTAAGTTGAAAAGGATAGGTTAAATCATTTAGTGTGTTGAATTTAAATGGAATATTAATATATAAGGAAAATAAATTTTAAGAGGTGTCAGATGATAAAATTTATTCAATAAAAAATCTATATAAATCATGTATAATAATAAGTAGTCATGTCAAATATTGTCTAAGTTGATTCATTTTATTAATGATTTCAATATATTTAATAAAGTATTTTATTTTTCAATTATTAACTTTAAATAAAATAAATAATTACATCATCAGAATCCGAAATAATATGATATTAAACTGCTTAATTAAATGAGAGTATTTTAGTAAATTCTGCATAAAATAAATTTTATTTGAATAGATTTCCTTTATTAGAAACAACAACAAATGCATCAAATAAAGGATAATACAACTCTAATTTAAATATAATTGAAACTTTAAAAAATTTCTAAAGGATTTAAGTGGTTGAGTACCCAGATATGGAATTTATGAATGACATTACCAAATTGAAGTGTATGAACATAACAATCAGATTTAAAAACAAAGTAGGTTGATTATGTGTATTCTTCTGTAGTACTATCGGTTAGATTATCTGAGGTATCTGCTATGTTTAATAAGATTTAACTTACAGGAATCTAAAATAGATTGTAGTCTCTTTAGATTCATAGAAAAATCTTCAGAAATCAACAATAAAAAGTGAGATTTATACAGAGTGGTTTTTTCAATGAGAAAGATTGGTTCAGAACCAAATGGATCAAATGAAAAATCATGATTTATAATGAATCCATCTAATTATGGAGAAGTCTGTTGGTTTTCTAAGATCATTTATCGATTATCATCTTCTTTGGCTAATTTCTATGGTATAGATAAAGTTAATTGTAAACTTAAAGAAATTCTTCTTCTGTTTCAGCATGAAATCCATTTCTTCTTTATCTTCTTTTTGTTTCACATAATATCATTTATTTTAAAATATTTTTAACTTTAATACCTTGTAAATTATTTTTTTTGTCAATGTAAATTGAAGCACCAGTTGTTTATTAATTCGAATGCTTTCGTAAAGGAAAGAATGGAAATAAGAAATATATTGGAATTTTGAAGTAGGATCGATTGGATTTATGCAAGGTATAATATTCGTATTATTTTGATATTTTAGGATAATCAACCAAATTTCAAATATTCTTTACCAATTTAATTATAAACACATATTAAATGGGAAGTTGAAGAAGATAATGTAGAAGGAAAGAAACATTATAAGATTGTCTCGTTCAAATTTTAATAAGTTCTTTTATACATTCTAATTATACTTAGGTTAAACAAATAAATGAAAATTTTGTAGCCAAAATAACAACATTTTGTGGAGATGAAAAAATACTTACAATTTTGAAGGAACATTTAAGAAATAAGATAATATTTTAAAAAATTTAAGATTTTTATACTCCACTTTAAACATTAGGAAAAGGTGCATCTTCAAGAGTTTTATTAGTGAGACACAAAAATAAAGAAACTTATTTTGCAGCAAAATGTGTAGATAAATCATATGTTAATGAAACAGAAAATGGAATGGTATTAGTTTAAAAATAAAATAGGAATCTATGTTTTAAGAGATAAAAATTAATAATGACTTAGATCATCCATCTTTTATTAAATTACATGCTGTTTATGAAGGTGATAATACATTCTATATGATTATGGATTTATTAGAAGGTAAAAGTTTACATGATGAATTAAATAATCATAAAAATGGATTTCCTGAAGATACAGTAAGAAATATTATGTGGGTAAATTCAATTTATTATAATATTATAGCAAATTCTAACAGGAATAGAATATATGCATGATAAATAAATTATGCATAGAGATTTAAAACCAGAAAATATTATGCTTATGAGAAAAGATGATTTAAACTCTCTTAAAATTGTTGATTTTGGTTTGGCTACATATTGTGATGTGAATAAGTATTTCATTATTTTATTTATTAGATATTTATTTCCTAAATGTGGTACACCTGGTTATGTTGCTCCAGAAATTGCTAATTTAATTGATAAGACCTAAAAATATGATAAAGTTTGTGATATTTTTAGTGCTGGTGTTATATTTTTTAAATTGTAATTTCTATTATCAATTTTAGATTAACAGGAAAAGATCTTTTTCCTGGAGTTGGATTTAATTTAGTATTAAAATTAAATAAACAATGTAAAATTGATTTAACTCCATTATAAATGAAAAAAGTAGATCCATAAATTACTGTAATTTTATATTAAATTTAAGACTTTAATATAAAAAATGTTAGAAAAAGATCCTACTCAAAGAATCACTGCTAATCAATCTTTATAAGATCCATTCTTTTTACCTTGTTATTAAGAAAGTGGTATCTAAGGACCAGCTAAATTAACAACATTTTAGAAAAAGTAAATGTTTTCAACTTGTGGAAAGGCTTTCACTACTGAATTTTAAAATGAAAATTAAAAAGGAAGTCCTTAAGATAGATTAGAAAAAAAGGGTTCTTTTGTTACATAAGATAATACCTATAGACCAATTTAATAAAACTAATAGAAAATTATCTAAAAATTTAATACTACTGAATTTGATCATATTAATCCTACTTAAAGTCCATCTATGGATTAAGTCAAAAAAAAATTTTAAAAAGGGGATCCAATAGAAGAGGAAGATGAAAAATGAAGATATTATTTATTTTCATTATTAATATGCTGTTTAATTAATCTCTAATTTAGTTATCAAATTTCAATAAAGTATTATTTAATCATTTCAATTAAAAGAACTAATATTATAAACTTTAATAATTTATGACTTTTTTATAATTAAATCAAACCAAATTATATTTTTAAACTTATATATTACAAATAAAACAATATCATTATTTATTATTAAATAAATATAATCAATCAATCAATCAATCAATTTTTTCAATAAATGTATATTTTTTTTATCATTTAAAAGATCTTCTGACAATGTAACGAGTCCTAAAAGGTAACTCTTATATCTTCTTTAGAAGTATTTAATTTAAAAACAAGATATTATCATATAAAGAAATAAGAATGTAATACTAAAACATATGTAATATGTAATTAAATTATTTTATGTCTTTATGATTAGTTTTGATGAAATATAATTAACTTAATCATAAAATAAATTAAACCCTTAAGAAATATTAAGTGAATATTAAACTACAAGATTATTATAGTCTTTAAAGTTATAAAAATTAGTTGATTGATTTTAATCATAATTAGCCCTTGACATTTCAATATCAAAATTATATTTTAATAAAGAATCTAGTTTACTAATAAAACCTATAACTCCTGATCTTAAAGCATCTGAATTATTTTCATATGAATAAAATTATCCATAATCATTTTCAAATTGGGATTGAGTCATATTTTTTTTACAGAATTTTACTTATTCTACAAGATTATTACAAAAATCATCTTAATAAAGTTCATAAAGGATTGATTTATCTTTTTCTTCAATTTAGTTTGTCAAAATAATAGTAGAAAATAAGGTAATTACTTTTTTAGAATATATTTAAGATAAATTTTAGAAATATATTGGAACATCATCATCAGAAAATAAATTATTAATATCACCTATTTCAACATCTTTTATATTTTGAATTCTGCTCAAAAATTATTGTTATCCCTTCATTATTGATGTAAAAGAAATTAAATAGCTTAATTATACTTGAAATTTAACATATGTTTTAATTAATTATTCTATTGGTTAGTAAGAATGGTCACTTTATTTAGTTTGCATATATCCAAAACTAGCAAGAAATACTAAGAGTAAGTAAAAAAAAACTGTTATAAATAATTTCATCAAAATAGTGTTTTATTTATTCTAAATTTTTTCATAAAGCATTTATGTTTATCTTTATCTATTATTAATTTAAACTTAAGACGTGGTATATTTTTAATTCAAATTTTTAAAGGAATATATATTATTTCTAAAAGGATTCGTAAAGATTTCTTAATCAATCAACTAAATTAAATGTCTTTTTTAATCAATTAATTAATGAGCTTATTCTTCATTTAAATTAGATAATATTTAAATCATATATTAATGTCTTTTTTCAAAATTATACCAATTTCTTATATTAATCAGGAAAGGGATAATTAATAGAATTAGTTATATTATAAGTATACTATTCCAAAAATCCATTATATTAGATTAATAGTTTGCCAATTAGATACTGAATGTTTCTATTGCATCCATAGTGATATTGTATGCTTATATTATATTAATCCTAAAAAAGAGCACAGCTTTAATATACTAAATTTAATCTGCTTCATAAAACACTAAAGTTATCATATTTTCTCTAATTTTTTCTGAAAAAGTAGCTATACTATTAAATGGCATACTTTTTTATAAAAGTTTTAGATTATATTAATTTAGATTTGTTGTTGCATCAATATTGATTAAATCACTGTATAAAAAATCGTACTCTTCTCTGATTTAATATAATTAATAGTCTAATTAATTTCTTAGAGAATTTTTATAATATTAAGAAGTTTCATAATTTTGAAATATTAGCTTATGAAATCCTAATTAAAAAGCATCATTATAATGTTTTACTATTAAGTAAGGAGCATATATATAATTTGTTATTTGAAGTTTAGTTGAACCATCTTTTTAATTTTAATAAACCAACAAAATTAAAAATGAAATGACCATTAAAATAACAATTAATTTGTATATATAAATTTTTTTAAAAGGAGTGCTTCCAGTTTATTTTAATAAAATATTGTGGAGAAAAGTAGTTGCTTTAAATTCTGTTCCAATATTACTACATTCATTCTATGATTTAGTTTTTTAATAAATAGGCTTATTTTTGGAAGAATTTACAGGTTAAACATTTTCATTTTTTTTTTTCATTTCATTAAAATTCAGCTCCAATTAATATTAGATTACTTTATCTCTAAATTCAATTTTTTTAACCTACCCTTTTGCACTCTGCATTTAGTCATTTTCTACCTAATAAAATTAATTTTAATTAATACTGAGCATAAATTCAAAATGTAATTTAATTAATTTTGAAAAATTATTTCCAAAATATCAAAGCTATATATATCTTAGAAAATATTTTGATATTTTGAAAATAGCAATTATTATTTTTCAGATCTATCAGAATTAATATTGTCAAGACTGATGATTTATGAGGATTTTTTATATTAAGTTTCTTGCATTATAAAATTTTTAAATAATCTATCTATTTTTTAAATGTTTGATCTTTAGATGAAATTCAGATCAATTTATTATTATTTATCTTAATTTAATATCATATCAAGTAGTTCAGGACAATAGTATTAAATAAAATAATGAAATTACATTTAATTAAATATTTCAGGCCAGTATTCTTTTAAATTTTAACTAATTCCTGTAATTTTACCTGATGTATCAAATGTAATAAAAACTTTATCTTAATGTGCTTTTTTTATTAAAGATAATAAAATAAAATCTGAAAAATCATTACTTATTGTGAAAGTAATTTAAAGACATTACAAAAAATCATTTTCTTATCTTTAAAGAACTTAAATAGAATCATGTTTATTATCTGATTATATTTAAGTTCTATTAATATATCTTTCTAAAAATTAATTATGAATTAATTAGATTGCTTCTGGCATTAATTAATCTATATTTTCTAATCTAACATCTTTATTTTAAAAACCAAAAAATTAATTTACTTAGCTTTTATAATTTAAAATTGAACCTCTTTTCTTAATTAAACTTACTGGAAGTAAAAGAAAATCATTTTATAATGTTTAAGAAAAATCTATAGTTTGTGTTTCTGAATTCATTAATTGGCTTAACATTTTATTTAGTTTAATCCCTTACATCTGATTTTACATTATTTAAATATAAAAATTAAAGGAAATTCTTAAAAAAATTAAATTTTAATTGTTATCTAATACTTAATTTTTCTTCATCCATTTTTTTGTTCCTGAAATTGATTCAGAAATCTTTATAATATATTTTTCGATTTCTTAAAAACTTTTCGCTCCAGTTATGAGACACTAAAGAAATTCTAGTTAGTTTGAAAAAATATGTTAGATTTATTTTCTGTATTCTAAATCAATTTCCCCATAGTTATTTAAATTCTTTATTTCTATTTAAAATTAACTTAAATGCAAAAGCTCTTTTTAAACTTAAGACTTTAATATAGTACTTATCTTCTTATAAAAATAAGATAAATTAGTTTGGAAACTCTCAAATTTTTAAAGAAAATAAAATGCTAAATAAAATCTTTTTTAATATTTAACTAAAAAGTCAAATAAAATTAATATGTTTTCTTCTTTCTAAAATATAGAGTTATATTAAATAGAAGAATCATTTTATGAATAATTATATGTTAAAATTTCTTCTAATAGACTGGTATTAATTAAATCTTCCAAATGAAAAATATCCATTTTACAATTTAAATAGTAAGGTAATACTTTTTTTTAACTCAATTTCTGTTAAATTAAATATTATATACTGCTAGATTTAATAATGTGATTAAGATTAATTTAAGTAAATAAATAATATATCAGAGTAGATGAATACAGCAATATATTAAAGATAAAAATCTCATCAAAATGTATAATCTGTCCAATAAGGAGAGATATAGAAATAAACAAATTGCAAAATATTAAACTTTAATTAAATTTATCTTCATCATTTTATTAAAATATATTATTGTATAGTTTGAATAGCATTCTAATCATTGTTAATATCTAAAAAAATATTGATCCGTTGTTTGTTGTAAAAGCAGAAAATAATATAATTCTCAATATATCTATAAGGTGTATGAAATACAAAATAGGAGAATAAAATTCATAAATTGGAACATTCTATCTGCTTGAATTGTATGAAATATCTCTCTAAAAATATGTAATTAAGCCCAATATTATCAAAAATGTTAAAAAAGTTAGACTTCCTATTATTATACATCCAATATCATCATTGTATTTATACAAAAATTTAACATATATAACCATTAAAGGTAACTTAAGTATTTTATTCAAGATATTTAATGCATAATTAATTAAATGTCTGATAACATCTTTCTAATGAAATATTAAGCAAAATAAGATGAAAATCAATGATTTAAATGAAAGTAAAATGATGAATACATCATATGAATAATCATTCTTACTATCAGCTAAAAAAAGCGAATAATTTGTCATTTATGAAATTGCTTTAAGCATTTTGTCCCTATATTTGAAAAATCCCCACCCATGTTTTGGAAAACATAAAGCAATATTTTAAATAAACTCAATTGTAGCAATCCATTTCACAACTTTGATATTTTTTCTCAATTAAAGAGATAGGAGTTAAACCAAATTTTAAAAACTAAAATTCATATCTGTAAATTTTTTATAATATTTCTTCATGAATTTACATAAAAATAAATAAAAAGTTTTTCTATAATTAGGATAATTATTGGAAATATTTATTACTTTAATTACTTGATTTTAAAAAAATCTGCCATTAGTATAAAAATGATTTCTTTTTTCTCATAATAATGAATTTAACATTAAAAATTTTATTATAAGCATTCAACTTATATTCCTATTGAATAAATTTATTTATTTGACTAAAATTATTATCTTAGTAAATATTAAGAAAATCCTTAACATGAAGCTCAAAGATA